GGTGGTGCGCGTTTTTCAACGCGCGCCCTGGGTGGGGCGGGGCACGAGTAGTTGACCGGTTTGTAGACCGGTCCGTTGACCGGTCGTGTGTGTGCAGATTTATTGACCGGTTGCTTCAGCGGTCTGCTCGTATCTTATATCTTTCAGCTCATACGAAGTGATAGTTCAATTCTATTCCGTATGGAGTGCTTGTACGGCGAGGCGATTTATTAGTACACGTTTGTAATCTACGTCGTACGTTACTCTCAGCCAATACGCTCACTCATGCCAAGGGTGTTGCATATTGACTCTATAAATCATCATGCAAGTGTGTCATGCAGAAAGTGTGTGCAAAGTGTACTGTGCTATTAGGGGCAAGCAGCCGAAAAAAAAACTGGACTTGCAGGGAATCGAACCCTGGACCACTCCCATGCTAAGGGAGTATTATACCACTAAACCACAAGCCCATTTCTTGTAAATGTATATAGATATCATAAATTTGTGCGGTATAAGTAGTACTCGACTAGAGATCACACTTTAGCTGTACAAACAGGATTAAATCAGTTACTTTTATTAAGATTAATTTCATATGCCAGTAATTTTGTACAGAGAAGTAATAAACGATATTATATTTCTGGCGTCGTCGCGATTTAATCTGTTTCAGCCCTTACTTTTCTTCAAAGTAAAGCCCGGAGAAACGAGAAAAACCACGTAGATGCTACGGGAAGGCCCTGCCGGTAACGAAGATGGCTGGAAACAACTATTACGTATGATAACTTATACCACTACTGCTGATGACTATATGATGATCGTTCGTTTGTTCGCATTAGACTGGCTAGGCAGGACAAATACGTGTTCTTTTGAAACTCGTAGGTCCACACCAAAATGCTTGCCATGATGCAAGAACAATTGAACAACAAGTCAAACACAAACGGGTGACTCCCTTCCAGAGATTCCTTTGAAAGTGGCCAACAGGCTCTATGACCCTGAAAAGTATTTCTCCGTAGCTAACGAATTTCTAAATCCTTCCAGGCATTATCGGGTGCCGATGTAGTGACTAATGCATTGTACACTGACGTGATGGTGCCAAACATAGGACGAAGTTGGGCACAACCATCATACGCCTCTGCTAGATCTTTGCGTACTTCGCGTCCGCCACAACGGCAACAAAAGCAGGGCCAAGCTTATCCCTTACCTGAACATAATCTGAAGTGGGATATTAGCAGCTAACTCGGTCACTCCAGACAGAGGTATCTAACGACTGAGGAACGAGGTGCAGCCTCCGCTACGTGTCGCCCTGCGGTGCTACCGTGGGACACTGGAAAAGAAAATCCAGCAGAGACAAATCTTCGATTGTGGCAACTTGCTGCTGCAACACCTGCTTCGTCATGGCCCAAGCATCTTCAAGGGCCAGTTTTGCCTTTGGCCAGACGGGTCCTTGCAGAATTGATCCTCGCACTCTCTAGAGAGAAAGATGAAGGTGACAGCGGAGTGCCATTAGTGAGTCTGAACGCGTCGGCGGTTACCTTTTACAGATCGGCGACACAGCGCAAGAAGAAGTCGAAAGTGTCCAGCGTGACAGACGACATCGAAATGCCTTCGCGTGACATTGCAGCCAATGTTGGCTGCCAGTTGAACTTATAAGCACATCGTCAGTAGGTACAGATGGGTGGGTACTCTTAGTCTCACCCGAAAGCTATCCAGAATAGGAGCCCCCAGGTGTGCGAATCTCATTGGTTTGCGACTTGAGGGACAGTCCATGAAGTAAGCAAACTCTGCTTTGTGTCGTTCAGTGAAGTAGGGCTCCGGATGCGCGAATTGTTAGGTTGGGAGTATCGATATAATGGATGGGGGCGATTTGAAGATGGCAGACTTGTAAGCCGTTGGCGTATCTTTTCGGCTCGTCAGCGATATACCCGTTCCTCTTTTCAGGCCCGCCCATGAAGTCCTATACGAGACTGACATCCTTCACACCGACGATTGAGCCGTGCAGAAAGCTTCGCTCTTCCGGTGAGATCTAAGATCTAGACGAGTCTCCGGTATCCAACCGGTCGTTTTCGGCGTCGATGTACGGAGTACGCCCATGCCTTCACAACCGGATTGCGCTCCTCAATGCGCGCCAGCAGGGACTTAACGTATGTCTGCAGTGTTGGCTCTTCGAAAAAAGAATTTATCTTGCGCCTCGATAGTCGTGAATTTCCACAATACCGTCGTGGCGTGGCTGTATCATGTACATTGTCTAGATATTCATGTCTAACAAACGTAAGGGCGATAAGCAGATAACCGTTGTGTCTTTCTCTGTGCATTTCCCCAGATTAGCACAAGTACGACATTACGACTCACTAAACCTCCACATGACCGGGCACATTGAAGGGCTGTTCGGCCTGTACTCCGTAATCATTTCAGCCGAGTCATCTGCAATACTAGTGGAGAAAGGCGGGGCAACCAACCAAGTGATCGTCATATCTGTTGCACGTGACCCTGTGGGTCAGTGTGCAGAAGCTTCTAGTGCATGAATATACATGCACCTTTCCACAGTATCTCACTGCATTGTCCTTGTTCCACTTGTCAATTGAGCCGTTGTTCTGATTATCCACGTGTGTTTTACGGTATATATCATCGCCATTTGTTGTGACCGATTGACGACATATTCCACTTGTATGCGATCAGATTGCATCTGCGACTTATGTGAATGGGAACCATCGTAATACACTAATGTACGTAACTCGGACATCGACTTATCAATTGCACGAGCTATCTTACATTTCAGTTCGTAGCGCTTGCAGTAACTGCGTTGAGGTAGCCGCCCAACAGAGTGGGCGAATGAGAAGACGGTAGCCCCGAAAATACGCGAATGACTGCCCATTGCAGAAAATTATAGGCAGCCAACGTCGCACTACAGTGCACAGACAATGCCGTTTTGGCCGCTACAGTTCCGTGCTGGTAGAATACGAGGAACTCTTTTTTGCCTAGATCGTTTCAGGGGTAACAGCTTCGTAGACAATTTTAGCCGTAAGAAGCTACTATCATGGCTCCGATGACTAGGCTGAAATGCAAGCTAGAAAGAAAAAGAAAAAGAAATGGAAGGAGGACGCAAGACTGTCTGCTCTGTAATTTGCAATTTACGGTCAAAGAAAATGTATAGCTTAGCCATTCTTCAGCGCCTTTTCCGAGTCTAAATATCCCTCGTATAATATGAATGAATAGTGGATGGTCTGACCATCCGCTTTATCTGGCCCATAGTACATATAAGTCAAGATACATGAGGTTCATTGTGAACATACATAGCATGCTGAGCTTGCTTTTGCAAGAAAAGAGAAAAAAAAAGAGAAGATGTAACGTCGTACATAACATGATGTAGTACTCTGTACATATAATGAAAAATATTGGAATATCTCCGGAGCCGAAGATACCAAAACTGGGGGAAGTAAGCCTGCAGGTTAGATGAGCAGAAGCCAAGACGGAAGAAGAAGAAGGAGAAAAGAAAGAACCATGGTAGGGGAAGTGGGTCGGGACAGCTGCGCCGCCTATCGCACGTCGACTGTCCTAAGGTATCTAACATAGCAAGACATGCCCAATGCGATCGCCGCCACCGCACGGCGATAAAATAGAGCGACTTATGCCCCAGTACGTCGTAAGCCGAAGATCGCGCGGGGGCAAAGGGTTCGCAACAGGTGGAAACAGCGTGGCGGTAACCTTGCATGCAGTAAATCGACTAAAGGGGGGGGGGGGGAAAAGGGCCGAGGCGTCTTGTTTGTTGCTCCCTTGTGGCTATTCTCTATTATTATGTGTCTTATTTTGCTGGTTTTTGGGACGGTTGGCCGAAAAAAAGAAAACAATACACTCCTCGTACTCCATACGAAAACAAAAGAAGCAGCGTGCCCCTGAACTACGAAAGGCGTAGCGTAAAACTAGTCTCGTAGTGTGCCTATTGGGTAAGCCCCTCGTCGCAGTTTTTAAGCGCTTGCGAAGCTACGTGTAGCATCTGGCCGGGGTTGCATCAATCACACCATATGTACTCCGTACTCGGCACTCGCTTTGTAAAAGAGATCATTGAGAGACAAGTGAGTGAAACGACGCTTGCCGTTGGGCTTTTGTGGGGTCAACTCCCGGAAGATTTAGCATTTCCTGTTTTTCTACTCCGTACATGGACCATGATCCGGGACCTGTCAGATCTTATCGCATCACAATTCTGCCCCTGCTGGTTCCCCTTTGTGTATGTATCTTACTTGTACGGTGTACAGATGCGGTGTGCCAAGCAGATCAAGCTTTCTGGGTAGGATGCGGGTGGCAAACCCCGCCCGTCATTATCACAAACGTCAGGGTCTACTCCGTACACACGGGACAAACTGCTACCTGAAGGCGCGGCAACTTTTCACGGGATGTGATTGGCCATATTACGAGATTGAGATGGCCGCTCGTATCTTACTATGTAGAGCTCAAACGCTCAACCAGACTCAATGTAAATATCTTGTACGGAGTGCCAATGCTCCCTCCCTACTCCGTACAATCAGCAGCACGAATGTTGACAGATCCAGTCAGGGTTTCATCGCTAGCTGTATCAGGGAAAGCGACCGGTGCGGCTGAGCTGGTGACCACTTTGTTGCCTGACAGCGGACCCATTCCACAGTGGCCTGCGTGCACTACTACATAGTACTCCGTACACGACTGTACAATCCAGATCCGAACATTAGCGTTTCAACTGGCCAATGCGACCAATGCGCATAGACATACGGAGTACAGGACCACGCCCGTCTTCCGGTGCTTCTTCTTCCTGGTCAGTTGGTTCGCATTTCCTTTATCATTCCGGAGCATCGTGGTGGGCTCTCTTGTTAACTTGTCTTTCTTTCTTAGCTGACGATTGACCGGTTCTTTTCACGTTAGACATTCCAACAACCGGTTGATGTTCCTTGCTGCTGCCAACGCGAGCACTACTTCGGCATGAGCAATCCTTCGGCTCCCGTTGAATAATCCGCACCAGTGATCTTAGAACCCCCCCTCACCCCTTTATTGGCTGCAACATGAGAGGCCTCTTCAGCCATGTGCTTCTGCTGCTCTGCGTGGTGTTCCCGCGCTTTTCTCAGGCTGAGACACCCCAGCTGTCGAGCTGTGCCGTATGCCTTCCCCGGTTCAGCTTGATGTCCGGTGTGAAGTGCGAGCTCCCGTTTGCTAACTGCAAGTGTGCACAACAGCTCAGTTGTCTACTACAAGCCATGCCCCAGACACCCTGCACTCTTACCAACAACACTTGCCTCTGCACCAACACGGAACTGACATCCCTTGTCACCGTCTGCCTTCTTGCCAACTGCACCAATATTGAGTTGCTAAGTACGTGTATTTGTTGTGCCTCTCCATTTCACAGTGTAATTTTGCTGACATCGCATCTAGCGACAACAAATGTGACTTCGATCAATTGCGATGCTCCAATTCGGAGGAGGCAGCAGTCGTTGAAGGCTACCGCTATCGCTCTCAGCGTCCTCAGTGGCATTTTTGTCGCGCTTCGCTGCGGATACAGAGCCTTCATCCTCCATACCAGACTTGAGCCGGACGACTGGTGCATTATGGCCACTTCAATTGTCGCCATCCCACAGATCGTCCTCGTGATACATGGCACAATCGCCAACGGACTCGGCCGTGACATCTGGACCTTGCCAGTGCACAAGATCTACAAGTTTGGCAGGTTCCTTTACGCTCTCGAGATGCAATATTTTATCAGTTTGATGATGCTGAAAGTTTCGTTGCTCCTCTTTTATCTACGCATATTTCCGGACAGGAATGTTCGTCGGATTCTCTGGTCGACAGTGGCCTTTGTTGTTGGCGTCAGCGTCAGCTTCATTTTCCTTTCTATGTTTCAGTGCCGGCCAATCTCCTATTATTGGACCGCTTGGGACGGCGAGCACAAGGGCCACTGTATCAACGGTAATGCGATAGCGTGGGCACATGCTGCCTTCAGTATCATCGTGGATTTCTGGATGCTGGCCATCCCCCTCTCGCAGCTTCGGCATATCAAGCTGGGCCTGACCAAGAAAGTTGGCGTTGCCATGATGTTTTGCGTGGGGACTTTGTATGCCGTACCTTTTGTGGCGCTCCGTTGTTAAAAGACTACTCCTACTGACAGATATGCAGTGTCACCGTTGTCAGCATCTTGCGCCTGCGCTCCCTAGTCAGCTTTTCAAAGTCCAGTAACCCTACATGGGAGAATTCAGAAGTTTCCAACTGGTCGACTATCGAAGTTTGCGTCGGAATTATCTGCACATGCATGCCGTCGCTCCGCCTCATTCTAGCTCGTATCTCACCATCTGTATTTGGCGGCTCATCTGCGCGCACCTATGCGAACTACCCAGAATACGGCCACAACTACGTCGGTCCAAACGTTGAAAGAGGCCACAGCCGAGTGATCGGCAGTATCGCCTTGGTCTCTACTGGGCGGTCACACAACAAAGATCAAAATACCCTCACAACGGATACCATCAACGATCGTTCGGGGTCTGGCACTATTCCCAATAAGTCTAACAGTGCGAATAAGTCGAGCGCCTCAGAAGACATACATGGGATCACGTATTCGAAATCGTATGCTGTCGAGTATGGCTCCGAGTACAACGACCAAGCACGGCTTGTTGACAACAATGCCGCAAGCTCTCACCTAGCTCGCTCAGACACGATCAAGTCAACAGACCACAATGGCGTTAATTGATGACTATCAGTCTTGTCTTCGGACAACAGCATGGTTTGATGACTTTCTTTACATGATTTTGTGCGTTTGTTTGGTATACATGTGCTTTGGATGACTTGGAATTAGGTGGGGAGGGTAACGACCGAGTACATGTAGTTGCTTTCTTTCTTCACATATCCATTTTGCTTTATTCGTCTTTTCTGCAAGCGTGCAAGCGTTTTTATATCTTTCTATATATTAGAGGACTCACGTCAGCCAAAAGAAACCCCCCCCCAAGACTGCTTTCCATTTTGTTTGATACATTCTATACATGGCCACAGAAAAAAGCATGTGACTCAACAGTATGGCCGTAGTGTTTGTATTTCTGGGGTAAGAAATAGCAGGCAGGCCTTGTTCGGACGTTAGTACACAATACTTCTTTGATTATGGTATTGAAATCAGAATTAGTCTCATATAACCCTGCCTACCATGATGGAAGGTATGGGGTCACTACTTTTGCACATGGTGCAGGTGGTATGACAATCCAATATATAGTCGTTGACGAATCTTAGCTGATTTTATTGAAGCCAGAGCTATGCAACGGCGCATCGATGCATTGGTTTCACCTCCTTATAAGATCGGATGTGTGACTTTAATTAATTGAAGACAGTTATGGCAGGCATCTGCCATTTCCTTTTATTAGGTTGCTTAGATACTATTTCGATTATTTCGACCGGGAGCAAAACCTTCCTAAATTTCATAGCATGGACGACCGGCGTGTCAACTGAATTTAGAAAGTCCAGATTCGTTCCTTGTTACCAGGTTTCGACGATTTCGGACAACGTGTCTTGTAATCTCGTTTCCAGTCTCTGTATGTATCTAGGAATAATTGAATATACAAGTACAATTCCCTCCAGAGGACAATTTTGTATTAAATCGGCTATCATTGTAGAAGTCGAAGCCTTGCATTGCAAGGGGTTTGCGATTCTATCGTATAATTTTGAGCGCGTGACGCAATAATCGTGAATCGGAACAGCTGAGACTGCCTATTACTTATGGTAACTGGAGCGTTCGTCCGTCTCTCTTGACTTGATTGGTATTGCCGGTCGTCTTCGTCGCCATCGCGCAGATGGGGCATCTGGGATCGGTAATAGGTTCATGCAACCAAGTGGTTTTCGCTTTCGAACCACTTTTAGGCATTGCTTTCGAGAATATGAAGTATGCTTTGAACTAAGTTAGGTTGTAAATTTTATATTTCTTTGAATGGCTCGTGGTAGATTCTGCTAAGCTGCATACGTGGTGTCAGTCCATATAAGGTCGGTTTCCCTTCTTTCGATGGGCAGATTTGCCCGAGGGGACTCCACCAGAGCTTTGCAAGTATCGACTGTATATTTTTTGAAGAGCCAGCAGTCTCCCAGGTACTGGGTTTTTTAGTGTAGGCAAACCGCTATGGATAAGCTTTCTTTCAGTAAAGCCGCGATGAAAAGGGAGCCCAGCATCAGAGCCAGGCAGACTATAAATTGCACGATTCCTGCGGTTGATGAAAAACACATTTCCATGCCATCTGTAAAAGACGCAAAGCGGGAGTTTAAGCCCAAAAGCTCGTTGTGGTGCTCGTTTGTTTTCGAAAACTGGAGTGCTTTCGGCAGAAGCGGAGTCAGCCTCAAACCAGTGAGACAGCTTGCTCATAATCACGTGTCTAATCTTGATTGAGGATGACGGCTATTTTATTTGAGATCCTTGGCCGATTCAGTATTCTTAAGCACAACATTGTATCACAAGATTTGTGCTTTCAATGAGTACGTACGTTCTCATAATCAGTCGTACCAAGCTCAGCAACAGCAAATAAAAGTCAGCATCCTTATTCAGGCAAACATCTGACGATCGTGAAAAGTAAAGTGGGCCCTTACATATCAGCCCCTCACTCAAGTTGAAGAGGGCGGGATGCTCAAACGTCGCTCACCAACGGCCTGAACAAAGCGGTAAAAGGCCACCTCTGCCCATTTTTTTTTCTTAGCAGGTAAATAATAACTCAAAGGTGCTTCTGTCGCATCTGGCTTACTCAGAGCCGTGGCTAGGCCCAGCACCAGTTCGTATCCTCAATCGACCAGAACGTGACCCTAGCAGGAGTCGTTCGGCTTCAAACATGCTGGTTCTGCACGACGAAGCCACTTTGAGACACAAAACTGTGGAGATACTCGGTGCTAAATTCATTAACGCCCTAGAATGTCCGGAGAGAATCGCCAATATTCTCCAAGCCGTCAAAGAGAACGGACAGCACAAAGTTCTCACTTTTGACGCAGCCCAGCAGATCGCTGACGATGGAATCATCACAGACTCTCTGCTGTCCAAAATGATCTCGGACAGTCATGACGCAGCCTATCTCACCCATCTACGCACAATTCACAAAGAGTGGGTAGTTCTTGGCAACATCAAAGAAGACGAAAGTGTCATACCTGAGTGCTTCCCAGTTTCAGGACTCATTGGCAAGGGAGGAAACCTTTCAGTGCCACAAGACAGCTTTGCACGACCCGGCTATTTCTCTTTCGACCTCAGTGCGGGAGTTTGTAAAGACACTTGGCTGTCCGCCTGTGCTAGTGCCAACCTTGCTGTGGAGGCCGCGCGCAGTGTTGTTTCCAGCAAGGGGGACGAAAAGCGCGTAGAAGGCCAAACTAATGGCACCTGCAAAAACGTGTTGGCACTCTGCCGACCGCCCGGCCACCACTGCACCACTCGTCTGGCTGGGGGATACTGCTATATCAACAACGCCGTCGTTGCTGTGCATGCGCTGCGCCACTTTGGGGTGAAGAGCGACATGGCCATACTTGATCTGGACTTCCATCATGGAAATGGCACACAGGACTACTTCTATGGCGACGTGTCGGTGCTGTACGTGTCGCTACACGGCGATGGCGAGTATCCGTACTACAGTGGTAGTACGTCTGAGATTGGCGAAGGGAGTGGTACCGGCTTCAATGTCAACCTGCCGCTTCCGGTGTGCTCCTCCATCACGACATATCTCGACACGCTCAAAGTCGCGATCGAGAGGTTAGAGACATATGCGCCAGAATATCTGATTGTCAGCCTTGGCTTCGACACGTTCCATTTAGATCCGCTTGGGTCGTTTGACCTGCACACCGAGCACTATGAGGAAATTGCATCGGCCATACGGCAGGCTGAGGGGCTGCGTAATGTCTCGAGCGTCATTTTGCTGGAGGGCGGGTATGTGTTGGACGATTTGGGGCCAAATATACTGAGCTTCTTAAGAGGTTGGGATTCGTCCTCATAGAAAAGTGGCGATGTTTGCCCGGAACAAAGCGGTGTTTGTATTCTGCGCTTTGGCGTGAGAGTGCAAGCGACATGTATCTGCAACCAGGCCAAGCCGCAACGAGGAAACTGCACATACTGTCATGTTGGTAGCAAAGAATCAAGGCGTGATGGGAAGGATACAGCTTTATTGGGTAGGGAGAAGGAGAAGTGGGGTTCTGCTGTCATACTGCCTACATACTCCGTAGTAGCTTTCTTTTAGCAAAACGAGCACAGCTATTTTTTTCCCAAGAAAAGTCTAAGACAACCGTTACCTGTTTTTGGGTCCACCCCGGTTCTGCAGCCTACTCCGTACGACGTAAGTCGCTTTCGAAACCACTCGCACGCCGTAAGTCGAAAGGCGTTCTGTGGCTGCACCCGTAGGGCTTTATCTGTGGCTAAAATATCGATCAGGGGCCTGCGAGCATCAGTGACAACGTGCATAACCGCCGCTACTGCCGTACTCATGTAATATGTCCTGACCATTTGGTGGACTGCGACGCGCGATCCCATGTTACTGGGTGGGTGCCAAGAAAGGGGCAACGGCCGTTTTAAAGAGTAATTAGACATAATCAGGCACGAGTAAAAGAAAGTCGTTCGATTTAACGCTATTTTCGGTAAGAATTCGCAACAGGGGTTTCGATGCGACGGGGTATCGGACCATTAGCGGGGCGAGTGCAGCTTGTCGGAAACGGCATCACCCCGAGACTACAGAGGGCACCTTTCATACAGGTCTGAGCTTCACTGTCCTGGGCGTCTACTCGCCCATTGCAGGGGGGGCTCTTTTGCAAAGGGGTAGAGATGGTGGCATGGGCCTCCGGGTGAAGCTTTTTACGGCTTGGCGCCCACTTCCCATTGCTGAACGAGAGGTACAATTTCGCCGTCAATTCCTTTTATTTCTACAAACTTTCTTGGCTACGGGCTTGCCTCCTCTGTCTTCTCATCTTTGTATCACTCTCCCTCAAAGTACACAAATTATCTTCCCGGTGAAGACTGTGCTAAACCGTCGCTGGTCCGACCCTCTTTACTTTATCTTCGACATCTACTTACGACCGATTTCGCAAACATGCCTGCCATTCCCGTTATCGAGTCCCACGATCTGAGCCGCAGGCTGGCCGAGCTCAATCACATACTGGTTCGGCGAAGTGTCAGTCACGAAGCGCTCGAAGCATTTGCTGTCGGTATGTGCTGTCTCGTTTGCCTGTGGCTCTAGTTGGCACACCTCACTAACATCGTCAGTTTTGACCATAGTCGTCAGTATGGGTCTGCTTATGTACTGGGGAATTGTCAGAGGAGGGTCATGTTCAGGGAAAGATTAATCGCCCTTTTTGGTCTCAGAACACATCGACGTTGCACAGACACTAGAAGTGTCGTGCAGTCACTCTATACCCATTTGATTTGCAGCGCTTGCAAAAATTCCAAGCCCTGTGTGCATCCAATCATTACTGCACTGCAGTTGGAAAGGGGTGCATACTATTTGACAGGACGTTCTGACATTTTGCCATATATTGCTTTTTATAATTTAGTTCGTTTTACTTCAATTACATGTTCGATATTTCACTTTTTGTAGTACTGTCATGTGTCGGTCTTTAGTGCAAGGAAGAGAAAATCTCGTACACCGACGAAAATCGAAATTATTCTGCACGGCTTTGTTGTTACTACCACATTTGTGTTATTGTCTATCTTGTGCAGAGGGGAACCTTACTGATGCTGTACCATCGCTGAACCATCGACCAACGTCCTCGATGAGTAGATCGTGGTGCTGGATATAAAATGTGTCAAAGACGTCTGCCGAGGACAAGCCAGTGTTACGTTGGCAGATGACAGGTAAAAATCGGCTGTTGATTAGGACAGGTAGATATCCAGTGTGTTTTGATTGTGAACCGCTTAGCGCAGCTTACTGCCATACTGTCGCTTCGACGCTTTTGTAGAAGCATGACTCGTATCAAAAACAGTCATTGCTATCACTGCGGTATGATTATGCGAAGAACACAAATGCCTCGAGTAGTCAAGAAAATAGCACCCTGGATAGCCCCCAAAGGAAGCTCACAAGTTACTTCGACACAAGCACCCCTATTATACCAGATGCACTCTCAAAAAAAAAGCTCGACGTGCGTATGCCACATGCAGAATTGTGCAGAGCTGATGAACAGGGCTATTGTGACGGACATACATCCCTAATTGACCAGGGACGGCGTTCATACTTGCACGTGAAAAGGTGGCATAGGACTTTGCGTGGTACGTTCACCCCACATTCTGCAACGTGGGATATCTTGAACGATATCCCAGCTCTTCATGTTTATGACAGATGGTCGGTTATATGGCCTCCACCTCAAAAATGTATTGTGTACTCCGTACGTAGAACGACTAGACAATCCGCTAGATCTCAAGGTTTTGGAATACGACGAGATACCGCCAATTATCGCATCAAAGTTCACCATAATTTCTGCAGAAGATCGCTGCTAAATTAATAGCTTATTCACCGAGTAGCGTGACCCTTAAGCGCACTTCTCAAATCAGAATCCCGTGGCTAGGCCGGTGAAATTAAGCATTAAAGCATGAGGCGGATGCAGTGCCTAGATTTTCACGGGTATCGCAGCCCTAAAGAATAGACAAACAGCAACGCTCCTTGTTCTTATCGACTATTATCGACAGAATGGCGAAGGCTTACTCTAAAATACAGAGTTGAAGGGGGGAGGAAAAGGACCGAGGACCCAGCCAAGCCGCCACGCGGCGTCACCGAGTCGGATGCTCAAAAGAAGCCACAGCTCGAAAAGGGCGCGACAGCTGGCAAATGGGTATCCAGTTACGTCTTTCGGTGGCGTCCCATGCCATACATGCCATGGCTTGCGACATGCTTTCTTCCTCAATAGGGCAGGAGATGCTAAATCTGTGTGTCAGAGAATAGTATTTTTTTTGGTCTTGGCTGCGACAGCAAACGATGGCGCAATCGACCATCAGTAATGTAGCTCTCGGTTAGCGGGGCGGCTCTTGGCAGCTGACACGATATAAAACCTTCCAGAAGCCTTCTCCGTCGGTGTTCTGGCGTGCTCTGATGCCGCATTAGAACACTTTGGCAGTTCAGGAGCTCACATTGCTCCATTGATATCTAAATTTGCCATGTCGAAAATCTTCTCTTCATGGGCGTCCCGGGACTCGCCCGTGGCCAAGACCTCAAGCCTGGACTACGACCAGGATAAAGTTGGCCCTAACGAGAGCAGCGATATCGGTATGGAGAAGAAACAGTAAATGTGTAGCAGAGGACCTCACTGACCGGCTGTCCGTCCCTGCTAGGCCGCATCGAACATGCACGCGAGGCGAAGCGCCAGATCGGGATCCCGTCGGCCATTATGCTAATTGTGAACCGCGTCATCGGCACCGGCATCTTTGCGACACCGGGCACGATACTATCGCTGTCGGGTAGCGTGGGCCTCTCGCTCTTCATCTGGGTGGCTGGCATGTTGATCGCAATGGCGGGCACGGCCGTATATCTCGAATTCGGCACGGCGATCCCAAAGAACGGCGGAGAGAAAAACTACCTTGAATACGTGTACCGACGACCCAAATTTCTGACGACTGGCATGTACACCGGCTACGTCGTGCTGCTGGGCTGGGCCAGCGGCAACTCGGTCGTCTTCGGCGAGTACATTCTCAACGCAGCCCAGGTCGAGGTCACACGCTGGAACCAGCGCGGTATTGGCCTGGCCTGCATCACCAGCGCGTTCCTGATTCACGGACTGGCGCTCAAGTGGGGGCTGCGACTGCAAAACCTGCTGGGCAGCATCAAGCTGGTCGTCATCGTGATCATTGTCATTGGCGGCTGGATCGCGCTTGCCGGTCACGTGAAAGTGCCCGAGGACGAAAAGCCACACAACTTCCGCCACGCCTTCGAAGGCACCACCGGCAGTGCCTACGGCGTCGTCACTGCGCTCTACAACGTCATCTGGAGCTACATCGGCTATAGCAACGCTAATTACGCCCTTAGCGAGACCAAGGACCCTGTGCGCACGCTGCGCATCGCTGCCCCTCTGGCCATATGCGTTATTTCTGTGCTATACATGTTTGTCAATATCGCCTATTTTGCCGCGGTGCCCAAGAAAGACATCATCTCATCCGGCCAGCTTGTCGCTGCTTCCATGTTCCGCAACGTCTTTGGAGGCACCGCTGAGCGAGCCTTGTCCGTCTTCGTCGCTCTGTCCGCTTTTGGAAACGTCCTTGCTGTCATCTTCTCCCAAGGCCGTCTGGTGCAGGAACTTGGCCGAGAAGGGGTTCTACCCTTTTCGCGCTTCTGGACTAGCAACCGCCCGTTCAATGCGCCCCTGGCCGGCCTTTTTGAGCACTGGGCTGTGTCAGTCATCATCATGCTGGCACCCCCTCCTGGCGATGCCTACAACTTTATTCTCAAGTAAGTAGCTCAAGGCCCTACGTGCAAATTTGGGATAATTCAAGGCTGACACGGGCTTCTCCGCAGTCTTATCTCGTACCCACTAGCCATCGTTAATTCGTTTGTCGCTGCCGGTTTGTTGTATCTGTACATCAACCGCACGGCTTGGAACTGGAACCCGCCGATCAGTGCCACTTGGCCGGTCGTCTTGTTCTTCCTCCTTAGTAACATATACCTTGTTGTCGCTCCCTTCGTGCCACCCACCGACGGGCAAAGTGTGTATGTGCACCTGCCATATTGGATTCACTGTGTTGTTGGCTTCGGACTCATCTTTGCCGGTGGAGTCTACTGGGTCATTTGGGCCAAGATTCTTCCCAAGATTGGCAGATACGAGCTGGTGCGGGAGGTTCAGGTTGATGAAATTGACGGATGGGAGAGAAACGTGTTTCTTCGAAGATCGTTGCATTAGGCACGCATGACTGGTTCTCTTTAGGGGCATATAAAAAGCCGCAGATTGTAGAATGGTAGATACCCTTTTGTAGCAGCGCTGATCGTACTGATATAGTGCAGAGTATGGTTAGAACATTCATTTTTTGTCATCTACCAAAATTACTGATTATCGATGGCAACAGCCAAAACAAAATGATAGAAGGTAAGAGACCACGGAAGAAAAAACACGCGAACTCCGACTCGTCGGTGGAGCTAAGTATTCGGTATGCATCATGACTTATTAATATTCGTCCTCCACGTCCGATATGGTGTAATGGCTAACATCGGTCGCTCTCACCGACCAGCTCGGGGTTCGATTCCCCGTATCGGAGATCTCCATTTTTTGTCCGGACTTTCAGCTTTTTCTGTGTGGCCACAATATTCAAAATGAAACATATATCTAAAGTCTTTATTAAACTCATTTACTAGACTTTATGTATTAGCCCCAGAGTGTTACAGTTGCCCAGCCATGCTAGCAAGATCACGGCGATGTTCAAACACTGTAGTTTCCCTAGTAGTGATCCGTTTGTTCTCTGCTATGAGTAGACCAGAGTCGGACTGAAAAACAAAGCCTGTTCAACGAAAGTTAGTATGCCGTTGTCGTCTAGAGAGATTATGTCGTGTGTGTTTACTGAGCAGCGGCTAGCCGCATTGCGATGGACATATTTGAGAATGTGATTGATTACTAATAGCAGAAACATTTTGGCATCTCGTTTGGGAACAAGACGCTATTTAAACTTCTTAAGGTGGTCGAACCAGGTGCCAGAAATTCTTAGCGGCTCGTCTGAATGCTTAACTGCTGTGGAGAGTTCGCCATCTTGAAGCTTCACGGGTTATATTCATACGACAGGGGCGGATTTTGGAAAAACGGGTCTGATAGATATATTACGAAGAGGTCGTTTAAGAACACGAGATGGTTCCTTAAGGTCCAAGGCGTCCGTCATAGGTACAGCATGTTGCCGTAAAAGCTTGCGCGGGAACGGAAACAGAGATAACTTGAGGTAGCAGAGATTGCCTACAGAGCACAGTAAGGGACTTTATGGCCCTGAAAACTTATTTGAATCAGGGCGAGAGATATTACGCGGAGAATTTCGTGTGCTGGGGTTTCTAATTACTTAGATTTGATTTCCTAGCCGATGGTTCTAAACAAAATCAATGTCAAAGATGAGCTATGCATAACGAGCTGGAGAGCACCTGGCGATGTTCCGTATTGGGAAAAAAGATAAAAGTATACATAGAGGGACTTCAATCCGAGCTATAACAGTTTGCATCGAGATCTGAGAGCCGTTGACATTACGTTAGAGCTCGCGGGTGGGTGGTGAATGAAATCTGCGGTAATTAATCCCAGAGAGAAATTCCTTCGCAAAAGTAGCCCAAAACTTTCGCACCCACTTCTCCGTAAACTAATCTTGGGAACATGCTGATCCTCGTGACAAGACCATACCAAAAATGGAAAGTGGGGTGAGGGGAGTCCGGGGCATTTCTGTATTTGGATCGTGTCAGGGTCTCCTCCGCAATGCCTCAAAAACCGTGATCTCCCCGCAATCAACAACGCTGCAAATTCATTATTCCACTCGGCCTTTTCTACCACGGCGGCAATGCCAGAAACGAGTTCCACAACTATCGATTTCCAGGAAAACAAACAGAATCCCACAATTTCTGGGTCACAGGGCCAACCTGCAGTTACGCGTTAGTTTTGTCTTCCTTTCTTTGACTCCGCTTAGAAAGTAATCTAAATGTTCAAACGACAGCAACTGGCGCAATGAGCATTTCCTGTGACATTTGTTATAAGGAATACTCAAGAAGGTGAGGTCTAACGAAAACCTGTCACATTCTGTTTTGCTGATGATCTAGTGACGGCCTATCGCGGCATCTCGTGCATGCTCATGGGAAGAAAGCCAATCGTGTTGGGAGACCTCGAAAGGGCCGTAACGGGCATATCATTACACCAAGAAATAGAAGAAAACAGAGACGACTGCCGCATATCACGACTGGGGCACAATCAAACCTCCCCTCTCGTGAAGAGGGGAGAGGCAAGGCTTCAGCAGATACCGTTCACGACCACATTGACAACCAGACAACCCCGACTGATCAAGATACCAACATACACGAAGGGGGAATTTCAACTGACGGAGCTGTACCCGGTCAGCACAGCGGTCGTGATACCGACTCGTACTCGTGTGTCTCCAAAGATAATGGGACAAACGCGAATTCCAAAAATTCCACAACCCTCTGCGATCACAACCAATTTTGCGCAGAGGACGTTTTACAAGATGCATTCTTCTCATCTGAAGACCACACAGCGATCCCAAATACAGACTTCTTGTTCAACTGCGAATATGATTGGGGGTTTACCGACGTTGATGCACACGGGTTTGAGATCAATGGGGCCCACCCACAACTTCAGTTAGAGGACAAAGTCGCCAAGCACGGCTATAATATCCCAAATGATGACGCTGAGATTGCCGAGGCCCTCGAGACTGGAATGGTAGATGGCCAGCCAAACACGGACTATCTTCCGAACCACAGTCCTCAATATTAGTCATGGGTCTGTTGATCAGAGCCTTATGATCTCCACATTTGCTGACATTATATAGCTTGAGGTCACAGCCATGCTGTGTCTAACGGCAAGGTAGAATTGCCGTTGACGATGCTAAGTAGCCTAAAGGCCTAGGCCATCACCAACACCTCTGATGGCAACCGTCAATGCACAGGCCAAAAAAATCCAATGCCGGCTTTTGCATAGCATTCCCACATATTGCAAAAGCAGGGACCCCTTGCCTCGCAGTGTGGTAGGCAGAGTTGAATGATCAGTTTGTTTTTACACCATAGAAGCGTCTTGCCGTTGTTAGATCTGGTTTACTTCCCATATGCAAAGCTTATAACAGCATGTGCCTATTTGAACCTAGCGATTTTTGCCTCGTACCTACTTATTGTTGATGAATATATCACCCCTCACAGTGGACATGCTTCTTCTTCAACCACTTCGGTTGCCAATATCCTTATCTCGCATCATATATCTCAGACGGGCAGCCTCTTTGTGTCCACATTTTTCGTCCTTTTTATCCGCAGTCGATCACCTCGTTCTGCTAGTCTCTATAGCTCTGGCATTGTTTGCCTACTCTTATCAGCGTGTAGCTAGCTTATCGCCGACTTATTAGCCACTCTCTACATTGTCCCTGGTCAAAAACTGGCTAGGCTACCCTCCACCGGCTATTCGATGACGACGACGACTACCCCCCTAAGAGGACTAGAATTAGCTCAGTTTATCTCTAGTATTTGTATGCTTCGTCGTCCTAAGAACAGTCAAGCAGAAATATCATTTTAATGTTTCCGTAGACATTATAAAAAAAAAACGATATATTAGTAGTAACAACACCTTTTCCTCTCCTCTTTCTTTACAGGCCTGTAAAGTACCCGAAAAATCCAGTTGAATATCATTTGTTCTAATCTGTTTAACGTGTAGTAGTAGCAGTGTGCAAACAGCAATTCTTAGAAATAAACCAACGCTGAGTCTTAGATAGATGCTTTGCCTTACTACGTTCTGTTAAGCATGGTGTTGTACTTTAAAGCAGATCGTACAACATGTTCCGCATCGGGCACACCCAAATTTGGCAATTGTGCAGAGACTGCACCACACTTTGTCCTTCTGGTTCCATTTTCAGTGCTCTCTATTTCCCCGCTGTCCATGTTGTCTGTGATAGCCTTGTGCCGGAACCAGTTACTCCGTTCTTCGCTTGAGCATAGAGGCAAAGCATCCCACTCTGCCATACGCTCGGAGTTGTCCCTGAATGCCGGCATCTGAAAGCTAAGGAATGAGGAAGGTTGGCTGCCAGACATCGAGCTTGGCCCGTATTTATGCATTACATGAAATAACGCAGCTTCGGTCTCTGTCAGTCAAGTTCCCAGTCTACCAAGATAGCCTAATGTGATTCCCCTAGGTAGTTATTAGCTCCGAATGCTAGGCGGGGCAGAATGGTATTACCGTTTGCCCTGTTCGGGATACTGGCATTTGTCCGGTTCGAAGGAGCATTGAAAACAGAAGGGCCTGTGGCCAGTCAGCAAACGTAGCCCATCATCACGAATGATTTGAATCTTTTCATGCGGTGTACAGTCCTCTGTTGCAATATAACGAAAACGTTCAAGTTAGTCTGCCGATATAACGTGCATCAATCATCAGATACTGGGGATCTCACTTTACGCTTCTTCTGTCGGCATATCTCACAGGCTATTGCGTTGCGCATGCCCTCGCACGCTTCCTGCCTAAGCCCCATAAATGGCGAATGGCTGGACCTGGAAGTCCCACCTGCTGGGAAAAATATGCGGGAAACGCCCAATCCGTCCACCACTAGCACTTTTTCCACAGAAGACCAGGAGTCGCTGCTATGGTATAACCAGCTGCTCTCGAATACACTAGGCGCAGTAGAGAGCCATTTTCTGGCAGCTGCACAGTAACCGTCTGTGGATCCGACATGGCCGTACCTACGCTGATCGCCAACGGAAGATGGGTAGTTAGAAGCAACATATTACTGAAGCAGGCGCTTGCTGTCCGGACGTTGATCCAAACCACAAGAAAACCCAAGTTGATTAGGTAAAAGTCTCAACACCTGTATAAGCAGCACGGAGAGCCGCATCGGCAACGGGTTTTCACATTTAGGAAGTGGGCCCTGATTGATATAAAGCGCTACCTGGAAAGTATGAGCCGTCTGAAATAGGATTTGTAAGACGAAGTGACGAGGTGCAGAATGGCCAATAGCTTAAGGTGAGCAGTATATTCCTCCTGTACTGAGAAGCGTATTGCCTTCCTATTGAATGCCAAATTATACATTCCGTCTTCAGTCTTTTGCAAACTCAAAATTTCTAAAATGTTCTCTTCCTTCTTCCACTTTTCAATACTAAATGTACCTTGCCCGTTTGCTTATTTCGACAGCAATGGAAGAGTGAGGCCGAGGAGAAAGCCAAGGAGGAGAAAAGTGGAACGAGTGATGATCGTCACCGCCTGCTCCAGTCAGGTAGTTTCAACGTGAAGCATTAGTGAAGGTGTGAGGGTGAGTACTCTTCCTCGAGGAAGTTTGGAAGCTTCAAGGTAAGCATGGCCCTGTCAGAAAACAATCAAAAACTAACGACTGTGCAGCTTTTTCTCTCCCCTCCAACATGTCACCGCGACTTGTCAATTGCAAACGACCACACTGTTCCAACGACCGTGCTCCTCGGACAAACGAGTCGAAAACGAAAAACCGAACGCCCTGTTTAGGACATCCAAAATTGGCAGCGCTGCACGATCGTCCAGAAAATCTTGGCTATCAAAGCTAACACTGTGCAACTGCTCAACATTGATCAGTCTTGGCGCATCTAATCAGAACACAGCACAGATACTGCTACGACTGGGCCAAAGCGTTTCTGAAAAATAGCAAATGAATATTTGAAGCTACTTAAAATCCGGAAGGGTGGCACCGGCACTCAACCTATAGCATGTATTAAGATTGAAGCAGAGATTCCCTAAAAGGCAGGATTAGTCAGAAGAAGCACATGTTCAGTCAAGGTTCGGGGACACGAATGAGACGACAAACAACCTTACCAACGAGAATGGGATCAACAATACATTGTGCCCTTGCGCTAGAGTGATGCAAGAGCAGGGACATTAACAAAGTAAGATTTGATCTTTCCTTCCATGCGTCATAACTCTCCAGCTACACTTTACTATTCCATGATTGTATTGATTTAGTTAAAACGACCTTCCGTCTTGCATCTCGAACACCGGCGAAAGAGCCTAGAAGCCCCTGGTAGCGCACGGACCACCTTCTGATGGTATCTTATGATCACCTGACCACCGGAAGTCTGCCAGACAGAACTCAAGAACCAGTCATGCATGATCCAGCTTCCGCTGCAGCTATTACAGCTAGATCCGGTTAGAGCTTACGGTTTATTGCAATGCCGCAGACAATTCCACCCGCCATCGGGTGATTATGAGCCGTCGCATCTCCCGTGTGCTCGTCTGGTCCGCGACTCCTCGCTCCCTACAACCATAACGATGACGTCCATGACCGCCCGCAAAAGCTACAGCATCGCCTCGATGGGCGCCGACGGCATCGGCCCCGAGGTGGTAGCAGCTGGCGTGGAGGCGCTGAAGGCGCTGGCCGAGGTGTCACAGACATTTGAACTCGTCTTCACCGACTACGACTGGAGCTCGCAGACGTACAAGAAGACGGGCCAGTACATCCCGGAAGGCGGGCTGGAGCGGCTGAAGAAGCACGATGCGATACTGTTTGGCGCAGTGGGCGCGCCAGACGTGCCGGACCACATTTCCCTCTGGGGTCTCCGGCTGGCGATCTGCCAGCCGCTGCAACAGTACGCCAACGTGCGACCGACACGGGTGCTTCGGGGGACGCAGTCACCGCTGCGGAACTGCCAAGTGGGCGACCTGGACTGGGTGATTGTGCGGGAGAACAGCGAGGGCGAGTACGCCGGCCAGGGCGGACGGTCGCATCGGGGGCAGCCGTGGGAGGTGGCGACGGAGGTGGCCATCTTCACACGACACGGGGTCGAGCGGCTGATGCGATTCGCCTTTGCGACAGCCCAGGCGCGATCACGCAAGCTGCTGACGGTGGTGACCAAGAGCAATGCGCAGCGCAACGGCATGGTGCTGTGGGACGAGGTGGCCAGCATTGTGGCACGTGACTTTCCCGATGTCACAATCGACAAGATGCTTGTGGACGCCATGACGGTTCGGATGGTACTGCAACCGCAGAGCATCGACACGATCGTGGCCACAAACCTGCATGCCGACATCCTTTCGGACCTGGCGGCGGCTCTGGCCGGGTCCATCGGCATTGCGCCGACGAGCAACCTCGATCCCAGCCGGGAGAACCCGTCGATGTTTGAGCCCATTCACGGGTCTGCCTTTGACATCACCGGCCTCGGCGTGGCCAATCCGGTGGCCACATTCTGGACCGCGGCCGAGATGCTCACGTGGCTCGGTGAGCCGGCTGCGGCGGACCGGCTGATGGCCTGCGTCGAGAACGTCTGTGCGGCCGGCATCATGACTCCCGATCTAGGCGGCACAGCCAAGACGGCTGACGTGACTGCTGCTGTGGTGGCGGAGATCCGCAAGGGCAGCTGAGGGGTGGAAACCCCAATCGGGAGAGGATTTGATGATGTAATTCATTTAACTATGTACAGAAAGCTCTGCTATGCGCGCTGATATACACGGAGAAAACACAACGCACGCAGGCTCTACTCGGCCTTCTTGGATTCCTCGGCTGCCGCAGAGCTCCCATCCGACGGCTCGTCGTGGGCCTGGCCATACGTGGCCATGTCGACATCGGCAACGGGGCCGGTGTAGTTCTTGTGGCCGTCGACGATCCACTGGCCGGCAGCGATGACCAGGATGATGCCAAAGGCGACAATGCTGTAGTTCATGTTGTCGGCCGTAGTCGGGTGCTCGGGCGGGAAGAAGAAGAGGACAGTGGTCAGGACGGTCCAGAGGATGCCGACCATGTTGAGGGTCCAGCCGAGCGCGCCCTTGAGCTTGAAGGGACGAGATTCGGGCAGCAGGTTGCGGCCACGGAGACAGTGGATGGTGGGTGGGATGGCATAGGTGATGCCGAGGCAGACGACGCTGGCCGATACGATAGCGTTGAAGGCGCTGGTGGATCCGAGGAAGACGCAGCCGAAGATGATGACCCAGACCGATGTCCAGAGCATGGCATTGACGGGCACGTGCAGCCGCGGGTGGATCTGGGCGAAGAAGCTGCTGAAGGGCAGGCCGCGATCGCGGGCAAAGGCGTAGCTCATCCGGCTGCTCGTCGTCATCAGCGTGACCGAGGTGAAGACCATGCAGATGAGCGGGAACATCAGCAGGCAAATCGAGCCGGCCTTGTTGTTGGTGGCCTGGTAGATGGCCGTCAGCAGCGGACCGGCCGCGTTGCTGTTGACCGCGTCGACGTCAGTGATGACAAAGAGGATGCAGCTGAGGAAGACCCAGCCGGTAAACATGCCGATGCCGATGCTGTAGAGCATGATTTTGGGGCCCTCGCGCGTCGGGTTGGGGATCTCCTCGATCATGTGGATGACACCGTCGAAGCCGGTGAGGGCAAAGGCGCCCTGCAGCAGGCCAAGCAGCCAGGAGAAGCCGTCGGGCCAGCCGACCTCGTTGATGAACTTGCCATAGACAAACTCGCCCGACTGGTAGTTGGGCGAGGCACAGGCGAGGACGGTGATGCTGATGATGACAAAGCCGGCAACGGACCAGAGGAAGGCAGCCTTGGTGAAGAGCGGCAGCAGCCGGCTGGAGAAGGCATTGATGAAAAAGGAGCCGAGGGTGAAGGCGATGTAGATGAGGAATTGGTGCCAGGCGTGGTACACATAGTCTTCGTGCATCAGCGCGATGATGTCGATGATGAGCGTGCTGCCGAGCAGGCCGCCGCTGGCCGTGAGGCAGACCCAGGCGCCCACGTTGATCCAGCCGGTGGCGAAGCTGATGATGCGAGAGGCGCGCGGCCAGCTGACCTGGGCAGCCCAGTGATACTGGCCACCAGCCGTCGGCCAAGCCGAGAGAAACTCGGCCAGCGAGGCCGCTAGACAGAGGTTGCACACACCGGCCGTCATCAGGCCCCAGATCACCGCTGTTGGGCCGCCCGAGGTCAGGGCCAGGTTCAGCGACGTCGATAGGGCCGTCCAGCTGTTGAGAATGGCAAAGGCCAGGCCCAACATCGACAGCTTCGAAAAGTTGCGCGTGAGCTCCTGCTTGTGGCCGAGGCGCGCGAGCGCGTCCGCATCATCGGGCGACCCGCTAAACGCCGGCTTCTGTAGGTCCTCCATCGAGGACGAGATCGGGTGAGATCGAGGCTGCTGCCGGTGGGATTGCAGATGCCAGATGACAGATGACAACGGTCAATGCAGTGGATGCGACCGGATGGAGATGGACGAGGCACGACAAAGAAGAAGCCATGTCTGACATGGCCGAGATTATATACAGAGCATTGAGATACGGGACGGACCCACGACATGCACAGTAAGAGATCGACTGTGGATCAAGGCCGGTTGCAGTGACCGACGCCGCATCAGAATTCGGCTGGCCCTGCCTAATCCAGGCGACATGTGGATCGACCGGATTGCTTACTTGACGCGAACGTGTAATTAGTACAAAAAGCCTAGTTCCCCGGACTTGCCGTAACAGCAGAGCAGACGAGCTGTGGGATGCAGTCGAAGCTGTGACTAATTGCGCCTGTCGGCGAGCCCTACTGGAGGCGAAGTGGGTTCCAGCTCGCCTCTTTACGTAAATGGTTTCCGTACAGACAGCCTTCTCCGCAGATACGGTCCAAGTCCGGAGTCCGGAGTATTAGATCGCAGCTGTGCTGCACAGCTCTCGCCAGCCTTGTCAGCCGCAGGGCCAAGAGCCGCAATGCTAAGGAAACAGGCCAACCCAGCATGTAAGCGGCAGAAGAAATGCCTGCGATAAAGACAGGGGCATCTGCAGCCTACCGACATTCGCGCACGCGCTATCTTTCGTACTATTCTTCTGTTTTTTTATTGCCCGTTTACTTGGTTTTTCCCTCGCGCCAGGCTGCAAACAAATCGACCCCGTGGCCCAGCGCAAGATAGCAGCGGATCCGGGGTCCAGATAGGCCAGTGGAGGCCAGCACCCATGGCACGACTTTTATCTTTAGGTAAATGGGAAAAGTAATGGCAATCTACGACGTACACCAAAACCCTGCATAAAACCGCAACAGCCTGCACTAGGCCCCATCACTAAGCTTTTGCGCAGTATTACGCAATCCCCACTTAATGCATGTCTGCCCCTGCCTGATTAGATCATTCGATGCGCCCAACGGCCTGCATAAATGCCGTGACGCAAGTCTAACGTTTCTCTTTTTTCCATTTGTCTTCCTTTGGCCTTCTTCGCCCCTTCCTGCGACCCCCTGCCGTCGTACCCTTTCCTCTTTCTGCATCATATTCTGTGGGTCCTGTCCCTATCCTTGTGCCGACTGCATTACGAGCAATCGCCCTTCTGCCAATGCACTTTTCTCGAGCCTCTTTACGTCGTACTCCGTGTTTCCTCGCGAGACCCCACCGAATACCGTTACTCCGTCCTGCAAGCCACACGTCGCGTCGGATGATACGACGGGGACCCCCGCACGGCCGTGCAAGATACGAGCTGCCTTCCAGGTCACGGCACCTAGCAACACACAATGGACACTGTGAGTACGATATATGCACTCGTACGGAGCTTCCCAAGATCTGCATCACGGGACCAGCCGCCAGCTCGTCTTACTAAGGCATAACTTAGCAAAAATAGCGCGGGCCAAGAAGAAAAGTCAGTCTTGGTCGTGAGCACTACTTCGTACAAGGCGCCTATCCCGCCTGCCAAGTGGTGTAGCTCCGTCTCGAACGAGGTTGGTAAGCAAAAAAAAGTGGCTCGCTGGGCTAGCTACGGAGCATCCGCGCCCTCGCTAGCCTACTCAGTGGACCGGCCCACGCTTTACTGCGGAATCAGGGCCTGTACGGAGTACGAGTAGAGCCTTGGCCAGCAGAAGCCGCACTATCTTACGACAGGTCCCAGGACCAGGCCCAAAACGCTTTATCTGCGTGTCAGACGACGTCGCGTGTTGACGTGCGCATCTGCGGCCACCGAAGGCTGTGCTAGGAAAAGAGCAGCTTAGGCTGCGTCAACGGCTGGCTCCTGTGGCTTGTGCTGGAAATTAGCAAGCATCCTCGCTAACCATTCTCGCTCCAGAACCGCGCCCGTGCCATACTGCACACGAGGATCCAGGCTATGGCGAACCAGACCAATCTCGCATTCTTGCTAAAGACACGAGACGCATGATTAATTTGACTACGTAAGACGTCTGCCACCACACCAGCACCAGCGGGTCGGCTGTCATTCCTCTTGGCGCGGCGAATGCATTCTGCAAGCGTCGACTTTGACGACTCCCACACGAACAGAACATCAAATGGGCGAGGAACCAGATGACGACAAGACCCCATCTACAAGAAACCCCTGGACATGGAGATGGCAGGAAATTTGGGTGCGGTGAAGGGCCTTGGGGTCGTTGAGGAAGAGCCGCGTAAGCGAGATGCTCACAACGGTGTGATGGCCAGGCTGACTGTCGTCACAATGACGATGATAGTGCAGGCAAGTCGTCGGCTTAGTCAGCACTTACGAAGCAGCTGGCCACACAAGCGCGTACGAAAGAGCTTCGGCAAGCGGGACAGTGAACATGGTGATCTAAGCGGTGTTGCCGGTTGTATCTTTGTAGGTAAGTGACTGATGTGTACCATCTGGGAGTTTGAGAGAGTAGAACGCAAGACTCGGGGTCGCGTGACAACAAAGCCGGCGTAACAAACACCCATCACCAGGTACGGACCACGATTTCCGTGGTGATGTGCCTTTTCTTGCTAGTTCCAGACATGTAGTTCGCTTCTCTGACTGACACACTGATCGGCTTTCCACTGGAATGTGGCCAATGTGTAGATACTTCGGTTGCTTCGGCCGTCAATTTACCAGGAACGTGATCGTTTTCACGAACCCGCAAAGCAGAGATACTTCCGTAAAAGCCCCAACTTCGTTGGCTGGGTAGCTGATACATGGCTAAGAATACGTTTAAACCTTGTCAACGACACTTGACGTCCACTAATCGCCCAGCGCAGCTATGTTGTTGGAGCTGACACAGGGGCTGTGGCCGTACAACGGCTTTACAAATTGACTACCTGCCAACATCACCGACAACCCCTCTTGGGACCAGACCGGTTGTGATCGGCAAACAGGCCAACCGTCGCCGACACATGATTAGTCATTTAAGTGCAGAATTGCTATCAGTACAGCCAAGATCATAGCAGGCCGTATGTTGTAGATGACCGGAACTGAACAGAAGCAACTCTACTGGTGGAGATATCATAGGTCAACGGACCGGTTGTGGTGGGTTTAAAAGTATGGCCACTTTCTCTCGTCAATAGCACTGTCATCTCATTCTCACCGCCGCCCTCGCATCGCGATTGTGCAGAGGAAACCGGGTATTACGGTTCATCCTCAGTCCTGTTAAGGCACTTCAAACTATCCAGATTGGACACAAGTCAGAACACGAGACACATGTAGAACCGGCATCTCTCCAGAAGAAGCGCAGTTGCCAATTTGCAGCTAAAACAACTATACTCAAAAGTAAGTACATGCAGGCAAGCAGACTATGTTGCAACCTATGTCAATCTAAATAGCCGCGGCCTACGATATAGCGAGCGCCTTTAGCGAGGTCCCCTATAACCGGCGGAAAAGTACCGAACAGTCTTAGATCCAACGACGAGTTCCTTATGGGGATCAACCGTGTTTGATCTCCAATGATGGAATTCGACTGCTTGTAGATTTGAAAGACGGCCTTTCTGGATTTGGCTTAACACGCTCAAAAGCCCCGGAAGCTCATATCCATACTTAATTCTCACCTTTACCTTCAGATGTTCGAGAGACTCTGGAAGCATGTATCCCAGTCTGCTCGTGTGTATGTCGATGGAGAACTCGTCAGCGAACAGTGTCTTTAGATGATCGAATTGAAGTAGAAGGTCGTCGTCTGGCGTCAGACGTCGCTTGTCAGCCGAATGATTCCCCACGTAGATTTCCAGTGACGTCAATGTATGTCGCCAAGGCAAGAGAATGATCAGTATGTCGCGAAGGGAAATGTCAAGCTTCACACGATGGCATATGCTCAACCCGACTCTGTAGTCGATTTCCACGGAGCTAAGGTTGGGACCCATCGCGGCGAAAAGCCGGCTGAGCTGCACCAAGGGAAGTTCAGGTTCAAGGCTGATTATGATGTGCCTTATCCTATTCAGCTTAGCCGTGATGCCAACTGCAGTGAGGCCTTCGTCGGTGAAGACGGTAGGCAAAGAAACCTGTGCGTGATTGAATATGTACAGTGTCTCCACGTTCGGAGCCATGTGAAGTATGGCGCTTCCCATGTTTAGGTCCAAGTCCGCATCAAATAGGAGACTGAATTCGGCACTGGGCCAAAGGCTAAGAGACACCACTCCCGGCAACACGATGTCGTCATTCACGCCGGCGATAAGGGGCATCGTTCCTCGTTCTGGAAGGTGTAAAGAGACATACTCGACCTCTGGTATGCGCCGAAGGAAGCAAGTCAGCCATACTTGATAGAAGGCCGTCGCCCGAACCATCCACCACGGACTTTTTCTTCTAGGGGGAATGCGTGAGCATTCTTCATTGTAGTATTTGACTATCATCCGGATGATGTTGATGGGAGTGCCGCTGGGCTGTTCGTAGAAGAGCTCGGTCTTGGGCCGTTCTCCCAAGTCAATGTCGAAACGGATTTCCTTTAGCATAGAGCCCATGTCGGGCTTCCGGGAAAGAAAGACAGCCTTATCGTAAAAGACATCGAGGTCGTAGATACGAAGCAATCTGTGGCAGAAGTGGGCGAGAACCTGTCGCAGAGAGCTCTCACGATATAGATACGATATCGTCTCCCGTGGGATGTCAGCACGCCAGCCATTCCACTTCTTCTCGAAGAGGTACGAGAAGATCTCAATCCGGAGCTCCATAGGGAGACGACCGAATAGTTGCAGCATTGTTGCTGTTAGCGTGGTATGTTGTGAGACGAAGATAGTGCTGCTACAGGCACCGTTGATAGAGGGAAGAGCAAGGCGGATGAGCAGATGGCAGGAGGTTGTTATATGCAATATTGCAGCCTCTGCTTCGAGAATTCGTGACTGACTTTGGTGGCGGCTGTTAAAGACGGGCAGTGGACGGATCCGGTGATGCTGAAAGAAGCGTAGAATAAAGAAGCCGGGCCTTGGACAGGCTGTTGGCTAGAGCCACGCGCCTTGCAGAACAAAGAGCCGGACAGGGATCGAAGAACAGGCAAAGGCCAGGCCTAAAGCGTTCCCAAAAGACATTCCGTATCAGTCAATTCCAGTCTTGGCGCAAAGCTTGCTGTTGTAGGTGTCGCTTCGCTGCAGGAGAACCCATTTTGGTCTGGCCATCTCGATCACCAGGTCGGCGAGAGAGGGCGACGAGGACTTGCGCTGATCTTATACCCACAGGCCTGGTTCGACGACAGACAGCGCGTTCTTACGATCTCGAACATCATCTACACAATAGGGGACGTTAGAAAAATGGGACGGCATTTGTATGCTTAACGGAGGGAGTGCCAACCTTGAAAATTTCGGCCTTTGTGAAAGTCGTAACAACATCCGGATCCGGCGACAGAAAAAAATGAGCGGAAGACAGCATTCTGAAATCTCGGCCTCTAACAGCGACTGATTGCTCCGATACGAGGAATCTGCAGAAAATTAAGCGAAGCATACTCCCGTGTACAAATCTCATCACTTGTACCTAATGCGAGTGCCGCCAAGAGAATGCAAATGCCACTTAGCTGACGGGCCGGCCATTTGGCGTCAACATCATGCCGCTGCCGTCGCTGGTGAAATCACATGCTGCATCCCTTCGGCACAAACGTTCACAAGCACACGGACCGGCTATATGCACGGACGGAGCTTACACAATTGCAGTACATCTGGAATGACTAAGGTGCATTTAGGCAGACTGTTTCGGACAAGAGATCCCGGTGGACGCACATGCACTTTCCGGTGATAAAAGGAGGCGTCGTATACGTCAGTGTCACCACCCCATGCCGACCAGAACCTCAGCCGCTCGGAAACAGAAACGGTATGGGGGTGTCTCTTGTCGTGGCCAGCCGGGACCGTACCCTCGTCCGGTTTGCTAGCAGCCAGCCGCCGATTGGCCGCATGGGGAGGTGGTGTGAACCAGGCTTGTTCGACAATATTGCACACGAATATGCGCTCAGATGGCGAGAATATTCCCAGTCCTGTGCCCACGAGAAGCTCCGATTGGGCAGTGGTTGTTTCTGCTGGCCAGGCAGTGCCCCCGACGAAAAGTATATAATGAGCTGATGGAATTTAATCGACCGAATCGAACCTGTTCTGTTTTCTTCTGCAAGTCTTCACAAGTTTTCTGCATTTTCTGCAGCTTTTTGTGAATTACTCATCCTCACCTTCGTCATTACTCGCGTCAGCCGGTCGACTTGAGCTGCTCCTCAATCTGACAGCCGACAAACCGTTTGACAGAAAACAAGGTGGGCACGCATCAACCCACTTCATCCCAGCGTTCCCTAGAAACAGCTCGGATCCTGGTTAAGTGTCCATTAAACTAGAGCCAACCCGCAATCAAGCATGCAAGTTCTACCATGGCCGACTGTCGATGAGGACTTAGAGGGTTTGATCTTAGCTAACATCGTGCCGTGTTGCTTGCTTATCTATTATTATACAGCGATACTACCATTTGGACAATCCGAAAGACACAGCCTGCTGACTGTTTAGGGACGCTGTCGTTGGTTACTGGACATATAGAGTCTCATTGAAAGCCACCATGGGCCGCCCGTGTCCGAAGACCGCTTTTGTCATTCCCACAAAGGTGAGAAATCTCCCTGAAAAATCCCCCAACTATTTTTCGTAGTCGTGTAATCACATAATGCCTGTGTCTTAGCTGCTCGAAGCATCACCGAACACGGATGCCCACATCCTTCGACTTCCGACCGAGCTCCTCCTCTCCTTCCTCTCCCTGATCAGCACTGAAGACAAGATATGTTTCGCCTTGACCTGCAAGCGAATTCTCCAAGCGTCCACCCTGCAGCCGTTCCTGATCCCATCTGTTGACAGGCATCGGAGTCTGGGCCCTTGCAGACATATGCAGGGCCTGCTGGCCCGAGTTAAGCCGCGGGATGCAAAGGGACGGAAGAAGAAGACAATTGCCATCTGCGCCTACTGTGTGCGGTATCGGCCCAAGAAGCCGTCTTATTGGGAGAAGTTCTTTCGGGAGGGTGTCAGTGAAGCCCAGTGGACCGGGCAGCTGGACTTGTGGAGCCGGCTGAAGATTGGCGAGTGCCCGGAGTGCTGGTATAAGCGGGCGATAGCACAGCTGCAACAGCTCGCCGCCGAGAAGGTCGCTGCTGATATCGAGGCGCAGCTCGCCAGCGAGATCGCCGCCCAGAATGCGATAGCCACTCAGAACGGAGACCAGGCCCAGAATGACTCCGAGAGCGACGACAACATGGATGATATCTCCTTGTATACCACTTCTTCCGGATACGGTCCTTCCGAGTACGAGTCAACCAGATTTGATTCGGAAGAGGAGGAGCTGGGAGTGGAGGACTCCGAGGACTACTCTGACGAGGAGTCTTCCTCCAAGTCAGACGTGGACATGGAGATGTGAGAGGGCGAGCAATCGCTTCAGCACACAGCACAGTACTGTTTTGGGGGACTTGTCCGTTGCACCCAACACACTATGACTGGCTTGTTTATTGGTTATATCACATTGCCCGTAATACACTCTCGTTTATGTCGCATAAACGCTGGCAGATTCGCGCCTTTCGGGAGTAGCCGTGCCAACTGTTGATTGATGTCAAGCATTGGAATCCGCCACACTGTGGCCCTTCCGCCCCACTTGGTCGTACGGGCCTGTGATTGGTTAGAAGGCACAAAAGCGGGGCCTGGCACTAGTATTAATACGGATCCCCTGAAGGGTCGCGATGTATCTATTTCTTCCTTAGTACACAACACTCTTTCGCCCACACTAGACCCTATTCAGCCTCCTGCTCCTCACAGTGCATCACGTTATATGACCGCTACGTATAGCCTCCTTTAACCTTGACAATTGAGAGACTTTCGAAGATAAAACGTGGCAAATGTAGCTTCCGTGATGGCCCTAAAGATGCGGGGTAACAGCCCCTGTGGTTCAGATTAAGGCTTCGTCCTTTAGTGCAGAGACAAGCTGTGTACGGAGTAGAGAAAGAGCACATCCGCACTTGCTCTAAATCGCTTTGTTAGTACTGTCCTCTCAAGTCTTCCAAGGTCACGTCACATTTGCAGCGCAAGGTACAAAATCGTAGGCAAGTAGGAACCAAGCGCATTCGCATTCGCACGGTACGGGTAAATTTTGTTGTCCACCAATCGACCCCTATTATTTTTTATGGGGCCTTTCCGCGTTATCTTACAAAAAAAGATCTTCGCCACTTCGCCAACTTATTCCGTCGTACTGTTAGTGGCCCAGGCACGAGTTGAGCGGTGAATTCTGCTGAAAGCTACGGTTGCAAGGCGTCGCGGTGCCTGTAAGCTTCGGAGAACTAAGCCTTCAACACGAGTCTTCCGTCAAGCTAATAGACAAGCAGTAATAGACCAAGACACCGCGAAAACGAGACCACAACATGCAGACCAATTGAAGTTTCGACTCCAACGAAGGGCCCCTAAACCTAAGACGCGTCTTCGACAATAGCGCAGCCGTCCACTGCCACCAAAAACACGACTTCAGACCGTGATGAGCCTGTTTCTATGGAGTACTCCGTACCGTTACTCTCTTCGCTAGCTCCGACCAGCCTGAATGCAGACAAGGGCAAGAAGGAAAGGACGATAAAACAAAAATCGGGGCAGATGGTTACAAGCCGGATGGACCGCGTCGCCTTCGTGGAGATGTCGGCAAAGAAGCTCGAAGCACACATCGGTGGAGGTCGTAGGCTGCCATACGACGTTGACGAACTCTACTACCCAATACCAAACTCTGCGCAGGTATCTTTCCTTCTTACAGAGAAAAGGAAAGCGTAATCGGTAATGTAAAGGGGCCAAGTCCGCTTCGCCATATTTTAAGCATCCAACTAGACATATTGGGGGACTGTACTCCGTATTCCATAGATTTCAGATTTGACATCGTAAGATACAATGGATTATGGAGTACGGAGTACCCCAGCAAGACTTTCGATGGAAATACTCCGCCATATTTACCGAACACGAACCTCCTGGTTCCTCCCAGCAAGTACGGAGTACGGAACAAATTGCCTGAAATATGAGGTTGTCATGGTGGGTCTACGACGAAGCAGGAAGACTGAAGACAAGTCGAGTCGAGTCAGTGAGTCATGGATCAAGAGATACAATATATACTTTTTAACTGTAATACTTTCGAGTAATAGATGAAGGAACTAAAGCAAGGAGATGTTGGACTGAAACGTATAGCGTAGGTTGCATAATCACATTTACAAAGGCTTACACGGAGATGCGAGGTAGACTAATCTCAGAGATAGATCGAGAAGTATAAGTAAATAGTGCCAAGATACTAAGCAACCAGCAGAAGCTCTGAAAAGTTATTCAGCTCTTTTAGTTTAGATGCCTTGACTTGGCAGGCAAAAAAAGAAAAGAGAGATCTAATTATTTACGAAATATAAGAGGACGTCTTAAAAAAAATAGCCTTTTTTCTATCACAATAAATCAAAGGCGGTTTAATTATAGTTGTCCGTATCGGTACAGAGACAACACCTTCACGACAAGCACGAATGCAGGACGTCTTTCTTGGATGGTAGATCCAAGACACAAATTGGCTTATGGCGGCTTGCACCGATTCAGTGCGGGTTTCCTACGCAACTACAGAGTACTCGTACGCTTAGCGTTGCATGTAGGCATAGTGGTCATGGCAACCACCTCTGATGCAGTTACGATATGTGAAAAAACATGAGCTATTCCTAGCGTTCATACATTTTGTTGCTCGGAAACGGTGCCCCCGCACCATCAGTACGTGTACCCGAGCGAAACGTTCTTGTCGTTCCAGTCGGCATCAAATTTGGCCCAGCCGCCGTCCTCCTGCTCACTGGCGAGGAAGAGCGAGTCGACGACGAGGTCGTAGCGGCCGTCGGCGGGGGTGTGGCCGGCGCAGACGTTGCCGCCCATGGCGATGTTCAGCAGGATGGTAAATTCACGCAGGGGACGGGTGCCGGACGGCACGGCGGCTTTGAGGACGGGGCGGCCGTCGAGGTACCAGAGAAGACGGCCGTGGCCGGCGATGCCACTGGGCTGGTCCCAGACAAAGTCATAGCGGACGGAGCGAGCGTGCATGTCGGCAATGGGCGTACCCAGGACGCGGTGCTTCTGCTGCTCGTGGTGATGGCCCCAGTGCAGACACGAGCGGTTCTCACCGTCGCCGTTCCAGGTCTCAGCAATATCGATCTCGCCGTCGGTCGGCCAAGCAAACGGCTCCTGTGGCAACAGCCAAAAGGCCGGCCAGATACCGGCGGCACAGGGCGACTGCACCAGACCGGTCAGCACGCCACGGTCGCGGCCGAGAGGCTGGCGGCTGACCAGACGCGCCGACGTGTAGCGGCGGTCCGGGTCGGCCGTGCTGTTGTCGGCGATCGCGCGGATGACCAGCTTGCCGTCTTGGGTGCTGTGAGGTCAGCATGCGCCTCCCTAAGCGACTGTCTGAATTGAGACCAACGCCCCACTCACTAGAACGAGTTCTCTGGGCTGTCTGTGTAGAATTGCAGCTCCTGGTTCCCCCAGCCATTCTCGCCATGGCCAACCTTGGCATCCCAGTCGACGCTCACGGGCCCGTCTGGTTGGAAGACCGGCTGGCCAAACAGGTGCCCATCACCGCCGCCCGAAGCTACTCCAGGTCCGCCGGCTGCCAGTGGCTGCTGCTGCTGCTGTTGCTGTTGCTGCTGTTGCTGCTGTGATCTTCCCACATGTGGCTTCGACTTCCGGCTCTCAAACTCGCCCTTAAGGCGCTTCAGCTGGTCTCTCCACGGCATGGCGACAGTGTGCAAAGGGTGCGGATAGTGTAGTGCGATTTTACTGGTGCACAAGCGAAAAGTGCTACGCACAAAAGGAAGCAAGGGTGGCCGTCGTCATAAGCACAAGAATAACCTGTCTGCCTGATGAACGCGTGCGCGTTCCGGCCGCTTCCGTGCCCGCGCTTACCAAATCATAAAGGGCCCCACAGGTCTACAGCAGCAAATGGGAATGGGCAAAAAAAGCGGAGATGGCGGGTTTGGCTTTCAAACTTTGTCAACAAGTCTAAAACTCTGTCTGTAAGTAGATTAACCTTGTTGCAGCTTCTCCGCCGCTAGGAAACGGCTGCCGCTTCAAGAAGCCCCTTTGGAGGACGCGCGCGGCATCGTGCGGCTCTGTTAGTTTCAGCCCCTCGCTTCGCTTAAAGGCAGAGCTGTTTGGGTGTCGGCCGGGGTGGTTTCCAAAAAAGGGACCGAGCGGCCGCCTAGAGCTGTGATCGCCGTGATGCTATACGTCGTAGACGGGATTGGCAGTGTGTTTGGCCATTTGTCCTTTCCTTCCATCGACCAGCCATTGATCAACCGTCGACCGTCCATCGTCTACTCCACCATCCACCATCCTCCACCATCCAATATCGGCTAAGCATCAGACGGCCCTTTCATTTAGGACATGGAATCAAATGAAGAAGCTGGCTAGATGGGTGTCCCACCAGGACGGTACGAGGTCGCAATTTCGGCAGCCCAAACTGGCTCTAGGGCGATGGCGAAAAAGGTTTGCTGCAGATTAGGTCTAACCATAACCGAGGAGCTCGGCTTCTTAGCTCCACTCCCGACCGGACTGCAAGCGACCAGACGTTGACCGCTTCAGAATCATTCCATTTCTACTCCGTACATTGTATGCATATTCTATCATCTTCGACACTCGTAACAGGTGGAGTGACCTGAACCCCTGTTGCCCCGACCCCACCTCAGCGATATCACAAAACCGGCGTTGTCAGGATGCCGCTGGAAACAGCCGATGAGGCCACAGTCCGGATCCTGTTCGGTGCCACAGTTCGGACGAAGCGCCCGTTAGCCGACCAGCTACTTAAGGCGGCCGACGGTCCTCGTCTGGTCTTCTGTCCTTCTCTTCTCCTCACCATCATCTTTGACCTTGGCAACTGCTTCATTCTCTCTTTTTCTCTTCCACACAGGTTCTGCGAACCTCTTCATTTCTTTCACTCACTGATTCTCTTGGCTGTGCCATTTATCTCATTTTACTCCACGACATATCTCTGTCATTTTTCACTCCAACACCTCCATCACCAACAACCATCACCAACCGATCACCATTTCAGACAAAATGAAGTACGGTAGCGCAGCTGTTCTCTTCGCCGGCATGAGCCTTGCCTCGGCCGCCAGTCTGCCGACAGAGCGGACGCTCAAGGCCCGTGAGGTGCCGCAGGAGCACTCGCACAACCGCTTCCTCGACCTCGTCCGGACGTCGCTGAGCACGAACAACCCCAAGGGTATTTCCGACCCGGTCTTTGGCCTGCTCGGCAACGCCGCCGCGGCCGGAGGTGCTGGCAAGGTCACCAACCTCGACTGCCTGCAGCAGGAGACGGCCGACCAGGCCTTTACCAACGCCAAGACGGCTGGCGACATTCCCGGTATGGCTGGTGCCCTGCTGTACCGCTCGATCGAGCGCAACACCGGTGCCGTCGGCAAGGCCAGCGTCATCTGCAACGAGACTGCCACGAACCCCGAGATCGCCGCTGTGTCGCAGCACCAGGACCCTGCGTCGTCTGGCGCCGCCGCTACCAACAAGGCCATCGTCCTGGCTCTGGCCAAGCAGCTGGCAGCCATCGGTGCTGACCCGCTTCTCGCCCTCGAGAGCGGCACCTTTGCACCCGGCAGCCTGAGCGACACCACCGCCAAGGGCAACTCCTGCGACACCGAGGCTGACGAGCCCGGCTGCATCTTCACCCAGAACCTGCTGGTCCTCGACGCCTCCGAGGCTGAGATCAGCGCGGCCGTTGCCGGCATCAAGCCCACTGTCACCGGCACTGGTGCCATCAGCGCTACCGACATCAAGCTTGCCGGCCTCGCCGTCGCTACGGGTGCTGCTGCTGCTGATGCCACGTCTGCTGCTGCTGCCACTGCTGCTGCCACCACGGCTGATGCTACGTCTGCTGCTGCTGCCGCCACTGTTGCTGCTGCTTCTTCTGATAGCGTCTGTGTCCAGTCCACCGTCATGGTCACCATGACCGTGTCTGCCGGTGCTTCTGTGGCTGCTGCTGCCTCGTCTGCTTCGTGCAGCGTCATCACCACGACCGTTGCTGCCAACGCTGCCAGCTCCCTGGCCACCGTCACGACTGCTGCTTCCACTGCTGCCGCCTCTGGTAGCGCCAGCGGTACCAACGTCCAGAAGTTCACCGGCACGCTCGGCGCTGCTGCCCCGGCCATCGAGTCCAGCGCGAGCTCGCGTCCCTTCACCGTCAACGGCAACACGTTTGTGAACCTGGCCGCGGCTGTTCAGCGCTCTTGCGACGTTCAGCGCAACGCCTGCTTCAACGCGGCCAACTCTGGCAAGCTGACCGGCGGCACCGCCCAGTGCGACACCCAGGCCACCGCCTGCTCGGCTGCCAACTCTGCCTCGGCCAAGATGCTCCGCCGTGCGTCCGACTTTGGTACTTGCAGCACTCCGACGATCCTGTTCAAGTCTGGTCTTGACGGCCGTACCACCGATGCCTTCATCGCCTCCGACCAGACCGACTTCAACCACGGCTCGGCCCTGAACATTGCCGTCATCGCCGGCTTCATCTGCCAGCGCCTCCAGTCGTCCTGCAACGCCGCTGCTAATGTGGTCTCGTCCTGCACCAGCGCCTCGGCTGCTGCCGTCGCCACGACCCAGAACCAGGCTGCTGCGGATGTATTCAACAGCATGATCGGCGCCGGCTCAGCTGCTGCAGCTACCACTACGGCTGCTGTCGTCGCTGCTGCCGCCACGGCCGCGGCCTCGCAGGTCCTGACCATCACCCAGTGCGCATAAGCGTTTCGACTGGACAGGGACACAGACAGGGATTGAGAACTCGTTGGTAACTTGGAAGAGAGCATTTTGCATAGCAGTGTATCATAGGACAAGGGCTGTACGTATTGAACTATAGCGAAATGCAAAGATATGGGGACATCAAGTATCGTTTGCGTGTGATCGACGGTTAGATTTACAGTGTGATCGCCGTTTCAGATATTAATAGTTTCAAGCTTCGGATTTTGTACTCCTGATGGTCTTCTTAGAATTGTTAGCGCCATCTTATGCATCTTGTATTGTAAACGAAAGATCGCTGTACCCCGTATAGATATGCACTAGTTTTAGTGCATGAGAATACATGCACTTTCGTCATATAACTCTGCAAGCGGGTGATAACATAATATATGCAGATCGTACAATCCAGCCTCTGGCCGTTGCACTTTGCCTAAACATAAATCTTCAAAATATGACGTTGGCTTTTTCTTTAGAATTTATGGAGGTTTCCAGCTCCAAATCGTCCATCGCGTCAACATGGCACGCCAACCCATAGTCTAGTCTATTCTAAATACGTTACCTAGAGGCTGGCTAAATATCGTGCGCTTTTAAGTGTACTCGCGCTTCGACCGGAATTATGCCAATGCTATCTTCGTTGCCGGACGAGGTACCCGTCTCATATACCCCCTCTTCCGAAGCCGATCTTGCTGCCTTCCAGTTAAAAAAGTAAGCCAAGAGAACGGCACAAACGATTTGCACGATCTAGAAACCTGCTGCCGTGAAATTCCCGGACCGAACACCCGGCTGGTACACATTTTGAAAAACGGCCAGCGGACTGTTCACAACGTCAGTACCGAATGCCGGTCTAGGATTGGGCAATCTTACATGGTGGCAGCAAACGTCTGGGACCAAACCTGCAAACCGGCACCCGCAAACGCTCGTGTGGCTAGATCACCAGCGCTACTTTGTCAGTGGCACATACTAACAGTATCGCAGGGATTTGCTTACAGTATTTCGTTCGTCCAGGCCCAAAACATGCTTTCGACTGGTTTAGTAGATCTTAGCAATGTGCAAGGCAAAGAGTAAACATACACATTCGAGGACTCTCCAACGCCGGTAAGATAGTACAAGACAATGGAAAGCCTTATCCTTCGGGAAGACTGGCGTGGTGGCTAAAAGGATGCAGACAATAAAGTCGATAAACCCGGCTACAACCAGAATGGGCCATCTTCTGCCTTTCAAGACCGTGTCACCTGGGCCGGTCAGCAATTGGCGACGCCGACAGTAGAACGATATTGAATATTTGCTTACTAATCCAAGCCAAAGATGTGGTGATGAGAATGTTCACGGCGTAAATGGGAGTAGTGTAGTTGTCTGTAAAGTTAGTAGGCGCTAGCTTATATGCTTATCTTCATACTGGGGCTGGCTCACTGATTTGCGCGACAGTATATGATTTTGGCTTAATCTTGTTCCAAGCCTTAAACCAGAATGCCATAGACTGGTGGGGGATGTAGCCGATATTTTGGGAGCTTTACAGTGTTAGCGGGTCAAATAAGGCCGATCTAGGTGACTTACGCGGCAATCAACCAAAGAATCCAGATTTCGGGTGTAGCAACCCAACGGAGAACATGTCTGTGTTAGTGCATGTCTAGGTTCGATAGGTTCGATATTTTGTAACTCGGTCCATTCGTACCTGTTGCTTGGTAAACTTTCCTTGTCTGACACGACCTTCTTCTGGCTTCCGGTCTCTTGCCAGCTCGATTTCCTGCTCGAATTAGCTTCGTTTGCAGTCCTTGCATCGTTTCATTCCTACCTCTGCTGAAAGCATAAAGTTCGGCTTCAATCTAGCGGGAGACCTCGGGGAGAAGCCAAAACTGAGGAAACAGAATGCCAAGTGAAATCACACCGTCGATTACGAACAGCTTTTAGGATGGTTAGCCACCGCTGTTCTTGAATGGTAAAGAGCTTGTCAATCTTACCCAGCGCCATCCTGACATCCCTCCTCTGCCGTCAAGACCGTTATATGCGGCGGCTATGCAGACTATCAGCATGCGCGATGGTCAAACCAATGTGAGCGACGTACTTTGAAGATAAGCGCTAAACATTGGTGCCGCATTGGATGCCTTATTAGTAATGGCTAGCCGCTACAAGGCTGTCAGTGCTGGCCGTTTTCCTGCCAGGTATTCTTTTGCAAGAAAAGACTTACCCGAGCCAACTCGTTTTTCTGGTACCAAGAACCAGCGAAGAACATGACTGGATCGTCAGCGGGACCTCTTTTCGTGAAAGCGGGTGTACGTACTGGCTGAATAATGGCCGCTGCAGAATTGTGAGCTCATCTTCGGGGCAAGAAATAGTGAAGGAACAACGTACGTTTCGCAGAGGGACAAGAGCGCACGCAGAACGTACATCTGCATGGCATTCTTCATTTTTACTTGGCCAAAGGTGCTGCACTGTCAGCCAATGGATCCCGAGGGAACCGAGGACACGACATACCATATTGTCCAGGCTAGTTCCAGACATCTATCGTACAAGTTAGCTTGTTTCAAACTTGTGTATAGGACCATATTTCAGACTTTACGGAATGAAGTATTTAGGGTTGACCCGCGTCTGCAGCAGGTTGATGGGTATCAGTCCAATGATCTAAGGTTTTTAGCCAGGAAGTCTTCAGATCGGGCAGACGGTGATGTTTACCGCGGCTACTGAATAAACAGTCGATGTAGTTAGCATAAGAGAATAGTTTGATAGAGAAGTCGGCGTCGGCGCAGTCAAGACAGAAATTTCAAACATACAACAGAGTAGTTGAGTTGCTAGATAAACAAAAGTCAGTCACGGCCAGTCCACGCGCGATACTTCCCCAATACGTACATTTCTTCAAAGGCCCAGCTCCTCCTTCATGCCGGACACGTAGGCAGTGGACAAGTTTTGTCTGTCAATATTAGTTGATGCTCCTAAGCTCTCGGCGACTGTAAAACGCACCTGTCGAGAAAATTGACAAAGGTGCCCAAGCAGGAGAATGTCATGAGGGTTAAGTCCACCTTGCGGATCAAATTCCGCTCCTGTGATTTTGTTAGCATTGGCCACGGCCAAGCAAACGCAAGAACTGCTGCACTGGCCGCCGGACTCTTGTCCCATTTGTCCCATATGTAGCTCTTCCATGAGCTTTTTGCTGCCGAGACATCACGGCCGTTCTGAATAAAGACCGGCGTAGGATACTCGATATTGAGCCGGGGAACGTTTTCTTTGAGTGGTTGGATAGCAGCCATTTTGGGGGTCTGTGTTGTCAGTCTCAACCGGCCTTTCAGATGCTCTCTTTCGTAAAATCGACGGGTGCAGACGGTCGGGTGCAACGGATATATCGCAATGGTCGATTAGGTCTGTCGCTGAGTCGTCTGCAAGGATTGGGATTACCAACCTGTCAGTTTACTAGTCTACATTATTTCTACCTATCACGACATTGCACTATGTCTCGCAACATATTGGTTGCCGAAAGAGGGAATTATTAGGCGGGCGGAGTGTGGGGTGTGGTTCCTGGTGCGGAATGGTGGATATGATGACTTTTGATTGATTTCGACGACATCCCGCTTAGACAGGGTTGCCCCTCTGCCGTTGTAGTAAACTACATCCTCTCTCTGACTATCGGCCTCCCGACACTACGCTCTTAAAGGTTGGGTACACTACCCGATGTCGCAGCAAGCAGCTTAGTTAAAGGACCGAGGCTGTGTCCCGTAGGCTTCTGGAACGATTTACAGACCAGACAACGGTTATCTTGTATCTCGTGCACGAGTGCTGAAATGTCGTCTTCAGAACGCAAGCCTCTGGCCTATTCGGGCACGCTTGACTCCTACGAGTCGTTTGATGTTACGCCGACTATCGGACGGGAGTTTTCTCATCTCCAGCTCTGCAGCTTGCTGTCTGATGATGCCAAAATCCGCGACCTCGCTGTTTTGGGTGAGTACAGCGGTCCTTGTGGTTCAGGCCAATATGTGTTGACTTCTAGACAGTATCGCAGCGTGGCGTGGTATTCTTCCGCAACCAGGACCTGAAGCCGTTTGACCAGAGGGAGGTTGTGCAGAAGCTCGGCCAGTTGTCGGGCAAACCGCAGACGTCAAAGGTTGGCCGCTTTAGGCCAAACACTAGTATCAAGATAAATTACCGGCTAACTCTTTCAGATTCATCGCCACGCATCCTAGGGAAAAGCTGCAGAGGCGGCTGGCAAGACACTTCCGGATGGAGAGCCTAAGCCCGACGAAGTGCTGGTGATCACGTCGGAAGTACTGTACCCTAAGGGACGCAAAATGGAGCAAGGCTGACCGATCTGGACAGAATGCCAAGGGTCTGCAGCATAAGGCTCACGGATCGGAGCTGAAGCCTCTGGCTAGCACGTTGTGGCATGCCGAGTATGGCTTTCTGTCCCGATTCCGAAATGAGATGCAGAGCCCTGGTTAACAAGGACAGCATCACGTTTGAGAACGTCCCGTCGGACTATGCCATCCTGAAGATGAACATTGCCCCCGAGACGGGCGGAGACACCATCTGGGCTTCAGGGTACGAGGCGTACGACCGTCTGTCGCCGGCCTGGAAGAAGCTCGCCGAGGGTCTGACAGCGACTCACCGCAATGTACGTCTTTCTGACTCTTTCTTTTTTTCTTCTTTTTTGTCTCGGCCCACTGCTGACGGCCCCCAAGCTCTCACTCAAGCGAGCAGCCGCAGAAGTGGATGCACAGTATATCGGAGAAAACCGCGGCTCGCCCGAGAACGCTGGCCTTGACTTTGAAGCGACGCAGTAGGTCTCTAACAAAAACCAAGTAATTAACAGGCGGTAAACGAGCTAAATTCTGACCGGCAGTCCCGTGGTTCGAACCAACCCAGTGACCGGCTGAAAGAGCCTGATGGCAGCCGGCCACCAGCTGCACGACGGTGAATTCATCGGCCTGACGCCGCGTGAGGACGAGATCCTCAAGGCCTATTGTGAGTGCAGCTCTCCAGAGGACTTTGGTCGAATATTTGTCGTGCTAAGCGATGCCAACCCATGCAGTCCTCCAGATCGTGGTCGAGAACCATGACCTGCAGGTCCGGTTCAAGTGGAACACAAACGACATTGCCATCTGGGACAATCGGTCGTGCTTTCACACCGCCACCTTGTAAGTCTTCGCTCAGTATCTCAATCTTTCTGCAGACAGCGTCCCTAGCGGCTGACGCCATCAGTGACTACGCCACCAAGCGAGAGGGCTCGCGCTACGTCTCCATTGGGGAGAAGCCGTACCTGGATCCGCGCTTGCCATCGCGTCGTGAGGCCCTGTCGAGGCTGTAAGTGGTGGAGGCAAGCGGGAGGATGGGGTCTTGGCTATACTAGTGTTAGTGGAAATGGCTCCTTCTGCGGGAATAACAATAATCTGGAGAGTCTCCTCGTTCGTGATTGTAGCGTGTAGCAGATCATATCTGAACGGAAAACAACCCCTTTTAGTCCACGTTTAGGCTTCCGTCGCCTAGCACGTTATATTGACATAAGCGAGATCGGGGGGGTCGTCTGTGACGCGGTTAGTCTACAAGTAGCAGTGATAGTTACAGTCTGCAACTATGCCGCCCTAGTTTAATATAGAGATGTATCTATCCGCACGGACAATTATAACTCTATAGCATCTTCGCAATGGCACCCGAAGCAACAGAAAGCGTGCCGGTGGCGTCTAAAGGCTCCCGGCTGGCACCACTAAAGCTCGGTAGCGTTTTGGACCAGTTCTATTCTAGAGAGTTGACGCCTGTTATTGGTACTAAGTTCTACAACGTTGATCTGGTAGACTGGCTGAACGCGCCTAATTCGGACGAGTTGCTGCGTAACCTGGCTATAACAAGTGGGTTCTCCCTTCTCTTTGCTTATTTCCTCTGCTTACACCCACAGTCTCCCGCCGCAACGTCGTTGTCTTCCGCTAACAGGGCAGCCTCGACAACAACCTGCAAAAGGTGCTGGTGCAGCGGCTCGGCGAGCTCGTTAGAAAGCCCGGCACGTCGAAGCTGCACATCCACCCGACCGTCAACATTGGCCGCGACGCAGCGGGCGTGGCTAAGGACAAGGAGATTAGCGTGATTGACTCGACGCGCGGCCGCATCATCTTTCGCGGCGTGCAGGACCGCGAGACGGTCAAGGCAAGCAACACGGACACTCTCCAGATTATTGTTATTACCGCAGAAGGAGCCATTTCCACTAACACTAGTATAGCCAAGACCCCATCCTCCCGCTCGCCTCCACCACTTACAGCCTCGACAGGGCCTCACGACGCGATGGCAAGTCGTCGCCCGCTTCCTGGCCAGTCACATCCAGCTGCCTCCTTTGGACAGCCAGAAGAAGTGGGAGATCGACCGGCTCGCCCGTGTCGGCGATGGACAGCCCTTTTTCAAGGTAGCCCCGTACTTTGAGGAGTACTTTGAAGCTCTCCGCGAACTGGCCGGCGAACCGGTTCCTGGCACCAAAGGCCGCCGTCTACCTAAGTGGAATCCCGCCTGGCTGGACGTGGCCGACCAAACGATGGAAAAGAGAATTGCACGGTGGCGGGCCACCGCTCTGTTTGACGCCCGGCAGCTGGCTGAGGATGAGGCCCAGGAGAATCACAAGGAACGTGAAGGCCAGGCTCGGCTCTGAGCCGAGATGGCGAAGTTAGCAGTAGAGTCACAGGTCTTGTAGCAAAATGTAGTCCGTGGCGTCATCATAGCTTTATAACGAAGCATTTTAGACTGCAATATGCAATTAGATAAATAGGCAACACGAGTCTATGAAGAAATCTATATACAAATACAAAAAAATACAAGACAAGCACCGTTTAACTGTACCAGTTGTTGGGCGTCCACTGAACGTAGCTGGCATTGATAGCCTTAATGTCAGCCACTCCCAGGTTCGCCGCATCGTTCAGCAGCTCGTTCTTCAGCAGGCCGACCGCCTTGGTCACACCCTGCTCGCCAAAGACGTTGGAGAACATGATGGGCCGGCCAATGCCAACTGCCTTGACTCCGAGCGAGAGCAGGCGCAGCGCGTCTGTGCCGTATCGAATGCCACCGTCTGCCAGCACCTCGACGTCCTGGAAGACAGACGGGTCGTTGTTGTGAATCTCGAGAGCCACCTCGAGCGAGGATGGCGACCCGTCCAGGTTGCGGCCACCGTGATTCGACAGGATAATAGCCTTCACGCCGTGGTTGATGGCAGAGCGGGCATCGGCGGCCGACATGATGCCCTTGAGCACGATGGGCAGCGAGGTCTGGGCTTGGAGCTGAGTGTAGCGCTCCCACGTGTTCTTGAAAAAGACAGTGTTGGCCGAGCCGACGTCATAGCGGGCAGCACGCTGACGGCTAGGGCTGCCGGGCGAGTCGACGGACCAGACGATGGCCTTGGCACCAGCAGCTTCAGCGAGGTGGATATGCTCCGTGTTGTAGGTGTCGTTGTTGTTGAAGTAGATCTGGCTGAAGAGGAGCTGGTCTTTCGTGGCGGCGGCAGCGATCTGCGGCAATGGCAGCGTGGCGTAGCCAGAGATCTGCATTTCGCTATTGTCAGAATATAGCTCTCACAACAAAAGTCTACGGAAGGGAGAACACACAATGTAGGCAATGTCGTTGGCAGCAGCAGCCCGGACAAGGTTCAGCTCGGCATCGGGGTGGCCATAGCCGGCACGGGCGCAAGGGCTGATAAACAGCGGCGACGAGATGTTGTGGCCTAGGATGGTCGTGTTCATGGAGTTGGCGATGCTGGTGATGTCGACCACGGTGTGTGGGACGAAGCGGTAGCGGTTGTAGACCTCCAGATTGTTGCGGTACGACCACTCGCCGCCGGCACCGTTGCGATAGTATGTGTAGTTTACGACGGGCAAATAGTTGCGAGCCGCAAACTGGAAATCGTTGAGCGCCACCATTCTGGCCAGGGGAGGCAGCTGACCCTTGGCCAGTCCTCCCATCACGTCTGAGATGCCAGTGTCAGGTTCATCCAGAAAGGGCCGGGCTGCCAGGGCACCGGTGGCGAGAAGGGCCACTGCAGAGGTAGTGAAACGCATTTTCGTTATTTAGAAAATAAGATGACAGAAGGAGCTAGACCTGGCTGGTGAAGACGGCTGTCTTTCTTGTTTGACATCTGCAGAGACACCACAGCGGCCTATATATACAAATAAGCTCATTTTGGTTGCAATACGTCTAAACGGCTTTTTCGGCCGAATTGTCATCACTGACCAATAATTGCGACAATGTAATGTAGAAAATGATTTATAATCCGGACGTTCATCGCCACAGCATTAAATCCACACACGAAGGAAACAAACAGATGTTACGTTTGGTGGTACCGACGAACAGCACCCCTGTCTGCCAGGCTGCTGGTTCACCCATTCGTGACAAATATACTTGGATCGCCGGCACGTCCGATCTAGAAAAAAAGGTAAATCGACAACCGCGCCATCCTTGGTGGATCGTACCCGCCTGTTTCATGTATGATCTTCCATTTGGGACCTTCCATTAAGAGAACTGTCGAACGATATTACGAGAATCTCGTATACTTGCAGGCTGTGTTGGTAAAAATTATGCGCCTTGAATTGGCATACCCACATTAGTGCAAAAGTAGGGACACTGTACCTTGCAGCTTGATAACTTACATGACTAATTCTTATTGTAAGTTCCAACGGCTTTGAATGTAAGGTCGAGTGAGTGCTTTATGAAAAGCCGGGATTGAGAGATCATGCTATGTGCCACTAATTGATCGGAGAAAATGACCCAAAGAGAACGGCCAATATCCGAGTGTGGGTGCTCCGTACTTAAGAAATTGGCGGTGAGTGAAGGAAGATGTGCGTGTAAAGGAAAGTGGTTGCAATTGATCGCGGAAGAAGGTGCTTACAATAGTACTTGATTCTTATGGGGACGTTCACAGGTACGGAGTACTTGTGGTCAAAAAAAGGCAGAAGAGGTGCAAGCGGCAGGACCAGGCAACTAGGGCAAGGCCTTCGTACACGTGTGTACTCCGTACGCCGAATATCAGACGAGTACCGAGTATAAAACCCGTCTTGGCAGTTTACATGGTGACTACGGAGTACGGAGTACGAAGTAACTGTCAAACGAACCAGGCCAAAATGGTGGGGTGTGCACGTTTGTGCCGTGTAATGGGAGAATACATGTACTGGCACGACAAAAAGCACAGCAATTTGCTACAAATAGTGTTCCTTCCACAGTAGTATTCCACTAACCTCCCAGTCATACGATGTCTCTAGCGCCTTCCTGCCACCGTACCCTCTCCTCTTGGTAAGCCTGCCTTTCGGTCATCTGAGCAACGTCGGCGGTCCTGTAATAAACTGCGCATGCCTGCCAGTGCCTTGAGTACGGAGTTAGGTGGTGATGAAAATGTCAAATTATAGGTGCCCAGTGAGCGTGAATGTATTGTTATTGTTAGGTACTTCCGAGGTATGCCGACGTGCATCAAAACACGTACTAAATAGCCCCATGCGCCACACAGTATATGCATTCTTTCATCACACTGCATAATCGTGCACGCCCCTCCCATTCTGGTCAGGTCCATTCGACAGAAAAGGGGGGGCAAAGTAAGGCGGTGTATCTTTTTGCTTATATAAGCTGGATTTTATTCCCGTATAAGGTACGGAGTACGGATTACGGAGTATAGCCGTACAAGTAGCAATTGCCGGCAACTAAGAAGACCAAGAGGAAACGAGCCGCCTTAATAAAGAGTGGGTACTTTGGCATCAGCCAACCAGCAGAGAGGCGGGCGCTATTGGCGTGGCGTCGAGCTAGATAACAACCGTCTGCTGACAGCCTCGACTCGAGGGCAACAAACAGCTACACTCTTGGCCAATGAGCATCAGTGGACGGAAATTTGGCCTTCACCACATCCTCAGGTGTCCCCTTCAGCCAATCACAGGGCCGTACGCCACTGTATTCTGCCAGAAAGCGGTGTATATATAATCATGGGGGTCACTTAATTATGCGGAAACGATGAGACGCGTTCCCTCCATGTACGACGTACTCCCATCTGTCGGCATAGATCAGTCACGGCTAGAGATCATTAGGGTAAAGCCCATTAGGGTTGGCCTTGCTGCACTTCACACGCTGTTTGACTCGGTCCGTAAAGACAGAGCGACCCCATGCACTCCAGACGCACTGGACCAGCTTGACCTAAAGGTATGGCCGTTTAGCCTCGCTGCATCGTTATCGTTTAATCAGCCTACAGTTGTCCAAGAAGTGGTACTTGTCTCTCTACCAGCGGCGCAGAACCTCCTGGCGACCCGACTTCTACCCGTTAGCACAGGATCTCGCGATTCGAACTGTTACTCAAAGCAAACGACGTTGACCTCAATCGCATGAAAAAAATGCTGAAAATAGTCCTCGCCGATAATCCAGACGATGCCGCTATCTCGCACAAAATATACAAAGCCGTTGCTGAATCTACGTTACCTCCACGAAAGTTAGCGGCATCCCTCTTACAGACGTCCTGGCTGCACAAATCGAGCAACTTCGTCAACTCCCCCGAGTACCGTCATGACGTAGACAGGGTTTCTGAGTGGGAATTTGGTCCTCTTTATGTCGGGTTCGGTCTTCATGAAGATCTTTGGGAGGTGCGACAGGGCTCAAAGCCACGTCCGAAAGCGTCTTTACCAAGTGCCTCGAAGGCGACTAGAAATGTGGTATTCCACAAGGACAAGGCGTGGAAGCAAGAAGATGAGACGCTCTACGATCGGATGCGGAAAGTTATCTAAAAATGGGAGGTCAAGTGATACGGGCACTTGGGATGATGAAATTGTGGAGTTTAGGATATGTAAGCAGACAGCTGCTGGCGATATACAGGTAAACATCATAGACTTAGACGACGGCAACATGCTTTCGATCTCGCTGCATCTCGTTGGCCAGCTTAACGCCAAAGCCATGCTGGAAAATCTTGGTGATGTCTTCCAACGTGACTCCCTTGACTTCTGGGTAGCAGAAGTAGACAGCAACCCAGCCAAAAATGCAGATAGCAGCATAGAAGCCAAAGGCACCGGACGGAGTAGTGTTTTCCATCTGGGTGAGGAAGGTGGAGGACACGATGACATTGCTTGCCCAACAGGTCATAGACAACATCATGGTGCCAAGGGCGCGAACCTCCATGGGAAAAAACTCGGACGAGAGCCAGGCGGTGTTTCCACAGCCGGAGCTGTAGGCAGCGACGAAGAAAACCATGCAGATAAGCACGATGATCTCGTGGGCGCCGGGAGTGACGCCAGGAAGGAGGTCGAGGGTGTGGAGGTCGATGGGGATCCAGTGGAACATGACGGCGGCGATAACAAGAAAAATGCCCATGAGGGGGAGAGTAAGAAGGAGGATAGTGCGGCGGCCGACGCGATCGACGACAAAAAGGTTGACGATGGTAAAGAGGAAGTTTGTGCCGGCGATGACGGTGCTGACAGCGACGGCGTCTTTGAAGCCGACGAGAGAGAAAAGCGTGGGCGAGTAGTACATGAGGCTGTTGAAGCCGCTGAGCTGGCTGATGGCCATAAGGCCACAGGCAGCAGTGAGAGCGCGAAAGTTGGCCCCGATACCGTAGAGCTGCCGGAAGTTCCACCACATGGACTTTCCGCGAACGAGCGACTTGGCCTCGTCGACGAAGAGGGTGATATGGCGGACCTTGTCGCGGATTTGCTGGTCAGAGGCCTGAGGGTATATGCGGCGGATGACGGCGGCAGCCTCTTCTGGTCTGCCCTGGTAGATGAGCTGTCGAGGCGACTCGGGACAGAGGGAGAGCAGGCCGACGAGGATGATGGCCGGGATGGCGCCGCCGCCGACCATATAGCGCCAACCGCCGGGGACGTTGGCAAAGGCGGCGCCGATACCGTAGCTGACCAACTGGCCGCCGGTGATGGACATGTTGTCGAGTCCGATCATGCGGCCACGCAGTCGAGCGGGCGCGATCTCGGCAATGTACATGGGCACGATCATGGAGGCGCTGCCGACGCCGAAGCCGACGACTAGGCGGCCGACGGTCATCTGGGCGACGGTGAAGGCGGAGGCCTGCAAGGCGGCGCCGATAGTGAAGAGCACACAACCAAAATAGATGGGTGGGCGACGGCCGAAGCGGTCGGCGCAGAGGCCGGCAAGGATGGCGCCGAAAAAAGCGGCACCGCTGGTGATGGACGTGATCAGCTCACGCTCCGACGCCGAAAGGTTCTTGTGGTCGAGGGCCCGGCCGATGTAGACGAGAACAGCAGCAATGATACCGGTGTCGTAGCCGAAGAGGAGGCCACCGAGAGCTATGATGATTAGTCGGCATTTGGTATGGACGTTGAAAATCGACGATGCAGACTACTCACCTGCTGTCAACGACGTCAGCCATACAAATCTGCCCGATGGTGTCTGCTCGATGCTATCGAGGGCTTCAAGCTCGGGCAGTGTCAGTGGCTGTACATCGGTGCCTTCAACATGCTCACTGGTGACGAGGTCTTTTTTAATGTCATTCATATTCGGTGAGTGGAGGAAATATGAAAAGAGATGGAAAGAAGAAGAGCAGGATGAAAGAAGAGGTTAATGACAACGGCAATAAAATAAAGAATGAGAAAGGTTTAGAATACTCTCCTCCGGCAGACAAGGCGTCTTTAATCTCCAGCACGATGTCCTGCATCACGACGCTTGATGAGGCGCTTTGTTAAGCAGCTGACGATGGGCCCACAGCGATGCCATTCTCCAGACGCCGCGGGCCACATTTCCTGACTGTCTGCTGACTGGGTTGGGGCGAGGGGGCAAAACAAGGAACCACAGACAGGAAGGGAAACAGTGCCGTGCAGTTGCTCGATTCGTTGAATCTGACCGGGAAATTGCGTTGCCGAAAGACTGTTGGTCGCTGCTAGCCTGCCCGAAACCTGGGGTGGCCCCGCTTACCCCGCATAGATTCCACCTTTAGTGAGCTGGACGTGTGGGTCTGTTGTTATAGTGGACCTGGACCCAGCTGTGGCCGAGTACAAGTATGCGTCCTGGAGCAGTGGCCGCTTTTGCGCGGTTTGGGCAACTCGCGCCGGAAAATTCACAGGCTATCCATTTCCGTCGACAACATGCCAGAGCGGGGCTTGGCAGCAGAGAGCCAGCGGCACGACAGGCAGAAGCTTGGACGGACCCGGGTTGGGTGTCAGGTGGGTTTCTTTTTGTTGGTCTTTGTGGTGTCGTTTCGTTGTCCCTCTTATGTTCTTTGATTGCTTACTGAATGCAGAACTGTCGAATCAGGTATGGGGTTGTCTTGTCATGTCGTGTTTCGGCCACATCGTTTGTGCCTCCACCAATGTCTGACCAGATGTCCGATCTAGACATCTGAAATGTGCGTTCTCATAGGTGGACTCTCGGGCAGAGATGACCGAATTGCCGGTTGCTGATGTCGTCAGGTGATGACGGTGAGCCGTCGTGTCAGTCGTGCACGGCTGACGGGAAGACGTGTGTGCGCGGGCTGCCGACCAAGTTCCGTCACGGATGGAATCCGTCGTGAGTTTTAGTCATCCATAGCCATCATCATGACACTAACCGGCCAGCGTGACTGACCGGCGGCTGCAGACACGGCCGTCGCCGTTCCGCTTCGACCCGGATCAGCCATGGTGCCGAACGCGGTACCCACTCACGTTTGTGGATGAGAACCGGGAGATGCTCTCGCTGTACGCCGAGCTTCCGGACGTGGACTACGATGAGAAGGGCAACACGCCGAGCAGCGAGTCGGACAATAAGGGGGGTGATGATGCTGTTGATGATGTTGCTGATGAATATTCTCTGGAGGCTGCCACTGATGCCACGGCTGTCAACCATATGGTGACGCCTTCGCTAACGGAACAGGATTGGTCATCGATCGACATAGTCTGCAGCCCAGCCAACTACGGCGAGCCAGATCGGAGCTCCAGCGATCTCTTTTCCCCGTCGGGTCATGCGACATCGCTCCGTCACAACAGCATTGGCATCAGCGACCTCGTCAACTCGCCCGAGCACAACGACCCGTCCTTGTCGCCCTTGTCGCCCTGGTCCCCTCCCTCGCTCCTGGCCTGGCCGCTCGAAAACGCCATGGAGGCTGGCCTGTTCCGGCACTTTATCGACATTGCAGCGCGGTCGTTTGACCTCTGCGACCTCGAGCGCAGCTTCGCCGTGGTGGTGCCGTGGCGGGCGATGGAGCACGCACCGCTCAAGAACGCCATGTTTGCGATCAGCGCGAAACAGCTCAGTCTGACCAGTGCGTTTGACAAGAACGTGTCGGACCGGTACTACCAGCGGTGTCTGGCAACGCTGCGGCCAATGCTCAACGACGAGGCCGCGCTGGTGGACGAGAACCTGTTTGCGGCAACGGTGATTCTGCGGAATCTGGAAGAAATTGAAGGTTCGTTTTCGATCAATCTTGTTGCCAAGCGTTGCTCAAACTCACTCCAAACTCGAACAGTTCCCCTTGCGGGCGCCGACACCAACACCTACCTTCTCGGCAACAGCCTCTTTGTCAAGGCCTCGGCCGTGCTGCACGACTCTGCCGGCACGTCAGCCCCCATCCTCTTTTCCGGGCTGCGCCGGGCTGCCTTCCTCGTCGCCGTCCGCCAGGAGATCTACACTGCCTTTGTGTCGCAGCGGTCGATCGACCCATCCTTTAGCCCGTTTGTCGTCGACATGGCTTTAGACCTGGAGGGCGACGATTTTGACTGGGCTAACCGGGCCGTCTTTTTGCTGGCCGATGTACTGCGCTTCTGCTACGACAAGACGTCAATGTCGACCGACGACACAACGGCCTGGCACGACCGTCTCTCCATGTACAGCCAGCTCTGGTACGAGAAGAAGCCGTCGAGCCTGTCGCCGTTCTACTGTGGAGGGGGTGCTGATGGTTTTGATGCTGCTGACGGCACTAACACGAACACCACCACAACTACATCTCCCTTCCCTGAAGTCTGGCTTATGTCAGACGCCGCGGCCACCGGATTGCAGCACTACCACCTATCGCGCATTCTTCTGTATGCCTTTGACCCACGGGCGCCGCGCATTGGGCCCGGCCGGGCGACCTTTGCTCGGCAGCAGGACCAAGCCATCCGCCAGCAGGTACGGCTTCTAGTCGGCATCGCCAAAAGTAACCCGCACTGTCGGCCCAACTACGTGTCGGCGTGCATGGGCATCACCGTGGCCGGGGACCGGTTTGAGGACCGGCGCGAGCAGGAGGCTATCATGGATTTTCTGCAGGAGACTGAGGAAATTTGTGCTTGGCCGACCGGGACGGCGAGCAAGCATCTTTCAAGGGCGTGGGGGTGGTAAGGGGGGCATACTTTGTATATGTAGCTTTCAGAAAAGGACTACGCCTTACTGCTCGACATTGACTGTTGTCAAACTACTCAATTCCACTTCATCTAGATCTTGTATCGTTCTCTTCTTGCTGTTCATTTACTCAGCCCACTTCATTCTTACTGTCCTCTTAGTCAATCTCACCCAACCCTATCACCATTTCTCACTCTTCCTTCAACTCCACCTCCCTCCTCCACACCTTCACCGGCATCTCCTTCATCATATAGTTGGTCGTCTCCCACCGCTCCGGCTCCCAGTTCTCCGACGGCAGCGCAAGCTCGTACCGGTGGACCACCGACGCCAGCAACACCGTCTGCTCCAGATACGAGATGTTGCGCCCGATGCAGCCGCGTGCACCGGTGCTAAAAGCCACGAAGCCACTCTGCAGTTCCCTGGCCTCGTCACCGAGCCAGCGCTCGGGCATGAACCGCTCGGGGTCGGGAAACACGACCGGGTCGCGATGGGCCACCCAGGCCGAGATGCTGACGGTGGTGTCGCCAGCGATATGTTCAGACCCGACCATAACGCCTTCGGGTGGCGTGCGACGCGGTAGGCCAAACGTTGTGGGCGGTGTCAGCCGGAGCGACTCGTCCAGGACCGCTCGCAGATACGGCAAATACTTGACCTTTTGGTACGGCGCCACGACCTCGTCGGGCTGCAGGGCACCGTCAACCTCGATGCGCAGCTTCGCCAGAACGTCTGGGTGGCGCAGCAGATGGTACATGACATTGACCATGGCCAGAGCAGTCGTGTCGGAGCCGGCATTCATCATGATGGACACCTCGGCCACGATCTCGCCCCAGTCGAGCGCGTGCGGCCGGCCGGTGCGGTCGTGCATCAGGCTCTGGAAGAAGTCGCTGAGCGGCTCGCCGGCTTTGTAGCGGTCCAGCCGTACACGAGCCCGCCGATACACGATGCCGTTCCAGTGCGTGTTGAGGCGCCAGAGCTGGCGAAAGCGCCGTGACAGCAGCCGAGACGCCCACACGTTGAAGCCGTACCATCCGGCCGCCCAGACGAGTCGAGTCTGTGCCAGGCCTGTGGCGTGCAGAGCCTCGCGGAAGCGCACTCGCTTGATTACGCCATCCATCTCCTCGGCCTCGCACTCGTCGCTGCCCTGGTCCAGAAAGCCGAGCCGCTCGGAGAGGCCAATGTCTGCGATCGCGTCCAGTGTGAAGAAATTGGTGTATTGGCGGTAGTCAAACGTCAGGTCGGCCGCGTCTGGGCATGTGTCTGCTGGAAGAGGTTTTGTGCAGGCCCGGTCGCAAGCCCGCAGAAATCGCTCCGTCTTGTCGGCCACCTTGAACTCCCAATCCTCCAGGTTCTTGAGCGCGTACGCAGCCGAGAGCACCTTGCGCTTGCGTGCGTGCTCAGGCCGGTCTACCACGTCAGCCAGGTGGTGATGCGAGCCGGCCAGCGTTGAGTAAAACGTGTCCTTGTTGCAGGGTGAGCCGTGGCCGTAGATATCCTGGGGGCCCGACGTGTTAGAAAGACGATGTAAGCAGGAATATGTGGGGCTCACCTTAATGGCCTGTCCGCCGGCAAAAGAGAGAGCATTGGGGCCAGTTCGAATGACTGGATGGATCTGGTGCAGCCGGTACAGCTTGTCGGACCGGAAACCCACGGCGGCCTCGTACATGAAGCCTAGGTTCGAGATGCCGGCCAGCCAGTTCATGGCGGGATATTTTCGGAGGTCCTTTTCATCGCGAAAGTAGACGTATAGCGGGTGGATGACAAAGACCATAGTGGCAGCGATAGCTGCCAGAGCTGGCACAAGAAGGGCATACATCGTGTGCAGTTCGTGTGCAGTATGTGTGCAGTATGTGTGCAGTATGTGTGCAGTATGTCTGTCCAGGAATGTCAGGGGGTCGACCTGGTTAAAACCACATCTCGTCTTAGACTTTCGTCGCCATTCCTCAACAGCGACTCCGGCAGCCGGGCACAATTGCTAGTTGGGGCGGTCATGGGAGCAGTCGTAGTCCTGGCGCTGAAAGGGGAAATTTTCCCCATTGGCGCTTGTTGCGGGGAAGTTAGCTGGTGTGTTGCTGCAGGATAGTTGTGATCGACACTAAACTGTAAGTATAATTGATCATGGACATACGGGTAATTTGTATCGTGGATTCTGTCGACTGTGATTGAATCAGAGTAAGGATCAGATCGTCTTGCAAACGAACATATTCTCCCCTTACAAATCATGGCTGGAATTTCCACCGACAAAATGTTTGTCCTGCCTTTGGCTCTGCCAAAGACGGTTGAGAAACTCAGCTTCAACGTCTGGCACATAGCCCAGCCCCAGACGGTTTGGGATGTCGTCGCCATCATCATGGCCTCGATTGCCTCGCTCTTTCTTCTCTACAAGCCGTGGGAGAGACCAGACCCGTACAATCACGTCTGGTTCGAGAAGCCACAGTCAAAAAACGCCGAAAAGTCGGACGGACTGCAAACGCGCGATATTGCCCTGAGATTGGAGCAGTTGGTAGGTTCTGTCCTGGTTCTGTTTGCAAACCATCTTCCTCAAGTTCACAGTTCCCAACGGTTACTCCCTCCTGCTATTCTACCATTGATCATGTTGCGGCCTCTTACTAATTGACCCCCACAGAACACAAACGTCGTCCTTTTCTGGGGCTCGCAGTCCGGCACTGCTCAGGCCTTTGCTGCCCGCCTTGAGCGCCACCTCCGCAGCCGCTTCGCCCTCGATGTCCTCGTCGCCGACCTGTCCGACTACGAGCCAGCCAGCCTCGCCCGCCTGCCCTCTTCCAGTCGCGCCGTCTTCCTTCTCTCGACTTTTGGCGACGGCGATGCCAGCGACAATGCCACCGAATATATAGCCTGGCTGCAGGCCGCCTCCCCACATTCACACCCCCTGCAGAATCTCCGCTATGCCGCCTTTGGGCTCGGCGACAGCAACTACCAGCACTTCAACCGCGTCGCCCGCCAGGCTACCACCCTGATGGACCGCCTCGGCGCCGTCCCGGTTCTGCCGCTCGGCCTAGCCGATGCAGCCAAGCCGGGCGTGACAGAGGACCAGTTTGTTGTCTGGAAGGACGGCCTGCTGCACCTCCTTCAAGACACGTTTACTCTGAAGGAAACGCTGCCGCGACACGTTGCCCAACTCGCCATCGAGGAGGACAGGTCGCTCGATATTGTCGATCTGCACCGTGGGTTTCCTCTAGGAGCTCTAGGAAGCGACCGCCTTTCTTCACCGATGGAACTGCCTGTCACCGAATGCCGGGAGCTCTTCAGCCACAACCACACCCCCAGCTGTCTACACGTCGAACTCGATCTCTCCCACTTCCCCCAAACCCGTTACAAGACCGGCGACTACTTGGCCGTCTGGCCGGCCAATTCCGACGCCGAGGTCGACTGCCTTCTCGCTGTCCTCGGCCTTACAGCCCGTCGCCACGTTCCTGTCCTGGTCAAACCACTCGCTGACCACATCCGGCTTCCCGTGCCCACCCCCTCAACCTTTGACGCCCTCTTCCGCCACTATCTCGAGATTGGCGCCCCTGTCGGCCAGGATCTCGTCCGTGACCTCGTCCAGTTCGCCCCCAGCCCGGACGCTCGCCGCCAGCTCGAGAACCTCTCCCAGGACAGGCCTGCCTGGGCCGCCTTTGTCGGCCAGAACCACGTCACTCTTGGCCGTCTTCTACAGTGGGTTGCCGCCCAGGAAACACCTGCACCCCCTTGGTCCCTGCCGCTCTCTTTTGTCCTCCAGACCGTCCCCCCTCTCCGGCCCCGGCTCTACTCCATCTCCAGCAGCAGCACCGTCGCCCCTCGCCACCCCAGCATCACTGCCCTCGTCGTTCAGACACCCCTCGCGGACCGGCCAGACGTTGTCGTTCCCGGCCTCACATCTACCTTTCTGCGCTCCCACTGCCTCGACAGGCTGCAAACACCAACGCTGCACGCCGCCATTCGCAAGTCCAAGTTCCGCCCACCCGCCTCCTTCGCCACCCCGCTCGTCATGATCGCCGCCGGCTCCGGCCTGGCCCCGTTTCGCGGCTTCGTGCTTGAACGTGCACGACTAGCCCAGATCGGACGGCCGGTCGGACGGACTGTCCTCTTTTTTGGCTGTCGCCATCCCGATCAGGACTACATCTACCGCCAGGAGCTCGAGACTGCCATGAACGCCCTGCCCGATGCCGAGCTCGTCCCCGTTTTCTCGCGCGCCGTCAATCCGGAACAGCCGCACCTGCGCTACGTCCAGGACGTGCTCCGGGCCCGTGCCCACGAGCTCGGCCGCCTGGTCATCGACGAGGGCGCCCGCGTCTATATCTGTGGCCGCGCTGCCATGGGCCGAGACGTCTGTGCCGCCATCCGAGAGGCTGTCGCTGCACACAGCCCGCAACTCTCCAGCGAAAAGGCCTGCTCCCACTGGTGGGATGGCTGGAGAAGAGGAGGCAGCTATATCGAGGATGTGTGGGGTTGACTGCTGTAGCGCGCCAGTAGGAATCAGTTGCCATTTCGGGCATGAAGCACGTGGCTAGAACGCTATTATGGCTTACTCACCATCACGTGGCCTGCATCCGATCAACAACATGTTGCACGTAATCCTATGGATCACAGTCGTCAGGGAGCAATGCACTCTTAGTCTGTAATGGAGCCGAGTGGTGATTATGTGAACGTAGCAAAAAGTCGTAGTTCGCGGTTGTAACGTCAGACTGAAGCTCGGGAGACCGGTAAGTGCGATTGTTGAACGAAAAGACGTTTGCGGAGAGGCGCATAGTATCCCTATCTCCATACCGATAAAGCTTAGCTCCTTCTCGGTACTTCCCGATCCCTGATGATAAATCCATCGGTTTCACTCCAGTCCAACTAGACATCACTTCTGCGCCATCGTATCTTACATCTAGCAATATGGCTATTATTCCTAATAATGAAGACTTTGTCCGCCCTCCACCAATAGAGCCGACCTCTATCATCCGCGTTGTTTCGCCGGCCGGAGCAGTCAAGGAAAGTGCACTGAAAGCCGGAAGAGAGTACCTGGAAACGGCCGGGTACCAGGTAAACCAGCCTGAGACAGTCACGGAGCGCTACAACTATTTCGCCGGAAACGCAGCATCACGCGCACAGGAGCTGCATAAGGCTGTCTTGCTAGCAAAGGGCCATGAGAGCATCATATGGGCCGCCAGAGGGGGCTACGGATCGTCGCAAATGGCAGAGTACGGATTAACCGTGGAAATGCTGCACGACCTGCACCAGGAGTTGACGCAGAATCCGAAATGGCTTGTGGGCTACTCCGACATCACCTCCATCAGCCTGCACTTGTGGGCAAGAGCGAGAGTCCTGGTTCTACACGGCCCCATGGTGGTCAACATTACCGAATACAGTCCCGAAGCCGTAGAAGAGACGTGGAAAATACTGAAAGGAAGCGAGCCACTCACGCAGGTCTTTACGGGGAACATTCGCTATGGAAAGGGCCAAGGCTTGCTTGCAAACGGCAGGTTATTGGGTGGTAACCTAGAGGTCATTGCATCGATGCTAGGAGCCAAGGACCAGGAAGGGCAAGCGCTAATCCCGTCTTTAAACGGGTGTATCTTGCTGCTGGAGGAAGTAAATGAAGCACCATGTGAGCTTCCTTGCTTTTGAGGCTCTCAGTATGCACTGTCCGTATGTTGACCGCCTGTCAGATCGCATACATCGTGCGCTTTCAGCTCTGCTTCGGACTCCCTACCTCAGGTCCCTGGCTGGAATAGCATTTGGTCAGATGACAATGCCCGATGGCTATGCCTCTGACGAGTATGGCGCGTACGACGTGAGTCCACTCCCTATTCTCCCTACTTTAATGCAGGCTTCTCACAGGTCCTCCTTGTGCCAAAGGTTCTTCACGAGCTGTTGGAACCTCTGGGCATTCCCATCATCACTGACGTGGATATCGGTCACGATACGCGAACCGCTCGACCAATCGTGCTTGGTGCACAAGCAGAGATTCACGGAAATGGGGTTTTGAAAGTGCTCGTTCCTGGCTGTTACGATGGAGTGAAAATGTGAAGACAGGGGGGTGGGGAGTTTACGAGATCCTCTTGAGCTTGGCGTTTCTCGCATACGAAGTATTCCTGTGGCCGGTGCATCTGTTGAAAGTCAAAAGGGGATATACCTTTGAAACACCACCGTACTGATGCTCATCGTGATTTTTTATGACATATAGCCGGATTTGGGTTATTGTGTTAGTAACAGTGCCGTCCGGCGCCAGTTTCTTATCGATTTGAGGACTTTACTTTCATCGGCCGTCACTCCGTATTGTGTAAGGTAATACGGAGTTTGCGTGGCTACGGAGTACATCATACGTGACTCTGACGATTGACGTGCTGCACTTGCAATGTTTTGTAAGCTAGATTACTGTCGGTCACGCTATGGCTGCATACGTGAAGGTGGCTTTCCTGATGACGATATAACTCTAAAGACCACATCGTGACAAAGTCTACGGAGTACGGAGTACGGAGTACAGAGTACGCGCAGATGCAATTGTGCTCTGAGAACTACTCCGTATGCTGCGGTATTTTTGACAAACGTGAGGGAGAGACGGTCAGTTGACAGCTGAGCGCAGCTACTTACGACGTAGTAGTTACCATGGTCTTTCCCTGTTCGATGGCAGCCAGCGGTCAGTTAGCCGCCACAAGCAGCCACTTACGGAGTACCCTAAACAATCGTACCGGAGTACGCGGAGTGGAGAGTGACCCGATTGCCATGTTCCTCGTACAATATTAATCTTGCCTTTAGCCTGACCTCGCAGCGTTTACTAGGGAAACCCGGCATGCATTTTCACGTTTAACTCCTTCTAGCTTGACTACTGGAGGATACGAGCAGCTAAACCAAATGTAATCAATATTGGACTGCAAAAAAAAAAAAGGGGAAGGACTAGAAATTGGACTGTGCCATTAGCGTCTGCGCTACAGACGTTTCCCCCTGTAGATCTAAAGGGCCGAGTAAGTGTAAACGATATTGCGATAGACGTTGTGAAGGCACGAGTACTCCGTACGACGTACGACGTATGTTGTACGTCGTATATTGCCGCAGACCCCGGGGCTTCTGACGCTCAAGCCGCTTCAGCCGCACTTCGTGTACGACATGGGCAGCAAAGATAAGCATACCATCGGCCGGATGTGCGTCTGTACTCCGTATTATGACACGAGCAGCAAGATGTTCCTAAACTTTCGCATCGCGCTCTTACTTTAACTTTTTCCCCTATCATGCACAAATTAATTAGCCCAGTCCCATGAATCGCCACAGTACAAATTCTGCCAGTACAAGTACGAAGTATATTAAGGAAACACGTTGGATTGCCGAAGAATTTTGTAGGACCCACTTATGTGTGACCGAACTTCTCAAGAAAAACTAGAGCTCGGTCCCGACAGCACGGATTTGGTGTCCACTTTGCAGAAGACGCCGGTCAAAATTGTATTCTTGGCCTCTGCCAAGATTTACTTTTTTTTTTCACTGTTGAAAAAGCCCGAACCACTTATCGATCAGTGGTCTTCGGGGCGCCCACCAGTTCGTGGATTCTGACTTAGTCAATTGACAATAAAATCTTCACAAACAATCGAGACCCTTTATCATAACGGAGCCGTGGAATCTCCTGTCCTCGCGGCCGAGGCCTCTTTGCTGTGCTTTTGGCGTTCGTAAGTCTCAACCTTTTCGCCAATTTGCCCACAATACGGAGTACTGCGTACAGAAATACCGTGCAGACATCCCAGCGCAGATAGTCTCAAAAGTAGCGCACTAATTTATGTTATAACGATATGCTACGGAGTACATACGTACAACGTACTCCGTACTCCGTACATACCTGGACATTAACAGCTAGATTGGCGCGTGTACCTTTCGTGGACGGCAACTTCGGTCTTATTCCGTACATGGTAATGTTTTGCGGTATTCCACATGTTCCGTAGGACGAATTGCCTGCCAGCAACCTCGACCGGCTCCTCGCGAGACATTGCTCTACTTCTCCACGTGGGAGAATTGCGGGTCTGGAAGGCCTAGTCTGGAAGGCCTACGTAGCAAGCTTGCTACATAGTATCAAAGTTCTGTACTGTTTGGGTTGCCGAGCCTAAATCGTCAAGACTACTCCGTAAGCAGCTCGATTTGGATATCTAGTGTGTGCGGTAGAGAGACTAATAAAATCATGAGACCATGTCTCGGTATTTCGTCGCGTGGGTTTTAGCATAAATCAGACCTCACGTCACCTATCTTACACAGTGTGTACCACGCGAGAGGTGGCGACGAGTACAAATTCGAGTAGAAATACAAGTAGTGGGCGGCAAATAGGAAGACCTTGCGCTTAGAACAGAGGCCAAAAAGTAAATACACGCGGACTTTGCCGTGTGACGTATTTACGAGCTGAGACCCCTAACCCTGGGCCCTGATTGCAACGTGCAGAACGGTCGATCCCGCGAAGCATTGGCCCCTGTGTTGGCCTGCGATTTTCGACATGACCTTGCGTCGGACGCACTCAGTCGTAGCAGTGAGCTTCGCTAAAGCCCTAAAATGAACCGGACCTAACAAACGCTGCGTGCGGTCCGGAATCCAAAAGCAGGCGTATTCTACAGCGGCATTACTCGTAGTTCCCCTGCATTAGCAAGAAGATTCAATGGCCAGACAGACATGAGCTGAACTAGCGTCTTTTCTGACAGGGAACGCCGGATGCTGCGAGTCGCTAATCGGAAAAGCCGGTGGACGTCGGTCGTTGTCTCCATTAATCGGACGCGACACTGATATCAGTGATAGGGGTAACGTGGCTTTCTTTTTCTATTTCCTTACCGGCTAACTGAACGCTCTTTGCTTCGTACGTGTTGCGGGTATTTATCCATATCCCGGACCTCGCTAGTTTTCGCCAGCAGAGAGCAGTGCCTGCGTTAGCCTGGCGGAACGTTCGCCCCATACAAACGGTGCGCAGTGGCGATGCCAACTTCAGCTGTGCTCTGCGTTGAGTGGAGCCACTCTCGCGGGATCTCGGCCGCATGGCGAGATGGATGGATGAATGAAAAATTTGCAGGGGAAGAGCTTAGCGAGAGCATGGGCTGGCTATAAAGGCAGCCCACACTCTGTCCAACAGCTGTGAGAGTTCCTTCATCAGGCAGCTCCAATACCGGAATCAGACACTCGTTTCCCGTCTATACACAAGGCCGAGTCCATCAATCGCCATGCGTTTCACCACCGCCCTCACTGCTGGCCTTATGGCCAGCTCTGCCGCCGCAAAGCCGCTGAACGTCATCAAGGCCACCGAGTCTTTGATCGACTCGCTCAAGGAGTATGCAGATCATTTCTCCTGTCCCCCAGATTCCCCCGCACCCCTTCTAACGATCACAGGGATGTCATCAGCTGGGCCGAATACGTCGAGTCCGAGGTCAAGAACCTGACCTCGAAGCCGGCCACCTACAGCCGCACCAACCTCTGGTCGACGCCACCGTCAAATGAGTACCTCAACTGGACGACGTTCAAGGCCAACGGTGTCAACCTGGGCAACTGGCTGCTACTGGAGTACTCGAGCGACCAGACCTGGTGGAACGAGCAGGTCCCGTCGACGGTCGAGAAGGACGAGTGGAGCTTCTGCGAGTACCTCGGCTCCAAGTGCGGCCCTCTCCTGGAGAAGCACTACGCCAGCTACTATAAGTTTGCCGACATCGACAAGCTGGCCAAGGTCGGCGTGAACCTTCTGCGGGTCCCTATGACGTACCAGGCCTGGGTCGACGTGCCGGGCTCGCAGCTGTACCACGGCTCGCAGCTTTTCTGGTTCAAGCTGATCACCGACTACGCCATTGAGCGCTACGGCATGCACATTGTCATCGACCTGCACTCTCTCCCCGGCGGCTGCAACGGTCTGGACAACGGTGAGGCCCTCGGCCACTACAATTGGTGGTTCAACCAGACCAACATGGACTACACCCTCCAGATGGTTGAGAAGGCTATCAACTACATCGAGCTCAGCGGCCACCCCCACGCCTACTCGCTCTCGCTCATCAACGAGGCCATCACGGACTACGACAAGATTGGCACCAACGAGACCGTCTCCACTGCCGGTGTTGATTACATGCTCACGTACCTGAACTCGTCTCTGGAGATCATCCACAAGGTCAACAAGAACGTGCCGATCATGTGGCAGGACAGCTGGATGGGCGAGGAGTTCTGGTCTTCTCTGCTTCCCACCGATGCCAACATTGTAAGATATATACGCCCCATCCTTGTGCAATTGTCTTGACCGAGCTAACCGTTCAGGTTCTGGACCTGCACATCTACTTCTTTAGCAACCTGTTCTCGGATGCTTACTCCAAGTACTTCACCTACTCGGTCTGCGGTGCCGGGGACTACTTTGCTGGTGACAAGAAGATCCCCGTCTTTGTCGGCGAGTGGAGCGATGAGATCCTGTACAACAACTCTCTCGCCGACCGCAAGACCAACTTTGACACTCAGCGGTATGCCTACGCCCTGTGGGGCTCCGGCAGTGCCTTCTGGAGCGGCAAGCAGTACGGTGTCGAGAACGTGAGCGGCGAGGGCATCCGCAGCGACTACTGGTGCTACGAGTGCATGCTCGAGGACGGTGTCATCACTACGGCCACTACTGAGTCTTACTGCTAGACGTTTTGTCAGCTGTGGATCGGTCGCAAGAATAGGCTGCATATCTTCTTATCATAGCATAGTTTTAATTCAACGACTCTTGCCAACTTTACCATCCGTCCTGAAGAGGGTGAGGACGGTAGGAAGTTGGCATCTGCGACGGTCTTCCTCTTGAACATTGTCTTCCCTCTCCATCGAACCTTGTTTCTAGAGGGAAAACAGCACACCTTCTCTAAACAGCATAGGCTTGCTCTTACTTCAGATTGCTTAACCTGCAAAGGCAGTGAACAGCCTTCCTCCTGTTCAGTTCAACAAAATCTAGACAGGAATCGCTCACTCGGTGGGGCTATTAGATTCCGAGAGAAGCTCGAGGCACCAGTTGGGTGTCAATCCTTCGGAGCCCAACGAGTCCGTATCGTCACGTGACGCACCTTCGACCAGGAGGACAAAGTGTGAGGGTTAAAGGAGGCCATATTGTACGTGGCGGTCATATAACGTAATGCACTGTGAGGAGCAGGAGGCTGAATAGGGTTAAGTGTGAGCAGAAAGTGCTGTGTACTACTCCGTAAGGAAGAAATAGATACATCGCGACACTTCCAAAGGTCCGTATTAATACTAGTGCCAAGCCCCGCATTTGTGCCTTCTGACCAATAACAGGCCCGTTCGGCTTTAGTGGGGCGGAAGGTCTACAGTGTGGCGGATTCCAATGTGTCTACATACAACCCGACCATTCCCACAAAAGCTGAGTCGACCATTGTGGGTCCACTTTCACTTAATAATCATCACAGAATTTTTTGCCTTAGGCTTTTCAATACACTCTGCTAATTGTAGTACAAACAATAAAAAAAAAACAAGGTCGGCAGAATTTTCTGCTAGGCAAGGGAAAACCGCTAGCATAGAAAAGTATAAGCACTATAAAATAAAATAGAAGTAAATAAGTATAAAGTACTCTGTAATTCGCTACGTTTGTATTTAGTGTGCATTAGAAATTAATAATTTCTAAATAAACTTATATTTAATATTTAAATATTATTTATAATGCACATTAACACACTGCCTTTGCAGCACTTGTACTACCCTTAGCATAGTACAAGATGTAAAAGATAAGCCTAAGGCAGTAATTTTTTAACAAGGATTACTAAGTAAAAAGACCCACAAATAGACCCACAATGGTCGACTCAGCTTTTGTGGGAATGGTCGGGTTGTACAGAGTATGTAGACACGATTCCAATGCTTGACACAAAGTAAAATAAAAGTGTGCGGGGAAAGGACCTAGTACTCCGTACTTGTCGAATGAACCAGACCAAAACGGGTGGGCATCTATGCCGTGTACTCGTAATGGGAGAATACATGTACGTCGTACTGTGTGGCGGTTTTCATGCACGTCGGCATATCTCAGAAGTACCTAACCATAACAATACACACACGCTCACTGGGCACCTATAATCTGACACTTTTGTCCACACGAGATGAACTTTTAGTATGGACCTCCGTACTCCGTACAAACTGGCTATTCGAATTTACATAGCCCCAAATGTATGCCCCGAATTCATCTTCGCGTTATCAGTAAACTCTCCTCCAGTCACTTTATTTTTTTCGTCTGGCAGTTTCCCCAACTTTTGAAGGATAATTTGAACGACTTCAGGCGAATAGGTGTTTCCCGCTCTAATTTTGGCATTGGCTGAGGCTCTCACATCCTGTATCGTATTCCCTTCAAGCGTGCACGATGGCTGTGCTTGGGCCTGGGCCGTTGGGTTTTCAGCCGCGGGAAGATGCGGAACGGCGGACGCTGGCACCTTAAATGCAACGACTAGCGTATCATTTGCACTGCTCGCAAGCGTTTCTTGCGGCTTCTGATCTACTACTTTGATATGACCTTCTTCCCCGGGGCCTAGAATCTGAGGCGAGGCACTGTCAACTAAATGCCAATGACAATACCAACCAAGCGATCTTCTGCTTACTGTTGAGGCATCGTTGGCCTTTACGGCAGAGAAGTTTTTGGACATATTTTGTGTCTGGTAAAGGTGTCGAAGAAATTAAAAGGAGCAAGATATGGTCAAAGAAGAGAAGGCGAGGAGAGTAGTGCATCTGTGAAGCGTTTTAAAGCAACGAAAGCAGCTATTATGCCCGAACGCATCAAAGCGGGGAACTCATATTACCTGATACTTCGGCCAGGTATCCATCAGCCAGTAACAGGACAAAATAGATCAGCCTTCTGCCCCTCACCAGTACATCCAAATACGCCCGACATCAACCCAACACGATCACGTGCACTATCTGAGACAATCCTCCATCATGGCCGAGGTCCTTGCTGTTATGTCGGGCGCAGTCACCGTCGCGTCTTTGTTCAGCAGCTGTGTAGACTGCCTCGGATACGTCCAGCTGGGCCGGCACTTTGCGCGAGACTACCACGTATGCCGGCTCCAGCTGGATGTGGCAGAGATGCGCATGGTGCGATGGAAGGAAGTGGTCAACCTCGACAAGGACAGCCGCTCTTTTGAGAGCGACAACAGGGAGACGCAAACGATCAAGACCCTCCTGACGGAGATGGAAGGCGTCCTGACGACGGTCAAGCGAAAGGCAGAGCGCTACAAGAGGACAGCATCGGTGGCAGACCTGAAGACATGCGAAGACGACAAGGACATGGCAGCAGTGCCGAAGAAAGTGCACCAAAGACTGAGACGGGTCATCGGACGGCGGCAGGAGTCCAATTTATTTGTCCAGAAGGCTGCGTGGGCGCTGTACGACCGCGAGCAGTTCAAGCGGATGATCGCCGAGGTGCTCGAGCTGCTGGACGAGCTCGAAAAGGTCTTGCAGGTCGAAGAGGCCTGTCGCCAGCGGGCCGAGGCACAGATTTCGGAGGTGGGCGATGTTGCCAGCCTGCAGGTGCTGCAGGAGGCCGCTCGTGGCACCGATCCTCTGCTGCTCGACGTGGTCTGTCGCAAAGGCGAGGCGCTCGGCAGCCACAACTTTGCCAGGGACATTAAGGCCGCCGACCAAGCCGACGTGCAGGTCGGCGATCAGTTTTCCCAGACCGTCCTGATGGGCGGCACGGGTGGCGGTCCAGCCTTTCATGGCGCGAACAACACGGTCCATGGGCTCGATGCCAAGGGGTCGGCAAAGGTGCAGATAGGGAGCCGGTTTGGGTAGGCGACCGGCCTGATCATTCGTTCAGGCTTTACGAGAAATTGGTGCTTTGGAAACTTCTTGGATAGTCAGAAAGATTGCTTAGTTTGAATGGGAATAAGATATCAGACTGTTGACATGAACACTGCATAAATATCCGTCACACATCACGTGCTTCACCAACGCGCACAACCCGGCTGCTCGCTCGCGGGATCTTGCGTTTTATTGGACAAAGTTCCCGAGTGGTTGGGAAATTCTGCCTGTTGTACGATTTGTTTGTTCTGTCCCTTATTTTCTCCCATCCTTTTCTCTCCCTTTTCTCGCCCGTTTCTCTCTTCACATAGCCTACTTATCATTTCTTGGCTGCCATCACTCCTCTTTCTCCTCTCACATCTCCATCATAATCAGTACACCATTAGTCGTTTCTCTCCCTTATCTATTCTCAGCCTGCCATCATGCATCTTTATATACTAGCACGCCAAAAAGCACTAACTGCTTACTCATACTTCGCTTCTTCCTCTGTCTACTTTCGGTCATCCTTCTTCTCTCATGCTACTATTATGCATGTTTTGAACATTGCATTCTGGTGCAACCCCATAGTCGACTTCTACGTCTCGCCCACTTGCGTGAGAAGCTATTACATGGAGACCTTGCTGCTTTAGTCGGAGGAGCTTGCAGACCGTCATTCACCAACCTGCCTGACTAAGCAATCACAGTGGTCACAGTTATCGCAGGTTTAGTGAAAGGAAATGCCATTCAGCTTATCTGTTTGGAAGCACGGAAATAAACGAAATTCACTCATCCCGGCCTCTCTTTGCAACATGAAATGACGCTCACTTCGTCACCACCTCAAAGCCCTCCATGTTCTCCAAGGCTGCCCGAATTTCCTTCACATACGCAGGGATGCCTCCAGCATAACAAACCGGCTCGAAAGGCTTTCCGGGAACGGTGCCTCCCATGTAAGTGGACTTGGTGGTGGGGAACAGGGTTTTGTCATTGATTTCCACAATGTGCTTCTTCCACTTGCGGGTGGCCTCGGCCGTGGGGTTGATATACTTGGCATTTAGTCCCTCGGCCTTGGTGATGGTGTCGGCAATCCAGCGGCCCTGTACCTCGACCGAGGTTGGACCGTTGCTGAGAAGCGTTGGCCCGTGCAAACCATAGATGTGGAACATGTTGGGATAGCCGCTGACAGTGGTGCCGAGATACGACTCAGCGCCCTTTGACCATTGATCCTTGAGCAGCTCGCCGTCGATGTTGCGGAGGCCTAGCTGGGTCATGACGCCAGTGACAATGTCGAAGCCAGTGGCCACGGCGATGACGTCGAACTCGTGGACGGTGCCGTCCTGCAAGCGGATGCCGGTCTCGGTGAACTCCTTGATGGGGTTCTTCTGCACGTCGACCAGGTCGACGGACGGCCGGTTGAACTGTTCAAAGTACGTGCCCTCGAGGCAGGGCCGCTTGATTCCGAAATAGTGCGGCATCTTGAGGGGGGCCAGCAGGTCGCGCAGCCGCGGGTCTTCGATGCGAGCCCTGACCTTCTTGGCCCAGAAGTCGTACGCGGCCTGGTTCGACTGCGGGTTGGTAAAGATGTCCTTGTAGATGGCCACCCAGAAGTGGAAGCCGCCGGCAGCCCAGGCCTCCTCAAAGACCTGCTCGCGCTGCTCGGGCGTGTCGTCGGCGCAGTTGCGCTCGATCCAGTCGTACAGGAAGCCGGCAAAGTTGTGCTCGCGGTAGCGGAACAGCTCTGGGTAGAAGTGCTTGGCAGCGTCCTGCTCAGCCGCCGTCAGCGAACGCTTGCGCATGGGCACGGCCAGGTTCGGCGTGCGTTGGAAGACGGTGAGCTGCTCAGCCACAGGGCCCCAGGCCTGGACGATCTGCACGCCCGAAGCACCGGTGCCGATGACGGCACAGCGCTTGCTCTGGACGCGGACAGGGTCGTTGTCGGGCCAGAAGGACGAGTGATGCAGCACGCCGCGGAAATTGTCCATGCCCGGCCAGGCTGGGATGTGACGGCGGGCGGCGAAGCCGGTACCCAGCACCAGGTACTTGGCCTTGGTGACGCGGCCGTCGGCCGTCTCAATGTTCCAGCGGCCAGGCGCCGTGTCGAACTGGCCGCCCACGACGACGGTGTTGAAGGCTGTGTCCTTGCTGATGCCGACGATCTTGTCGACGTGGTCAAAGTACTCCCGCAGATCCCGGTAGTCGGGGTAGTTGGTCTTCCAGTTCCACGTCTTCCACACTTCCGGCCACGAGAATTCGTACTCGGGCACCTCCGAGTCGACACCGGCGCCTGAAAAGTCAGACACGCTGCCTTTCTACCGTTCGGATGAGGGTAGCTTACCTGGATAGCAATTCCACCGCCATGTGCCTCCGGTGCCGCTGCCGGCTTCGAATATGACCGCCTTGAGGCCACGGTCGCGCAACGTCTTCAGCATGAAGATGCCGGCTATTTAGTGTTAGACCGTGCAAAGTGCTCACTCGACGATGGACCTACCAAAACCAGCCCCGACAATCAGAGCATCGACCTCGAGATTGTCGGCATAGGGGCCTGTCTTTTCGGCATGGGCGACAGAGTAGTCGGTCAACTCAGTGTTGAACTTCTTCTGCTTGGGAGGAATTGGCTCGCCCATTTTGGTGGTTGACAAGTGCTTTGGATATGGTTGCTTGTAGTTTCTAATGTAGTTTCTGCTGATACGGACTATATCTACAACACAGGAAGGTCAACCGAAGAGCTCTTTTATACGGAGAATGTGTCTGAAAGGACATGGAGCACAGTTTGGCAAAATATCGATTGCAGAAGCGCTTTTTGCGGAAGCGTCGTGTTGCGGAAGCGTCTACGTTCCATCCAGGGAGGAGGTCTCACATGGAATGTCCTCGTGACCATTACTGTGAGTACCCATCCGACCCCAACTTCTGGCTGGAGACCAATACACAGTGCCTCGATGAACAAAGCATAGCAGAGGCGTTAGACCATGGAGTTCTTGGAGTCTGGAGAAAGTCCGGGGAACAGGTACCGAGCTGCCCGAGCTCAGGCTCCGCTAACCCTCATCTATACAGATCGTTTCAACTTGGGCTTCCCCGCATTTCTCCGACAGGAATGTTATATTCGGATCCGCAGGCAAGGGCCTTTTAGCTCACCGAATATGTCTCCAGCTCAGCTGTGGAGCCGCAACGGACCTTGGCCGTAAATAACTGCCGACGGTCTGCTGCCTCTATGATCGGGCTAGGTCCGAGCCTGCTGACTTCCTTTTCACCGGTGGAGTCGCCCTCGATACTCCATCCATCTTCAGCTTCTGTCCAAGCTTCCTGGGAAGGTCTAGCGGTGTGTGTGAAAAGTATTAAAAATCCATGAAGCGTCCCTCCAAAGTTGCTGTATCTCTCTACTTTTTCTACTTTCTCTGATTTCCTGTGATCTATTAAATCTTGTCGTCCTTCTCTTGTTAGCCCTCCCTCTCTCCTCAATTTTTTTTAGCCCTGGTGTCTCTCCTCTTCTTGCCATAACTCTTCCTCTCATTCTGCTTCTCCCTCCCAGTCCGACCAATCGAATGCCTCTCCCACAGAATACCGTCGCTGCCCTTACGGCACTGGTCGACAAGGCCGTGGCCAACCCCACGACCGACATTCCTGGCGTGGCTGTCGTAGTGGTCGACCGTAATGGCAACGAGTTGTTTACCCGCGCCGCTGGCCGCCGCGGCGTGACGACGACTGAGCTGCTGACGCTCGATAATGTCTTTTGGATTGCCTCGTGCACCAAGATGATTACGGGCGTGGCCGTCATGCAGTTGGTCGAAAAGGGCGTGCTGCGGATGGACGACAGCAGTCAGGTGGCCAAGCTATGTCCCGAGCTGACTGGCCTGACCGTTCTGCTGCCTGACGGCACGACGGAGCCGCAGAAAAATGCCATCACGCTGCGCATGCTGCTCACCCACACCGCCGGATTTGGCTACAGCTTCTTCAACGAGCGGCTGCGTGACTGGTGGCTGCCCATCGGCGCCAACGAGTTCTCCGGCCGGATCGAGGATATGCGCATGCCGCTGCTCTTCCAACCTGGCGAAGGCTGGGAATACGGCGTCAACATCGACTGGGCCGGCGTCCTGCTGGAGCGGGCAACCGGCCTCACACTCAACCAGTACCTGCAGAAGAACGTGGTCGGGCCGCTGGGACTGACGGACATCAACATCATCCCCTCGGTCGACATGCGCGCCCGTCTCGCCCACATGCACTTCCGCCAGCCCGATGGGAAGTTGCGCGTCCGAGACCATCCGTTCCGGGTGCCTCTGGAGGCAGACCCTGATGATGCGGCCGCTGTGGCCCGTGTGTTTAATAGCGGAGGTGCAGGCGTATTTGCCAGGCCGCAGGAATATACTAGTAAGTTAGATCACCTCGTCCCTCTTCACATCCAAGCATACCCATGCTTACACATACAGAGATCCTCGCCGTCCTGCTCAATGACGGAACCTGTCCTCGCACTGGTGTTAAGCTCCTCGAGAAAGAGACGGTGAACACCATGTTCACCAATCAGATCCCCCAGTTTCCCAACGCCGGGCGGCAATTTATCCCGGCTGCCAAGCCCGAATACACCAACCCGATACCGGAGCTCTACTCTGTCCCGGGGAGCCCGCCACAGGGATGGGGCCTGACCTTTATGCTCAGCAACGGTGGCGCGACGGGACGGTCTAAGTCTACGGGACATTGGGCTGGCCTGCCAAACCTCTGGTGGTGGGCCGATCGTGAGAACGGCGTTGCCGGCGTTGTCTTTACGCAGATTCTCCCCTTTGTCGACAACAAGGTGCTCGAGCTGTGGGCAAATGTCGAGACCGAAGTGTACAAAGCGTTAGCCAGTAGGGGTTGATGTGTTCGCGTGTCCCCACTGTTTCAGCTCGGCTGGACAAGGCCTTCTTAGCATGTCGTAACATGAATGAAACATGATAATCATAGGGCAGTCTGAACGTTAGCGGTCCAATATCCAAGCTATAGCCCACAATGAACAATTATGACACAACCATGCGATTTGTTCCACACAATTGATTTACACCATTTTTACCGTGACTTTACAACACTCCCACACAATCCCAACACCGCGTTCCATTACCCCATACTACCGCTGCTACACCACACTACACCACGGCAGCCAATTCCGGATGGGGTGCTATCCGAGATGTCAAGTGGATCTCGCTGGCTCGTAGCGTTTTGCTCGCTAGAAGGAACCCCGCTAACCATCGCCAAAAACAGCTAGACGAATGTGGGGAAAGTGGGGTTGTCGGTGAAAGGGATATCCCAGCGCCCCGTTGTCCAGCCTTTGGGCTGCCTTCTCGTATTTCCAGCACAACCTCTTCCCATCAGACCTGCCATCGACGCTGCCTGCAATAAAATCCGCCTGCCGTCTTCTCGCACCAGTTGCACGCGTGGAATTGAACAAGGACCGACCGACCGCACAGAGTGAACAGAGGTGCCTCTATCCCCGAAACGACGTGAAAAACAGAGGGGCTGGGAGGAAAGCGGTAAGCCAGACTAGCGACAAGACGGCAGGATGCGACGGCAGAACCGGTCGTGCGACCAGTGTCGCAAGGCGAAGCGAGCCTGCGACGCGCCGTCGCTGCAGGGAAATGGCCCGATCGCCGCTGCGGACGGTGATGCACTAGGTAACGAAAACTGTGTTTGGGCGACGTTGCCCAACTGGCTTTATGCTGACAACTTTCCAGGCGAAGAATGTCTACCGTGCTCCTATTGCGTGCGGACAAACAAGCGCTGCACGCTCAATTGGGCACGGACCCAGCGACAGGTCGCCGAAGCTGCCTTGGCTGCCCGAGCGCCAGAGCTGCACCGTCCCAAACGAAAGCGCACAGCTTCAACGGATGTTCATCTGAATGCTGTTCGGCTCGTCGTTTCGTCTGTGTCTGCGCCGCCTCTGGCAGAAGCATGTGATAGCTTTCAAGACGGCGATGCTGATGTCTGTGAGACTTCTAGAACGGCAAAACGTGCTGCCTGTCCTGACGATTGTCTTTCTCCTCTTGCTCCTCTTCCTGTTCCTGCTACGATTCCACTTCTTGTCCCTCTACATGTTCAACTACCCACCCCACTGCCTCCTCCTCCACCTACTCCTGCCCATCCGTTCACCTTCCAGCCATTGTCATCACTGAATCTCCACGCCGGCATGCCATACTGGGCGACCGACCACCCGTTCCTAGCCTTTCGAGACACATCCATGGCAGTCATGGACAGCAACACGCCCCTGATGTCTCTTCCCACCTGGAACATGCCGTTCAACATGCCACTGCAACCGCACTTTGATCCCATCGTCCCGCAGCCTGTGCTGGATGATGCTGCCATGTGGTCGATCCCGATGCTGCTGCAGACTATGCAGACGGCCGCCAGCCAGCAGTCGTTCGTGAACGTGAGCGCCGCCTCGTCACAAGCGACAGCAACGTCGTCAGTAGCAGCCAGCTCGGAGTCCGAGCCAGACAGACGTCGATCATCCAGCGCGACGTCTGCCGTCTCATCCTCGTCACTTGAGCAGCTACTGGCAACGCGAGCCAATGGTCGGGCCATCTCGGCGAACCTGCTGCAGATTTACCACGACGTGCTGGAGCACAACTTTTCTTGCTGGATCACTGAGGCCACCTGTCCGTACAAGGGCTGGAGACGGGAGGGGGTCCGGGGATCCGCCAGCAGCAGCAGAAGCAGCAACAGACAACAGACAGTGGTGGGCCGACCGCGGCCGCAGGAGCTGGGTCCGCAGTGGTCGAACCGAATCTACCTGCGGGTCAAGCAGCTGGACCAGATGGCCGAAGCGGCTGGCCTGATCGACATCACGGCCAAGCAGAGCCAGGCCAGCCAGCGGGCCCTCGACTTGGTTATCATGGCCTTTGCCACGCAGTGGGCACAGGGAAGCAGCCGCCAGCGGGAGGCGTATGCGGCCAACTTTGCCGTGGCGGCCGAGCAGGGCGACGCGGCCAACCTCACGCCCGACGAGTTTGACCGTCACCTGCAGAGGACATTGTGGGAACAGGCACGCCAGGCGCTGCAGGCATCGGCCGACGTGGAGTCGTACCGCATGGTGTGTGCCGAGCTGATCTTTGGCTTTGTGCAGCGACCGTGGAGTGAGACAGACGTGTCCGCGATGCTGGGATTTGGTTGCGGTGTTGATGCTGGCAGCCATCCTGCCCGCCCTACTGCCCCCCCTCTATTCCCCTCCCGGACACACTTCTTGGCCAGGCTCGAAGACGTGCTGGCGCGAGATGGGCCGCCCATCTTCACCGAGCGGGCGGCCCGCAAGATGCACAGCCTCAAGTACCGGTTCGACCGCCACGAGGCCCGCGGCCGGTCTCGCGTCGCTGCCAAAGACAGGGCTACTGTCGGGCTGCTATACTGGCTGGCCGTCATGATCGACACGATCCAGGCATCGGTGCACGAGCGCCCGGTCGTGCTGGCGGACGAGGACAGCCAGCACGACGCGGCCAAGGAGGATGACGAGGAGGATGGGGAAGACGAGTACGAGGATGAGGTACTGGACGACCTCTCCTCGGGGTCGTCGCAGTCGTCCGAGGGGCGTTTTGTCACCAGTGTTGGCAACCAGGACGGCAGCAACAACTGCGGCTTCCCTATCAGCACCGGCCTCGGCACCGGTCTCGGCAACTCGGGATTTGTCAGCAATGGCACGTGCCTCGGCAACTCGGGCTTTGTCAGCACCACTCCCAACCATAGCCGCTGGCGCATCGACCTCTTCATTCAGGACAACCCCGAGTGCCAGCCGGCCAAGCGACAGCGGTGGCCGTGCTCGTACGATGACGCCAGCCTGACGATTGCGCGCTCGGCCCCGGTCAAGGTGCTGCTGTACCGCTATGTGCACTACCTGCAGAAGCTGCTGCGATCGCGACGGCACGTCCGACGGGCGCCCGAGCGCACGACAGCCGCCACGCGGGCTGCGGTCGCCGTCGAGGACACGGTACGGGAGACCCTCCTGGTGTACCGGTACTGGGACGAGACGTACGGGGCCTTTTACCGCGACGTGGTGCAGCATTACGGCTCGGTGCCATCGCGCATCCGCGGCTGGTCCGTCTGCATCGCTGCTCACTGGCATCTGGCTGCCATCATGCTGGCCGACGTATTGGAGGAGCTGGATGGCCGCGGCTATGGCATCGAGGCTGCTCGCGCCGTCCGCCAGGTGGCCAACACGGTCGCGACCATGCGGCGGTCCAGCGCAGTGCAGCTCTCGGATCTCGCCCGCATGGCCACGCCTTTCGGATTTGCCCCCGAGATCAGTAATTTCAGTCCTGAGCTCGTGCCGGGCTTCTCTCCTGGCTTCGCGGCCGGCTTCGCCCCCGACTGCTCGCCCAACTTCGCTCCCAGCTGCCCGCCCGACAGCTGTGCAGCCCCCGACTTCCACTTTGCCGTTCTCGAGGGCACGATCTTGACGGAGCCCTGGTCGATGCTGCTGATCCAGGCGTTCTCGCGGGCTGGAATCCTGCTGCTGCGGGAGTACGACGGGCATCAGCCCCGATTCGTGCAGACGTCGCAGCCGAAGCAGCGGGAGCCCTCGGGACATCGGCCGCAACAGCCGGGGCAGCGGCAACGACAGCCGCCGCAGCGACAACAGGTCGGCCGGCAGAAGGAGAAGCAGGATCGACAGCGGCATGGACACGGACCGACGGAGCGGCGCGACGGCGTGCAGCGGTGCGAAGACTGCGTGCGGGCGTTGTGGCTGTTGGGCAAGAAGTCGGACATGGCGCGCACAGCGGCCACGGTGCTTTCCAGGGCAATGCGGGTGGATGTGTGAGTAGATGTGGGAGTGAGGGGGGTGTTTTTGCGTGTGGGAGAATGGGTGGTGCAATTTTGTTTGCCTGTCGGTTTTTGTTTTCTGTTTTCGTTGTGGTAGAGCGACGAGGCAGACTGAGGTTTCGTCTGGATATCGTCAGTATGGACACACACGAAAGCAAGACGAACTACAGACTTACAACAGGGCTGAAGGAGTAGCTGCCTGGGAAGAAAGAAAAAGGAAAAGGGTAGAGGACGGACAGAACGGTTCGTTTGACGGCCTTTTATCAGCAGTAGGCATGTAGAGCACAGGGGAGGCCATCAGGACCTTTCTGCTCGCTCTGACTGCAGGTGATATCGGTCCGTGCGGCGAGGACACGGCGTTTGATTACATCGGCGAGAGCGCTTGCGTATTGGCTGATGGCCAAAGTGCGTCGCAGATAGAGAGGACAAGCCCCTTAGGTGCGACGGCACGACTGTGCACATGACGAGAATGTGACCATTGTCGGAAGAAATACGACCAACCGATGAGTGGAGACAGGAGACACATGCAGACAAACTCCGTAGGATGGAGTTCTGATCATACTATCTGATTGGTAATAATGCAAAGACTCAGAGTTCCGTAGGAGACAGGTCAATGTATTCGTAACAGCTAAGCGAAGGGGTTCTGGTTCTTTGGATGATCATGCTTTGCGTCCCACATTTAGCACAACTTCCACTTTGTTATCTATCGTCTTGGGAATACCTTTGGCCTTCTGTCGTGAGGACCTTTACAGTCTTCGTCATCTCTGTTCTTCTGTCTCTATCTCTTCCCCCCCCTCTTTTTTCTTTTGTTTCTTTCCATTTCCACACATTGCTTGATTCTTCCTTTTTCTTTTTCTTTTCCTTCACCCTTTCCCTTACCTCTTTCTTTATTCCAGTCTTATCCCTCCTACAATACCACCCCGCAATCTCGCGGATAGAGCTCGGCCAGCTCGGCCACGCTGTACGCTGGCTGTCTGCGAAACAACCAGTTGGTGTACTCAGGGCTGTCCATATTGGCCGGCGGCTTTTCGCCCACTCGCAGCCAGCGTCGAGAGCATAGAAGGAAGCCCACGGACATCTGGGGCACCTGTGCCAAGGTGCGCAGCTTCGCAGAATTCGGGTGATCATAGCCGTGGCAGAGGACAGTCTTCTCATGGGACAATTGGAGAAAGGCAGTGGCCCGCAAGATGTCGCCGTGGGCAATGGTTACCTGGAAGGCATTATAGTAGAGGCGGGCAGCGTAGACGGCAGCGTAGCCGCCATACTCGACCGCGAACTCGCGCAGCAGCGTGCGGACCAGACGCAGGCTCTCATGGGGCGTGAAGCGCGAGCAGTAGAGGTCGCCGAGCGAATCGTCGAGCCGCTGGATCAGGATGCGCCGGTCGTCCGTCTCGGCGAGCTCAGCAGGCGGCAGGAGACAGCGCTCGCAACGACAAGCAAAGCCGCGCGATCCTGACAGATAGACCCGCTGGTCCGAGGTGATGCCGCCACGGCCGTACGTGATGGTGATCTCGTCGCCGGCGCGGATCGGCTGCAGGACACAAAAGACCTGGCGCATCTTCTCATCGTCCCAGCTGTGGTGCACGTTTGGCCGGCAGCTGTGGTTGATGCGTCCGGCCGTGGCATAGACCCCAAAGAGGCCCGACAGCGGCCGGCACTCCAGCATATTGCTCCGGAACGTGCCCACAAGCGGATGGCTATGCGGCAGCGTGTTGGCCAGCGACAAGAATTCCCGCTGGTTCTCACGCGAGAGCTTGCGCACCCGCTGACAGATGGCCGGCACGAGCTCATCGTCCGCCATGTTTTGCTGCAGGAACAGCGGCCGCTCGCTCAGGATCCGGGTGCCAGGCGGAATGTTCACCAGTGCCACCAGGCCGAGGCCCTTTCCAGCGACTTCCGTCACCTGGAACTTGTCTGCCGTCTTCCACGAAGGCGCTGTTGGGATCGTGGTCCGACCTGGCTTTTGCGGCCCGTTTGAGGGCGGCTGCACGAGCACCTGTCAGCCAGACCGAGCTCGGCGCATGCAGAGGGATCAGGATGACAGACCTTCTTGTCCTCGATGGCACCATCCCGCTCGGTCGTCAAGCAGCTGCTTGGAATGGCAGTTGAATTTCGGCCATGCCAAGACATGGTAGTTGGTGAGCTGGTGAGTAGGCTGTGAGAGACACCGTGACGTGTGAGCGAGGGAAACGAGAATTAGAACAAGAACAGACACAACAAGTAGATGAGAAGAATGGAAAGAGAGATAGACAAAGATAGGAAAGACGGGGAGATGGCGTGTTGCCCATGGAGCATATAGCCTCAGTTTCCTGGCTGCCGGATTGAAACATGCTGCCGTATTTTCTCCTGACGAAGAAGCCGAGACAGGGAGGGTGTGAGGTTGTGGGTGTGGGTGTGTCTATGCAAGCGTGCAAACAGCCCCTGGTCTGTCTGCTTGAAGTGGGTGTGGATGGTCTCCGATTTGATCAATATTCCGTCATTCATGTGTTTGGTGTGTTTACTACTCTATCTGCTATTGGAAAGATCCGTTTACTGGACGGATAAACACGGAATCACAACACTTTCCGCTTGCCATGGTGCCCATCCATCGCGGAGCGGCTGAAGGTATTACAGCCGGGCCGAGACTTCATCCTGGTTAAAAGACGGGAAGATTCTATTCTTGACAGTGACACACACCCTCCCACACACTTCTATCCCTGGTCGGCCCCTCCTGCTGACGTGGTTATCTCTCAACCTGGCGGTTGTCCTCCCTGTTTGCACACCAGCCTCGCGTAGACGTGGGTACAGTGTTAGTAATACGACCAGCCGACTGCACTGTGCACCTTCCGTCATTCTCCAATGCACGTGACGGAGGTGGGCCTCACGAAGCTCGCGACAATTCGGAGTACGCCGTAGTTTGGACAAACAGTCAATATCGTGTCGTGCATGCCTTGAAGCAATCCAGCCGCGCCATCCGCTGCTACCCAATGCCTCCCTTTGCACCGTCCGTTTCCTGATGAATGATGCCCTCCGTTCCTTCGAGGCGTCCCCGACACGGTGAGACTGCTTGCGCAGCATTTTGACGTGGCAGCTAACTCTATCAGATGCCAATTCGCATAGTCACTTGGAATGGTGAGTTGGTTTGTCGCGATAGTGTCTGTTGTTGCTCATCGCTGCTGCTTGTTGTGTGTATTGCTGTCCTGTTCTGTCGTCTCATCTCTACGCTTCCTCTCACTAACGGCCAGTCAACGGGATCCGTAACCCGTTCAAGTATGCGCCATGGAACAACGACAAAACCCTCCAGGTATGCCCTCTCCAATTATCCTCCATCTCCCTCCCATCTCCACTTGCTAACCCCCTCTTTACTCAAGGCCATGTTCGACCGGCTCGACGCCGACATTGTCTGCTTCCAAGAGGTCAAGACGCCGAAACCGAGTCTGACCGACGACCTCGTCTTCATCCCCGGCTGGGATTCCTTTTACAGCTTTCCCCACAGCCAGACGGGTGCGTCCGAATCCATCAGACAGAACACGCGAACACAGACCTAACGCAGACAAGGATACTCGGGCGTGTCGGTCTACACACGCGACAGCTGCTGTGTGCCCACGCGCGTCGAAGAGGGCGTCACGGGCGTTTTGCGAGCACCGGGCACGACGACACGTTACATCGACCGGCCGGCCGACCGGCAGATCGGCGGCTACCCGACCGAACGCCAGCTGCAGTCGGCTGCCGTGGCACGTGACCTGATCGATGCCGAGGGCCGCTGCCTCGTGCTCGACTTTCCGCTCTTCGTGCTCATCAACGTCTACTGTCCGGCGCGCCGCAACGATGACCGCACCGACTTCCGCGACGCCTTTCTGCTCGCTCTCGATGCCCGCGTGCGCAACCTCGTCGCTGCCGGTCGCCACGTCGTCCTCTGCGGCGACATGAACACTATGCGCCATCACCTCGACACCGCGGCCGTCTGGGGTCACCATGGCCAGGTCTTGCCGGCCGAGGCGCTTGCCTTTGATGAGGACTACCTCAGCCTCCGCTCGGCCGCCATCTTTGGCCGGCTGCTCTTTGACGGCGACAGGATCACGAACACAACCACAGATATCCCCCCAAGCTCTCCTCCCATCCTCCACGACGCCTGTCGCGAGCTGCACCCCCAGCGACGCGGCATGTACACCTGCTGGGACACGCGCAAGAATCACCGGCCGGCCAACTTTGGGTCTCGCATCGACTTTGTCCTCTGCAGCCCCCGCCTGATGCAGCTCCTCGTCATCCAGGCCGACATCCAGCCCCAGCTGCTCGGCTCCGACCACTGCCCCGTCTACGTCGTTTTGCGCGACAGCGTCGACGACAATCGAAACGGCCAGGTCACCCACACCCTTCACACGCTCGACTACCTTAACCCACCTGGTCGCTTTTCCGGTGGGCAGCTCGCCATGACCCCAGCACAGGACTTTGCGTTGCTGCAGAGACGCCAGCCGCAATCGGCCCGCCGGATGCCTCAGTTCGCCAACAGACAGCACATTGGCAACCTGTTTCGTCGTGCCCCCGCGGCCGGCGAGACTGCTGCTGCTGGGCCCTCATCCGAAGTTCGAAAACGGTGCGCTACAGAAGGCGAAACGGTGCGCGAAGCGACTGCAGCCACGGCAAGCCAGCCGGTCAATCCGCGGCTGCCACCCCTGCTGCAGCCAGACCCTGTGGCCACTGTAAGCGAGGAAGAGACGGGTGGCCGGCACTCGGTGGCGTCTGATAACGAGGCAGACGCAGTCGCAGCTGCTGAGAAGACCAACGACACTGGCAAGACGGATGAGACCCACACCACTTCAGAGACATTGTCTGTGCCAGACCCCGGTCACGATAATGCAGCTGCATGCTTGCAGCACGCCACCACCTCTCACCCGCTGCGGCCTGCTGTCCTGATCCCCACCAACAGCCTGCAGCAGGCTGGAAGTGGCCCTAAAGAGCCAATCGAAGACGGCCGCCTCGCGCGTGCGTCCACGTCTACATCCTCACCCTTGCCCACGCCCACACCCACGCCCTCTTCCTTTCTGCAGCTAGCACAGGCGCAAGCCAAAAAAGTAAAACCCGACAGTCTGTCAAAGAAACGAAGCGGCGCCCGATCCCTGTCGCTCTCGTCGTCCTCTGCAACCTCTTCGCCTGCACCTGCGCCTGCCTCCTCGACCGTCTCTCCCTCGCGACCGGTCAAGAAGGCCAAGACCGGCATCCAGACGTCCATCAGCACCTTTCTACAGCCCCGACAGGGTCGTGGGGAGACAGCCCCGTTAGGCGCTAAGACTGGCAGCGAGAAGAAAGCCCAGAGCCAGACTGGCCCGACTGCTGCTGACAGTAGCAGGGTCCAGCCATCTCCCGACGACCCACCATTGTCGGCTGCAGACCTAGACGACAGGCCGGCATTGGTACCAGAACCCGAACCTGCCCCAGGTAGCGAGAGTTTCTGGGCCGAGATCAACGATGGCGCCATGGCTGGCTGGTCAGCACTGGGTCTAGGCCAGCGCCAGTCTCCCATGTGCGAGCATGGCGAGCCGTGTAAGATCTTTGTCACACGCAAGCCGGGCGTCAACAGCGGCCGCTCCTTTTACATGTGTGCCCGACCACCAGGACCGCTGGGGCGACGGGAAAAGGGCACCGCCTGGCAGTGCACCACTTTCTTCTGGTGTCGCGACTGGAAACCTGGCCGCAAAGAGAACGAGTGAGGGAATAGGAAGTGTTCACGAGTGCACCTCCAAGCAAAATACCAATGGATAGCGTCTGTAATAACATAGGTGCGTGCGTTCGATACAGGCGATAGACAGCCGAGACAGGTAGCGAAGATCACGTAGGGCGAGAGGACGAAAGACAGGAGAAGAGAGAAACCCCAAAGGATAGTAGATCAAAAAGCAAAGGCCACATAAAAATGAACCCAAATAACATTAACCACGCTGCACCGAATGACTCCGGTGAAAATCCTCGTCCCGGCATATCCAGAAAACCCAATCCGAACCGAAACCCCAATAAAACCAAAGAGACGGAAAACGTGCAGAGACAGACCTGCGATTCTCCTGTCGACACAGCAGAGCGTCTAGGCCGCGTCGCCTGAAGATGCCCGCACAATGTCGCCCTTGCAGATCGGACACGTGCGCCGTCTCGTCGTGAGCCAGGGGATGCTGTTTGTGTTAGTGAGAAACGTGGCAACAAGCAACGTCGTAAGAACGGAAACATACATGCAGCTCGCGTGGAACTCGTGGCCGCAGGGAAGGCTCATGATGCGGTCACCAGCGACATAGTCCTCCAGACACACGACGCACTCCGACTGGACGTAGCGCGACGGTGGTGGCAGCGGCACCGCCACCGCCACCAGGACACGGCGCTCGTCGCCAGGCACTCCTGTCGTCGTTCGCGAGCGCGGCCGCTGAAGCAATGGTGTCGTCACCGTCGGGTGCATGCTGTTCAGCGTCGGCGACGACGGCCGCGATGGATTCGGACTCGCCACCTCAGACCCAACCGGCAGCATCATCGGGCTCGGCGGTGCTGCTCCAGGCGGCCGGTAGATGTGCACCGGCAGCTGGTCCACAAGCGCCTTGGGTGCACGCCATGCTCGATGACGACAGTGCGTCCGCAGGAAGAGAAGCACGCATGTGATCGTCATGATCGCCAGCAGAGGGCTTGCCACTAGCACCAGCAGCGTGTCGATCAGCGGCAGGCCTCCACGCGCTGGTGCAATCGTCACAAGCAGCTGTCGTCCACTGCTGCTTCTGCTGTCAGCTGCCCCGATCAACTCGGCCTGCTTGGCCACCCGCATCCGCGCAGCCAACGCGGTCGTCCCCTCGTCGCTGTCCTTCTCGGCCTCGTCTGTGGGCACATACTCGGCAAGCACCCACTCGCGCCGCTCTCCACCTTCTGTCTGCTGTGGCGTCGGTGTGCCTGTCTTCGTCCCAGCACCCTCTCCTGCTGCCGCTGCCGCCACCGCTCTTGTTGCTGCTGCCGCTGCTGCTGCCAAATCGCTCTCGCGGACTGCATCCACTGCCAGCGCCGTCAGCAAGTGCGCTGTAGTGTGTGCTGTGAACACGGATGGAATCAGCACGTCTGACGTGTCGCCGCTTGCGAACATCTGGATCAACGGCCCGCCCTTGCGGTCATCGCCCACAATCACGGCAACTGCTCCCCGTCGCTGGGCCCACATCACTTTGGCCAAGAAGCCGCAGCCACCCCGCCTAAGGAGCACGATCTTCCCCGCAATCTCGGCGCCCTCCTGTAGCGACTGGATGTCGCCGTGACGAGACCCGCCCTCATTGCCATTGTTCTTGTTGGCCGCTTTTGCCTTGGGCACCGTCGTTGACTTGGCCGCTTGCGCTACCGCAATGCCCGTGGCTGCGGCTTCAGGCGTCGTGTCCACTGCAGCCGCCGCTGCTACTGCCGCCACCGTTCGGCTTTTCTTGTCGCCGCTGGCCTTTTTACGGCGGGACTTGGGCGGTTGTCCGTAGTAATGGCCCGTGGCAAAGTCCTCCAAGTAGTTGTCCGAGCCATCGTCGAGGTCCGTCTTGGTCGGCAGGATGGGCGCCCCGTCTGCTGCACGCCGGCTGTCCCATCCTGGCACATCGCTGCAACCAAGCTCGCCCTGCGGCTCCACACCGTCCTCGCCAAAGCCTGCACCGATCCAGAGCACGGCACTCAGGCCGATTTCCGGTAGCTCAGGCCCGAACGCTGCAGGCCGGGCCGGGAAGAAGGTGCTATTGTCTTCGGTCAAAGAAATGGCCGCATTGGGAGGGAATAGTCGGAAAGCTGGCACCGCAACGAGCGGTTTGGGAGGAGGCTGTGGCAGAGTCACGGCTTGCACTATCACGAAGACAACCACCGTGAGAGGTGCCAGCACACACAGAGCACGAGCAAGGAAGAACATTGTGGTGGAGAAGACGGGAAATATAAGTTGAACAAGCTGTTTGGCAATGTAGGGCTGTATTGTATGTATGCAGAGTTGGAGGTAGGAAGGATATTCAGAATTGGTTGGCTGTGTCGATCGTTCGGTCGGGATAAAGGTGAATAAGTATTTGAGGACAACCTGCTAGCTGTGAATGAAGAGTATGTCAGCTCTAGGAGTTCTCACGCCGGATACACAGCCTTCGTCCTATCTGTCTTTCTCCAGGAGAGACGAGGGGCAGAGGGAAGAAGGGAGAGAGCGCAGGGAATCGGGAATCGGAGGAAAGACGGGAGCCAAGAAGTCTCGGGCGAAAACGAGACAGACTCTGTGCTCAAGCGAGTGTGGGCATGTGGCTCACGAGCAGCGTTTAGCGAGGCAGTACTGCAGTAGCAGCATGTGCACAACCGCCTAATAAAGACACTTCACATAGAGGGGTGCGGGACACGAGAAGCGAGAGAGCGTGGGAGGGTAGAGGAGATGCAGCCGATCGGAGAACAAAAAGACAAATACAGGGTATGCGCATACGGGTACACTGAATCAGGCCAGGAGAAGGGTAGGAGGATGCGGGTGTCACACAGCCGCGATGAGGTCGGAATGTGCAACAGTTGCACGAAATGATCACGAGCGAATTGCAGCGCCGCCGCTAGATTGCCCACTGTATGCTGTAGCCGGAGTCGCTGACCGAGAGAAGCACGAGAAAGAAAGCGGAAGCGGACGGAAGTAGGAACAGACAGTGGCGAGAGAACACAGGTGATGTAGACGGTTGCCTCCTCGGCCAGTGGCCGCGATGGCGGATGCGGGTTCGAGACAGGAGGGCCGATCAGGGCTGGGAGAGGTGGCAGGAAGAGCAGGGGAAAGCAAGAAAAGAAGAGTGCAGGGAAAAAGAGGTGATGCGATGGAGGGACTACAGATCGTATCGACTGTCATGTGGCCATGGCTACTTTGGTTGGCTCGATCGATGGCGCCTGCTGTTTCCGTATGTTGCTGTTGCAGCGTCTGCCAACGGCCCGTTTAGGCTTAGGTGGCGAGCTAGACTGCAGGCGGACGCACGCAAGCGAGGAGAGCAGGAGGGGAAGCCATCCGTCAGCTGTGTGGCTGGCGCATCACGTGGCCGTGTAGTGGCCGGCAACGGACCGGATGGGCGTTGCCGGCTGCATGGTTTTTCCGCTTTCCGCTGCCGTCATGGCCTGATTTGTGAGTCGGGGCTTTTCTGTCTTTTGCGGGAAAAGCTTCTCATCTCCCGTCAGCCGACTGCGTTCTCGTGCATCCCCTACTCGATACACCTCGACAACCCAACTCGTTGCCATTGCCATCGACCGGCTCCCGACCCCACTCCGTCATTTTTCATACGTCACCATGTTCCGCACTGCCTTTGCCCGCCGTGCTGCGCCAGCCGCACGCCGCCTTTACTCGACCCCCGTCGGCGCCTCGGGCGAGACCGCGTTCGTCCGCGAGCGCCGCGCCGTCAAGGAGCACGCCGGTGCCTCTGCTGGTGCGTTCCCGTCTCCATCCCTGCCCCCGTCTGCTGTCCAATCGCAATGCCAATGCTGACCCCTGCCTCAGAGCTCTGGCGCAAGATCTCCATCTAGTAAGCCGTTCCGTCACCCCTCCTGCAGCCGAGCAAGATGCAATTCCGCCGAGACAATCTCTTTGAGCGATTGTTTTTCTAACAGCACTGCAGCGGCACCATCCCCTGCCTCATTGGCGCCGGCATCAACGCCTACTTCCTGTGGAACGACCACTGGAACCACTGGAACCACATGCCCCCTCTGGAGGAGCGCACCGAGTACTCGTACCAGAACATCCGCACCCGGAACTTCCCCTGGGGTGACGGCGACAAGACCATCTTGTAAGTTGGCCCCTCTTTCCGCCCACCAATCGTTTGCTAACCCGTCCGATTGCAGCTGGAACCCCCAGGTCAACTACCACAACAAGGACAAGCTCGCTTAAGCTCGTCGCTTGTCGTGCTGATTCGTAACAGCCGTGATTGGCTAGAGCGCCGGTATGCTGGGAGGTGCGGTGTAGCATTGGATTCGCAGAGTTTTGTTTCTTTTGGTTGGGTGCACTGCAGAGATAGTTGCGTCAAGCCAGGGCAATCAAACACGTATCGTTCTTACTTTCTCGCCAATGGCGGCATCCCATCCGTCCTTTGGCTCGGGGATGTCATCCCGCTGCATTTTGGGTGCAGTCGCTACAATTGCAGTCAATCTTGCGCTGTTCTGTGACATGTCCTCCGAACAGCCCGCTTAGATTTCTCTGTCACGCTATTGGACAGCTCAAACATCGCTGGTTGCGTCCTGCTCCATACCTACGGAGTACCTACTAGCTAACACCTAATCAGAGACAGAGGACAAGGACAGAGGATAGGTATCTGAATTACGTCGAGGTGCGAGGGATTATCACGAAATAATAACACAAACGCATTAAGTTGAGAACAATATTTCGATACTTGGGGTACGGAGTACTGTGATCACATTTCCAAGCTAATGACCCTCAAGACAAATCCTCACCCCATCAACAATGTACTCGTCGTCCGTCCACAGCTCAACACTTCTGATGCTTCCCGCTGCTCTTCTTGCTGTGGCTCTTGCTGTGGCTCTTGCTCTGAGCACGAGGTCGATTGGCTCGAGTGCTACTGCGGATTAAGTTCACCAAAAAAGCCAGTGCACCAACCGGCGCCCGTTACTTTCTCTTCCCGTCGTCGCACCCCTGCTTTCTGTTAGTTGCAACGCCGACGCCAAAGGACTCAGAAGGAAGACTAACTTCGTACCTGACGAGCGGATTGCCCGTCCACGGGATAGGGGGCATTGCCACGACGACGGGTGTGTCTGGCAGATTGGCGCTCACTGTGGTCCCTCGTGGGAGAGCGGCCACGCGCAATCGCAGGTCCCGTGATACGACCCCCAGTAGGGCCTGTAAGAGAGCCCGGAGAACTCGAAGGTGTCCACTCGCCCTCCCAGCCGGTCGAAGAGCCAGACGCGTCCTCGTCGTAGCCATTTGCAGAGAAAGAAGTCCGCAGGGGCGAGTGGGTCAGCTGATCTCTGGCCTGGCGCATCGGCGGGCTCTGAGGCTGCGGGAGGCGCTGGATGCGAAGCATCTGCTGGTGGCGCAAGTTTGCAGTGGGGCCGGGGAACACCCTCTCAACCGGCACAGGAACATACGCCGGACTGGCATACACTTCGTCCACCGATGGGATTGGCACATCGGCCGTCACCGTCTGGATGCGCCAGCTCCGCCTGGCCGTTTCGGGTGTCAGCGACTCTCGCTTAACATCACCGTCGTCCGAGTCGGAACTGTCGCCCGAGTTGATCGAATACTCTGCGTCGCCATCATCGCTGAAGCCATGACGAGAGTAGCCAGGAAGGCCGCCGCGGCTACCGGTGGGACGGCTATTGCTTGACGACATACTGGCCAAGCTCTCCATTGCGTCTAACTCTTCCTGGCTGTTCACAATTCTGCCCAGCCAGTTATCATTGTAGACCCTACCGACAAGCGTGGGATCACGCAGAGTATTGATCCGGCGGGTCGACCTAGCCAGATGCGACAGCACTTCCGTGTCCGAAAGCTCTGCCAGGGGAGGGCCAGAAGTGGTAGCTGCCACGTTCTGGCGGATGTCGATAGGCTTCGTCTGCTGCGTCACTCCATGGCCGTCCGTGTCTGTGGCCTGCTGCGTGCCAGCGTTCATGTTCAGGGACTGCATGGCAGCTGGAATGGCAATCTCGTCCATGAGGCTGGGGCTTTGCGACGCCAAAAGCCTGGGCGAAGCAGGCTGGGTCAGAGATGTCTCTTGGTGCCAGAATATGTAGTGCATCAGGGGCGCAGAAGCACCAGCTCGGTCGGTAACTTCTCGTGATATTCACATCAGCAGTGATTCTCTTCACTATGTCGCTGGCACTACTGCGCTTCTTACCATGAATGGCGCCAGAATGCATCTCGGGCCAAGGCTTTGTCGAGCGCATATTGATTTCTGCCACCTGAGCTCTATGGAGCGTGTCTTTGAGACCAAGCGAAAGCACGGTGTCCCTGGACAGAACCAGTGGCGGGCAAGCGGGATCGTCCATGACTGCATACATCAGCTTGAGGTCAAAGGTCACCCTTCTGTCCTATCTGTCGGCTTGTTCATACCTCGGCGAAGGTTTTCAATCTGCTCGTAAGCAGACGCAGGGGCGCTCTCCTCTGCAGTCCTAGATCCGGGATCAAGATGCACAAAATTGATAAGATAACCCAACATATTGGATGTGTTTGTCAAAGCAAGGAATACAATTGTCTTTCTAGGAGATGAGGTGGGTTAGAACGACAAAGCCTTCTGACAATTTCTGACAACTCGCACACTTCTTGGAACAAACAACGGACAAGGAACACCAAACACGTGGAACATAATGGGCACTTTGTACAGAAATAGCTCCTTTCAGGGAAGACAAGGTGTAAAATGGGAACTCACAAGCTGTTGTTTGGGTCTGGAAGGACAACTGATTGTGATCCGAGTAGGCAAGCGGGAACAGGATAGTTGGTTGGACGAAAGGATGAGAGGATGAGAAAGAGAGGGGAATATTTCCTGGACGACTTGACGACAGAGTAAGGCAGGACAACATAATTTATAGACGAAAGCAGTCCTATCATTTTGCTCAAGGTTGGGAAGAGTGTCGCTCCCAGCTGTGGAGACAGTCAAAGATCAGGAGGCCGGTCCAAAAAGTCGAGTTGCACAGCGTTGCACGCGATAGTCATGAGGTAAGAGACATGCAGAAGCTATCACATATTGCAATTAAAGGCTTCGTTTGAAAAGTCAGAGTACTGTGATCATTTATGGTACACGGAAGCCGGCTGGCCTTGGCACACACGGTACCCCTTTCTTTTCTTTTCCGGTAGTACTCAGCACTTAGAGGATCAATCAGGTAGCACACACGCCCAAATAGAGCAAAACATACTTTCCGAGGAGCGTCGGGATTCACTGAAGGTTAGTGTGTAGCGGAAGCAGCAATAACTTACTGTATTTGCCTTTTACCAGGCCTTCATGGCGCTTCTGCACAGAGATGAAAGCCGAGCAGGTTTTCCAAAGAGCTGATGGCAGCAGAGATAAGGCATTGCCAACCCCCTGCACATGTAACGAAGCACACGCCCGTGAGAAGAAGTCGTGTCACTGTTAGCACGGAGTAGTGTTCCAGGGGAAAAAAAGGAAAAAAAAAGGCGCCCGACACAGCAGTGCCATTGGAGGGAAATGCGATGCGGCATAGGAGAGCAAGGCCGACAAACAGGATAATTGTGGTGGCACGGCTGATGCTCTACCCAAAGTTCAACAAGATCGGTATCAGGTAAACAAGACGTGGGAAAAAGTGAGACGATAGGGCAACTGTAGCCGCTCGGCCAGACACTGAATTGTATGGACCAGAGGAAAGAGCGGCATCTCACCCTTCCAATATGATTTGTAGATATTCTATTGTAAGCTTGCCTCAATCTGCAGTGCGACTTTGTCTTACTTCAGTGCCGTCTGAGTATGAGGGGATGGCTGCTTCAGAGAGGGGAAAACAGGCACGGTGAAAGGGACAGGCGAAGAGCAGCGTAGTAACCCCACCGATCAGAGGAAGGGGCGAACTAATAAGTGGAATGGAAGGCGAGGAAGGTGGGACTTGCGGCCCGTTCCTGCCAAAACCAACTCTATTCCACGACTCCATCTCACGATACAGAACAGATGCTGAGATAGTGTGAACTCTATTCATTTGCACCCAGAATCTAGAGGCGCCTGGGTAGGCAACAGGCCACGATGTGTCGTGGGGCAACCAGCAAATGAGTTTCATCTCGCCCAGGCCAGCAGGTGCACTGCAACACGACAACCTAGTGAAAAAGAGAGAACTGACAGCTCTGACTCTCAGATTCCACTACGACATAATCGGCACCACACACCCAATCTATTTTCTGCATTGCACCCCTGCCAGCGCCTACTCCGTATTTTACTCAGAGGCCTGCAATACATAGTAGGAGAAAATATGGACGTAGCGTTTTATTGGACGCTACACCAGCGCAAATCGGAAAGAAAGAGAAACATAAATGTCTTGCTTCTGTGGGCTGCAATTGCGTGTGACAGCAGCGGCCTCCCCTGGTCGCCCCACTTTGCTGAGCACTCGCTGGAGGACAGGATAGCAGGGCTCGACGTTATCCGCCTACCCCTCAACAAAAAGGCTGCAGATGTCCAAACCGAACGGACGGCCGTCCTGTCACGGCACGAAAAAGAAAGAAAAAATCTGCGCTTGGGCTAAGTCATGGGCAAACACACTTGGTGAGCTCGTGCTTTAGACTGTGTTATTGGTCTGCTTGCAGAAGTGCTCTTCTTTTTACCCGAGGGCAGAAGCGGCAGGAAGGATGAAGATTAGCCGTAGGTTGCACCGTGGAGGCATTCGGTGACTGGGGGAAGAACACACCGGCCTGCTTGTGCTCCGATCTCTGCCCTGGACACACCCGTGGCTGCGGGTAGGCGAAACGTGCTGGGTGTGACATTGCCGACAGACGATGACGAAAACCAAGAATACCAAACCATGGGTTGAGAGAGTCTTGGTGAGCCTAGGACTCTCGCTTCTGCCAGCATGGCCCACCTCTGTACTCTCTCGCATGGGGGGCTTGCGGCTGACCTATCATCAACAAGGGTGCACACACGCTGACACGTCACCGACCAACAGTGGACGGTGTAGATGCAACCCTCCCTCAGAGGACGACCTGTGGCTCTGTCACCTGTGTTCTTTGACACTGTGCCATCCTTTCGCTCTACCGCTTTGAGGATTTCTCTTGCGCAAGTGCACGCGAACCCTGAGTTTTGATCCTTTTCGACCCCATTTACATACAGATCCAGCTATCGGCGGCGTCTTTCCACCCGCCATTCCTCTGTAGGCCTGGTGCCTCTGCTTTTGAGGCCATCGGCAACTGTTCCGGGAAGCCCCTGTCTGTCTCGGACAGCTGGCTGCCTTGACCACAACTCTTATCCACACTGTGCCCAAGGCTGCATGACGGTGGCTCCAGATTACACTGCTGAACCGCGGAAGTGAAATGCAGCCGGTCGTTTACATCATGGCTGGCTGGCTGGCTGGCTGGCTGGCCTCATCAGGTTGGTTCGACTTTCCTCCTCTCCTACGTGGCCATGGACAACACGGGGAGCCACTTCCGAGGCCTGCTTGAAATCCCTGCTATCACCCTCCGCCGCCTCTATCTCGCCATCTTCGGCCTTCTCTCATCTTCTTCGTCTGCAAGCCCCCCAATAATGACTGTCTTTTGACTCAGCCACCTGCTTGCTCCCGTGCCGATATCGTGGTCATTCCCGTGTTGCGACGAATGTGCAATTGTCCGCAGCACTCCCCTGGCTTTCAGGTGTCTTTTTCCATCGCGTTATCCGGCTGCTGCCCTGTTTTCCTGCCGGTTCCTTCTCATCCCTCCCCTCGCTTCCACCAACCGGATCATATGTGTCGCACGACTTCTCCTACCATTAGGAGGGTGAGACAGAATCAAATGACCGTGTATGGCAATTGGTAGCCCAGTCTCATAGCCAAATCTCCCAGACTGCCGCTTCTACGGCCCTTGAGGGGCCCCACGGTGAGAATATTGCCCTGCCCAACCAAGCGGCCAGTTTTCGTTTCAGGCCCTGCAATGCCTTCTACACGGTGACACCACAAGCGATTTCGACAATGACGCCTCTGGGGAAAGAGGGAAGGGGGGCATGAATCGTCCGTACATTGGAGAGACGAAAACTGCGTCGCAGATGACAAGATCCGGCAATGCCGCACTGTTCTGCTCAGTCGTAGCGAGGCAGGTCGCTTTGCTCTTTCTACAACCCACATTTGCGGACACCTTTGGGAGTCAGAGATACGCTAGACCACTCGGCCATACCAAGGGATCGTAGCTAGATGAACGGGCGTGGTCGTCATATCTCTCCCGGTCTTCTCAGCCTTTGGCTCCTCCTCCGTTTTAGGTCTTCTGCGTGCTACCTGTGTCCCATGCAGGTCTGATCAATGGTCGACGTGGTGGTTTACTGGTGTCTCGAATGGTCTTGGTTGGTCATTTGGTGGGGGTGTGGCTGCTATCATAGGGCCTGTATCTGCAATGGCCAATGGATGTGCCATGGGCTACCTGGACAACTAAATCCTTATGCATCTCTCCATATCAGGAAAAGGGAGTTCTGGCCGGTAGCCCGTCCGACTAATAGGCAAAATCTTTATGAAAATGAAGGGTGTGAACAGAGAGACGAGAGTGTCCATCGGAAAAACAGAGACGGAGCAAAACACACGTATGGCTGTCCACCAGCCGCTCGAGAGCTACTCCATCATCAAACGAACTCGTAATATTTCTGGCCGGCTCTGTTCCGTTTGATCAAACGGGTGACGGGAGGCAGAGACCCTCCCCCCATCTCTTCTCATTTCTCGTCTTTCTCGTTTCTTGTATTTCTACTTCTTGTTTTCTCACTATCTTTCCTTTCTCAGTCCGAAATTCACTCCTCATCCTCTTTCTCATCCGCCCTGTCTATCCAGACCAACACCCTGAACAGAAAGCTTGCACACCATGTGCCGTTTCACGCAGGTATGGCCTTGGGTGCCTGTCCTCTTCTCCCATTACCCCCTGCCATAATTCTTACAGCGATAAAAACAGACCGTCTACAGCTGCGACCACGAGCGCCTCGTGTACCACTGGATGTGCGACAACCTTCGCATCTCCGGTCGTCGCTGCGTGAGCCATGCCAGCGACATCGAGGCCAAGTTTGTTGCTTTCCACGTCGTTAGGTGAGTCTTCTTGGAAGGCCTTGGCCTGTCTGGCTTGCAGCGCTGAAATTCCCCATCTGTATCATACCTGTGCTGACAGCTACCTGAAGGCCCGATCCCTGTCGTAAGTCCGGCCTTGTCGCCTTTCCCATCCGGCCTCTGGCCACCGTTGGGTCTCGTTTCCAAACGACGACGACTACTTCCGTCCTTTGATATCCTCTAACTGTAATAAAAACAGCGAGCTGTCGGCCTTTCAAGTGGCCTTCTTGGATGTCCCATGTTAGGACTAATGGCAAGGTCATAGGCTGCCATGGTTGGAAGGAGGACAGCGGCAGCGTCCCTCCGGACAAGTGTGTCTAGTGTGTCTAGACTAAGACGAGACAAGGGGCTTTCCGGTCTGCGGAAGAAATTCTGAAGGAAACGAGCCTCTGTAATTTTAGCAACAGAAACAATAACCACAGACAATGCACATGTTCTATGTGCATATTCCAACATCTACTGCGCATCATATCACACTCTGGCAGTCTGATATCACTTCGTGCGTATGCTTTCTCTGTAAACACTAGAAAAAGCAGGGAATAACGGGCCTGTACGAGAGGGGGAGACCGTCCGTCTATCCAAGATCGGCCAGGGAACGAAAACATGAGCATGTGCACGAACCTACTGGTGTGTCCCTTTGTCCCTATGAAAGTCGGCTCTTTCATGCTCGTTCAGCTCGGGGAGACACATAGTCCATGCAAAGGTCCGTCTCTCGGGTCGTACAAACGGGTAGTAAGTTAGGCTGAGGTGGCTTCGACGATGATTAGGAAACGCAGGGGAAGCAAGGAGAAAGAGCGAAGAAAACAAGCAGAGAACTGGATGGAGCTCTGTCCCTTTTCCATGATCGTCTACGTAAGAATTCTGGCAGTACTCGCATTTTGCAGACACCCAACGCTTCGCCTTCGTCCTCTCCTCGATTCTTTCGTCTCGGGCCGTCATTTCTTGGTCTGCTGTGACTAATTATCTGTCACGTCGTACATGTTGCCACCAAATAATCACTTGGAAGGCAATCCTTGGATGAAGTTATTTTGGTGCTGTAAATTAATATTATTCCTGATTTAAAATTCATGGAACATTCTAACACTGAAAATACAGGAGGGGGATCATTGCCCACTCTCTGTCGGCCCCTCTGTCTTCTCCCTCTCTCCCAGCGGCAATCTGATGTCGGCCAATCAGCCTTCTCACACCTCTCTGATTTCCAAATCCAACCACCATCTTTTACCACTGTGTTGTTCGTCTGAAGCCTTAATTGTTGTCCACGAGACATGTAAAAGTCAACATTAGAATCGCTTTGAAATTTTATATCTTTATTATTACCTTCTGCCGTGTCTCGGGTGCGTTTGTGTTATTTTCGGTCTTGTGATGCAAGCTATCAGCCCCACAGGACTTCGTTTGCTTCGTTTGCTTCATTCCCTCGTTTGAAGCCTGCAGGCTGAACGACAGCAACACCCCATTCGTCTTTTCCTCTTTCCTTATCTCTTTTATGAAAAGACCGAATCCCGACGAGGCAAAGGCGTTTCTGCTCACATAATCTGATTGTGGTTGTCGCTGGCCCAAGTATTTAATGCGAGCCAGTCCCGTCTTCCCTGGAGATTCTTTTCTCCCTTCTCCAACACCTTCTCTTCCTTCAAAGCCTCATCTTCTTCCCAATCTCCTCCTACTTCCGGTACCTAGGAACTCTCACCTGGAAACCTACTTTACCTTGACTCAAGCGCAACTTTTGTCTCTACTTCTCCCACTCAAACACTTGTCAGCTCTCTCGGCTGTGATTCGTCGTGTCTTCTTAGTGAGTACGCTACCATCTCTGTGCTGTCTATCTTCGTCCCCAATTTCTGGTGATTGTTTGCAAGTGACCAAGGTTGTTGTGCTAGCATTTATTTCCTTCCCATTCTCTTCGATGCAATCAAAGTCCGACAACTCATAGGATATATCCTACAAATCAGATACCCAATTACTTCGAAGCCATCGGGCACTGTTACCCAAAACTGCTCGATTCAACGTCTCGCCGCTATCGTCATCGATAATCTACAGCTCGCCATGGATAACCTTCCTGTCACGTCGGGAGAGGAGAAGATTGCTACAACGCCTTGCTCGACCACCGATTCTGGAGTAACCCTCAACGAGGGACAAGCCCTGGCTCAGACCGGTGGTGAGGCTGCTCAAGGTGACTTTCCCCACCTCTTGCTTCCGTCAAGAGCTGTGAACTAACGCCAAGCCAAAGAAGTGCCTACCGAAAGCGGCACCTACTCGGAAGTCACGACAACCCAGCCTGCACCTATGAATATGCCTGTGGACTCTGCTCCGGCACCGGTTGATACCGGGGGCTCTGAGGCATTCTCGTCCCTTCCTGCCAACACTGGTCAGCCCCCGTCTACACACTTCACGAATCCGATGCTTTTCTCGGCTCGAGAGGTAGTCGCCAGGCTGAGGGCCAGATCCCATGGCAAACCTCGGCATTTTTCCCGCCCGAGGGTGCGCCGTCGGAGCCGTGGACAACAGGGCATGCAACCAGTGTCTAGACCTGATTCTCAGCCTTCGCCTGTGCAGGTTCCCTTTCCAAACGTGGGTTACTTTGTCGGGGCCATGCCCAACAGTACTCCGGCTTTCCAATATCCCGGCGGAATGGCAGTAGTGGCTCGTCCGTGGACTCATGCATATGCGCCATATAACGGCTTTCAGCTGGGGGCACAGTTTGGAACATTCGGTGGCGGCTATCCGCTGCAACTTCGCCTAATGCCCCAGATGGAAAGCCTGATGAGAATGCACAACAGCGAAGGTGCCGAGAATCTTCAAAGACTAAACGACAAGACTCATTCGCTGAATACACAGATTGCTTTTGAGAATGCTCGAGCCTTTGAAAAAAAAGTCGAGCGTGAGAAGCAGGAGAGCCTTCGGAACCGGCCTCAGAACCTTGTTGTCAATGGCAGTCGAGGGTGGGAGTCTTATTACCGCAATCAATTAGAGGGCAATGCGCTGGTGAGCGACTATGGCATGGCGCCTGCTTTCACACCTGAAAACGCTTATTCCAACAGCAATATGGAGCAAGACTTGGAGGCTACCGAGTCGGAAGACGAAAAAAGTGTCACGGGAGATGACCATCTGACGTCGGAGACTCCTGTTGCTTTGCGCAGATGCAATTCTTGTGAATTTTAGATGCCTCACTGCGAATATCTGTGGAACAGGCAACTCTGCAACAGCGGATGTATCAAGTGCTGTTTCTTACTTGACCTGGCCTTTGGACAATAAGAGTTGGATATTGCACAGTGGTGATGGGGAGGAAGAGACGGAAACAGTACGGGTGCTTCTCAGGTCGAATTAGTTTGTTCCCTCGACGAAGTTGCTCTTTGTTGCTTTCAACTTTCCTTTGCTCCCTCCTTTCCCATCTTTCGCCAGTTTTTATGATATTTTTGTTGTTTGATTTGTGTCGAGGTGCTGTTTCTTTGCTCACTTGCTGGATCTTCTTATTTCACTGGTCGCCTGGTACAGTTTCAAGCACGAGTCATTTTGTATCTTACAGTCTTTACCTATATTTTCTTTGTGACAGCCCCCCTCCTCCTCCTCCTCCTCCGAAAAAAAAAATCTCCAACATTGTACAATAAGAGAGACGCGAAGCGTGAAAACTTACAAAAACGCAGTTACCTCGGAATATAGCTGGGACGTAGATATAAGTTGTGTTGTTATCCATCTGTCAAGGCCACCTCTGTGACCTCTTCGTTTTCTCAACATCCAGTCTTTGCGCACGCAAAATACTCTGAGGTCAGGCACATTCGTAGTGCCACAAACTTCCAAATCAGCAATCGCCTCTCCTCTGAGCCGGAAGTAAGTAAAGATAACACAAACATATACGACTTTCCTTTTATTTCAGCGGGTGTCTCAAAAAGGGGCAAGGACAGGAGGAGTGAGGGGCGCTTAGCAGACTGATCAGTAGTAGGCTGAGTGTCAGTTTTTTTCACGGAGAAGACGATGAAAATGACGATTAGAACTCAATTTTGGAAGAATAAATATAGGGCACAATCACCGACGATAACAGTCGCGCCTCGTTCAGCTGCAGTGGATCTGAGCTTGGAATAGCAGCACTGAGATTGCCAATCTAGAAGCGAGCTGTCTCGTCTTTTACGACGTCTTCTGAAGGCAAGGGCTAAGATAAAAAGCCGTGTGTAGGAAGCGGATGAGAGCAATGGCAAGGCATTTTTTGAGGGGGTTATGTCAGGTAAATTTTGGCTACATCATCCCCCCGAGCCTATCTAAGTAAAACAAAAGCTTGCCGATTTTTTTTCGGATGTTGTCGTGTTTTCAAATGTTTTTGCGTTTTTATGTCGTTTTTGTTGCTCGTCGCAAGAGTTGATCCATGGCCGATTTCCCTCTCGAGCCGATCAGCAGCCTCACCGGCTGGGAACTACTTAAAAAAGTTCCTCCTTCCTGACCATGGAACCTCTAGATGATATACGAGATTTCCCCATTTGTTGCCCAGTGCCTTTTCCGTTCCCCTACTCCGTGTACATGATGTGATGGATATTGCAAAGCAAATGGCAAAGGAAACTGAAAAGAATGTGGGGTGACAATGATCCTTCACCAACCACCATCTTCTGCATCAGTACATGTTGGTGCGCGAGCAAGGATATGTCAGAAATTCATGTGTCGTAGAGTTCGTTCTCTGGAGGGACAGGATTTTGTCAGCGACGGTGCTTGCAGTGGGAAGGATCAGTAGTGGGGAGGCTCGGCATATTGAGAACTGACAAGCCGCTGATCTGCAGTAGCAGTCATTGCTGACTGACAAGGTCGTATTGAAAGATGGTAGTCAGGCGTTGCGACAGGTGCCAATAATAAATAGGAGCATGAGAAAAAGGGGCATTTCTTGCAACATATTCTTCTGATATCTACAGTCAAAGGTCAAACAAAGAGGTCTGAGGAAGCAGGTATGAAAGAATTTTTTTTTTGGAGAGCTTACATGCATCAGGCGAGAAATCTGCTCAGGTGGCATTGAAGTTCAAGATGACTTCAAGACGCTTTCAGACTCTAGCCGACAAGGCCCTAAGTCTCGGCTTCGTCGCCAGTGGAGGCACTGGATCCAGGCGACATGGAAAATTCGATGCTGGGTGCTGCAATCGGGCCAGCGGTATTGCCTGTGTTTTGCTCAACTGGAACTGAGTTCGTGCCATCGACATTGTAGACCCCGTGATTACCGCGGGCCCGGCGGCGGATCTCAGACGACCTACGAGGGTTGTATCTGTAGTCAGGATGAAGCCTCTCAACCTGACGCTTGATCTCAATGGCCATGGTGTGATAGTGCATACGCACGTCGTCAGACTCGGCGTTCCACTGACGCCCAAGGATGACGGCTGCAGTAGTCAGAATTGAAGCTGGTAGAAAAAGATGTGCGTTCAGAACAAGGCGAGTGCATACATATTTCGTTGTTGGAAAGTTCCGGATCAGACTTCTTAACAGCCTTGTGATGATCCTTGCGATACAGAATGTACGCATTGGGTGGGCGCGGTATCCTCACTGTTCCATTGCGGCCGGTGCGTTGAGCGTTACTTTGGGCGACTGGAGTTTCGGTCTGTCCATTGTTGAAAGAGTAATTAGACGACCCCAGAGGATAGCCAGAAGGGATCCAGACGTCCAGCTCCCCAGCATGAGAGATCAGATTTTCGGGGTGGAAAAAGCTGGTACGGCCCAGGAAGTAGCGATCAGGATGCATGCCGCTTCCGTCAATCACATACTTCACCATTGTGTCTCCAATGGCGCTGAAAAAAAAATATGAGAATAGATACTTAACAGGAAGGTTGGAAAATATCAATTTACCTGGCAAAGTGATGAGCAATGAACTGCTTGCCACCATCATCGAGAACGCGGAAAGTAGGTCCTGAGATCCCAATTACATCGCGTCCGGGCATCAGCTGGATGGCAAGGCTCTCCCAAAACTGGGTGAGAATGACGGGATCGATCGCCGTGTTGACGATGCTCCCGTTCATGCTGATGTTGAAAATTGCCGAGAATTGGACAGGATCCATGGCTGATGCACTAAAATGGACGCCTGAGTAGAATGAAGAAGGAAAGGCGAGATCCTCTCGCGATGGCAAGAACGAGAACTGCGGAGAAAGAAATCCTTATCAGGACGGTTTTGGTAGAGCGCGGAGATTTCTTTGTCAAAAGATTTGGTTGGAACAGAAGATGGGAGGAGGGGAAAACGCCAGGGATGTTGGGCTATTTAAGGGATGGTCGAGAAGAATACTTTTATTCTGAACTGAATTTACTCATGTGTTTTTATTGACACATCTTCCGGAATATTGACAGCTTTAACCCGGTAGCATTATCTTATTGAAAACAGTGAGCTCTATTGACCGAACTGGCAGAAGACCCACTCCAATCGAACGAGTCATGGTATGTGTGATCATAAGAGAATAGGTAAATAAGCCTGAAAAAATGGGAGCTTTGAAATATACGGCCCGATTTCCGTCGGCGTGGCATATCTCAGAATAATCTGAAAATCCCGACTTTGTGTGGTGATTTTTGTAAACCATATCATCAATGATAAGGTCACTTCATGAACTTCACATTTGAAACAATAATCGCAATCGGCTGTATGCGTCTGTGTCGTTGATTCTGTGCGAAGTCAGCAGACGTGGAAGAGCAAGTTACTTGACGTCAAATAAGAGAAGAAGTTGTATACCACTTAACGCCGCTATGGATGCTTCACCGCTTCATGCTTATCTGGAGGAGCAGGGATTTTCCCTCCTCGAAGATCAGATGGGCAAGCTCAGCCTGATCAAGTACGACGAGGCCATGGCACCGGTGACAGTATCGAGCATCCCCGAGCTCGCCTTTGACGGCGGCTCTGGCGAGAAAGCGAAGCGCAACCGGGTCAAGACGGTCGGGGCGTTGACGCAAAACACGTCCTTCCAAGCCTTCAAGGAAGTCAACAAGGAGAACATTGCGGCGGCGGCCAAGGGCTTTGCCGAGAAGGAGGAGGAGGTGGGCGGGCGACAGGGCAGCAGCTCGGGGTCTGGCTCTGGCTCGACGTACGGCAATGAGGAGGCGGCGGCCGGTCTCTACGCCGAGCACGAGTTGCTGGCGGCTGTATTTGAGCACGGGCTCGTGCTTGACGAGACCATGGCCGTGGACAAGAAGCGACTCGTGCAGAAGCTGTATTCACGGGCGTACGAGATGCTCATCGGCGGGCAGTTTCCCGTCGTCACCGGTGTGGACGGGTTCTCACGCACGATCCGGAACAATCCGATGGCGGCGGCGGCGCAGCTGTTCTCGCGCTCGGCTGGCTTTCAGTTTGACGTTCTCGTGGTCGACCGGCACGACCGGCTCAAGCAGCACGTCCTCTGCGCCGTCGACCAGGACGGCCAGGACCAGACATTTGTGCTCTCGGGCCCGGAGACGGCCCATCTCACGGCCCAGGCCAGAGCGGTTGCCGGTCCGCTGAGCGTGGCACCAAAGACAAAGAATGGCAGCGGCAGTGGCATTCGCAAGACGCCCACATACACACAGCAGATGGCTTACCAGACCAGCCTTGACGCCGGCCAATTCCACGTCTTTAGCAGCCAGCCGTCGATGCAGAGCAGCAGCCGCAATGACGAAGCAGCTGCCGCTCCCACAGACAGCATCATCACTATGGAGTCGGATGGCATGGCCTGGCTGCACGAAATGGACATGGCCCAGGCCAGACAGGCCGCCTTGCAGCCGCAGTCGCACAGCGAGGCCGGTGAGTCTTCAGGCAACGTGTCGGAGGCCACGACAGTCCTTGCGGCCGCTGGCGAAGTCGATGCCTGGATGCACGGCCACCAGGCTGAAGCAGACGCAGACGCAGAGGTGAGAGACTACCTCGAGCACGACAGCAGCGTCGGTCTCAGCGCCCCGGACGGCCTACACTTTGTCGACCTGCTGCAGGAGCAGGGCAGCGCCAGCTCGCTTGGCAAGCATGGCCGTGATGGTGAGCAGCAGATCGAGCAGGTGGAAAACACGGCTGGGGACGAGTCGCCCTCAAAGCGCTGCCGTCTGTACGACGACCTCCACTATCTGATGGGCGCCATGCAGCAGGACGAAGTCAGCCTGCGCGAACAGCTGGCACGCGGCCAGCGGCCCGCCGTCTTTGCCGACATCTACCGCAGCCAGGCAGCAGCTGCGATGGAGGGCAGTGGCCAGACAGCACAGCGTGGCCTGGCCGGCTACGACTTTGACGTCGAGGGCGAGGACGTGCTGGCGGATATTTTCGGCGACAGCAGCGTGACGGCCGACACGGACATGCAGTTCATGCAGTGGCCGAGCAACTAGGACGAGTGGGACAGGAAACGCAGTCGAAGCAGAGGAGCATCGGAAGGAGGACAGGACAAGGACAGTACATGGACAGGACTTGGAGTTGAGGCATATTGAAGGACGGTCGAGGAGGAAGGAGGGTCGATTGGCGGCATACGAGTATCATCGTGGCTTCACATCGCGGACAGACTGCAGCTCAATCAGTTACGTGCATCATCGTACTAGATCTCCGTCGTCTTTGCAGCACAGAAACACATAAATCACAAATACAGCACAGCAACATCCACTCTGTCGTCGCAATAAGCTTTTTTCTGGGCCACCAGACCTCCACCTCGTAGCAGACGCGGAAAATGGATCGCCAATGTAGAAAACGACTGAGCTGCCAATCGTGTCCAGGCGTGTGCTCCCCTTGTCTGGACGTGCCATGTGTTGCTCCATCGGCATCCATCGTTTCGATGCCAACATTCCCCTTTCCTCAGTCCTGTCTTACCTCTCTGCTTTCACCTGGAAGAAGTGGCTGGAACGGACCCGCGTTTCCCCGCACCACGCCACTGAACTTGCTCAGCGGCCCACTTTACAGAGGCCTCGTGCCTTGGAGGCGAGCGACAATGCTAATTGCCAAGGCAACTGCTGAGACATGGCAGGCAGCAATGGCAAGCGAGGAAGGTGGGGCTCGAATGGCAGGAAGTGACAAGGTGATGGCTGCCAACGCTCAACGGCCCAACGTCCAACGTCCAACGTCCAACGTCAACCCCTCCTTCCCGATCCGGAGCCTTTCTGCGCTGTCCTGAGCCACGAATCAGGTCACGAGCCACACGACACAACACATCATCACCATCACCATCACCATCACATCCTCACTTTGACGCCGTATATACAACTCGACTACTCGTAAAAGGAAAAAAAAAGAAAGAAATCAGACGGTCTACGGCGGGTTGATCTCGGTACCACGTCTTGACACGTCGCATCCGCCACCCATCCCATCGCTGCCACTCAACTCTGACCACACTTTGGCTTCACCCACGATCTCGCTCGTCCACACCCCTCACTCTTCCTGGTACGAGATCTTGCGCATCTCGCCCAGCCGGCTGCGCGCTGCCGACAGTGCGTTTTCCAGCTGCAAGATCTCCACCTGCTGCTCCATCTCGCGCACCTTGAACTCGTGCGCCCCCAGCTTGGAGTAGTCGACCGCGTCCTCGGCCGACGGCCGCAGCAGCGCCTGCACCTGCCGCACGAGCGCCCGGCACGCCGCCCCAACCGCCTTGCTGGCCGTCTCCAGACCCTCCTGCGTTCGGCTGGCGATTCCGCCGACCGCCCGCACGCGGCTCGCTGCCACCAGCTGCGCCGTGCTCGCTGCCACATCGTTGGACGCCACAATCAGCTGCTCCGGGCTGTTGCGTCCCGACAGCACACCGTCCGCCGTCTCGATCAGCGTGTTCGTCGCTGCCGCCACTGCCTTGGCCGCCGAGATCAGCCCTTCTGTCCACCGATTGTTCTTCTTGTAAAACGCCGTCCGCGACGATGCTCCCCTGCCTGCCTGTACAATGTCGTTCTGCGCCGCCGTCGCTGCCCGCACCAACTCCGCCACCGCCGATGTCACTGCCGCTGCCGCGTCCAGGATCGCCTCGTGCACCTTGACCTCGTATGCCGCAAACGGGTCCCGCGGCTTGTTTCGCAGAGCCACCAGTCGTGCCGCCGCTGCCTCCACCGCCTTCATCGCCTTGGCCAGCTCCTGCTCCACAATCTCGCCCGGGTCGCCGCTCTTGCCCAGTGTAAAGCCCCGTGGCAGCACGTCCACCAGCTTGTTCAGCGACTGCAGCGCCAGCTGCACATCGTTGTTGCCGTTGATCACAACGTCCGTCTTCTGCAGCGCGTCCAGTCCGTCCAGCCGCCAGCTCTGCAGGTTGCGGAAGAATCGTGCCGTCGCCTGTGCCGAGAACCGTGCTGCGTTCACCAGCTTGTCGTCGTCTGCTGTCCTTCGCGCGATCCCCTTCACGCTCGGCACAATGTCGGCCACCGCGCTCGCCAACGTCGAGATGTTCTTCGGCAGTTCTGCCAGTGCTGTCGGCGCCGTGTTCGCCCCGTCTGCAATGTAGTTGTTGAACGACGTGGCGCATTCCATCGCTGCTGACGACGCCTTTTCCACCTGCGACAGCAGATACGGCGGCATTGCCGACGGGTTGCCTGCGTGCAGCGTCGAGTCGAGCTCGTACAGCGAGTCGTCCACCCGCGTTGCTGCTGCGTCCAACACGGCGTCCACCAGATCGTCCAGCTTGCCGACTACCAGCGAGTCGATCTCCACGTCCGCTGACTGGCCCTCCTTCAGCACCTCCAGCTCCTCCAGCGCCTGGTCCATGCCCGCCTTGTACACGGCCAGCTCGTCTTCCTTGTCTCGCAGCTCCCGCTCCAGGTCCGACGACCCGTTGCGAGCCTGGCCTCGCGCCTCTTCCAGTGCCTGCGTCTTCAGCCGCAATGCCTCCTCCAGGTCGGCCAGCTCGCGGTGGTACTTGGACACCATCGTCGACAGCTCGTTGCCCTTGGCCTTTTCCAGGTTGTCCGCCCGGTCCTGTGCCATCCGCAGCTCCCGCTTCAGCCGCTCTGTGTCGTCCTTGCTCGAGCCCTTGACCCGGTCGCGGTCGTGCAGCGCCCGGTCGCGCTCGCGGATCATGTCGGCCAGCTCCAGGTTCTTCGTCTTCAGCTCCCGCTCCAGCTTCTCACGCCGGTCCACCGCCTCCTGCGCCGACGCCGCCTTTAGCTGCACCTGCTTGAATTTCTGCAGCAGGTCCAGGTGCTCGTGCCGCAGCTGTGCGTACAGCTTCGCCAGTGCCTCGTACTTGGACCGCCACGTGTTCACCTGCTCCTGCAGCGCCTTAATCTGGTCGTCCTTGGCTCCATGCTGCCGCCCCGCATTCACCTGCTGCTGCTGCAGCTCGTTCTCCAGCGCCTTGACCCGCGCGTCGTACTGCTGCAACAGCAGCTGGTCTTGCTCGTACTGTGCCCGCGCGTTTAGGTTCTCACGCTGCAAGTCCGCCAGCTGGCCCTGCGTCTGCCACTGTGCTTGTTGTGCCGCCAGCGCCTCCTGCTCGCGCCGCTGTTGTGCCGCCAGGTCGCGCTGCTGCTGCTCAAACTCTTGTTGTGCCCGCATCGCCGCCTGCTGTTGCATCAGCGCCTGCTGCGCTGCCCTCTCCTCCAGCACCCGCTGCTGGTCTGCGAACTCCTGGTTCTGCCGTTCCAGCTCCGTCTTCCAAAACTCTGACATGTCATCCGGCTCGTCTGACTTTGGTGCCTGCGCCGGCGACGGTGCCCGCTCGATCTCTTGCTTTGGTCGCGCCGGAAGCGCCGGTGCACTGCCCTCGTCTGCCAGCAGGTTCGGCGGGTCGGCCGGAAGCTTCGGAATCGTGATCAGCGACGTCAGGTACCGGAGGTTCGAGCATTCGTAGTAAAACTTGACGAGACGGTAATGTTCGGCGTCGTAGCGTTCGCGCAGCGGCTGAAGAGCCTCGTCATCTCCCGTCGCTAGAGCGCAATCCAACGTCAGCCTCTGTACCACGTCTGTCCTCGATGCAGCTGCACCTACTCTGATGCATCGCCCGAAGCATGCTTGTCACAAACTTGTACAGCCCATAGCTTTCTTGCACAAGCGGCACCAGTGCCGAGATGCGGCATTCATTGCCTGTCGCCCGCAGGTGGGCAAAGATGAGCTTCTGGAACGTGTCGATCTTGTCTTGTAGAGACATGAGATCCGAGATGACCTCGTAGCCCTCGTTCGGATCGTTAATCAGCTTCAGAGAGAGGTACTCCTCGTATTCAAATGTCCCGTTGAAGTTGGGGTGCTCGTGGTGGAAGGCGAGCTTTGCCAGGAGGTACCGCACGTACTCGTAGATCAGAGGCCCGTATCCGCGCATACCCTCGGCCCCGCGGCTCAAAGACTCGATCCACGACCGGTTCGCCATCGCCTCCTTCAGCGTGATTGGGTGGCCCTCTTGCAGCACCTTGTGTACCGTGATGAGCGCCTTGAATGTCTGCACTTCGTCGGCCATGACCGGTTGGCTGCCTCGGTAAATCAGCTGTCAGGACTGGCATTGTCGGGCCGCACTACTCACACTTTCATCCCCGACCAAAACGCGATGGATGACTTGTTGTCCCATGTGTAGACGATGCAGCTGCGGACATGCTTGCGTTTGGGAGCTGTCTCGTCCGAGTTGGTCGCCTTTTGGATGTTGACAGCGAGCTCCCGGTCCGACCTAGGCAAAGAAGGTGTCAGCTGTGCATTGACAACGAGCGCCGGGGACCGGCATACTTTGCATGGCCTTGGGTCGTCATGATGGCGGTGGTGTACGGTTTGCGGATGATCCGGAGAGCTACTGCTCCAGCTGCTGAGGAAAGGAGGGATGGCTGAGGACAGCAGGGAGGGGTCAACCAGATTGGCCGGCTGTTCGTGGCAAGATAAAACAACGCTGTGCTTCCTGCAGAAGCTGAGTCGCGCGGTAGTTAATCCGAAGCAAAGTAAACGCGGCCAAGCGGTGGCTGGGAGACGGGAATACAGCTGACGATGCTGATGCCTTGGAGCTGCGCCAAACTGACACGCAAATTGCGACGTCACCCAACGGATCGGAAAAACGTCGCTGCGAAGATTACCTAATGCAATCTACCCCTGAATTAGCCTGCACCTATACCCCGCTATCAAGCCGACCTCAATGCCAGTTCCAGTACTCCGTAATACTCCGTACTCGATTTCGAAGCAAGTTCGACGACTGCACAGGCAGCCTGGCTAGTGGATCTGATCATTACCGAGTCTGCCGAGAGAGCGAAAGCAGACCACATCCCAGCGGCCAGGGCGGTTTGACTCAGCGAAATACCTGTTGGCGAGTGGCCCAGGGCCGTTCTTGAATATTTGGCAATTTTTGCCCCGACCTCATAATCAGAACTAGGTGAAGCTCTTGTTGTGTGAGAAAAGTCAAAAGCTTCGCAGGGAGATCTGAGGAGCTTGTCATTCTCTTTGTGACTGGTTCAAAGGAGGCATGCCAAAAAAAAAAAAAAAAAGGTGATACGGAGTAGAGCAGTATGCTTTGCAATGTGTGCATAAGATTATATGGGGAGTTCGAACCACTGATATTTCTTGTCTCTGGTTTCTGTTGTTGTCTTGCCTGTATTGTCAGTACGTCTGAAAATCACCGCAAGAATATATAATCATAAACAGCAAGTCACACCGCTTTGATGTTGTTTCTGAAAATTACATCCTTTCCTTCATGTTTTGCTCGTAAGATCTGCTCTTCCCAGGTCAAGGCTGTGTACGGTTATTTGTAGGCCGTATAAATGTTTTTACTTGTGATTGAGCTCCGTGGTTAGTAAGTCCTATATCAGAGCAATCGCATTGCGCAAGAATTGAATTTTTATCATACAGACCCATCCAGCTCCTCCAAGATATCAGGCTCGCCATTTTCAACGCTTGTAGGCAGAGATACGGTCATTAACCAACTTATAAGTCGCTATTTTATCAAATTCGGCTGGGTGCGTGGTGGTATGCGCAAATATACCAGTCGTTGAAGACAGTTTGATTCTTACCAACCTTCGGCATTCAATGGCTCTTCAAGAGCTAGTGATATCTAGCTTTAGCTGCAACTTTGACTGGATATTGAGACAAGAAAGATGGTTTTGTAAAAATATACTGAGGAAGAAGTGCCTGTGAAGTCTTTGAAATAGACATTCACAAAGTATGCATGCATGAAACCATACCTGATAGTTTGTACCAAGCTACGATGTTGACAAAGATGAGAGTTCGACAGTTCCCCTGCGAGGATAGGAAAATTCGAAACGTACAATATAAAATGAACACCCAGTTGGCGGAATGTGATCTGATTGGACGGAAAACACGCTCTGCTCTTGAAATGCATCACTCCGGTAAAGGTCCAAACTGAGATGAGGAGTACGACATATGTACATATTGGGAAGTTACGAAGCGGATGCTCCGTCCTGTCCAGATTTCTTTCAGAGTAGCTGATGTTTGCTCATACGCAGCTCCTGTCGGCGTCTGTGTCCAGTCGTAGCGTAAACAGGATCACTGCTACCTCTCTACATACTATGACGCTACCGCATTGACGTCAACCAAGATCTTGACTTGATTATCTTTGTCCTCGATAAGCCTCTTGATGCCCTCTTGCACAAGATTCTCGAGCCTAATCTTGCCAGTAATCATGCCACGGGCCTTGATGGAACCTGTACGGAGATTCTCGATCACGGCCCTGAAGTCCTCGGGCTGGTACCCGAGAACAGACTTGTAGGAGCTCTCCTTGAAGGTGATCCAGTTGGGATTGAACAGGATCGGCTTCTCCCAAATGGCCACGTTGACTACGGTGCCTTTAGTCTTGACGGCCTCGCAGGCACTCTTGATGCTATCGGTGTCAGTTTTGCAAGCCTGAAAACAGAGGGCCATTCACGAATGATTACCTTGCAGGGACCCCAGCACAATCAAAGACGGCGTCGGCACCTCTGCCCTCGCTCAGGGCCAGCACCACCTGCACGACGTCTTCCTCGATCGGGTTCACAATGCGGTCGGCTCCAAACTGCGCGGCAAAGGCCTGGCGTGTGGCCGCAATCTCAGACACGACAATCGTCTTGACACCTTTTGCTTTGAGACAGAGGACGGCGGCGAGGCCGATGGGGCCGCCGCCGAGGACCAGAACGACAGACTCTGGGCCGATCTCGGGAGCAGCTGAAACGGCGTGCCAGGACACTGAGAGCGGCTCGACCAGGGCGCCCTCCTCGAGGCTCAGATTGTCTGGAAGCGGGAAGACGTGGGTGGCGGACACGCAGACGGCTTCGCTGAGCCCGCCACCACCGCCACTGAGGCCGACGAAACCGCCGTCGTGGCAGACATTGGCCGCACCGGTGGCACAGGCAGCACAATGGCCACAGAAGATGGTTGGCTGCACGGCCACACGCTGGCCGACCTCGAAGTGGCGGTCACCGATGCTGGCTGGGTCGATGTTGGGGCCAATCTCGGTGATGACGCCCGAAAATTCGTGGCCGAGAGTGACGGGAATGGTCTCGCCCGTGACTCCGTGCGGCTTCTCCGGGCAGAAGTTGGGACCGCCGAGAAACTCGTGCAGGTCGGTGCCGCAGATGCCGACAAAGGCAGGGGCAATCTGTGAAGCAGTGTCAGCGTCGGAAGGACAACAGCCAGAAGAAAGACGCTGCTACCTTGATCTGCCCTGGCCGGATAGACGGCTCGGGAACCTGCTCAATGCGGATATCCTCCTTTCCGTAGTAGCGTGCGGCTCTCATTGTGATTGTACTTGAGGCGAGACCAGATGTGGTGTTGTATGTGAAGGCAAGAGTTGAGAGCTGAGAACAAGACGACAGCAGCCGGATTAGTGCGGGGTTGAAGTGGCCTGACGACTGCGGGAATAGGCATAGTCTAGGTATCGTGATGTGGTTGTGTACTCTCAGAGAACAAAAACACAACAGTCCAAAGCGAGCATAAATACTTCAGCACGACAATTCAATTGGAACGACGATACACTCTAACTCGACAATACAGTCAGAACTCTTAGTTCCACCTACAACCGATACCGGAAACCGGCAATCTCCCAGTCGGTTACGTCCTCGTAGTCAGCCGACTGCAGCTCGACGCCGCTGACGGCCGCAGTCGCGTTCTTGTTGACGCCGTCGACATCGATCGTCTTTCCACCGACGCCGACAATGCCAGCGGTGCCAGAGCTGCCGACAAAGCCCTCGCGGCGGGTCCGCCGCGCATTCTCCCACTGCAGGTAGCCGCGCAGGCAGACAGCCGTCAGCATGGCGAGACAATAACAGACGAGAATGGCGCGGAAGGCGGTGTTGTATGTCGGCTTCTCTGCGGCCTTGAAGAAGTGAGGTCCGGCAATGTTGCCGGCACAGTAGGCCAGCATGAGCAGGGCGGTAGTGGTCATCTTCTTGGTGACGCCACGGGTGTTGGCCTGGACGAGCGAGAGGCCGAGCGGCATGGCCGAGGAGCCGGTGCAGAGCAGAAAGTAGCCAAACAGCTGGGCGCCCTTGTTGTGGTGGTGGTTGCGCGTGTAGATGAGGGCGCTGCCGACGATGCAGGGCAGCACGACGGCGATGATGAGCAGGCAGTTGACCTGGCGGTACCGTCCGGCAAGCCAGCCCGATCCGGAAATGGCCGCGGCTGAGAGCAGCGAGTACGGGATGTTGATGAGCGTGCTCTGCAGGCTGGTGAAGCCAAAGGACTTGATGACTAAGTTGGCAAAATTCTGGGTCCCGCCGTTTGGAATCTGAGTCAGCAGCTGCAGCGCGAACAGCAGCCAGGTCTTGGGGTCGACCAGACACTCGACCAGCTGCGCGCGCTGCCAGCGCGTCTGTGCCGTGTTTCCGGTGCCAGCGACCACGACGCGTGCTGCCGCAAACTGCCGCTCGGCCAGTGTGCGCAGCAGCCAACGCGGCGCCGTCGCAATGTTGCCAAAGGCCGGCAGCAGGCCGCCCAGCACAAACGCCCACACAAACGTCGCCAGCCCCAGGATGAGATACGTGCTGCGCCACGGCCCCACGACGTTGTCCTCGCTGATGTGGCCAACGCCAAAGGCCAGCAGCGACGCCACCATGCCGCCGACTGAGTTGCCCGCAAACCAGATGCCCGTCCGTGTCGGCATCTCATCGCGTGTGTACCACGTCGTCGTCAGGAACATAAATGCCGGCGTAATGCTCGCCTCTGCCACGCCCAGCAGGAATCGCACCGCTAGAAGGCCACCGTAGCTCGAGCAGGCTGCCGTCAGCGACACCACCACCCCCCAGACCAGAGTCACCACGGCCAGGTACCGTCCCACTGGCAGCCGTGGCACCAGTAGCGCATTCGGATACTGCCAGCCGAGATAGCCAAAGTAGAATATCGACGACACCCAGCTGTATTGTTCCGTCGTCAGGTGGTTGTCCTCGCGCAGCCCAAAGACCGATGCGCTCGACAGGATCGTCTTGTCCATGAAGCTCAGCATGTACGTCGTGAACAGAAGCGGGATCAGAACCCAGTCAATCCGCCGCACCACCTGCTTGGCCGTTGCCTCGTCCATCACCAGCACCTCGTCTGCTCGCTGCTCTTCTGGTTGCGCCATTGCTGCCGTTGAAGAGGCTGAAGAGGCTGAAGAGGGGGCTGCATCGCTGTCGGGAGGAGGCGACGAAGCCAGCCGCCGGTAGTCCAGCCCTTTATATCGTCGGCCCATTCTTATCGATCATTCTTCTTCTTCTTGGCCCGAAATCACGTTCGCCGGTGATTTTTTGCAGAGATAAGCCGTTTGCCGGCCGCCGGCGGACATTTCCACCACCTTCCTATTCCAGGTAGGGTCATGTGACTGCATCCCACGAGCTCCTCCACTTACGGCCCGCCAAATATTGATTCGTAAATTACGCAGAAGGGTGGATATTGGAATATGCACACTGAATGTTACTGGTGGTCATCTGTACGGCTGATTGGCCAGTGAACAGTTTTCAGGAATAATGGACAACAATATCACAGTTTTACCTGGTTTGGAGCTGTTTGGCTGCTGACTCACGGTCAGGTTATTTGTACTCGTATATTTGATAAACACTGCTCCTCTGTACGTATAGGCTTTTTTTTTTTTTTTTTTTTAGTTTTATCAGACATTTAGATACAAGAATCTACTCGTTTAGCTTTGGCGTCCAACGGTAATTTGTATCTCTAACAATGCGTTTCTGAGTGGTCGATATTTAATATCAATACTAAAGCCAGCCCCTCGTCGTCCTCCATTGCTATGACGGAACCGATGGCAACGTATAAGGTTCATTATATTTATAGCTGAGCATGCATCCGGGCCATATCGAGTAAAATAAAGTATCAATCTTACTCGGCAAAATGTACGTCGTTCCCCAATATCGGGCAAAGGAACATAGGCTCCTAGCCTACGCTCTTGTAGAGCATATGGCAACTGGAGGGCGGAGCTTGGGGGCTGTGATCCTTTACGCATGTAATGGTTGCATATAAGTCAGCCTTGTCTTACAAGTGGCTTTGTCACGTAGTCGGGACACGGGATTGTAATATTCCGTCATGTCCACAACACGACCTTCTCTAGACAAGAGCAATCATGCCAGAACACGTATGAACACGCCTACCAAAAACTACGTACATTAGTTTGACACTTTAAGGCTACAGTTCAGAGAAAGCCATAAGTCGCCCCCAAGGGGGCGGTGCTTTTCAGCCCAAACACGTCCTCATCCATCCAAATCCCATCAGCTCATAACTGCTTATATCCCATTTCCCTTTACTTTCTTTCATTTCCCTTCTTCCGCTCATCTCTTATCCTCGCGGAAATCAGAAATGATGGCCTCTTCCAGACTCCTATGTCGTGATTGCTCCAAACTAGACTTTGGCCAGTTTGCTTCACCACCAGGCCCGCGTCAGAACAACGGTACGAAAAAATCTGAGGTCTTTCTTCTCCCGCTATCCGACATTATAAAGAACCACAAAAATGCATCTTGCAGGTTTTGCAGAATGCTATTCGAAACTATTGCATTGCCAATGCACGATCCGTTTGAACATCCGGCTATAAAAGACTACATGCCGACCAAGCTGAAGGGCAAGACCTTTCGGATATGGGCGGATGAACAGAAATGGGACCGTCGATTACGGACCAATCCCTTCGGGAAGAGCCGAAACAAGATTGAGCTTAAAAGTGCTGAGGACGCTCAAGTGAAAGAAATCCGCCGAAAAGACCAGGAAGCCGGGCAAAGTGCCGCTCTTGCATCTACCTCTCTCATTGCCACTAGTGGTACAATTTTCGATTTTGGGAAACAGGGCAATGATGTGGTAACGTTCCTTACAGTTATTAGCGGCTTGGTGGGAGTATTGCTCTCATCAATGGAGAATTCTCTACCTGTCGCGGTTTCTATTATAATACACAACACCACCGATACCGATGCAGGCCTGATAAACGTCGCAGTTGTAGGATACGGAAATAAGGTGCAGGCGCCCTTGGCAGTTCTCAGCTCTTTCAATCTCCGAGCTACAATGCGTTACCCCGAAGACGGGCCAAGCCTTTGTTACGGAAAGATTCTCGGTGATTTTGTCAACGTGAAAAAAGACTGCCGCAAATGGCTGACCCACTGCTGCCAAAATCATGGAAACTCCTGTGCAAAGCCGGATTGGTGTGCTAAGCTACCCCCGTCGTCGGGAAAGGACTTCAGACTGATCGATACTGCCGACGATCTCAGCATCAAGATTGTACAAGTCGACGATGTCAAGACATCTTTACAAGGGTACACAATACCGGAGTATGCAGCCCTTTCGTACGTCTGGGGCGACGCAGGAGAGAACGCCAAGAAACTTCATTTATCGAATGTCTCGCGTCTCAGTCAAGAAGGTCTTTCACCGGCCTTGGTAGCAAGGACAATATCAGACGCCGTCAAGGTCACCAAGCAGCTGGGTATACGATACCTGTGGGTGGATAGTTTTTGTGTCATCCAAGAAGACCGTAATGGACCAGATGACCCAATAGCACGTCAATCACAGCTTGATCAGATGGGCAGCATCTACGGCCACGCAATTGTTGTCATTGTTGCGGCCGGTGGAGAAGACGCTGAGGCAGGTCTGGCAGGTATAACAAGCTCCAGGAACACTAAGCAGATTGCGACGGAGGTCCGGCCGAATATCAACATCTTGTTCCCCATCCAATACGACCGATCGTACGAAAAGTGGGACACTCGGGCGTGGACACTGCAGGAAAAGCTTCTATCAAAAAGGATGCTTGTATTCGATAAGAATTCTGTCAGTTTCCATTGCAACGACGGCGTCTTGCGGGAAGACATGCCAGCAAGTTATGCCGACAACGACCCCCCTCAGATGACCCCCGTCTTTCGGGACTCCCAGATTGTGGCATCAGCCAAGTGAAAGAAAATTGGCAAGGGACTCTAGTCGTACTACGATCGCCGTTCTTCACCGAATATGCAAGGCTACTCGAACAATACACAAGCAGAGATAGGTCCAAGTCCGACGACGTCCTCAAAGCTGTACTAGGGCTTCTGAATGTCTTGGAAAATATGAGAAGTCCTGACAGCTTTGGGGTTCCCAAGGGTAGAAAGATTCAAAACAGCGAATCACGGGATCTCACCCTGTATGGCGTTCCAGAGGTATTTATCGATCTTGCGCTGCTCTGGCAGCCTCCAGCAGTCGCGGGATTGCATCTGACGAAACGGGAGAATGACAATTTCCCGAGTTGGTCTTGGGCTGGCTGGGACGTTGTCAAGCTCCCTTCTTATGACCGAAGTTCTGAAAACACTCTTCATGCTTACCCCGGCGTTCGTTTTGAAGAACCCTTCTGGGTCTCCGGTAATGCTGATTTGTCCCTTCGGAAATTTCTCGCGACAGAGAATGATGCCGAAGAGCGTTTCAGGCCTTTGATAATGTGGTTCAATTGGGTGCAAGATACAGAGCCTTCGAGGTCTAGGAAGCAACCAAAGCTACCACGGAAGCCGTCCAACTTGAAAAGCGATTCGGTGAGGCTTTCGTGTCCGGTAAAAATTCACCAGCCTTCAGGTAAGCTTGTACCTGTGAATGACTACGGATTGGGAATAGTCTGTGGTTCTCAGGACGCAGATATACGATTACTAGCGAGAATTTGTCGATCTTGTGATCATCTTATATCTACTGGCTTGCCGAAACCACCTTTGGTGACCCCCGGCGCACTTCTGGACAACCGCCACCTCGTCTGCGAGACACAAGTGGCGACTTTCAGACTTAGGAAGAAGACAGAATTGCGGAAGGAGATTTTTTGGAAGCAGACAGACGGGGGTGCAGTGGTCGCAAAGGAACTTGAAATATTGGAGGCCGAGATCCTTGACAGGTTGGACAACGTTGTTGGCCACGTGATTCCCACCGATCTAATGAAGCCTATCACTGCCGGTCCGTATAATTTCATACGGCTGTCGGAATCCCAATACTGGGGCAATGAAAAAAGAGTTGATATCGTAGGATTTCCGTTATACAACGTCATACTGGTAGAATGGGATACTAGGAAAGAGTTTGCTACGAGGATAGGCTTGGGAAAGATGACAAAGTCTGCTTGGCGAGCAGGAAATTCAAGCACGAGATGCGTAGTCCTAAGATAGACGTTTTCATGCAACAATAGCAACCTCATCGGCTCAAGAGCTCTGTAATGATAGTTTGGTACCCTCTGACGGCCTCCTCCAGTTCCGATATCCTAATGTGCTCCTGGTCCGAATGTGCGTACAGAATGGTTCCCGAGCCGTATAGATATCGCTTGTGGTCACCATAAAGTCCCGGGATGTCTGTTCCGTAGTTGAGGATGATACTTTCAAACCCTAAGCGAGTCAGCCGATCGAACATCCTTTCATGAACGTGCGTTGTCCCTACCGTCAATGTCGTGGTCGATGGCCACTGGCCCGACGCCATAGCGAAAGTCCAGCTGCAGCTCAGGCACGGCCGCGAGCATAGCCGCTTCGATAAGCCTTCTGAGAACCTCTGGAGCCTCAACGGCTACGCGCACCGACACGGTTGCGTAGGCGTCCTCAGGGATCACGTTGGCAGCCACGCCGCCGCCAATGGTGCCCACGTTGAGCGTCGAGTTTCCGAAGCGGGCACTCCCGGGCAATTCGAGGGCCTCAAGGGCGGCGAGGCCGCGCACGAGTAGGTTGATAGCGTTGATGCCCAACTCTGGGTAGCCCGAATGGCCGGCGATGCCTTTGGCCGTGAGATTGAAGCCAAGTCCGCCCTTATGGCCGGCGGCCAGCTTCAGCTCAGTCGGTTCGCCAAATACGGCGGCCTCCCAAGAGAGGCCAAGCTCGTTGGCCGCCCGGATCCCGTCGCCACCCTTTTCCTCGCCGACATCCAGCAACAGCGCCACATCACCCTCGGTGATTCGTCCGGCTGCGATCAGCGCTGACACGGACACCACCTGCGAGGCCACGCTGCCCTTGTCATCCACCGTGCCGCGGCCCCAGACGGTGTTTCCACGGCGCTCGTAGAGCTAAAAAGGTGGGACCGTGTCGATGTGCGACGTCACGAGCACGCGCGTCTGCCGCTGGTCACCCACGTAGGCAAGCACGTTGTAGCGGCCGGCTGTGATGGGTTGCAGCTCAACCGTGAAGCCATGAGCCTCCAAGTAGGGCTGCAGAAAGGCGGCCACGTCGCCCTCGGTCCTGGTGATGGACGAAATTTCCACCAGCGATTTGTGCAGCTCGACGAGAGAGGCGGAAGAGAAGGGTGCAAGAGATGGCTTGCCAGAACGGAGAGGCTTCTGGTCACTCTCGAATGTCGGTACGGTTCTAGAAACGGTACTTGTCGCGATAGTCGCCAAGAGGATGGCGGCCAACTGCCATTTCGTTGAGAACAGTTTCATGGTGTAGGGATAATCAGAGAAGAAGACAGGAGTCACCGAGTAAAATATATATATACAGACTCAGAGACGGGGAGAGCTACTTTGAGCGGGCTCGGGCAAAAACTGTCCGCTCCAGTATTGCAAGTACGTTGTAAGGGTTGTAATAGCCGGTTGACGATTGCCGCAATCGATCGTCAAGATAACGTCATGTACGATAAGACCTTATTTTTCCTCAGTTTGGCGCCATCGATACAACACAGCCAACCGGATTTCTCAGTGGATATGAGGCGCTGCTGTTTTGGCAACACTGGAGGCTCCAGTTGTGACATCACCTCTGCTTCTCCGCGATGTAGTCGGAAAACTGCATCAGCTCCACCATGGCCTGGTTGTCGTGCAGCCAGCCGCCCATCATCCACCCCATCTCTCCACCATCCTGCGGAGGAACCGAGCCAACAGTGGAGGTATGGTCGCCCGGGACAGGTTGTTCTTCAGCGGGCTGCGCGTCCGATCCACCGACACGAGAAGCCATGTTCGAGAAGCCCAATGCAGCTAGGTAGTCGTTCATCTGGACGCTCGCTTGCGTGTAGTCGAGGCCCTGTCCCGCCTGCATCTGGGTCCGGCTCATCTCGACGTAGTGGGACGCTACATTGTAGAGTGCCTGGAAGAGGAGGTGCATTTTTCCCGCCTCAGAGCTGAGTGCAGTCGCCGACTGAATGGAGTAGACAAAGGCCTGCATCTGAACCAAGTCAGACTCGTCCTGTGTCTCGATCACCTGGCAGAACAGAACGATGAACGGAATGAACGGTGAAAAGAGGAGTATCCTGTGTTGATGGTCTTAGCAGACGGCGAATGACAATTTACCACGCTCCTTGGCCACCTACCAGTAGACATATAAAGGAAAAAACATTTCTTGATTCTTTCCTACCACAGACATGCAGAGCTGGTGACGCTTCAGGGTCGTCCGGGCAGCATGAAGGCACTCGGCGCTAAACGTCGTCAAAGAGCCGATCGGTCGAGGATCAGCTCGGTAGATCAGGGTGAGCAAGGATGACCGGAGAACTTCGTCGGAATAGTTATTAAAGTCTAGGATGTCTTTCCCAATGGCTGCGCTGACAATCGCATACCATTTTTCCTGGCGATTGTCAGTTCCGTTCATTGTTCTTTCACCTAGACACCAGGGAAAGCTTACATTGAATTTCTGCGAGTTTACTTCGAGGCGCTGTATCTCGGTTGCAAGATATTGCACCCGGTCTTGCCTAACATCTGCAGGCCGGGTTACGGCGTCGGGACTGTACAGCATCTCGTAAATGTCACCCTGGCAGCGAGCAGCCTCAATGTATAAGACAAAATACGCAAAACCCCAGGACTCTTCGCCAGAACCTGTGATGGAAGACGGTATTGGAACCGTGATGCTCCACTGCGGTATCGTAGATGGTCTGCCAAGGCGAAGAGAGAGAGACTTCTCGAGGTTGTAAGTAGCCCAGAATAAAATCAGCTTATGCTGGACCTTTTCAGGTGCATCTTCGTGCATCGTTGCCGCGTTGTTGTAGCCTAGAGTCTGGCACAGCTCAGATGCTTTGCACGTGAGGATCCACGACAGAGACGGCTTTGAAATCTCAATGGCATAGTAAGTCTGCAGCCCGGTCAGCATCCTAAGTCTCTCGAAAAGACCGGGGTGCATCTTACCCCCATCAGCAGTGCCGCGATAACGTCAGGTCGCGCAGGAAGATGCAGCGGCAGGCTGGACAGGGCTGTCTCGAGATGAACGTGGCACATGTGATCGTATCGGAGATACTCCTCTTTCTCTTCGGCCGAAACGGTGTGAGCATGCATCCAGAATAACGCAGACAGTCCAGATAACACGACAATATAGTCGTATTCAGACGGCGTCGGTGAGAAGTATGCGTGGTGGCACATGAGGGGAAAGTCATTCATCGTCAATGCATTGTAGCACTGCATCGTCAGATGGAGATGCTTGTGTGTTTCTGTAAACACTCAGTCAGGTTTCTAGTTATTATCTCATCTTCGGTGTAGAATGGAACATCTTCCTGGCATTACCATTACAGGCGCCACTGACTAGCGCCATGGCCCTGTCGATGGGCGGAAGCCGATCACGTTTTGGAAGCTGCACACGAGGTTCAAGGCTGAGGGGGTACGTCATTTCACTTGCCGCCTTGGGCCTCTTTAGAGTTGTGACGATGCGAGACAGGACGTCAAGGGTCTGCCGCATGTCCAGGCTGGGCGCTGCAGGGGACCCACTGGTGATGAAGCTGTTGACGAAGTTGCTTGCAAAAGCTGAGTGTGCGCCGAGAGATGAGTCTCCCTCCACCACGGTCGCACCATCCGTGTCATGCTGCAGGTTTTTGTCGGTCGGGCCAAGTGCAGCGGGTGTGGCACATGGCGCATGATGTTCTGCTGCTGCGTGTGGCAGCGTGGAGAAGTGTATCGGCCGCTCTGATGGTCAGAGCACAGGAACGTTCAGAGCTCCTGGAGATGCAATCTGGACTGTGCTGCTTTGGCTTGACATTGTCTTGGTCAGCTGCTCGAGCAGGCCGATGGCCACATCCAGGCGTTCTTCAAGGTGGTCAATCTTTTGTTCACTGGGCCGATCGTGAGTATTCAGGCGGCAAAGGAGATTGAAACGAATGAGTGAGACACACTATTGTCTCGTGAGAAGAATGCGCGCTCGCTTTTCTCTCGGTTTGGGCTCGTTCGTGCACGATATGCCGGCCTGAATACAGTGCGAACAGGGTTGTCCACGATTGCATCGAATCTTCTACAGGTCAGCCAGCCTGCCCGTAAGAAGCCTAATCCGGGTATTCTAGCCGATCGCATACCTTTCGAGCACGACAGGCGTCACACTACAACACGTTGTTAGCTGTTGGGCCGTTGTACCCCGGGATGAAGTCATTCCAGAAACTGACAGCTCGTCGTGCCGTCATTGAGCATCCCGGTGAGTTAGGGCACCCGCCGACATGGTCGGTCTCTGCGGCCGCATCGTCCATGATTATTTTGATATAGAATTCAGGTCTGTAGGTGCCGTTGTATAAGGCGTTGTGCATGTGTGGTCAGCATCGGATTGAGCCACGGAGTCCGCGCGGTCCGAAAACCGAGAGTCGGTGTGGGCGTACCGACGAGAACACGTGACTTCGTGCCCAGGATCGATTAGTCATTAATGACCCGCGGACTCGCTTCATCAGCTCATTCTACCACGATCCCTATCGTTTTTCATAGTGTAAGTATTTTTTATCCTTCTTTTTGCTTGGCTAAAAAGGGCCTGTCCGCTTTTCCCTCGGCTTAATGCTTTGCCTATTGTCAAAGGATCGAGAAAGATGTTGTATGTGCCGTGAGCAATCTCACTTGAGCCTCACTTGGGCCTTGGTCTAATATATTATTCGTGTCTGACAAAATCATAAATGGTTAGTTCTGGTGGGTTGAAGGCAATTTTCAGCAACCCCGCCGCTGACCCAAAACTCTCACCGAAATTAGGTATAACCACGAAACTAGGTCCTATGAACGATGAGTTGAAAAGGACAACGGCACTCTCATACTGATCTTTGATCCAGTGCGTGGACCACGTATTATAGCAGGCGACTCAATGCGGAGTGCCGACCGAATGCTTCACGCAGTGACCAATTTCGATCTGTACGTCTCGGCGAAACTTTCAAAAAATCGCCGACTAGCTTCTGCCTAGGACGCCTTATGCGTTGTAATCATGCGACTACTTTCTGCCACCGCTCTTGGTAGTAGATATTTTAAACAAAAGGGATGTAGGGCCGCAATAGTAGTCGCAGACCTCAGCAAGCTTCAATTAAAGTGTGCCCTTGATTGAAGCTGTGAGACTATCGACCCCGTTCTGCAATATTATTCTAGGTTTGTGTTCCTACTGACCTGGAAAACAAAAGTTACAGTCCAAAGGCTGATAGACCGACTTTCCAACCCACCAGAACGCCATTTTCGTATAGAAAAAAAATAGGTACGACATCATGTCTTCCGAGACGGCATTCGATATTTCGTCGACCGGTGTTGCTCCCTCAACCATTCACGACGGCGAGCTCTCTGGCCAAGAGGATTTTGATCCCTGCTTCAGCTCTGTTTTGTCTTCTGATTTCGAGCCTGTGGTGTGTACTCCTCCCTCCGAGACGGAGACGTTTGAAACTGTTCAGAACGGTCGGGCTGTACCTGCTCCTGGTGCCGGCGTCATCAACTTGGACGTTCCTACGTTCGATGGGACTGGATTTGCGACCGACTACCTGAGGGGCCTGAAGGCCAGATCCATGCTGGCGGGCTTCACTGAGAAGGATGACCGAGATTTGATTGAGCACACACTCTTTGTCGAAGGCTTGAAGGGCAGCGCCAAGGTTTGGTATAAGACCGAAGTCACGAAAGAAATACGAGCCAGTTGGGATGGACTGAAAGAAGCGTTTGCAACCCAATTCCACGAAAAGACGGCACATGAAGAAGAAACTGAGCGTCTCGTCTATGAGATTGTTCACTTCAAAAGGGGCCCAATAGAGTCTCTGCGCGATTTTTTACTGAGGGCCGATGCTTTAATGGAGCGCATTTACACAAAAGACCATGAACGCATGCTATGCCGCAGCTTGTTCAGCGGTCTGTGGGAAGGTGGATACGAAAGCCCCATCGCAAGTATTATTCGGGAGTATCTGGCATCTCGCCAGCTGTTGGACAAATCGGGCCAGATGGTGAGCAAGGCTTGCACGTACTCTGACATGTTGTATGCCTTTGTGTATGCATCGAGGTAGCTCAGTGTGCAATGTACGGAAGGACAATTAGGACGTGTAACGGCCTTGGGGAGAACTCACAGGTTTGTTTATGGAACGAATGATTACGAGGGAATGCTTTGGCTGCGTCACAACAGGCCACGGATGATCAAGTGGACGTGTCAGTTCGGGGTCGTGTTTTAGCATTAGATTGAGTTGCAGACTGTACGCAGTGTTCAATGAGAAATGTCGCATCCAACAAGTCAATTGAGTGCTATCATGAAAATAGAAAGAAGACACAGGCTCTTGACTAAGAAATAAGGGCATAACGGAAAGAGGAAAGAGGATGGAAGAGGAAGGGAAAAGGAAATGGCGAAAAGGAAAACCAAAAATCCCACTGGCTAGCAAGAACGGCACCTTCGTGAATATCGTCAGTCTCCGACCCAACTAGCGTTTAGTTTTGACCAAGTACAGAGTAAATGAATGCCATCCAACTTTGTGTACGAATATATCCTTCCTTTATTCCAATGCCAGAAGTATTCACCTGCTCTTTTCACGCACGACTGTCTGTGCCCGGAAAAAAAGGGTAGTCACGTCAGTTTCTGTTTCAGCTCACACCCAACAGTCTACTCCGTAATCACTCCCAGATTGGAGCGACTTCGATAGAGGAGCCTGGCGCCGCTGACGTCGGAGTAGTGGGTTCTTCGGACTGCTCACGCCCGTCATCTTCAGAGTTCTCCACCGTGGTGCCATCAGAAACAGGCAGATCGCTCCCTTCGGCGACAGAGTGGAGTGCCTCCTCCCAACGATCCTTGAGCTCGTCCCGCAGGGTGTACGATACCTCCCTCGCGTAATCTTGCGCGCATCGGAGAGCGGTTCGACCCTGTGTAAAGCCAAGACGAGTATCGAGTACGTTGGTCGATATGACTGGATACTGGTGGTATTCCGTCCTTCCTTTTTCCGACACGGCCGAGTAGTGAGCGTAAATGGTGAGCCTGCTGCCCGTATTTGTGAATGTGATAATTTGGGCATGACCAGGCGGGTCAGACATCCCCAGATAAGCAAGGGCCTTGTTCCTTGTATAAACAAGCGCTGCGCCATGGTAAGCGCTACGCCATCTGACTTTCTCCTTGGTCCCGTACAACGACCACTCGCCCGCCAGGTGCGGCAGTGTTAGGGAACAGGGGTCGTATTTGTACAGAACAGCCCCGCTGGCCATCTCGTCGATCGGAAAGGGCTGGAACTCGTCCTTCTGAAGACCCTCGACAAAATCGGGTACTGGGATAGACAGGCCTCGATTGATACCAGCATCTTTGGGAAAGTTTGTAAATTTCTGATTGTATGCTTTTTTGTAGCCTTCTCTGGGGTACTTTTTGAGCAGCAGCCCGCTCGTTTCCATGGTCAGAGTTGCCGAGTTGCGGGCTGCACTAACGGCTTCGACGTAGTCCTCATACACTGACTCGGTATCCGAATAGGCATCGCAGGCTTGGTCGTATCGTCTGCGAATATCGTCCAGGTTCGCTGGGATCTTGGAGTTACGGCAATCAAACACGCCGTTCTTCAGGGCCTGCATAGCAAGGTACGACGTTGCTGTCGTTGTGGTTCTCACCCCCGTGCCCAGGGACGAATGAACTGTGTATTCTGAAGGGCAGGACTGCGTTCCGAGATTCTTGTCTGACGTAATCCTGTTGAGACGACGAAGATTCTTCCGCGTCAACCGTGGCCGATACTGCCGGGGCCCATCCTCTTCAACAACGCTGGTCTCTGCATCTAGAGGCAGTATGGCCGGTCCTTTCACTGTTATTTCGTCTTTCACCGATATTTCGTCTCTCACTTCATCTTCGTCTTCTTCGCTGGGCTGCATATGTCTCCCAGTCCGTCTTCGCCTCCGGGATATTGGCGGCTCGGAAGTTGTTGCAGACGATGCTTCGACAACATGCTCCGGTGGGGGGGAAGATTCCGCAACGGTGGGTTGATGTCTCTGAAGCCGCGCGCTGCGGCGACAGACACGTGTTTCTGTCACAATTAGCACAGTAGATTGTCTCGCGTGTATGTAAAATTGCGTACCCCTAGACGTTTCCAGCCGTTCTTTCTTGGCAGGAGATGGTTTGCCGGCCGAAGATTGCCTGTCGGTAGAGGCTGTATTATTATCGAGCGTTCGTTTCCGAGTGAGCCTAGACGAACTCCCTAGAGCACGAATTAGTTAGCGTCAGACTACCGTTGAGTGGAGGAAGAGCTCCACAAACATACCCGCTGTATTGCTTGCAGTGTCTGGCGGCGCGGGTAATTTAGCGCGCGAGCGACGGAACCGGGAGTTGGAATTCCTGACCCTTCCCATAGCGAATAAAAGACTGGTGAGCGAGGAGGTAGATTGTCATATATCAGCGTGCAGATTGTTCGACAGAAGAACCGTGTCCGCCGTTTTTTTGTTGGATGGCGAATCTTGATTTTAGTTTGGGTTGGAAGGCGAAGGGTATCTAATAGCGGGGTGTTATAATGATTGGCTGGTATTGGGTGAGATAAAGGTGCAGCTGCTGCCGACAGCGTTTGCCCGTCCGCAGTTGAACGGCCAGGTCAATCTCAAGATGGAGATCGCTTTGTTTGTCGGGGAAATAGAAGAAGCAGTTCTACGACAGCCACGCGCAACAGACGATGACCTTTTTCACCCGCCTACCCCAAAGTTCGCTTTCAGTTGAAGCCAGTTCGGCCACCACTACGGACGGAGCAATATTGCGTCCGATGAAAGCCTACGCGTACGCCATCAGCACCAAAAAGAAGTATGTTCGAATAGAACTGACAGGGACTAGAGTTGACGGGCAATGTGCGAAGCCCACGTTGTTAGCTCCATGCAAGTGATATCCAGTGAATTTCGCTCTGACAAAGTGCGTGGAATCTGTCCCGCCTCGTCTTCCTTCTATGTACTCCGTAGGATACATGCGCTATCGCGCCAATGACTGCAATACAGAGTACCCCGTACTTTCTCGTCCTCTGCCTTGGTGGCGCAGTTGCATGAGCTAATTCTGCTGATGTGCCCCCACCAGAGAAATATTGCATTTGAATGACCCCTCTCGTATGTCTGCCAATGAAAGGTCTCAAGGACGGAAGGGCTGTACACATGCCCACTTCTCAGGCAAAGCCAACACGGGATGTGAGCAATTTTAAAGCTGCAATTAAAATATGTGCGACAACTAAGAACCATTTCGTCTGCATTCGGGTTGTACTATTTTGGATGGAATACGATACAGCGCGCCTTTCTAACAATAGTGGCTCATTACTGAGCTGTTGGCCAAGGGAAAATACGAGCGTGTAGAGGCTTAACGGGCATTTGGCTCGATTTTCCCTGAATCCTGAAGAGGGCCATTCTGTGAGGGTGTCGAGGATGACTACAAGAATGAACAGCAGTGGTCACACCCCCTTTCCAATTCATTTGACATCGAGCCTTGATCGTGCTACTTCCTCAATCTACCACAAAGCGTGCACACCAGCTTCGATCAGGTCTTTCTTTTTTTGCTTGGCTCCCTGGCTCCTTTGTATTTTGCTGCCTCTTTTCTCTTTAATTCTTCCGACCATTGGCGGTTTCGTGAGTTGCTTGGTGCTCGAGCAAGCTTTTCCCAAGCCCTCATTCCGACAACGTACTTGGAATCGCAGATGCAGCTTTCTCGTAATGAAGCTACGATCGCCACCGCTTGCCAAGCCCGATATTTCTGGTCATGCAGGCCGACAAGACTGGATGGAGTGCCCCCTCCTTCAACAAACGGTGCCCTCATGGGGCGGCTTGGCAAGGCCAAAGTACCAATACCCCATACTATTGAGCACGAGGCAAGAGGCATCTGGCAGCTCCTTTGAGGGGAAATCTTGGCAAATTCCCCAGAAAAATGGGCCGGAATGTAGGATTCAGCTAGCTCACTGCCAAGACGAGAAACAGGGATTGGAGAGGAGAGAGGAAGGTGTGAGGAAGGCAGCTGACATAAATACAGAGAGGCTCTCTTTGGAAATTCCCTGTTGCCTGCAGTTCTGTCTCGCAGTCTTCAACACCCTCCATATATCATCCTCTCCACACCCAAGATGGCCGGCGGAGTCAAGAAGCCGGTCAACGTGTTCCGGCTCAAGAACCTGGGCGAGCCCAAGGGCGTGTTCAACTGGCGTCTGTGGTTCTCAGTCTTCTCGTTCGGGCTGCTGGGCGCAGCCCGTGGCGTGGACGAGGGCCTGATCTCGGGCGCATTCAACAGCAAGGACTTCCAGCACACCATCCACTACAGCACGTACTCCAAGGTGGAGCAGGCCAACATCAAAGCCAACGTGAGCGCCATGGTGCAGATCGGATCGGTGGGCGGGGCACTGTTTGCATTTGTGGTCTGCGACCGGATCGGGCGCATCTGGGCGACGCGACAGCTGTGCGTTCTCTGGATCGTCGGCATTGCCATCTTCCTGGGCGCCAATGGCAACCTGGGGGCTGTGTATGCCGGTCGCTTCATCGCTGGCCTCGGTGTGGGCCAGACGCCCGTCGTGGGCCCCGTGTACATTGCCGAGATTGCTCCAGCGTCGGTGCGTGGATTGTGCACCTGCATCTTCACCGGCTTCGTCTACCTGGGCATCGTGCTCGCCTATTTCACCAACTACGGCTGTCAGGTCAACCTTGGCGACACGTCGCATCGCCGCTGGATGGTGCCGACATCATTGCACATTCTCTTTGCCGGCATCATCTTCTGCCTCACCTTTTTGCAGTACGAGTCGCCGCGCTTTCTGGTCAAGAATGGTCAGCCGGAGCGGGCCCTCGAGGTCATGTCGCGACTGCGCCAGCTGCCGCCTGACCACGAGTATGTCACACGCGAGCTTGCCGCCATCCACACACAGCATCAGGAAGAACTTGAAGCCACGCGCGGTGCCGGCATGCTGGGCGTGCTCAAAGAGATGTTTCTCGTGCCTAGCAACCTCTATCGGATCTACCTCACCTGCATGGCCCAGCTGATGAGCCAGTGGAGTGGCGCTGGCTCTATCACCATCTACGCGCCCGACTTGTTCAAGCTGCTCGGCGTCACCGGCACCAACGAGGGCCTCCTGGTGACAGCCGTCTTTGGCATCGTTAAGCTTTGTGCGGCTGTCATCTGCGCCCTCTTCCTTGTCGACGTCATCGGCCGCAAGCGCGCCCTCCTCACTGGCATCACACTACAGGCCATCGCTATGCTCTACATTGCCGGCATGTTGACGGCCGTTCCCCAGCTCGGCATCGTCAACGACTACGAGCTCACTCGCACCGAGTTGGGGCCTTCGCGTGGCGCCATCTTCATGATCTACCTCTCCGGCTTCGGCTGGGCTCTCGGCTGGAACAGCATGCAGTATTTGCTCACGGCCGAGCTGTTCCCATTGCGCATCCGTGCCGTCAGCACCTCTCTCTCTATGGTCCTGCACTTTGCCAATCAGTACGGCAACGCCCGTGCCGTTCCCAACATGTTGCTGCCCGTAAGCGATGGCGGTATCGATCCAAAGGGCACTTTCTGGTGCTTTGCCGCCATCACTCTTCTGGGTGCCGCCTGGGTCTGGTTCTTCATCCCCGAGACCGCCGGCCGCTCGCTCGAGAGCATGGACCGTCTCTTCTCGCTTCCCTGGTACAAGATCGGCCGCTACGGCAATCGCGATGCCGACCGCCAGGACGTCGTCTGCGAGACTAAGCTGGACGAGGCTGTCGCAGCTGAGGTGGCCCACGTCGAGCAGAGCAGGCCGGAAGAGACACAGACCCGGCACACGGAACTGCGTCTTTAGGCGTGTACTCCGTAGGAGTCGCGCAATTAGCGTCTCTGGCCTGTTTGTTTGGGAGAAGATGTGCTTGGCAGATACTTTATCTTGCTGTAGTGTTGAGAAACGAAGAATCATTCCAGAAAATTGACTTGCAGAAAATAAGATAAACCCCTTGTTACGTGAAAGGTCACAATTGCTGCTTGCTTCTCCAGGACTACAATGCCGGATTCTATTGTTCTACAGTACCTACGACGAATTCCTTACGATCACTGCAAGACTCTAGGATCCAGCCCAGATACCATGTCCCGTCGAGAACCTACGAGGTCCCTATATCTACGTCTTCGCCGCAAACGTCACCAACATCTCGTACTCGGCGCACGATTCGATAGGATAGGTCTTCCTGTCTTCCACGCTCAAGCTATCCTCGGCCAATTGGGCGGCTGGTGGCCGCTGCACCCGCATTCGGTAATAGTCTAGGAGGCAGCTTGTCTTGTACTCACCGATGGTCGAGAATGTGGCAGCAACGCCGCCTAGCCACAGACAGTTGTCCGGGTTGTCAAACGGGTTCTTCCATGCCATCCAGCTGTCGTCCATGTCCTGCTTCTGTTTCTGGAAGTGAGCGTATAGGTCCAGGGAAGCCGACTGGATCCGGCCAATTCGCGCTCGCGACTCCGGTGAACACTGCTGCAGCAAGCCTGTGGCCGCCTGCCGTTTAACGTCCAACGCGTACTTACGCAATCCCCGGAGGTTCTTGTACCGAGCAGCACTGGCTACCACGGTGTAACTGCCTCTGTCTGCATGGAAGAGCAGGCAGTTGGCCAGCCCGGGATACCACATCTTTCCATCGCATTTGCGCAGACTGTCCTTAAGCTCCACAAGGATGTCGTGTGGCCTCTTAAGATCTCCCCAAGGACTACTTTGGGAGGAGACTGTGCAGGGTGTTTCGGTGTTCCATATATCGGCAATGGCCCGAAGAAGCAACGTCAACGGACACAAGCAGGTGTACTTTCGCGACGCAATGGCCGGGGGTGATGGCTCGTCCTCCTTGTCTGCGGCCGCCTCGTTCGCCCTGATACGCTCCATCTTGCGGCGGGTCAGTCCATACACCTGCTTGAGATCGCCAACCACTTCCTGTAGTGCTGTGATGTTCACACCAGGGAACCGGAGTGCGACCATGAGGACGGCGTCAACGTTGTGCTCCGATGCCGCCAGCTCTTCCTCAGACTTGCAGATAAATGCCGTGTTGAATTTTGATATGTCCGAGTTGTAATAATACACCGACTTGTCTGGGAGAACTGGCGAGTCCATTGCGTAGTTAGATTGGGGGAGCAGAAGAATGGAACGCGGAAGAGTTAATGGTTGATTGTCTTCTAGACGGACAACAGTGCTTACCAGGTTAGGCAAAAGGCCATTAAGTACGCGCCTGCGGCTTTGTAGGTATTCTTTTCATACATGGCCACCCACAAAGCTGTTCTTCTTGTTCAGCCATGTCGCCCCGTACAAAAACCTTTGTTCACCCGGCGGCTTTGCTTTCTCCGAACAGCCCTGGCTCACATCTCTAGCGCCCGTCACTTTTCCACCTCCAACAGGCCAAAGTGCAGACCCTTGCTAAAGTACAGCTCCCAGACTTCAGGGCCGGTCGCCGCAACAACTTCGTCGGGCAGCCGCACCGGACGCCACGTCAGCTTGCCCTTCATGCCACCGCGCCGTGCCGCCTCTTCGTAGATGCTCTTGCGCAGGTGGTAATTGCAGAAGCGGATTGCGGCTGCTTCACTCCCCGTTGGGCTGCCCACGATCTCGGTCTTCCAGCCGGCACCCGAGGCCAGCCGCTCGTAGTAGTTCACCGCGACGCCCCAGTTTTCCGGCTTCTCGCTCTCAAAGTCGCTGGCCATCTTGGCAAACGCATCAATGTCGTCGGTCGCGTGCGGCGTCACGCTCACAAACACGCCTCCCTCGCCCAGGTTGGCCGCGATGCTTGCAAACATGGCCGTCATATCGTCCAGGCTGGCGGCATAGTTGAGCAGCCAAGCGCCCGTGACGAGATCAAACGGCTGGCCCTCGTCGAAAACTGCCCCGAGCCGCTGCGCATCGCCCACCTGGAACTGCAGCCGCTTGTCCTCTGCTGGCCAGCCTTGCTGCGCCGCCGTGATCATGCCCTCGGACAGGTCGATACCCACTACTGAGGCCGCACCCCAGTCCAGTAGTCGGCGCGAGTAGAAACCGGTGCCGCAGGCCAGGTCGAGCACGCGGGCGCCGCTGCCATCAGGCCGTCGAAGACGCGGGGTCACCGCATCCCGGAAGTTGGCCTGCTCGACGAGAGACGCCGGCTGCGTTTTAAAAACCGTAGTGTATTTTGCGCCTATGGCGTCGTACTGGGAACCCATCGTGGTAATACGTTGTTCGGAAGACAAGGAGACGCAAGCTCCTGGTCGTTGCGAGATACATGACGAAAACCAACGGCTTTCCCCGCTTCACAATTCGCCACCAATTACGTGTGAGAGCTGGCATCTGCTGGCAGTTGCAGGTGGACCAGCAGTGCAGTTGGGACCACTATTCTTCTAAAGCATTTCAGCTAGACGTGACGCTCTGCGGAAAAACTTAGAGGATGCCACATCCTCTCTGCTGGCGTGCTGGCGTGTTCATAGTTCATGAACATGTTTTGCAAGAGAGCACAAAGAGGTTTCCTCCTCATCTTGGAACGTCCCGAAATAGTTAGTCCGATGAACCGGAACTCCACCCGAGCCAAGGTTAATCCGTGCCGAGCCCAATAGCCTCCGGGCTACGGGCTAAGCTTTTTTGGAATCCGCTAGAACTACCGGATAAACCATAGCGCCGACCCGGGCAATGCCCCGGTGGGCACGTGCCGAATTTTCCGGCTTTTGATGAAACAATGTTTGCAAAAGACAAGCAGTCTCAGCACGCGAACCGCATCTCCTGCGCATTTCGCGTAACTGGATAGAACTACGACGTATGACTGTCTGCAGGCCAAATCCTTCCTGATTTCACACTAGCCTCGAATGTCACCGTGAACCTCAGTCACTACCGAATAGCACGAGCATACTCGCTCCCTTGAATCGACAAAGCGCGCCATTGAACGAAAGCTGGCCTGTTTTATTCGAAACATCCAGTTGCACAATCATAATACAAGTAGTCTTCCTCATTCTCCTACGACCCGGAAGACCGTTTCAAACGAGGCCAGCTCGCCGAACTCGTGCAACTTCAGAGCCTGGCTACCATTTTATGGCTTGTCGACGAGGGCCGCTTAGGTTCCATGACCACCTGATCCCATTTTGACCAGCTACGACTGGGACATCGACGGTCTCGTACACGACGTCTAGACGTAGACTAGAACTGTGAGGTTGGGCGCATAGCCCAGTGGCTTGTCGGCACCTACTTCACGGGCGGGGTAATATGTCGCACTTATTGTGGTATAAAAACAAGCAGCGGGACTTTACCCACGTTTCTGTGGGCCGCCAAACTGCCCAGTCTCTTAGTAGGCAGCGTAGTCGGAGGCATGATCACGTATGCCCCGATGGGTCCAGAGCAGTCACGTCTTGTACATGACAGGATATCTGATTGGTGAAAAAGAAAGAGGCAGCAAAACTAACCAACATTCATGCCCAGTCCCAAGACAATTCCTATATTCAACACAGAGATACCAGCCTGTCATCCTGTACGGAGCACAGCACGCCTTACACGCTATCTAACCTAACTATGAAAGTGCAAGGCTACAGTTTCAACCCTTTCAAAAGGCGTCTCGAGCATGTATCAGAAGATGCGTACGTACTAGACGTTCAGTGGTTAAACAAAGGAAAGTCCTCGAGCGTACGAGTACCTGAAAACATAACAAGCCTGCGCCTTCACATCATGAAAGCTTGCCCATTCATGATACTAGTCGACCAGCTCGAACTTGCCACCCAAAAATCAATTTCAGTACATGAGTGATACTCGTGTTCTGTACTCTAGAGATCGCCCTGGATTTCATCAATCCTGAACTAGATAGTAGCCACTCCTTAACGTTGAGTCTAAAGATATTCGCTCTCTTGTGCGTTCTAGATCAACATAGAGGCAAGACTCCAGCTGATAGAACAAATCACTGAAAGGCTTCCAAGGCTATTTTCTCTGGCAGCTGATTCCAATAGCAGTCTAATGTGCAGGCGATAATTGACCTGTTCAACTCGTCCAAAAAAAAGCTGGTGCATGGATTTGGCCGGCTCTTACAGGCAACTGGGCTCCGATTCGGGATATAGTCTTTTGTGTGGGTCATTACGTGCTGCAAGTTGGCGAAGGCGTGACAGCCTAATCAGCACGTTCTAGCTGTCAGTGCTTGATATCGACGGGGCAAAGCAGCAATATACCCTGCATAGTAGGATTTCACGACAACGCGTATGGAAACGCCAAGGACTGCAAAATGGCGTGCTTCAATAAATATTCCTAGGTTGTCGTCGTAGAGACGATAAGAACCTGGCAAGCGGACTGGACGTGGACAAAAACGGTATTATTTTGCTCTGCGTTTGATAAATCGAAAGAAGCCAATTGAAAAGACCTTCCATCCCATCTCGTCCATCTATCATGGTTTTTCCAAGGGTTGCGAGGATCTATCGATCTTGTCTGTTCCAGATCATAGTTGTGGGTCTCGTCGCCTTTTGCGAACCTGGCATCTGGACGGCCCTCAACAACCTGGGCGCAGGAGGCAATGCCAGTGTAAGTTTTTTTTCATTTATGAAGATGCCATTACCAAGCTGCCGGCTGACATGCATCACCACTGCACAGCCGCGACTAAACAATGCGGCAAGTGCCCTCACATACGGCCTCATGTCGGTAGGCTGTTTCCTTGCCGGAGGCGTTGCCAACAAGATCACGTCCAAATGGACCCTTGTCATAGGTGCAGCCTTTTACACGCCCTATGCTGCCGGCTTGTATTGCAACAACCGGTACGGAAACGAGTGGTTCCTTCTGCTGGCTGCCGCTCTCTGCGGCATAGGTGCATCTCTGCTCTGGGCGAGCGAGGCCGCTATCGCGGTGGGATACCCAGAGGACGAGAAGCGAGGACTGTGAGTAGCCTCTTGAACTATGCTTTCTGATACAGCTGACTGAACTATGTCTTTATCAGGTACGTTGGCATTTGGATGGGCATCCGGCAGTTGGGACCACTTGTCGGCGGTTCCATCTCCCTTGCTCTCAACGTCAACACAGCACACGCAGGCAAGGTTTCGTATAAAACTTACCAGGGCCTTGTGGCCATCTCGGCCTTGGGGGCACCATTTGCGCTGCTCCTGTCGCAACCCCAGGATGTCATCCGGTCAGATGGTACCAGGATCCCTTACATGAAGACGACCAGTTTTTCCATTGAGGCTCGTGCCATCTGGAAACAGCTACATAACAAGTACATGTTGCTCCTCATTCCTGTCTTTCTTGCTGGGCAGTTCGGCACCACATACCAATCCAACTACTTGACGAGTAAGAGCCATCTTTCCCAGTGCGGCATGTGTGTGGTCGGTAGGGACGTCTCGCTGACTTGAGATCACAGCATATTTCACTGTACGCGCTCGAGCCCTGGCATCGTTCCTGACAGCAGTGGTTGGCCTTACAGCCAACATCTCGACTGGACTGTTTCTGGACTGGAAGCGTATGTCTAGGAAATCTCGGTCTCGCATTGCATACATTGTTGTGCTCCTTTTTGTCACGGCCTCGTGGGCCTGGAATGCGGCGATGCAAGTAGAGATCTTCGCTCTGCCAGAGACGCCCACTCTGGACTTTGGTCACGGCCGGCTGTTCAACTCGTCCTTTGCCGTCTACATTTTCTTCCGATTCTTCTACGAAGCACTGCAGACGTACATCTACTGGCTCATGGCCGAGATCAAAGGTGCACAGGGCGATGGTGATATTGCGAGAACGACGGGCATCTTGCGATCGTGGGAATCGATCGGCAGCACGATTGCTTACGCAGTCGGCACCACCCACTGGGGCAACACCAACCAGATGATCTTGGGCTTTGCGCTCTGGGGAGCCACCATCCCGTTCACGCTGCTCGCCGTCTTTGGCGACTGGAACGTGCCGGCTGCGCTGGCCGAAGAGGCCGAGAGCAGTGGCAGCGAGCAGACACTCGAGACGCAAACTGTTGTTCTGGACCCTGAAGGAAAGGTCTAGCACCCTCACGTGGATGGGGGTCTGCCAGATCAAAGTTGCTCGTGAACAGCGAAACGGAGAAATTGGCGCACAGTCGACAACATTTCATAAAGATAGATTAGAGATAGACAAAATTGGCTTTCTTGTATGTTGAGAAGTGGAAACATACATCCGAAAGGTGTAAGAATTGGCACATGCGAGGTGGCCAAAGGTGCTTGTTTACAGCCAGCATGGCACAAGTTAATACACATACACAGTACGAATTAAGAAGCTAAGATTCTACACGGAAGGTGGGACAATGCACGGGCTACAGAAGCCTCATTCTATAGCCAAAACACCCCCGAGTAGGACAGCTCGGTTGCGAAGGTCAGCAGAAGGGGTGATTTATTCAACGATCGACGAGTAAAAGTATTTCAGGTTGCAGAGGAGAACATTCGATTTGCTAAAATCCCCACCGAGCCCGAAATTATGATGGACAAATGTCGACGAAACAGGTTGTGTAGTGTCGAGATTTAAGGTGACGGTTGAAAAAACGGGGGATGAGATCTGGTACGATTTATGTAAGCCCCATTGAAGATAAGAACTGATCCTACTCTGTGCAATACGGAGTACATAGATCCCTGCTATTGATACTCTTTTGGTGCGCCGTATCGTGGTTGGTCGCCGTATGCCCCCAGTACATTGCAGGATTGGCATCTTACGAATTAATTCCAGGCCCTTGGTGCACTTCCACAAAAGCCTGGGGTCTGTAACATTACACGTCAAAAAGACATTCAGCCACCAGCTTAGCGATAGAAGTCCTGTATGTAGAGTTTCGAGTTCCTGAAATGCCGACGTTCCGAAGATTTGGCACATGCGTTATGCACCTTTGTGGGATTTGTCTATCTAGCTCAAATACATTGCCAAGTACGAGCACAAGCTCCGAAGTCACATGCAAGTACTCTCCATACAGCGGTTTGATTCACTATAGATTCTTTGGTTGGATACGACGGTCGCTGCCGATCTTGACTTGTTTGCATATTTTAGCTTCCTAACTAAGCAATGGCCGATCTTAGTGACAACACAGACGTCTACAGTTTTTCCACGGATCCAGATGTCCCCTTTCAGATCTGCTTGCCAAATGCATTGGCCGACTTGTGGGATATGGGAGCTTTCGGGCTGGTCTTAATACGGAATACTTGTACTGCTCGTTGCAGCATTGACCTCTCACTAAAGGGGGACTTCCTGCAGTAAGCACGCAAGTGGGTCGTTTTGTTTTGGCTTGGGGGGCGCATGGTTGACACTTCTCACAAATGACGCGTACGACAACCGGTTAGTCAGTTCGCAGCTGGCCAGAAAAACGTCTTTAAGACGCCACATAAGATACGTACTCCGTATTACTCCATACTGAAGTTATTGTACCTGTAAAGATCCCGATGCAGTCAGGGATGGAGCCCCTGTTTCCAACCATCGAATACTTGCCGCAATCGTAAGGTGCATGCATCGTACGGCGTACTATGTAGAAGGCACTGCCAGGTAGCATTTGTCTCCCACAATGTACGGCGTAAGGTACCTCTTCACACGCTCTTAATACCTTCCGCATGCTCCGTAGAGGATCAGCCTAACGACGAGGGGAAGTAAAGTGGATTAATGTGTGGATACGGCGCACTTGTACTCCAGGTTCGGCTTTGGCTTAGACCGTCATTCGGGTCCGAAAAGGGAGCTCGCTGCCGCAGTTAAAGTTGCCCTAAAATATTTCATTCCTGACGGTCTAAATACTCCGCCTTTTATGCATAGCTAAAGCTCGATATTCATTCAATCCAGGCATCCTGGCAAGTCCAATTAAACTAGACAAGACAATAAAAGATTGCACCGCCTGTCTCAGCTCTTTTTAGTCGACGTCCTACGGAGTACACCCACGGAGTACTTGTATTTTGCTGATCACCCCTGTCAGCTTATCAGCAGGGGTAAGCCGCAGACCCTTCCGTCGAAGTACTTCCGACGTAAGATAAATCATATTGCTGTGCGCTGGACTATTCTGGGCTTGATAGAGTGTGAGACACGGATGGAATAGTGCTCACTTTTATGGACTAAACAGCTATAGCGTGCCTGATAATGTACCCAGCCAACATGAGAGAAAACACACAGACACGACGTACCTCGTGGATATCTAGCGAAATACGCTCCACACCCTGATGACTGGCAACGGCGACTCGTATGCCAAGACACACTAAACAAAAACAAAGTAAAAAATAGGGGAAAAGTGGCTCAGACAAGGTTCTTGACGCTCTTTTCCTGCTGCTCGTCCACTGTAACAACTACCTGTGTGGTCTTAGTGATGCCATCGCCAACCGGAGTTTCAGTCTGAAGAATGCTCTCGGTCGAGCCCATGCGTCCGCCGACGGTGACGGTTTCGTTGCCTTGCCGGCTAAACAACTCGAAGTCGTTGTCGTCGCAGTGCGACTTGAAGGTGCGTCTGGCACCGCTCGCACCGCTGGCGCCAATGTTGCGAATGTATCCATCGCGTGCGTATGTCTCCCGCGACGATTTGTTACTGCTCCTGCCTGCTAAAATGGTCTTGAACATCGGCTTGAGCGCCGGGAAGCACCCAGCCACCATTGCTGCACAGATCTCGACAGTGGTCCTTTAGTACGAAAGTTAGTACTTATTATGCAGGAAATTAGCCCTCATTCTTGCGTACCAAATTGTAATATCCACACTATCAAACAAGAAGTCGCCGTGTTTGCCGTAGCTTCCGAGAAATGTGATTTTGACAATGCCTGCGATAGTCGCACTGCACCAGTTAGTTGGCCATCGAAGACTGGCCGGACGGCGACACGATCGAGTACTTACAAGATGCCGAGGGACAGAATTGCGGCAACGGCTGCCTTGGTCTTCCAGTTCAGTCGGACCTTCCATAGCATTGGGATCGGAAGTAGCGCAAATATGAGATCGGTGAGAACGGAGACGCCTGTTTATTGGCAGCCCTTGTTAGCCAACTTCGTGCTGTGATAAGTGTAACGACTGCACATCGACATACTCGAGTTGAAGAAAGCAGCAAATTTCAGATTGCCAGACGGGATGCATGACCCCCCAGCGACTGAGGCGTCCCATGTAAACGCCAGCGGTCTGCACTGGAAGAAGACCGTTACTGCCACGTAGTTAGCAGTCGGATAGTCGTGATCCCTGGGCGACATTTGGATGCGGTGCCGACGTACACAAGTTTCCAGTGGCCGAGAGACTAGTGAAGACGATTGTTCCCTTGATAAAGCGGCGGAAAGCAGTCGTGGGGGTCATTCGCAGGAGGAAGAACCCAACGCTGACTTTGGTCAGCAGCAAGCCAAGCAGGCACAAAGGCTGTGTGACAAAGTTGAGGTGCAAGCCCCTCACGATATTCTCGGGCGGATGAATATACTCCTTGTGCCTGCCGCCGCCCAGCTTGACTTCGGGGATGATGACCATCAGTTCGGTAAAGAGGACGGCCTGTGTCGCAAAATGCGTGTCAGCGTCTGTTGGTTCTCCTTGTGTTGCGGCAAGGAGCTTCTGTACATACCACAGCCGCAACCATGCAGTAGTCGTCGCGGCCGACATGTCCAATCATCGTGGCTCGCACCCAGATCCGAAGACTGACCATGACGACAGAGACGCCGACCAGCGTCCCGCAAACAATGAGGATCTGGGGGCCTCTGTTGTAGTCAGGCCGATAAGTGGATGCGGTCATGTCCGCCATAACTGCCGCTCTATTTGCGTGCTTGGAGATGGAAATGGAAATGATGAGCCCTTCTCTGGAGACGCGGGGCCAATTGGGAGCACGGCCAACTTAAGACAAGATCATGCGATCCCTCCTCGTGGCAGGAAGCGTCCTGGCCGATGCAAGCATGGCAACGTGCAGTTACATACGACGTATTCCACCGGTTCAGCCAAACACGTTTTGTCTGCAACCACACCTCAGTTTCAGCATCTGTCATCATTGCTACGACTAGAAGAGCACAATGTAGCTGTATATAGCAGATACAGGGAGGTTCTTTCTCAGCTTTCCGACAAATACGAGCAGGTACACGGAACTGGCGGTCCGAGACATTACTACCTGGCCAGCTCCCCAGCTGCTACGTCGTATAGGCTCTTCTTCGTCACGTATCCACCCGTTCCACGTTAAAAAAGCTGGGCTAGTCCGTACCTACTTAAAACGGGGTACTCCGTACTCCGTAGATAAAAGTCTGTCAGGGGTATGGATCCTGTTCAGCATACGGAGTACAAAATGGACATGTCAGCCCGTGTCGATATGCAGCCGTCCTTTTATGGGACCTGGTGGGGCCTGGCACTACGTATACTACTCTGCTCCGTACGTCGTATAGTGTCTTACCACTGAGCCGTCTACGACGTAAGACCCAAGGCACGAAGACCCCTGCTTGCTGCAACGTGAGGCCAAATCCTTGCCAGCATTGCGCCCGTTTCTATCTTCCTGTCACCCGCGATGCAAGCTGCAAATTTTCGCTTTTAGGTTACGTCCAATCGAGAACTATTGGCAGACAATATTGGAAATGCTTCATTAGCAGACCGGCTTGCCTAAATCGAGACTTGGTTCTGCTTTCCCCCTGCATCTGCCTCGTGGCAACCGCCAATCTTTTTTGCTGGTTAAAAAGGTATCTTTCCTGCCCAGTTTTGGCCTTCCTCTCTCGACAACTTACGTGCTTTCTTCTTCCCGTAGCATGCACACTTTGCCACGTGCAGCATACCCACGTTCTCCTTCCTCGTCTCGCCGCCCCCACTGTTCCACCAGCATGAAGCTTGCATCCACCTTTGTTGCGGCTGCCGTATGGGCCTCCGTGTCTGTGGCCGCACCGTCGGTTTCACCGCTGAGCACCCGCGATCTAGCCGCAGACGAGGTCACCGTTCTGTCTCTGATTTCCAACATCACGGCACAGTTCTCCCGTCAGGTTGCGGCCAAGAAACCTGGCTGTGGCTGCACGGCCGACAAGGTCGCCTACCGCCGTGAATAGTACGTGTCTTGTCTGCTCAATCGAAAACTGGCCTACCGTTGCTGACATCATCACAGTGGCAAGTTCACTAGGCAAGAAAAACTCGACTACATCAGCGCCGTCAAGTGTCTCCAAGGGCTGCCGCCGCGGACGCCAGCCAACGTCTCTGCGGGTGCCAAATCTCGTGTGAGCTGTCTTACCATTTTGCACGACTTGTGAGCTAGCTAACTCAGTATCAAAACAGTTTGACGACTTTGTTGCCGTTCATATCCAGCAGACTCTGACTATCCACTACACGGGCAACTTCATGCCCTGGCACCGGTGGTTTGTGCACACGTATGAAACTGCACTACGCGACGAGTGCGGCTACACTGGATACCAGCCTGTAAGCACAGCTTGCCCCTTTCCACTTGTTTCTTTTGAAGCACCCATCTGATCAGGTAAGTACTGGGACTGGCCTCTCTATGCTTCGGCACCCGAGGACTCTCCCATCTTCGACGGTAGCGACACCAGCATTGGTGGCAACGGAGACTACATTGTGCATGATGGCCCCGTTATCACGCCTCCTTCTGGTGTTAGCGGCGGTGACATTCAGCTTCCTGCTGGTACTGGCGGCAGCTATGTGACCACTGGTGCTTTTGCAAACATGACCGTGAACCTCGGCCCTGTTGGTGGTCTCCTTGGTGTGGCTTCTGGTCCGGATGGCGGACTTGGCTACAACCCTCGCAGGCTCAAGCGTGACCTTGGTGGTGCTATGAACACCAGATACGCCAACTACACCACCGTGCTCAGTGAGTTTTATAAATCATGCGCAGATTACACATTTTACGCTTACTAACTATAATAGACCTTCTTACCTCTCCTGACATCTCGGCGTATCGTCATATTTCTGAGGGCATCCCTTACACCGTTGAGATTGGTCCTCACGGCGGCATCCACTACACCATCGGGTACGTATGCCAGAAGAGAATCTCTGCTTTTTCGCTGACTAATAAATACATGGTAGTGGCGACCCAGGTGGTGATCTCTTCACGTCCCCTGGTGACCCTGCCTTCTGGTTCCACCACAGTATGATGGACCGTGTGTGGTCGCTCTGGTAAGTTAGCGAGCACAGCTCTTATCACGATAGCATCAGTCTGACCTTAAACCGCATAGGCAAACGATCGACCCCGCTCACAAGTCCGACCTCAACGCGACCAACTATGGACACATTACATGGGCCAATGACCCTGAGTCTCGCTATACTAGCCTTGACGATGTCATTGATCTGGGATACGCTGGGCCGAACATCACGATCCGGGAGGTTATGGATACAACTGCAGGTCCTTTATGCTATTTCTACGAATAGAGTGGTTTTGCTTCGACAACATTGCCTTGAATACGTCAAGTTTCAGTGTACAAACTTTAGTAACAAGCGTTAGATTCATTTGATACACCCATTTTCAGGGCAGCCTCTTACATGCACCAAAGCATATTTTTCCCGTAGTCTCGTCACTTCTTGGGATGCCTAGTTGAAATGTATCTCTCTGCAACAGACCGAATCAAGGAGTTATTACTCTTCAAGTACCTAGCTTATGTCTCCCGCCATGAGTCCTGGTGTTTCTACCAACAAAGCGTAGATAGGCGCTTTTGGTCACTGGGTACGAAGCTTACGTCCTATATCGGCAACTGTCTGTAAAGTGGCCCTCGTGTTGGCATACAAGGCACCATGCTTCGTCATGCGAGTGGGCAAACGGGCACTCTTTGGTGATGTGTGGGAAGGTCTTTTTGCACTCCTTCGTTTTCCACTTGACCAAATTAATACTAGAGCCTGAGTAAGTCAGAAACAGGTTTCGCTCCGTGTTCGTGTGCTGATAACCGCACGAGCCGGCCTTTTTGCAACGGATGCCGCTAATACATTTCTGGGTGCGCAGAATGCGACGATAGTAGCTCTTCGTGTCCGACCGTTCCACTGTCGTCCAGCCCGTAGAGTCATCAGTGTTGTTGGCATCCTGTCTCCCTTCATCCTCCCCAAGTCGATCCTTGCTCTGGTCAGGCACGGTAGTGCCAGTTGTTTCTTTTTCCCTGGATTTGACACCGAGCGCCCCCGAACAAGTAATATCATCTAGTGGCGAATACATGTTGCTGGTTTTCGTGACTGGCACGTCTAACTGGAAACGGCTAGAGTACTCTGGCCATGACATGACCATGAACTGATCCTTAAATAGCTTCCGCACCTCTTGGACGACAATATCCATGTTAGTGACCATGGGGAACTCTACAAACATTTCCGTCTTCGTTTCGGATTGCGTAGTGTAGAACAAGCGGCCCAGAGTGATCAGCTTTTCACAGACGCAAGACTCGACGTCATCCCCGTCTAGCATAATAATGTTGCATAGCACGACTGATTTAAACGATTCAGAGTTCTTCTGCCGGGTCGAGCGGAAATTGGTAAATGAAATATTGTCGAATATCCAGTCGAGATGCTTCACGGTGAGCAGCTTTTCGTTCTCGGCCTGGAGACGGTAGTAGTCTTTTGATATTCCCGAACTCCAGGCCCAAAGCTCGACATGGATGTTGTATGCCAACACCTTCTTGACGGGCGGAATCATATCGCGATCTCCGGTGATGGCGATGAACGTCGTCTGCGCCTTTTTCGATCTGGATATGCAATCAAACTTGGCCATGACGCTGATTTCGGTGGCCTCGGAGCTCATGTCCACCGACATGGCCGTGTCGACCTCCTTTTCCTTGCCATTGGAACGATCATAGATCTTGGTCAGGAACTGGCTCTTCTTGAAAACGTTCCACACTGAATCGTTAGGTGGCGGGCGCGAGCCATAAAGATACGAAGGGCCCTGACTGCGGCCGTTGAGGATCACACGAATCAACTTTCCGACGTCGATTCGAAGACGGGGATCACGGTCACTGTCGCTCAAACCTGGCACGTGGTTGTCGCGCACGGCAGCGAACTTTTGGGCTTCGATCCAAATGTTGGAGTCATCGACAAAGAACATGCAAGTTTCAGCTGCGTCTTTGTTCATCCTGAAAATTGTTTTCTCGACCCAGAAAGCGACAGAGTGCAGAGGGTTGATGGGCAGAGGATACGTCGAGCTTCCGCCCGATGGCCATGCCGCAATATATATACGTGAAATGTGCACTTCGACCGCTGCCCGACGACTCTAGGATGCCCGAAAGCCAGTCTAGGCAACCAGATGATGCGGTCTAGTCAGCCTATCAGGGCGTCTGATAATGGAAATTGTCTGCGTGTCTGGTGATCATTTGCATGCATGCCCGGGAACCATACGGGCAACTGACAGCTTGGGCAATCGTCTGCCTTACTAGTAAGCGCCTATTGGCTTCTTGACTGGCTGGCAGCCCCCCCAGTGACTTTGCGATGATTTTGCCGTTGCCCCGCAGCAATCGGCATCTTGTGTCGAAGCAGACTTCAAGGCCAGCGTCGGGAAGCGAGCAGAAAAACTCTTCAATATATGGTTATACAGTTATGTTCTTTCGTGCGGGTATAATGCCCTTCTCGGACATATTTACATGAAACAAGGCCTCACGGCCATATGCTCGTGACAAACGAGTCAATATATGGGTAGTCAGCCATCATCCCCATAATCACGCTGTACTCGTCTCGCAACAAATCCGAACCCTCGTTTGCATAATGGGCGTATTTGCTCAGTTCGTGCCTCCGCAGAGCAACGTTCCAAGGGAAGCTGGAGTGCGCCACACCCATAAACGCGCTCGACTTGAACATGACCATAAAGTCCACCAGAGCCTGCTGGTCGAACGTCATGCTGTCCAACCGCTGGCGGTCCAGTTCCTCCAGTAGGTCCTGCTTTGTCACAACCGTCACATTTTTCTGCTCGTGGCCTGGATCTACCGCAAGACGCCGGTTGAGGTAGTCGGCAAAAAGCCGCACCACGGTCTGGTTTCCTGACGCGACGTACACTACGCTGAGACCCGTGCGCCTTAGATTGCGGTATTGCTCGTCGAACTGGTCTTCCATGCGTGAGAAACGCCACTCGTCAGGCGGCCAGGCCCAGATGGCGTCGGACTCGAGCCGCAGGTGTGCGCTGTAGTACGCGTCAGGGTGAATAACATCGGCCGGGTTGATGGGCAGTGCGAACCGCTGCTTGAGCCTGAAAAGTACTTTTTCAGCCAGGGCGCGAGTGTCGTTGCGGAAAGACAGGACCTTGCCAAACTCGTGCACAAAAGCGTCGCCGTCGTTGCGCACGGGATACTCGAGAAAAGACTGTTCCATCTGGATGTGCACCGGTCTTTCGCTTTGGATCTGCACAGACTGCCGAACGAGCCAATCGTCAAAGAAACGGCGCCATGCACGGGGATACTGCAGCCCTTCAGGGGGATGGTCGGGCTCGAACTGGTCGCCCAGCAGAGGCAGAGGTTCCCCCTGCCGCTGGTCGTAAAACGGAAATTCCTCGGCACGGTCGTACAGGCGCATGCCGGGACAGCCCTCGGTCAGGTGCCGGACAAAGGCTTTGCGGTCCAGCATGTACTCCATGGGCATCTCGGTGGCCGTCTCGATGTCGGCCAGGTTTTTTGCGTTGCGCAGTGCCATTGATGGGATCACCAGCGCACCGCCGCCGTGTATAGCATATCGTATGCATTTCAGCATCTGATTCCGAAGCATGCCGATGCCGCCGTGTTGACCCTCACAGGTGAAGAGGAGGCCTGGCCTGAAGTGCGTGCGTGCACATACTTCTTGGATCGGACCGTAGTCGATTGGTGCTGGGAACTCGACCTTCAGGGCCTGTTGCACGAACAAGCTCTCTTCCGACAGCCTCTCGGGCACGTAGATTAGTGACAGGACAGCATCGCGAAGTCCAAATATTCGAAAGCTCCAGGCAAAAAGAAAAGCGATAGCCAGAGGAACGGCTACCCGTAACCTTTCCCGTAATCGATCATCGGCCAGCAACATCTTGTTTTTTTTTTTTGTTTCTTCAAAAGAAGAAAGTTTCTTCAAAAGAAGAAAGCAAAGAAGATGAAAAGAAGACAAAGAGCAATAAATCTAAGCCAGCGAATCTAAGATCGGTTCCATCCCAGTTGCTTCCTGGTTGACGCGCTAGGGCTCGGCGGAAGTGTCAAGTTTCAGCCCAGTTTCAAACATCGTCTCGATGCCGCCCACTATTTTGGCGTCTTCAGCCATTTCTGACACAAACGTGCTGCACCCTGTACTCCGTACTCCGTGCTCCGTACATCAGACCCAATCCCAGCCGAAGCGAGCACGGGCTTTCTTCATTTCATAAAAAGAATTGTGATAAGATTTTTCTTCAATGAATTTACCTTTGCCCCCCTTCCTGTGGAAAACGAGGACACTTAAATCACTAGATAAGACTTAGCCCTGATCTGCACGCGCACATCGCACGCAGTCTGGTCCTCCAGTCAAACTACCTACGAAATATCATCAATAGAACTTCTGAGGGCCTTGGGGCTTACTACAATATGTGCAATGAATCCGGACGCATATCTTACAGAAATCACCGTACGGGTCTTACGCTAGTATTACGCGAAGGCATTACTTTTGCGTTACAGGCTAGCGGTAGCAACATCCCTACGAGGGCTTTTAAGCTTATCGCTTTAAAGATGAAGCCTGGCAGTACGGATATCATCGGAGTAAACAAGATCGCCGAATCAGCACGGAGCTGCAAGCCAGTCTTCAATCGACGCCCTCAAGGAAAACCTTGCTCCGGCAAGAGGATTGACACCTCAGAGTGGAATATAGTTAAATAACAGCATTGTTTCGTAATCATTACTTGAAACCTAATCTTGAGGACTGAGCTCGTCCTGGCAACCGTGACGAATCTGCTCGCAAACAGGTTCGAGTAAATGAGTATCCAGCGTGCAATGGCAGAGATGGAGAGGAAGAACCTACTGTAGCGTCGGCACGTTGACGTACGTCAATATTGATGCCAAGTCGCGCGTTGTCCTAGAGGTAGCACGCTGCACGCCAAAAATTGGCGCCGTAGACGGCCGGCGATTAAAGTGCCCGGTATTGCCTAATGACATGTAGCGTTCGTGATCTGAGTCTAGGATGGCATCACTAGCGGGGAAAACCCGCAGACGCCGTGTACATAAGACGGAGAGGTCCACATGCATCCCAGTCCAACGCAGTAACAAGACAAACCAGGCCCTTCGGTCAACTTCATACCATCAACAAAAATGGCAACTTCCGTTTACAACGTGGGGATACAGTCTCTCCGGTTCGACGAAAACTTTAAGTCGGTCGCTTTCGAGTCCTTTGCGCTACCAGCCAGCAATCAGCGTAACTTAGGAGCACCTCATTTAAATGACACAGTAATACCCCTCGCCCTGAAGCCATCTGCCCATGACAAGGCCCAAGTGGACCTTGATGCCGTCATAGAAAGCATCGAGCGTCTCCAGGCCCGATACAGCACTCTGACTAATCTGCTGGTCCGTCATGGAACCCTGCTCTTTCGCGATCTACCCATCCACAACGCCCACGAATTCAGCAGATTTGCATATGCGTTTGGGTATAAGCCCCATGAAATCATCGGCATCGTCGTTGACCGACCGTTGCTAGCACCCAATGTGGCGCCAGCAAATGAGTCGCCCAAGGAAGTCCTAATCTACAACCACAACGAGTCTCCCCAGGTTCCCCATGCACCAGGGTATATCTTCTTCTACAGCCACCGAGCCCCGGAATATGGCGGCGAAACCCCCATCTCCTCATCACTTGAGCTGTTTGCCCGAGCACAGGACGAAATTCCCGAATTTATCTCTGCGATTGCCGACAAAGGCGTCTTGAGCAAAGTAACCTACAAGCAAGAGCAGCAATATGCTGGCGGGTCAACTATAAAACAGGCCTTTGGAAAAGAAATCAAGGACAGTGATGACGAAGCTACGAAGCGTGCAAAGATCGAGACCCAGATTTCCCGCTACAATAGGGGTAGATTCACGACATGGGAGTGGACTGAGGACGGCTCCATTATCGTTACACACCGGCTGCCGGCCATCCGCACGCAACCGCAGACGAACCTGCCCACACTGTTCACTGCACTCGCGGCTCTATACAAGAACTCGGCGGCCAACAAAAGCCTTGGAAGGAGGTACAATAACGAACAGCTCTTTGGCGACGGCACTCCCAATCCGGAGAAGTACCTGGCTCATCTGGCCAAGATCACAGATGAAATCCGCGTCTTGCACAAGTGGCAGGGGGGCAACGTGCTGGTCTACGATAATACAATTGCCCAGCATGGCCGTGAGCCTTGGGAGGGTGAGCAAAGTGACCGGGTCGTGCTGGCTAGCCTGTTCGATGGGGAAGAGGTCCCTGGTGCATATGGGACACAAGAGTGGGCTCAAGTGGTTCGGGTCCTCAACGATTAAAGAGGTGGGTGGAATTGATGCTAATAATTGTGTATAAATTGTGTTGAAGCACGTGTACGACTCCCTTATTTGAATATGCTCCCGTGTTCTTGTAGGATAATAAGCTAATGCGTGGTCCTTCCTTGCTATGCCTGATGACAAAGTGCTACAAGCCGGCAGCCATTGCCCAGAGCAGCACACCCTCTCCACCCTGCTCTACCCAGCCTTCAGCATTGATTATACCCTCGCCTATCCTAACTTCCTCTAGGACCCTAAAGCCAAAGTAGATGTAGATGTCTCTAGCATGCGTACTGGTGGCCTCCAAGTAGACCGGAAACCCTTCCTCTAGGGCCTTTCTCACATATGGCTCGATGAGAGTCCTGATGGCACCTGAGAAGCTCAGATGCATGAGAAAGTTGTTTGGGCGGGAAAGAGTGTGGATGTAATTACCTTTGTCTAAGCGGCCTGGAGCGCGTGCTATCAGATTGAGATACCAGTGCAGTCGATCGCCAAGATATTGCTTTTTAATCTGGCCAAATTTATCCAGGTACTCAACAGCTCCCTCTGGAATGGGCAGACGGGGTGCAGCTTTCTTAATACCCGGCGGTAGCCTGGTACGAGATAAGAATATGAAGGAGTGTTCCTCTAAGCGTTATCGTGATTCATTTCACAACTAGAGTCACTCACCACACCGCGACAGCCGCCCAGTTATAGCTCTGGAGCAGAAGTCCGCCCCCCTCAAACCGCGATCTCATCGTCGCCAACCAGTTCTCTTCCTGAAAACCCGGCGTGTGCAATTTTGGATGGCCCGGATGAGACTCGCTACCCATGAGGACGTATCGATGGAGCGGGTCGTCGGAAAAAGAGACCGAAATCACCTGCGCAAACATGACAAGGTCTGCTTCATCCTTGACGGGCACAGCATCGGGGCGGTTATCGTTCGGCGCCATCTTGAAATTCCGTATTTGATGCGGGCACAAGTAAGATGACCCGCCCGCTTTCGCAAACTGAGAATTTATGGAGCTTTACAGGGTGAGAGGGTTCCTGCTTACTAATCAACCCGAATACTTTACATGACGCATAATGATTCATACTCTCGTAAATCAACAACCTCCAGTTTCTAGTATCTAACTCGGTTCATATAAAATCGTGATCGGTACTGAGATTTTTGAAGGGACTGCCTGATAGATAGTTGATCACAGCAATACCGTCCTAAGCGAGCTCGCAACAGTTTCAAAAGAGTAGCCAAGTGATTCATCGCTCAAGCGGCTCGATTTCCATCCACAGTCGTGATTTCACGAGGCGATCCATCTGATGAGCCAGTCAAGGACTTGAAAGAATTATGCGATCAGAGTTTCAGTCGTGTCATATTGGGCCTATGTCTATCCAATTATCATCTCTCAAATAAGTTGACGGTATACGAATTAACGACCTTGCTGTATTTTACCTGCCATTATTGCCCGCTGGAAGTACTATCATCTGCTGTGAAACTCCTTGAAAGGGACATGCATGATGGCCAAAGACTTGGCCGGATTTTTGTAATGAGCTGCAATTAGGACAACTTGTAACCTTTATGTAGCTTCACTCGATAAATAAGAAGTTTAAAGATCTACCTTCACATGCGACTTGTAAGTACATATTGTAGTCTTTCATCACCAATTGATGTAGATAATGATCATATATTCATAGACGTTCTCCGAAACTGACTTTGTAAAATTTCTAATTAGTTAAATATGCGTTGGTGCGATTTTCCTTCCTTCGTTAATAAGCTCGCTTCGTCAGTATCGGCGACCGAGTGTCGCTGCCTTTTGAGCCACTGTTCATCAGACCGGCACCAATCCTAGGGAAACCTAATTGTGTCTACCAAATAGCTTGTCGTCCCGGCTGTTTCTACAACGGGTAAGCAAACACGGTTCAGACCATATGTTCCGAGAAGCAACAACTGCAGAAGCAGGGGAAAACAGGCCGACTTCTGATTGTCTGTATACGGGAAGCACCGTGCTCTCGCCAGTTGCGTTGTGGTTCACTGGTTGACAGTTTGCAAAACTTCCGACTTCGGATGATGCAATCGTATAATGGTTGGAACCAAGGCGTTATGGACATACTGTATAATGTGCTGTCTTTGTAGATACCAGGAAGAGGCAAGGCTGGCATAGATATTCGGGGGTTTCCGTCAGACAGTCGTATAATTATGCTAGTTAGGTCCTTTGAAGAAATTAGCAGAAAGTTAGCGCGCACGAGAATAGGGAGTGAAACATGTTTTTTTATTCATGTACTGTAGAGGCACGTTACATGTTTGAGCTAACGCACTTGACACCTGAACGCAGAACTGCATCAAGACAGACGAGACACCATTGCAAGAAAGCTCTAAGAAAGAGGCAGAGTTAGGTTCGTAGCTACGCGGTTTTTTTGCAGGCAGCTGATGTAAGATACAAGAAGTTACGAAAATATGAAAGTGGCGTCAGAAACAGCACGGAGACGACACCTTTTGTTGCTATGTTTACACCGTACAGTGGGTAACCATTCCCGTGATCGGGACCGCAGTTCCAGGTGCCCCTTTTGGCTTTGAAGGCTTTTGAGATGATAAATCTAGCTAGACATGAAAGGAGACATGTAAGGAAAGATATGCAGTCTCCGTATCGAGACCGCATCAAATTTGCATTGCGAGTGTGAGAAAGGAAGAAGGCAGCCCATACTAGACCGGGATGCTTAACAAGGTTGAAGACTACAACCCTGGAGGTCAGGGCTTGGACCTGCCTAGCACGGATTGGGTGGCTTTGATCGCACTCCATATCTGTTCGAGCAAATGTACGCGTTGTCATTGGTAGGTATACGTTGCCCGTACTTACTAGCTGGCGGGCCACTTCCCCGGGTTTAAACACAGGATACAAACAGCCCCATAACAGCACTGCAGCTCCCACCCACTTTTTCGGCGGCCGTCTCTGCTATCACAGTACTATGTACGGAGTATATACGGAGTACTGCAGGTGTGCACAATTCGTATGTAGTAAATAGGCCGCCACTAACATAACATATGCGAAAGGGTCATGCTCCCCGAAATATTGTGGTTTTTATCAAGCCCCTTTCTTTTATCCTATTCGTCCTAGTAATTGTGATTGCACATACTCCGCCACTACTGACTTCTACCGTATCTGCGGCTGGGCCCCCTTACTCACCACCTCTGCTGCAATACCAGTTTGGGCGAACATGGCAAGCAATGACGAGGTGTGCGCCTATCCGGGACGATCGATTGTGCGATGCCGCACGTCCCTTGTCTGCCAGTTTGCTAAGGCCTCGCCATTGTCAATGATCCATATACGGACCGTCGATGCGATGCGCAAAAACCGCCCCTAGTACGGAGTACAGGGAGAAGAAGAAGGCCTAGGAGCAGGGTCTTAGCTGTTGAGGTGAGAACAGAGTTTCCGGTGTGTTCCATAACAGTTTTAGCTCTACAACTAACGTGGCGCCTAATCTAGCCCTCGCTACGGAGTACTACGTATCTCACATACTAAACGGCCCTGTTGATCGAAACTAGAGAACAAGCGAGCCACGCCAATTGATACGATCACTTACTCCTTTCTCAACGGCTTCGATATCATGAGCAAATTTGGTACCAGAAATGTTCTTGTTTCTCTTCATTCTTTTTGCCGCGTGAGTTTCACTAACGGAGAGATGTCCGACAGCTTCCACCCGCTATGGAAATATACAGCGCATGCGAGGCGTGCACAACATCGTGGTCACCATCTCGAATTTCTGGCTCTGCTGGCGAGAAGGCCACAGCGAATGACCAGCGGACTAGAAAGGAAAGCCAAGAGCGTCGAGCACATCGACCAAGTCCTACAGGACTTGACTCCCTTTCCCTCCACAGTAGCGATACCAACGTGGGCCTTCACTGCAACGCGCACGATAAATACAGACATTGGAGCTCAAACATTGCCTACAACCAGGCTGTGGACCAGCTTCTCGCGCGGTCAGAACGTCTGTCCAGGCTGGAACTCAATTTGCATGGATCTATGGGTTTCAACCTATACTTTCCCTTTATTGGGCCTGAACTTCCCATGTCTTCGAGCCAGTCTCAAAACAGACGTGGGTTCCATAGGGGCCATACCCCGCACCCAACCAATTGTGTTTTCAACTGCAGTTATCACTTCGAGTCACATTGGCAAACACATTTCTTCTTCCGCTTCTTTTTTTTAGTGGTCTTATTTCGCTCCAATTTGATGCATGTCTCAGGGGCTGCCTGCATTATATTGATTTTTTTTTTCAGACCACAGGCAATGGATAGGTCGAAGATCGTCGATCGTGGAAACGAATAGCCTGGATCAGCTCAAGGGGTGGTATCGTAACTCTTCAGCTATGAAAGCCATCCTCCTAGCAGGCCATTTGTCACGGCTGCCGCAGTTCAGCTTCCGCAGCCACAAAGCCGCGACAGCAACCCCGCAGATGCGGCTTTTCAGCTTTGGCACATAGTAGACCCCCATTGTTAAAGCTACCGCACCCACACCACAGTTTTTACACCGCACACCGCAGTGATCTTGCTCAGCACAACGGACAGTGGATGAAAATATGCCAGTCCATACACGAGCCAGTCGATCTTGCGCTTTCTGCAGTCACGGCAAGCGAAAATGTGACCGACTACTTCCTGCGTGTACTTTATGTGCCAGGTTCGCTCTCCTCTCCAACAATATGCAAGACGGGAAGCAGGCCGACTAACCAGCCTCAGACGGGGCAGAGAGTGTACGTACATGGAAGGCGGACGCAGCCGGCCAGACTATGACGGCGGAGCATCGCTGGACGGCTCGGAAACAAGCAGTGGTTCTTTGATAGCTAGCCAGAATCAATTTCCAGTGGAGCATTTCCTGGACGCCGGTGTCTTTGAGCGAGGAGGACTGGAAATTCCCAGACCTGAGGTTGCCGTGCCGCCTCAAGTCCAGGCTTGCCTGGGCGATATTGACAGAATGCGTCGCATTGCCCGGCAGTATTTCGACACTGTCCATACGTGGATGCCGATCGTTTGTAGACAGCGATTCTCCATGTCTCTGATCAACCAACTGGCTTGTCCGCGGGCAGATGTTGTTCTGCTGGTACTCTGCATGAAAATCTCCATCTGGGCTCCCCAGCCGGACCAATGCCACGCAAGGAGCTCGGTGGCCTACGTGTCGGCAAAAAAGTTTCTTTTGGATTTGGAAATCTCGGGCATGCTGACCCTCGAGACGCTGCAGGCCGGCGTGCTCATCTGCCTCTTCGAGCTGGGACACGCCATCTATCCGTCAGCCTACCTGACTGTCGGCACATTAGCCAGGTACGGGTCGGCTCTTGGCCTGGATAAGGATGCGCTGAAGCCGTTCAGCTCTGCTGCCGGCTGGACCAGAGCCGAGGAGGTGAAGAGGGTCTGGTGGGCTGTCTTGATCCTAGACCGGTTCGTCTGTATGGCAACCCCTGGAAATGGATATGTTTTGCTGATGGGTCATGGCAGCTATTTGGCACTGGGAAGTCCAGACCGATCGTTGGCCACACATAGTATCCGTCTATCAGACAGTCTTCCGGTCGACGACGAGGCCTGGGATCGAGCAGTGAGTCGGCAGCTTGACTTGTAGAGATGGCCATGCGCTGACACCACCGCAGTCACCAGTCCCGCCTCCGGTCCTGCCTCTTTCTTGCTCTACGCTCAACACGGGGAGATTCTCACGCATTGCTCAGGCAACCTATCTTCTTGACTTAGTACTGAGGTATCGATCCAATAATGATACCGATGCAAGGACGCGAGGCGCGGAAGCTGCACAACTGCGACGCACTCTTCTTTCCCTGATTGTCCTGGCCGATGTGGAGGGCAGTCTCCGGCAGTTGGAGTTTTGCCCGACAAATGCAGTCTGCTACAGGTACGATGAGAGCACCAGTGGGTAACGTTCGTTTCTAACGGCATAGTGCGCTCTTGTTGCTGTATACCGCAGTTTCCGGGTTGGAAGGCAGTCGTCCAGAAGAGATGGGGTATTTCGAGCAGATCCGAAATGCTGTCTCGAAGCACGGAGCTGCGTTGGCAGCATCGCTCTACTCGCCAAGGGCTCAACGGACGGAGATGATATCGCCTTTTCCACTACACATACTATATCAAGCAGCGACAATATTGGCAAAGCGCGATGGGGGTGAAGCGCAGATGTGGTACGACGAAATAAAAAAATGTTTGGCCACGCTGTCTGCGAAATGGACGGTAGCCCGTAAGTATTGGTGAAGACTGATTCCGTTTTCTACGATTGTTGACTTTTACTAGGCACGTATCTAGTAATGGTCGAAGCAGGGGAGCTTGTTTCCTGACTTTTGGTTGCGTAATTAGCGATGATACGGGGTATTTTAGATGCTGATTCGCACTTACAGACTTGGAAATAAAACCCGCAATTCCAATAGAAAGACAGGTCTTATGCATCCACACATACATGGACATGCCCGCCGGAGGAGTGTATAATCCATATATTTGTTTGGTGACTACTCTGTATAGCAGATTATAAACATTCTGTTCCCACCCTTGACGTACTTTAGAAAAAGGTGAGAGTGGCCCTTCTCGAGCGAGTCCAAGGACAGCTCTATGCCATCCTGCTCGACTCGGGCAATCGTCTTGCCAAGCGTAGGCAACCCGACACGTCCGACGGTCTTTCTGGGAGCCTTGATGGCCAGCACCAGCATTTCCGGGCTGCTGCGCTTGTATCCAGCCGAAAAGAAGCCCTGGGCATCGCTAGTGAAGCCGGTCATGGCGAAAAGCGGGCTCTTGCCACTCTGGCCGTTCTTTCCTTCGTCGACGGTGCTGTCAAAAACCAGCTGCGGCGCAAAGATCCAATGGTGGTGGCCGACATCGAGGAGGCGTAGGCCGACGAGCCAGGAGGTCAGGGCGATGGTCGGGCCCGAGGCCCATGGATGCGCGTGCGAGATGTACGAAGAGTCATAGTCGCCAAAAGGGTAGAAGCAGCGGCCGTCGTGGTAGTAGCCTTCGATCAGGCTCGACTGCACCGCATAGGGCGCGTTCCAGATGTATCCCCACATGGTACGGAGAAGGGTGAGGGCGCGATCCGGGCGGCCAGCAGCATAATGGCCCATCAGCTCCATGCTGCCACAAAAAGGCGACACCATCTTCGGTGATTCAGGCGCGACGGGGCCGAACGGCGACCAGTTGGCCGTCAGGCCCTCAGACACGCGGGCTGCCCGCTCCGGTGATGCCACGCCGTACCAGAGTGCCAGGCTGTTGCCGTCCTGCGGGTGCACGGGTGCATCGATATAGTCCCGATACAGGCCGGCCTCGTCGTCCCACAGGCGAGCGTTGATGGCCTCCTTCAGCTGGCCAGATCGATCGGCCCAGGCGGTTGCCAGGGCCTCGTCGCCGGCAACGTCGCGGGCCAGCTGTGCAAAGTGACACAAGACGTGTTGCAGACAACAGTTGACCTCAAGATTGTGGCCCGTCAGCAGGTTGCGGCCCCAGTCGGCCGGCAAGGTGACCTTGAGCAGGCCGGTGTCGTCGACCTTGGCCAGGCTAAAGTCCATGCCCTTCTTGATCTTGTTCCACTTCTGGCGGACCCAGTCGTCGGCCTGCCGGCTGCCGTCGGCATGGTAGAAGTAGGCTTCATACAAGGCGATAAATGTCCAGACTGGGGCGGAGGCGGATGTCAGCTATAGTCGACACAGAAGACAGAAGAATGACAGCAAAGGACAATCACGTGCCGTGATACGAGTCACTGCCATAGTGCCAGATGGGCTTGCAGGCATAAGGAAACAGTCCGTCGTCAGTCTGCAGCTCAAACATCCAGTCGACACCGGCCCATGAGGCCTCCTTATTGTTGAGGGCGATGAAGTTGGAGACGGTGCTGATATTGCGGTCGCCAGACCAGACGGTACGATCGCGACGGGCACCATCTGTAAGCACCTCCTGGTACTGTTCCGTCGTGGCCGGGCTGTCGTTGGCCCAGCCAATCTTGTGGTGCACCCAGTCGCTGCGCCGGCCGGTGTTGCGAGGGATGGTAGCCAGCTGGAGCGTGTAGGCGCCGGCATACCAGATGGTGTTGAGAAAGTCGTCGTCAGAGTAGAAGTAGCCGGAATAGTTGCGCAGGTTGGCGCCGCGGCTAGGGTTCATGTTGTTGTACGTTCTGACGTCGGTCAGCTCAACCCGACCGTCGGACTCGAGGAAGACGGTCAGGTAGCGGAAGGCGCCGCGTTGCTGACGCTCCGGACAGGTCCACGACTGCGGCGCGGCAGTCTCGGGTACAGTGATGTGCAGGGCGCCATCGACGACGTGGAAGTCCATGCTGCGGTCGCTGGTGCGGCTGACGAACTGCTTGCTCTCGGCAAAGGCAACGCCCATGACCGTCTGCGGGATACTCTGAGGGCCAAAATGCAGCGTGACGATTCCGGTGGTGTTGACGCCAAAGTCAAGCGTGACAAGCGCTGTGCTGCCGGTTAGAACCACGGACTCCACCGAGCTCAGCTTCGTTTGGGGGGGTGCCGAGACAAGGCCCTCAGTGGCATAGATTCTGGTTGCCTTGACGGTTCGCGACGTCGGGGCCAAGTTGTACGACTGCCACGGTGAGTTCTCTGACGAGGATGAGGCCTCGAAAACATCTTGGGCGAAGTTGGTAAGTACTTCTTTCTGGCTGGCCATGGTTTTGTTGTTGCTCAGTGTGGATAGGATCCAGAGGTACGAGAAGATCGAGAGGATCGAGAGAGACTTTTTCCACAGTGACAAGACTTCATCCAGACACCCTCTCAGTCGCATGTACTTTCCAGGAAAAATATCCGGCCACAAGGATGTATCACACCCGGTGCATTATTGCGGCGAGAGAGTAGCGAACTCATCAGCTGACCACAAGCGATGCCTTGCTGAAGCGACATCTGGGCCCACTTTATTCCCACCGAAACGGGGCGCGAAATGCGCTAACGGAAAAACATCGGCTAGACGTGTGCAAGGCATCACGAGACGAGCAGATTCGGGACAGAACGCACCGATGGGCAGGAAGTGGACTGAAGACGGTCTCATATCGTGTCACATCATGTTACATCACTTTTTCTCTTCCCGTAGCCCATTTTGCGCTTTCCGTCCTCGTCTGTGGAAAAGCAATAACCATGACGAATGGCTCAAGATCTCACATATTCAGCCTGTGAGTCGTTTCCAACTCCGTTTTGAGACCCGACTTTCTAAAGCAGAGACATCCAGGCTGAGTGACGAGGTGCTTGTGCACTTTTTATACGCTCGAGGCGTGTCCGTGCCAAGCGATGCAAGTCACGACGTATTGGTCGCGCTAGCCGACGAAAATGCTGACCTCCCTATTGTACCGGCACCGTTGACCCCGGCGACTGTATTTGGCGTCCTCACGCTGGCTCACTTGAACTTCTTTCTGCGGAAGAAGCACGGCGAAGCCGTCAATGCAAATGCGGCATGGACGATTGCTGCGCCTCCGAAGCTAGCGAGGATCAAGATCGAAGCCTTACGGCAGTATGCGACACAGGAGATCTACCAGAAGCAAATTGCCGGGCAAGACGAGGCGCTGAGCCAGTTCGGCCAGGACATTGCCGACACGTGGAAGCAAAAGATCGAGCTGCAGGCCGGCGCAGAGCCCAGTCTCTTCGGACCACATCCGGCAGAGGATGATATTGAGTACGTTGCGCCGTTTTCTTAGCTGTAGGAATGAATGTCATCGCTAACGATTGAACAGTGTGCTGTACGAAGATCTCGGACTGCTTAGGGACAGGACCAAGGATCGGCAGCGGTCGCTGGAGAAATTAGGCATGGTGCTGGACTTGCTGCGGACAGGGAAAAGGTAGCAGTGGCAATGGATCGAGGGGCGAAATCGCGGCATGTGGAATGTCAAAAAATGTGATTATATTCGTGACGAAGAGTAGACTGGTCGTATTGGGGTTGGCATATCGACTGCCGTCGGTCGGCCTCACCTCCACCGAGCTTGCTCCTCGTATCGGACTCCACTGCGACGAATCCAGGCTCGATCTGCCGAGCACTGAAAGCCTGTTGGTCGGGTGTTATCAATATGTGGTCCGTGAGCTCGCTTAGAGTAAGTAGTATGCCGTCCAGGTAGCTCCTCTTCGATGGCAGTAAGCCCTTGACATGACCGGTACGAGTTAAACCGGAACATATTGTCTGCCACATGTCCAATGCTCCCTCTTTTCGTCTTCTCACAGGCCGTTAGTCCGGGGCAATCCTGCCACGAGGCGACGTCCGTCTGTGTTTTTCTACATCCCCACACTCCACTTGCGTCTCCATCTTGCCATTTCCCCATGCGTGACAATCTGGGGAACCAGACTGCCGACTGGAAATAATAGCTTCTAGGGAAGCTGTTTCGGACGCTGTTTTCTCATTTTTCGTTTTCCAAACCTCACATATTACGAAAAGCATCCACAAAAAAGATGACTGTTGCAAAGGAGCCAAAGGACGTACATTCGGCCCATCTGGAGCACGCGGATGGCGACGTGGTCCTCCCGGACGAACACGACGAAGGCCAATGGCACTGTATCAAGAACAATAAAGTCTGTGTCGCCTGGCTGTTGTACATCATATTTGTGCTCTGCATCCAGGGCTTTGATAACCAGGCTGGCAGCATCGTCATTAGCATCGAGCAGTTCCGCAAAGACTTTGGGTATTATTATGACGGCAACTATGTTCTCCCGGCGAAGTGGCAGGTAAGTAGCCCTTGTTTTTGTCGTGTCAACCCTTGCTGACTGCTTTCAGTCTGCCTTCAGCGGTGGACCTGTCGCCAGTGCAATCGTCGGAGCTCTCATCTCGGCCCAGCTGGCAGACCGAGTCGGACGTCGATGGACAATCCTGGCCACTATCTGCGTATCCTTTGTCGGCACAGGCCTAGAGTTTGCTTCGACGACAAATGCACTCTTCTTCGCGGGCAAGTTTGTCAATGGTCTCGCTGTTGGTTCATTCAACACCATTTGTGTGTCCTACATCTCCGAGATTTCGCCTCTGCCGATCCGTGGTCTCTTCACCGGCCTGTCCAATGTGTCGCTATGCATTGGCCCGTTTATCTGCACTGGCTTAGGAGAGCGGTATGGCAACCTCAGCACCAGATGGGCATATGTGAGTTTATGTTCTATCTTGATCCATTCTCTTTCCTGTCGCTCTTCTCTTCTCTCCGCTAAACTCACAGCGAGGAATCTTTGTCGCACAGTGGGGCTTCGGCTTTCTCGGTCTCATCTTTTGTCCCTTTATGCCCGAGTCGCCCTGGTGGCTCCTCTCGGTCGGCCGGACAGCTGCAGCCCGACAGGCGCTCTCGCGGCTCAGCGTCCCAGCCAACCAGCTCGACGGCCGACTCGAGCAGATTCGCATGACACAGCTGCGCGCCCAGGAGCAGACGGCCAGTGCGAGCTACGTCGCGTGCTTCCGCGGGACAAATCTGCGCCGCACATTGCTGACAATCTGCCCGCTGACGGTGCAGGCGATGGGGGGTGTCATGTTCATCAGCAGCTACCAAACGTACTACTTTGAGCTCGCGGGCAACTCGGTGCACCGGTCGTTCCAGCTCTCTCTCGGGTCGCAGGGCCTCTCGCTCGTCGGCAGCATCACGGCTAGCTTGCTGATCGACCGGATCGGCCGGCGAACAATTATCGTGTATGGAACGCTCGCCATGGCGGTGCTGCTGATACTCACCGGTGGCCTAGCAACCGCGACCGAACCCGGAACGCTTCAGGCCACTGTCGGCTTCATGATGCTCTACAATGCCGTGTTCAACTTCTGCCTCGGCTCGGCCGCCTACACGATCGTGTCGGAGATCCCGACGTTTGCCCTCCGGGCCAAGAGCATCGGCATCTCCATCGTCTGCCAGCAGGCCCTCTACACGGCCCAGGCGTTTGTGTTGCCGTACATCTTCAACCCGGACAAGGCCAACCTGGGGGCCAAGACGTCGTTTATCTACGGTGGCTGCTGCCTTATCAGTCTGGTGGTGTTGTTTTTCTTCCAGCCGGAGACGAAGAACCGGACGTTTGAGGAGCTGGATGAGCTCTTTATGAACAGGGTGCCGGCCAGACAATTTGCGTCATATGTAACGACCGTGCAGAAGTAGGTGTGCGACCATAGCATTGTTATTGTACAGATAGAAACGTATCTGGTCCCTCTAGTCTTATTGTCCCACCGTACTACGGCAGATACGTCTTTGCTTCGAGATGCACGTCCACTGACAGCACCATGTCGCGGGCATTCTTGCCAACGCTGAACTTGTAGTCTCCGGCCTGGATGGACCACCTATGAGTCTTCTCGTCCCACGAGGCCACATCCTGCAGCTTGACGGGCAGCTCGACGACGGTGCTCTCGCCCGCCTGCAGGGTGATCTTCTTGAAGCTGGCCAGGGTCTTGACCGGGGTCTCGGCCGAAGCCACGGTACCACCGACGTAGATCTGCACGGCCGTTGCGCCCTGGACGGCGCCCGTGTTGGCCACGGTGACCCGGACATTGTACTCGTCGGGCGAGACCGGGCTGACGGCCAGTTCGACGTATGAAAAGGCCGTGTAGGAGAGGCCGAAGCCAAAAGGAAAGTTGACCTTGTCAGCGGCCAGGCGATCGTAGTGGCGATAGCCGACAAAGACGCCCTCAGCATACGTGACCGTCAGCCTGTTCTGATCGTCGTACGTGCCGGGAAAGTTGCCGTAGGCCGGGCTGTCTTCGATCTGGCGGGGAAAAGTGCAGGTCAGGTGGCCCTCAGGGTTGCGAGCGCCGACCAAAACATCGGCAATGGAGTGGCCAGCCTCTTGACCGGGAAACCAGGACTGCACGAGGGCCTGAACCTGGTCAAGCCACGGCATGGCGACAGCGACGCCGGTCGAGTTGACGACGACCGTCTGGCTGTTGACAGCAGCCACAGCGGCCACGAGCCGGTCCTGGCTGCCGTTCTTGGGCAGGTGGAAGCTGGCCTGGTCCTGGCCCTCGGTCTCCCACTCGGCCGCGTGGCCGGTGAAGACGATGGCCACGTCGGCTGCCTTGGCCAGCTCGACCGCCTCAGGCAGCAGATCCTGGTCGTGGACAGCAGCCGTCATCAGGCCCAGACGAACACCCGGCTGATGCTGGAAGATAGGGATGATGTCGGCGCCCTCGTCCGGCGTCGGTGGCCTACTTCGGATCTGCAGCTTGTACTGGGTGCCGGCCTGTAGCTGGAACGGGACAAACGGCACGGCCACGCCACCGAGCAGAAAGCCCATAAAGTCGGGGCAGTTGGCTGGCTGGTCGTAGACGATCTGGCCGTCGATCAACAGCTGCGACGGGCCCATGCCAGAGAGCGTGAGGTAGTAGGTGCCGGTTTCGGGGGCCGTAAAGGTTCCGACGAGCTCGGCCTCGTTGGCGTCGTGGTAGACTGGCTGGATCAGCGAGACCTCGGACTGGCCGTGGCCGTGGATCGTCTTGACTGGTGTAGGGTTGCCCGGGCTGTAGATCAGGTATGTGAAGCCGTGCGAGCCGTCGAGGCCGACGACATTATCAGTCAGGAGGGGTAGCTGACGGAAGGTTGGGGCGCCTGTTTCCATTAGAAGTGTATCATCATCGTGAACGCTGCCTCTACCATCACCACCTCACTTACCCTTGGCATAAGTCACCTCAACATCCTCCCCTAGAGCCTCCCGCAGAGCATCCAAAGGTGTACTCTTGTAGTGTGCGTTCACCGCTGCACTGCCGCCTCCGTGGGCCAGACACTCGTCAGCATAGCCCAAAATAGCTACCTTCCTTCCCTTGAGCCGGTCCTTGCTCAGCGGCAGAACAGCTCCCTCGTTCTTGAGCAGGACGATGCCCTTGCCGCCAGCCTCGCGGATGAGCGCCCGGTGTTCTGGCCGGTCAACTGCCTTCTCCTCGGAAATCGTGGCGTCCTCGAAGCAGTCCTGTCGCTGGAGAAAGCGCAGAACCCGAAGCGCCCGCTCGTCGATTGTCTGCGACGACAGCCGGCCGTCGCGAACGGCCGCGGCCACGGCCTCGATCTTGCGCCATTGCGTCGGCCCCGGCATTTCAAGATCGGTGCCGGCCTCGAGCGCCTCCAACGTCGAGTTCACGCCGCCCCAGTCGCTCATCACCAGTCCATCCCAGCCCCAGTCTCCGCGCAGCACATCCTTCAGCAACGGACTCGAGTCTGCGTGCGTGCCGTTGATCAGGTTGTACGATGTCATCACGGCCCCGGGCTTCGCCTCCTTGATCGCTATCTCAAACGGCTTCAGGTAGATCTCACGCAGCGCTCGCTCGCCCACAATCGTGTTGACACTCAGACGCCGCGTCTCCTGTTCGTTGGCCACAAAGTGCTTGATTGTCGCCGACACGCCCTCCGACTGCACTCCCTCAATCACCCGTGCGGCCAGCTTGCCGGCCAGGAAGGGGTCCTCTGAAAAGCTCTCAAAATTGCGCCCGCCCAGCGGATGTCGGTGTATGCAGACCGTCGGCGCCAGCAGCACCCGCGCGCCCTTGGTGTGCGTCTCCTCGCCCAGCGCCACGCCGATTCGCCGCGCAATGTCCACGTCAAACGTCGAGGCCACGCTGCAGGCCGCCGGAAAGCAGGCCGACGTCACGCCGCCCGAGAATGTCCCGCCACGGGCGCCGTTCGGGCCATCTGAAACCTTCAGGGCCGGCACGCCCTTGGATGCAATCGGCACAGTTTCCCAGAAGTTGGCACCGGCAAGCAGTGAGATCTGCCGTGAGTCAGCAACAGTCGACCTCTTCTGTAGTCATTGGTCGTCCAACCTTCTCCTCAAGCGTCAGCTTCGCCAAAACGGCGTTTACATCAGTAGACGACATTCTGTACCTGAATTTGTAGAGCGAAAGTTGGTAACTATTGCTGATTGCATCAGCGTCAAGCGGAGCTGCCTTTTAAAAGCATCATTGGGCGCCGTCCACGTCGCCAGAATTCGTCTCCACCAAAATTTAGTGTAGGACGTGGCAATGTGGATTAATCTCCAGGGCTCGGCACACGGGCCGTATTGCCTATTGCCGGACAGAGGCCTACCGCATTTAATCGTGGCCACTTTTCAAGCGATCCTTACGTTTGGAAAACAATGCTGCCGACTCTGCCGGCGGCACAAGCTGATACCGTTTTGGTGATATGTCATCAAGATCCTGGAGCGAGTACATCTAAATTACTTACAACAGACTGAAGCTTCCAGGTTCACCTTGCTAGAACTCGCTGTAATTTAGACGGGCCATCAAAACTTGTCAACATGAAGAAAATTTCAGATCTTGACATTTTTCTGTGATTGTATCTGAACAGACCCTCCTTATCTTAAGCCAACTCTTAAGTGGAGCACATACAATAGTTGAAGCCCAGTGTTATACAGAGTACGCCAAGCAGTCGAGAACCCTTGTCTGAACGTCAATGCAACAAATTTTCACATTACTCTGTAATTCTACGTAAACAGCTCCTCTCTCAACCCACCTATACAGTCACCGTCGCACCCTTCTCGCTCTTGTAGACCGGCGACGACGGGTAGGCGACGTCCTCGCCTTCGAGCACCTTTGTGGCCGCTGGACCCTCAAAGATCTCATTGATGTTCTCAAGTGACTTGTCCTTCGTCTCCACCCAGAAATATATGACAAACAGCACCTGCAGCACGTCCCAGGCGCCGTTGATCATGTATGTCTTCCAACCGATCTTGGCAAGCGCATATGGAAAGGCCATGGTGACCATCAGGCCCAGGCCGTTGGACAGGAACGTGTAGACGGCCATGCCCGACGACCGGATGGAAAAATTGAGAATCTCGGGCGGATACAACATCGCCAGGGGGGTCCAGGCAAAGCTGTAGGCGCCCTGGAAGAGGAAGAGCACCGCAACGGTGCCGTAGATGCCCGAGGTTTGTGTCGAGTTGCCATATGTCTTGGTAAGAGCGCCAAAGACAAAGATTAAGATGGTGAGGGCGATGGACGAGTAGATGGCTAATGGCTTGCGGCCGACGTTGTCTAGAGTGTACGTGCCGACCAGAGCGACAACAAGGCACCACAAACTAAGGACGATGTTCTATGGCAGGTTAGCAACAAGTTAGGTAATAAAGGTGGACGGAAACCTACAATTTCAAGCTGCGTTGTGCTGTCAGTAATGCCGGCCTGGTCCAGCATCTGGCCAAGGTAGTAGCTGATGATGTTGTTGCCCGACAGCATGGAAATGACGGCGACAGAGCAGCACAGCAGTATGCGCATGCCGTTAGACCGCGACTTGACAATCTCCTTGAAGCCAACCTCCTTTCCAAGGTCGATCTCGGCCTGCAGCATGCTGACGATCTCGTTGTATGTCTCTGTCACGTGAGGATCGTCGCGATTGCCGTTTCCGTGAGTGTCCGCCAGGGCATCGAGAGCCTCCTCGTGGCGGTCTTTGTGGATAAGCCAGCGGGGAGATTCAGGCATCCAGGGCAAGGCCACAACAGCGAGCACCATAAGGAAGCCCTGCAGAATGGAAGGCGTGCGCCATGCCCATGTGTTGAGGATCTTGGCCGTGCCATACGTCACACCGGCCGCGATCAGGCTGCCGACATAGTACATGTCGGTGAACAGGGCCAGGCCAGGACCACGCCATCGCGTTGGGAAGCACTCGGCTAGGTAGATGGGACCGCACACGTACGTCGCGCCGTTGCCGAGGCCAACGATGAAGCGGGCCACGACGAACATGGCGATGTCCTGGGCCGCGGCCTGGATGACGACGCCGACGAGCGTGATGATGGCGCTGAGCCACATGGCTTTCTTGCGGCCGTAGTAGTCCGTCAGGGTGCCGTAGAAGAAGCTGGCCACACACATGCCGGCCCACGAGATGGCCGACTGTAGCGCCAGCGTCGCCGTGTCCAGCTTAAAATAGTCTGTGTACGACGGCAGGATGTTAAGGCTGTTCATCATGCTGGCGTCGAACCCGAGCGACTGTTGCCATTAGGTCAGCAGCCAAAACCCACATCGCCCATCTGCTCGGTCCCGCGCCTCGAGACTGTTCTTACCGTCGACATGATGCTCGAACACCATAGCAGCAGGATCAACGTCCGGTTGGACTTTCCCAGATAGTCGTTCACAGCCATGGCAAGGAGTGTTGCTGCTGTGTATGTCTTGGCTGGTTGGCAGCTGAACCGCGTCTGCTTGTCGTGGGAGACACGCTTTAATAACCACGTTGAGTGTATCTCCAAAATTCCCGTTATCAGGCCTATCTTCTCCGCTGCCGGGTAGAGAGATAGCAGGCCTAGATGCGTCTCCAAGTTTGCCGTCCGGCAGGGCTTGCCTGTCCGGCAAGAGTGCTGTCTTCGTAGGACCCGCCGTTCGAATTCTGTTTTGTCGCTCTCACGTCTCCACGGTTCTCCCTGAAAACACGGATTGCGGTCCGTATTTCCGGAAGCGCGTTTGCATGTAGTGGGTTAGTGGGTCAGATAAATTATCGACCTCGAGATTTCTGCATAATGTGTATACCCAGGCCGCCCTTGACTGAGTGGAGCCCAAGCTTGTTCGCCGTTCTAGAATCTCGCCAGGTGCCGGTTCGATAAGATTCCCATGTATCTCCGTGCATCCGGTTGATCTACGGAGTACAGCAACCATTGATCTTTGTCCGGCGCGTCAAAACCATACATTTGTAGGCGGCAATGCCCTAGACCAAAAACTCTCAACCACTTCGTTAACCATATAAGCTCTCTACAGCCGCACGGCCATTATGCTACTAAACAGGTGGTATCCGGGTTTTTTCACGATGGTGTGGATTTCCGGAGGTCACCTAAACTCCGCCCGAAAACACCAGATAAGACAAAGCCTCAATCTGCGCGCACACAGCACACAGTCTAGTCTCCAGTCAACCGCCCTACAAAATATCATAACTAGATCTTCTGAAGGCTTAGAGCTTACTACGATATGTGCAACTGGTCCGGACGTAAATCCAAGAAGGATTATCGTGCGGGTCTTACACTGGAGCACCTTCGCGTTACAGACTAGTGGTGCACGGAGTAATAAAGCCACAATGGTCGGCATAGTTAGTCTATCGCGGCCCTTAACATGTTTGGGTCTCATCGCATTTATAGCTGCCTGCTGGACGTTCTTAGTCGGACAAAAATATCCATGATCCGTATATAAATTATAAAGTTGCCTCTTCTCGCCACCGTTCCTAGCCGGCTGGTCTACCATATTGTATCTTACCTTCTCTAGGCTTCTCGGGCTGTCTAGTGGGCAGGTAATTTACCTGCTTTGTACTCGGTAGGAGTACGGAGTATACTAATATTATCAAGTCAAGTAATTCTGATGAATTTATAGCTGTCGATTACAGGCAGTTATGCATGAAGCATGCTCTGCCGGTATGCAGCACATGATCACAGCTCGACCTACGACACCCAAAGAAACTACTTACTTAGAACATAATTTCGGTTGCTTGGTCACGTGATGAACGAAGGAACGGTTCCGTGGTGCAGTTGGTTAGCGCATCGTACTAATATTTCGCCTTGAAATACAATGCGAAAGTCGAGGGTTCGAGCCCCTCCGGGACCATTTTTGTGTATCTGCTCTTTTCGCTGGCTGAGTCAGCTTGTTCTTGATTTCAGGCAGCGCTATTGTAAATAAAGCTTCGTTCGGGTTCTTAACAAACACAACGCGCTTTACTACCGTCGCAATAATGTTTGATGACTCTAGCGACGATAGTGGCCCCGAGCGCCCCCCGAACTTTTGGGTTGAATCTCGATGTCGGCTATGCTGCTTTCACTTTGAGAATGGCGACGAGATCATTGCCAGTGAGCAATACGGGATTTTCAATCAGCCTGTTGTAGCATGAGAAGGACGGCAACTAACCCCGTTTTTGCGTGTGATAGACCTAGATGGCCAGAGATCGCCCTTTACTTATGCTTTTGTTCACGACCAGCAAACCGAGCTTGACCCTGTATTTTTCATGGACGTCAACGTTACATTCAGCCGCGACGGCACGAAACCTCCACACAGAGTCAAACTTGCCGCCGGCTACCATGAGGAATGCCTTAACTATTGGGGATCGTCGTTCCCGCCTGCGGACTTCCCGGCTGCCACTCGCTTCTCTTTTACAACCCCCGTATACAAGGAGCAGCAGCGTAAACTGCGGATTGAAAACTTACTGCTCCGCAAGTTGCAGAGAGGTGAAATCCTGGTCGGATCGGCAGTCTTGCCTGTGGAAACGTCGGCGATGATCATGCGTATGCTCGTGCGGTGGTTTGCTGCCAGCTCTACAAAGCAGCTCTGGGAGGACCGGACCAGCTGTGGCGCTGTGCTGGATTGCGCAAAGGGCGTCTGGGCGCAGTACGTGCACGTCGATGGCGTACGTTACATTGCCAAGCTAACGAGCTCGCCCGAAGCTGATGGCATCCGGCTATTGAATGGGGAGACGGCATCGGAGAAGACGGTACTCTACGTGGCGGAAGACCACCTGGGAGTGCGGCAGCTGGTGTTTGCCGAGCCGGACCGTGACCTCTCGACGCTGCCAGGCGTAACAGGCCCGGTAGATGTAGCCAAGTCCAGCGACGGCAGAGCTTCCATATGGTGGAGGACTTTGAATCTTGCTGTCGATAGCCGGCTCCATGCGGATTCAGACGTATGTCAGCCCCTCTTCCGTGCATATACGGCTCGCAGAATACTATTTAGAGTCTAGGCTAACTGCTAGTGTAGGGGCTGAAGATCCGGACGATTCGAGTTTGCAGTGTCCACGACAGGCTGCCAGGCCCCAATCGAACGCTGAAAGGCACGGTTTGGCCGACCCCTATGTCCCCGTCCGAGCTTGCGGCACTGTTTTACCTCAAGTGCACCCCGTCGCTTTGCCGAGAAGGCGATCCTGGCGACCATTGCATGACATCCGTTGTATGCAATGACCCGGACGTGACGGGATATACTGGCTTCTGGGCGCATAATCTGGTGACTATCCATGCCCACCGGCATGGCAAGGACACATCGTTCTATCAGGACTTCGACAGATTGGACCCAGTGTTTGGCGTGTGGCAATACTTTAGTATAGGACAAGACGAAACGATCACCGACTTGTTTCTTCAAAGGGGCCCCCGAAACGAGCACGTCAGCCTTCTGTTTCGTACGAGCCTCGGCAAGAGTTTTGTGTTTGGACCTACTTGGAGACCAACCCTGTCGCCTCGAGCAGTAGAGTCAGAATACTACTTGTACGAGCACGTCTACCATCTCCCAATTAATATGCCGACCGAAATTTTCTTTGATGTGTCACCTGTGGGCATGCACAAGCTGGGCCTTGCTCGAGGCGATGGGCAGCAAGCCGGATCTATCCCGCCTATCGGAGCAGTAGAAGCGCCGACATGTCCCGAGTTTGGCGATTTATTTGTCTCTACCGTGGATCTAGATAGAGAATGTGGTGAGCATCACGACGTCAATCAAACCTGTTGATGCTGAACACACATGGCCCAAATCGATCCGTGGCTTTCTCTTGAACTATTCCGACAAATGTCGTACCCCCGAGACTTTTGGAGAATTCCGTTTCGATCATGTCGGGGAGACGATTGACCTGACCGGCGTAGACACGTTGTATCTCGGATTTCACAGCGGCAGCATATACGACCGCAACCCTCGGCACCTAATACGCATCTCGGTCGACCCTAAGACGATTGAGCCGACACTGACGTGGACGACTCTGCCTCTGAAGGGCGTCGCAGAGCTGTGGTTCTGTCAATCGTTCTTCCACCTTACTCATGCCTTACTAGAGCGTACGTAAGGAGGGGGTCGAGAGGAGTTGTGAGAAGGAGTCTTTGATTCCAGGGAGGCTACGGGGTAGGGGACTATGGAACAGTATCTCGTGGCCTGTTTAAGATGGGTACAGTATACCCGAAGCAAAAAAAAAGGAGCAGGATTTTAGGGGGGGCAAAACACGATGTTACGGTATCTGGTATTTATTCTACTATGCCGTTGCAAAACTCCGGACAAATCATTTACAGTGGTAACGAATACGATGTACGGAGTACTATGTAGAAATAATTGCGTTATTTTAAGCAAGGTTGTAGGGAAATGTACTCCGTACGAGTACGTAAAACGTAGCGCTACAGCAACAGGTGTACGGATTACGGACAATCCAAGGGAAGATGGAACAAAATTTTCGTCCGACGGTGCGGTCGGTCATTCGGCCGATCATCGGTGATGCTAGAGTTACATCAAAACGACAGTGGAACTTTGTAAAATTTTCTTGGTTCAGGCTATGCAGCAATGCTATGAGGCCGTGGTGCATTACCACGCGGGAGGACGGCTGCTACCGGTGTCGGTTGTGCTCGTACTGGAATGAAATCAAGGGCACGGGCGAGTCGGAGGTATGTACTCGTAATAGTGCAAAGGCAACTTGCGACGTACGGAGTTCGAGGCGACAGAGACTTCTCGGCATATAACGCATAAAAAGGACTCCGGGTGCCCCTTAACTCCACAATCTATTCATGGGTTTAATGCCGCAGGGCCTGTCCACTGGAGGCAATGCAACGCCAAAAAGCGAACTTGTTAGTGAAACGAAAATAATCAGAAGAGCGATTCGACATGTCTTTTCTGGCATACTATGTATCTCCGGTCGAGCCCAGCGCAGCGGTTCAGCTATTATAACAGGATCGCGATCGGCTCGAGTGCCGCTATGCAGCCGTGTAGCCTGCAGCTGGACTGAACATTTGGGAGTAGCATGTCACTGGAAGCAGGGGCTCACGTGCCCTTGTGCCGATCTGTCAGGCTAAATCTGTGGTCGAAACTACTCCGTAAACCCAGTACCGGGATTGGTAAAGGAGACCCCCATTTTTCGACATCGATTACAGAGCATCACGCAGGATTACCAAGCGCGGGCTTAGCAGGCGGAGTGGCACAGCCTTTTGACGATGCTACTATGTAGTTGCCCGCAAACCTAGTCGGTGTGGCAATCTCGGCGAAGAGATTAAAGGGAGGATACGAGAGACGACAGCTCCCTTCTGGAAGCCGGGCTCTGGAACCTGGGTGTGACTCTGCCAAGCAAGGGTGCGCGCTAAAGTCCGCGAAACGACACACGCGCAGAGTCTGCTTTCTCGCGAACACATGGCGAGATGCAACGGTGATGAGAACCATAACAGGATCTGGGACGTCGACACATGGCGTCCTAACCAGCAGGTCTGCTAACTTGGGCACAGCGACGCGTTAGGTCTAGCTCTGGGAGATCGCTGTCAGATTATCATGATCTAATCGCGTGGGGCTCAGGCTCGATGATCGGATGGGCACACGACAGCAAGCCCTGTTTGGACTAGTGGCGCTCTTGTTTCGACTAGAGGAGCGAGGAAGGAAATGCTTGGCTATGCGGGAAACGATAACGTAAAAACGAGACCAGGATGGCGGAGCAGCCGAGCGCGAGCAAAGACGGACGAGGAGGATAAAAACCAAGGCCGTCCTCGTAGAGAACAGCTAGCTTTGAGAGCCAAACACTCACGAAGCCACAATCCTTTCACACCTCCCACTCACCTCCTGTTCTTTCTCTTTCCCTCTTCACAATGCGTTTCATCACTCTCGGCGGTCTTACCGCAGCGGCCTTGAGCCAGTGCGCAGCAGCCACAACCCTGTACGACTACATTGTCGTTGGCGGCGGTCCTTCTGGCATCATCGCGGCCGAGCGGCTGGCTGAGACCAACAAGAAGGTGCTCCTGCTAGAGCGTGGCCATGGCTCGACCAGCGGGACGGGCTCGTCGTTCTCTCTCGAGTGGAACAACTCGCTGACGCCTATCGACGTGCCCGGGCTCTCGGGTGGACTCTCCAGCCAGACCGGCCTGTGGTCTGACTACCTGTGCAACGACACGTCCGGCCTCTACGCGGCCTGCGTTCTGGGTGGCGGCGTCAGCGTCAACTACATGGTGTTTGTGCATCCGCCGGCACGTGACTTTGACGACAAGTGGCCTACTGGCTGGAAGTGGTCGGACGTGGAGCCGGCAGCCAACCGGCTCTATGCACGGAACCCTGGCTCGTCGGCACCCTCAGCCGATGGCCAGCGCTACGACCAGGGCCTCTACACGACGCTCTCATCCTTCTTCGCCAAGCTCGGCTGGTCCGCGGTCGACATGATCTCCCAGCCTGACGCCAAGCACGAGGTCTACAGCCACCCGTCCTGGAACATCAAGAACGCCATGCGTGCCGGCCCTGTCCGCACATACCTGCCGCTTGCCCAGGCCCGCGCCAACTTCAGCCTGCGTCTGCGTGCCAAGGTCAACCGCCTCGTGCGCGATAGCAGCACCGGCTCCCGTGTCACCGGCGTCCTCGTCGAGAACGTCGACACTGGCGCCCTCGAGACCGTCCGGCTCGCCTCCAACGGCGCCGTCGTCCTGGCTGCCGGTGCCCTCCACACGCCCCAGCTGCTCTTCAACTCTGGCATCGGCCCTGCTGCCCAGATCGACATCGCCAACACGTCTGGCGCTGCCGTCCCGCCCAAGAGCCAGTGGATCGACCTGCCGGTTGGCAAGAGCCTCAAGGACCACCCCATTTTCTACATCACCGTCAACACGTCTTCGGGCGTGAACTCGTCGGCGTACGACCTGGTCGACGCCACCGACGTCTTCAGCGGCACCGACGTCACCAACATCGACCTCTACGAGTCCAAGGCTCAGGGTGTCCTCACTCAAGGCCGTCATCGCCTCGTCTTCTTCTCGTCCAACGTCGGCAGCGACGGCGTCACCCGCTACTACCAGGGCTCGTGCGCCGCTTCCGGCCCGGACACCGTCACCATGACCACATACCTCACCCACGGTGCCACCTCCACCGGTGTGCTCGAGATGAACACCGACGGCAGCGTCCACTTCTCTACGCCCCCCTACCTCCAGACCGCTGCCGATCGTGCGGCCGCTACGTCCTTTGTCGAGGGCCTGCTTAGCTCCCTTGGAGATGCCTCCACCGGCTTCTCCCTCGTGACCGACAACGTCACCTCCATTATCGAGAACTACGGCACTGGCATCCACTATGCCGGCACTGCCAAGATCGGCACTGACGACGGTCGCAATGGCGGCAGCGCCGTCGTCGACACCAACACCAAGGTCTATGGCACCGACAACCTCTACATTGTCGACGGCAGCATCCACCCCGACCTGGCTAGCGGCAACAATCAGGCCACCATCATGGTCGTTGCTGAGGCTGCTGTTGCCAAGATCCTGGCTTGCCACCGCTAGGTGTTGGTGAGGCGATGTTGTAAATAGTAGCCTGTACTTAAATTGTAATTTTAAAGCAAAAATAGACATTGCGGGTTTGATCAAGATACTTGGCCATGGTGCGTAGACTGATTTGTTGACATTTGAAGAACTTTGTTTGATGTGCGGAGTAGTGGCCACTGTTTGGTACTGTCTAATATGGGGTACACCCCAGAAATCAAATGGAGACGCTGCAATGAATTCGCTTTGCTCCTTCACGACTCTGAGCTGTTCCTTTGTGACATGTACGTCTCTCCGGTAGTAGTGAACTTACTGCCGCTCGTCATTGGTCTCGCATAGCTCATGCCGAAATGGATTATGGTACCCCAAGATATCTTTGCGATCTCCAAAACAGTTTGGATGTACGGCTCAATGGGGGCTGTTAGAGCTCTGCTGACCTTCGAGTTGGAGCGGACGGGATTGCATGGCCATGCCATGGCAATCGCGAGCCTTGTACGAAATGGCAATCTTATTAGAGGCGTCACCGCCTATCGGCATATCGCATACTTTGCCCCCTCTCTCTTTCTCGTTGTGCTCGTTCTCATGTTTATGTATAGCTTCGTCACGGAATCAACGATAGGTTTCTTTATTTGCGGCTATGTCGACGTGCATGAAAACCCTTACTGAATAGCGCCCTGCGCTACACAGTACATGTATTCTTCCATCACACGGCACAATCGTGCACACCCTATCTATATTGGCCTTGTCCATTTGACTTTTTGTTGTGGTCGATGGAGCTTACTTATTATGCGACATCAACATCAGGTTGTTACTGGCTAATAAGACCTTTGATAGTTTCACTGTGAGCCATTTTTTTGTTACTGGTCATGCAATCGAATTTTATTGGGGTTATAGTGGACAGGCACCATTTCCTCGTTATTTGGCATCATGCTAATGCTTTTCAAGTTTAAAGTTTAAGCTATTTATACGTTTACTAGATTTGCTGTACGCATTTATCTACAAGATATAACAAAACATAAACCGTTTTCTGTACCATGACAAGACAATAAGAGTCATGCTGCGTTTATACATGGCGCCCTGTCTGCCTATTACCTGTTCATGTTTTAGTTGTTTAAACCTAGTTTCGCCCAATAGTTCAACTTCTACATAAATACACAACACGAGACTAAATTCTCACCTGGACACGGAGCCATTACTCCGTGTCGTTGGACAACTACAGCAAGGGTTGGTTCTACGCATTGGAACTCTCGGCTTTGAGCGCCTGGCCATCCACAAATGATCTGTGTAACGGTCAACAGAAATTCATTCTGCGGCCTGATCTGTCTCCGTCGGTCATCCCTGCTCGTTTGGAACGCCTTGGCTTGAATTCGACGTCGAAGTGGCGATATCCCGTACATTTGAGCTGTTTTGCTTCTCCTTACTAGCAGATGGCGACTTTAACTAGCGCATTGGCAATAACTTGTCGCCTATGGCGAGCTCAGATAAGACGACAACTCGAGTGCACGTGACACAAAATCTAAACAGGTGGGGGTCGCGCGTTGACTTCGACTTTGGTACGTACGTGCGCTTGGACAGTCGCTATATGCCCCACACTTGCTGCCACGGTGCGCAAGACATATACACGGTGCATTAAGACATCCGCTTATCTTGACCTCCTTTTCCCTTTCTCAACTTCCATATTAGCGTAATATTGTCCTATGCCAGTGTCGACACTCTTTTGATTGCGAGCTTCCTTTGCCCGAGCTTTGTATCATAGCCACACCGTTAATCAGAAGCGACGCTGGCGCCTGCTCACCGCAACCGGCCCGGGTTCGTATATACATACATGGCTTATCGCAGAGCCGATGCTATATATCTCTGCATAACGCTAAATTTGCAAAGTACAGTAGTCGCACGACGCCAGAATCAGTACTCTAACCGAAGGATCACTTGCGACAACGTGTGATACCATCTGTTCGTCCAAGGTGGAGAAAGAGGTCGGTGAACCCGAGGACGTGGTTGGATCCAGTCGAGGAAGAAGGCCCGCAACATAGAGTCTGGTGCTGGCTATAATCAGCTGGCCCCACGGCCGAGAGATAAGTGCATTGGGTCATTTATGCGTAGATCACGTGGCAGCCAAACAGTCAATCATGATGTGTAAACGCAGATTTGCATTCAGACAGAAGTCTTGCGCAAGACAGCGAGACGTAAGATAGTTTCGTATCTGGTGCGTGTGCATAAAGTACTCGTACTCGTCTGATAAGGCTTGGTAGACGCAAGGGTTCTCTCGCAGACGCCGAAGCGTGGGATCGACATTGCATAGTTAGCTGCTATCCAGACTTTGTGTGCACGGGCAAAGTACGATAGGAGACGCGTCTGCAGCCACATCTCTGCTTGATAGGACTGGATAGAATTCATTTCCCGATGAGGGAGGTGACATGCACAAGGCCTTGGCGCTGTCTGGTCTTATCCTGAGGGATGCATGCGTATCTGGTCTGCTTGAAAAGCAAGCGTTGGTCCGTCTGTTCTCCTGCTCGTAGCTATTTCCTACGTCCATTCGTGTAGTCTCATCGACAACAGCTGTAATGTCGTCTGGATACCAGGACAACAAAAAGTACCCGGGCCCGGGCCCTGTGGTGGGCGATGTCGAGGTTATCTCGGGCGAGATCGTGCCTGTCGGGCTGAACGAATACGAGATGCAGTTCGCTGAGGTCGGCATGGTCAAGCAGGGCCTGAAGCAGCGACACATCCAGATGATCGCATTGGCCGGCACGATTGGCACGGGTCTCTTTCTCGGCTCCGGTCGTGCCATTGCCCATGCCGGTCCTCTCGGCGCCTTTCTGGGCTACTCCATCATCGGCGTGACGGCTGCCGGCGTCGTCATGTCTGTGGCCGAGATGGGCGCTCTGATCCCGCTCAACGGAGGCATCGTTCGCTACACCGACACCTTTGTCGACCCGGCGCTCGCCTTTGCCAACGGCTGGAACCTGGTGTACTCAAATATTGTGTCGCTACCGGCCGAGATTGTCGCCGCCGCCGTGCTGGTCGAGTTTTGGGTCACCGTCAACAACGCAGTCGTAAGTTCTCTCTTTCTGTCTCGTTCCATTTCTGTCCAGCTCCATCCGTCCAGATGCTAATCTGTCCAAATTCGAATCGCAGTGGATCACCGTCTTCTCGTTCCTCACCATCGCTACCTCCCTCTTCTTCGTCCGGCTCTATGGCGAGATGGAGTTTGGCTTTGCCATGCTCAAGATCATCCTCATCGTCATGGTCAACGTCATGGCCATTGTCATCACTGCCGGCGGTGCGCCGAACCACCAAGTCATCGGGTTCAAGTACTGGCACCACCCCGGTCCGTTTGTGCAGTACCTCGGCGTGTCCGGCTCGCTCGGCCGCTTCCTCGGCTTTTGGACAACCTTTAGCAACGCGCTGTACTCGTACTCGGGCGTCGAGGGTATCACCTTGGCAGCCGCCGAGGTCGAGGCCCCTCGTCGTGCTATTCCCCTGGCAGCTCGACGCATCTTCTGGCGTGTGGCCATCTTCTACATTGTCACCATCGGCATGGTCGGCCTTGTGGTCCCGTCCAATAGCAAGCAGCTGCTCCAGAGCACCGGCACCGCTGCCCAGTCTCCTTTTGTCATCGCCGCCAAACTTGCCCACATCCGCGTGATGCCGCACGTCATCAACGCCATCGTCCTCACTAGCGCCTGGTCTGCTGCCAACTCGGGCATGCTCAGTGGCAGCCGCACGCTCTATGGCCTCGCTCGCTCCGGCCGGGCCCCCAATATCTTTCTGCGGCTCAACCGCTTTGGTGTCCCTTATGTCGCCATCGGCTTCTTCGGCCTCTTCATGGCCCTCGGCTACATGACCCTCTCGGACTCGGCCTCGACCGTCTTCACCTGGCTGCAGGATCTCATCTCCATCTCCACCCTGACCAACTGGATCATCATCTGCATCACCTACCTTCGCTTCTACTACGGCTGTCGTGCCCAAGGCATCGACCGCAGCGAGCTTCCCTGGGCTGCGCCTTTCATGCCGTGGCTGCCGTGGGGCAGTCTGGCCCTCTTCCTCTTGCTGCTTCTCACCAGTGGCTATACCACCTTTATGAGTCACCACTGGAACAGTGAGACCTTTGTCTCGTCGTACTTCAACATCCCCTTTATCTTTGTTGTCTATTTCGGGTACAAGTTCGTCAAAAAATCCAAGATCGTCCCGCTGAGCGAAATTCCTATCCGGCCCTACATCCAGATCGCCCTGGACAACCCGGAGCCGCCAGAGAAGCCTAAATCCACGTTACAGAAGCTGAACATACTGTGGTCGTGATTTGTGCGTATATAGAGTGACGAGTACAACGTATGGGGGCTGGAGCAAGTCCTAAACCCGAACAAAACAATAAAATATATTTTCTGTCTTGTTTATCATTCCAGCCATGCTGCCACCTGCTTTCGCCGCAGTTTCTTTAGCTGAGCTGGTGTTAACAGGGTCCACCATGTGTAGATGTCGCAGGGTCTAGTCATCAACTTTCCAGTCCCTACGCCTAATACTGATTCCTCCGTGTAAAGCCCCAATTCTACCATACGCGACGTCTCCCAGATCATGAAGCCCAGGCAATAGAACGGCTGAAAGTCGGTTTTCCATAATGGTGAAGTCTTTGTTTGTCGGCAAACGCAGAGGTATCGTTGAGCTATTTCAGTAGTGCCAAGGCCTGAGATGCCTGGTTTCTAAGAGGCACACATAGGACGGGTCCGGGTGTTGTAGTCATACGGAAGCGTGGCGGCTGTTGCCATCGTTGTGAGCACGACGGGGGGGTGACAGAATGCCTTATTCAAACTCAGACAAGGGCGTGCCTGGGGCTCTGTGGTATGGAAAAAATTCGATTCACGATCGTCATCGTAAACAAATGTCGACAAAAGTCTCTCCCTCAGCCTCTTGTCTGAATCTGTTGGCAAGTCGATCGACATCCAAAACGCCAAGGGACTATGCATTATACTGGGTAAGGGGACATGTAATTTTCTGAGTCCGCTTCGCACGACAGAGAAACAAGCCAGAGACCAGGCACCGTACAGGGCGCGTCCTTCCTCGGCCACGAACGGAGGCGAACGTGCGCGATGGAACAAGGGTCCGAACGGTACGGGTTCCTCAAATGGAATATATCTCATCTCGAAGGGCTTACCGGGGCTGTAGTCCCAAAAGTATGCCGGATCGTCGTCGTACCTGATGTCGGTGGGTCGGCGTGGCCGCAGAGTGCGACAACGCGAGAGGAGCGTTTCCAGACAGCGGTAGGCCGCCGAGTGGACACATTTTGACAGCGCCAGCAGCATCCGCACCGAGACCGAATGAATCTCTGGGGTTTCTTGTGTCTCTTGTAATAGCAGAACGTTTCGTTGATCAAGTCTCATGCAGAGCTGCTCCACGTCGTCCCACGAGGACAGCGGGTGACCAAGAGCAAGACAAGTGAGGCGCACGGTATCCTGCACACAAGGCGTGAGGCTTGAAGCAATGACGGAATCCAAAATGTTGAAGGCTATGGAATCGTCGGCAAAGAAGCCGGAAAACAAGGTAGAGGAACATCGGAGGCTGTGCAGTGTGAGTAGATCGGAGGCGGACTGGGCAATCATGAGCAAGGCCTGATGGGGTAGCTGCGCTACAGAAGTCATGGTGCCAAACTCGATGGGCTGGATGGAGGTCTTATCGAATAATTTCTGGGGGCGCCTGCAGATATGTTGGTTGTTGATAAAAGGTGCTCAAGTGTCTGGGAGTCGATGCTGCTGAAACTTCGTAGGTCGTACGGAGTAAATACCCCCACTACTGCAGGCGTTCGCGGGAAGCACCTTCCCCGCCTGCGCAGATCGACAGGGCTGGTGGGGGGAAGTGCGAACGGTGGGGTAGCCCATCACTTTTATTAGCCAGTTTCCAGGCGCGTCATCCTAGCTTTAGTGACGCGTCGTAAAAAACACAACGAACAAGATCATCATAACGACGCTGCGACAACGCGACGGCGAATACTACCACAGCACGATGCGCTGACCAGCGAGAGACGATGTTCGAGGTGCGCATCCACTGCATCGACTACTGTCTGGCGGCCCCAACAGAGGTGGATACGGCCGCTTCGCGCGCACCGCTGCACCGCGCCTTTCGGAACAAGAACAAGGGAAATGGACGGGACCAGGAGAGGGAGTCGGACAGGGAAACAAACGCGGACAGCACCCGCAATTATGGCCCCAGGGTGCCGATCATCCGGGTGTTTGGAGCGACGCCGGCGGGCAAGACGGCCTGCGCCCACATCCACGGCGCATTTCCCTACCTGTTTGTGCCTTTTGACGGATATTTCCAGCCGGCCGACGCCGACAAGGTGATGGATCAGCTGCGACGCGGCCTCGACCAGGCGCTGGGCCGCATCACCGTGCTGGCCGTGACGCTGGCCCGTGGCGTGCCCTTTTACGGCTTCCACGTCGGCCTGCGGCTATTCTGCAAGATCTATCTGCTGGACCCGGCCGCAATGTCGCGCGCGGCCGAGATGTTGCGTCTGGGCCGCATTGGCGGACTGCCCGCGCTACAGCCCCATGAGGCCCACGTACCCTTTGTGCTGCAGTTTATGACTGACTACAACCTCTACGGCTGCGACGTGCTGCGGGCGTCGACGGCGACGGCCAGGCGGCCACGCACAGGAACAGACGCCGTCGGCGGCGACCTGCTTCAGATCGACATTGCCGCCCACCACATCCGCAACCGCGACGCCGCGCCCGAGCGCCGGATCCACGAAAACATGCCCGAGCCGCCGACCAATCCTGACGAGCGACTGGTCTATAGCATGGCGTCACTGTGGCGCGAGATGGCCGGGCGGTATGGCCGGGCCGACCGCAAGACCAGCGCAGAGATGCGGCAGTCGTTCGAGGCCAACACACAACAGGCGTTTGCTCAGCTGGCCGCATCAGCATCGGACCCGCGACGCACACCGTCCGCCTGGCCCCAGGAGGCGGCGTACCGGCGACAGCTGGATGATATCATCGCGGCGGAGAGGCGCAGAAGCAAGGCAGCCGCATCTGATACGATACTAGAGCATCCACTTGGAGACTGGGTGCCGACAACGCGGCAGTCCGTTGAGGATTTCTACCCGACACCAGACCGGACGGAGAACAAGAAGCGGAAACGCAGGCCGAGTGAGGAACTGCTATGTGGGAAGACAGACACGAAGACCGGAGGAGTTGGCTTCTCACCGTCACCAGACTTTGAGATGAAGCTGAGGGCACTGCTGCACGAGCAAGAATCGGGCGGGAGTGGTAGAGTGGCGGTCGTGGATAGGAGCAGCGGTGCTCCAAAGAGATCAGTTCTGCCAATCCGCAAAAAAAGCGAAAACAAACCTGCTGCAGAGCAGACGCAGCGCCCTCTGACACAGATGTTTACGGTTACCAAATCGTCCTTTCCACGAGACCACAGCAAGACGACGCCAGTAGTTCCATCGACAGACGAGAAGGTTAATGATGTTGTAATTCCGTCAACACCCGACTACGATTTGCCTCGACTGTCAACACCTTCCCGACGCGAGCCCACATGGTCTCCAGAAGCCACACACAATCCCAATCAACCATTTTACAGCGTGGGTGACGGTGTGCTGGCTTTTGCTAGACGGCCCCCGTCCGCCGACGATGTGACGGCTACACTACATCGACACGGCTCCGAAGAGCTGCACCAGGACGCCTTCTTCAGTGACGAGAAAGACATTGTACAGAACAAGTACGACAATACGGGTGCGGGCAGACGTTTGCCGGTGCGACTGCCTGCGTTTGCGCCGTCACCAGGCTCCAAGGACACGAGCGCCTCGTTGCTGTCCGCCTGCAACGCCCGTTGCTGGGAGCTGGCTGCCCTGCCGCCTTCGGTCGGCGCGGTGGAGACATGGCTGGCGGACGAGGATGCGCAGGTTGCCAAGAGAGAGAGGACAGCTGCGGAAGAGACTGCAGCCGCTCGACAGCGCATGACTACGGCACAGCTGCCACGATCCGAGCGGAAGACGTTGAGGCCGTTGCCCAAAGCAAGGTCACGAGGGGGCGGTATGCGTGTGTTGGTGCTGGAGCTACACGCCAACTCGAGAGGGACGTTTTTGCCGAATCCAGAGCGCGATCCGGTGCAGTGCGTGTTCTGGCGAGTGTCAGAGACAGACAGGGCTACCGACAGAGACGCAGAGAGCGGCGTGATTACGGTACAGCGGCTGCTGCGTTACGAGAAGCGCGTGGAGGTGGCGACAGACGAGCGTGACCTTCTGAAGCGCGTGGTCGAGCTGGCGCGACGGCTGGACCCAGACATCCTGGCGGGGTACGAAACAACAGCGTCGTCGTGGGGATACCTGGCAGAGCGGGCAGCACTGTACACAGAGACGGAAGACGGCCTCTGGCAGGCACTCGGCCGGATACAGCAGCCGCGAGAGTCGGCCATGTTTGAACGTGGAGACCAGTCCCACATGGTGACAGGACGTCACGTGCTGGGAATCGCAACAGCTGTGCGAACAGACGCAGACCTGCGACAGTACACCATAGCCAGCGCGGCCTGGAAGCTGCTGCGACTGCGGGTGCCAACATATGGACCGCGGGTGCTGACGGGCTGGGCTACCAGCGGACGGGCACGCGATCTCACGAGACTGGTGCGCTTTGGCTGTCACCGGGCGGCCGTGGGAGCGGCATTGCTGCAAGTAACGGAGTTTGTGGCACGCACCAGCGAGCAAGCTCGCGTACTGGGCGTCGACTTCGCATCCGTCCTCGGCCGCGGGTCGCAGTACAAGGTCGAGTCGGTCATGTTGCGGGTGGCCAAGCCCGAGTGTTTTGTGCTGCCGTCGCCCAGCCGCGAGCAAGTCGGCCATCAGAAGGCGGCTGAGGTGGCGCCGCTGGTGCTGGAACCGCGAAGTGGCTTCTACAGCAGTCCAGTCATCGTCCTCGACTTTGCCAGCCTGTATCCGAGCTTGATGATTGCGTACAACCTCTGCTACTCGACCTTTCTCGGCAGTTTGGACCCGCTGTATGACGAGAGACCGAGACAGAAGAGGGACGTGAAGCCGCACGAGACCGATCTGAACAGCAGTGGAAGCGCGGAGAATGAGCCGGCAGAGGGCGCTGTCACCACTACCGTGGCTGACACCGACAACATCAAAGCCTCAACGTCCATAAAAATGGGCTTCACCACGTACGAGCGACCAGACGGCCTGCTCGAGAGTGCCAACCGGCTCGGCGTGGTCGTGGCACCCACGGGAATGCTGTATGCAGGTGCTTCGACCAGGCAGTCGCTGCTGGCCAGGATGCTGGCGGAGCTGTTGCGCACGCGAGTGATGGTCAGAGCAGCCATGGGCGAAAACGGGGACGGTGCTGATGCATCCGAGAAGCAGCGGCTGCACCATCGCCAGCTGGCGCTCAAGCTGCTGGCCAACGTGACATATGGCTACACGTCGGCGTCGTTCTCGGGCCGCATGCCCTGTGTCGAGGTGGCCGACAGCATCGTGCAGGCCGGCCGCCAGACACTGGACCGTGCAATGGCCCTGATCCACGCCGACGCCCGCTGGCAGCCAGCCGAGGTGGTGTATGGCGACACCGACAGTCTCTTTGTGCACCTGCCGGGCCGAACACGCGCCCAGGCGTTTTCGATCGGTGCCGCCATGGCTGCCGCTGTCACGGCTGTCAATCCAGCGCCTGTGCGGCTCAAGTTCGAAAAGGTCTACCACCCCTGTGTGCTGCTGGCCAAGAAGCGCTATGTCGGCTACCGCTTTGACTCGCCTCGTCAGTTGGCGCCCATCTGGGACGCCAAAGGCATCGAGACCGTCCGTCGAGACGGCACACCGGCCGCTTCTGCTCTGATGGAGGCCAGCCTGCGCCTCCTGTTCGACACGGCCGACCTGAGCCTGGTCCGTCGTCTGGTCCAACAGCGCTGTGCCGACGTCTTGGGTGGCCGTGTTTCCCCTGCTGATCTCTGTTTCGCTCGCCAGGTTCGCTCGCCAGCCTCCTATCGGGCACCGCCGCCCGGTGCCGTCGTTGTTGCCCGCCACACTGCGCGCGACCCGCGTGCTGCTTTGCTGCCCGACGGTGACCGCGTGCCCTTTGTCATTGTGGCCGGCCCACCAGGCACGCCGCTGCAGGACCGCTGTGTCGCGCCCGCCGAGCTTGTTCGCAGCCGCCATCTGCGGCTCGACGCTGACTACTATGTCCGCCACAGCCTGCTGCCCCCGCTGGACCGTGTGCTGCGTCTGGTCGGCGTCGACGTGGCCCAATGGTATGCAGACATGGCCCGACCGCCAAGAACGACGACTTCATGGTGGGTGGGGGACGACGATGAGGACGGCGGGGTGGGATCAGATGGCGGTCCCGACGGCCAGCAGACACTCGACATTTGGCTGCGGCAATGGCGGTGTGCAAGGTGCAATCGGCCAGTGCGTCGTGGGGCAGTCAAGAGACAGGCAGGAGGAGGGCGACCAATCCGACCGGCACCAAGCAGAGTGTCTGGCCCTATCGCTGGTCCAGTCGCTGCTTCTGTCGCTGATTCTGTGTTCTCCCCTCCTCTCTGTCGTTCCTGTGGAGACGACCCCCACACGTTGGCAGTCCTGCAGATGCGAGCTCGAGATACCGAGGCCGAATATCGCTCCGTCCTCGACGGGTGTCGTGGTTGTGCCGGTCTGGGCCCCCAGGATCCTGTGCGTTGTGAGAATATGATCTGTGCGGTTTTCTGGGAGCGCGCTGAACGTGCAGCCAAGGCACGAACTGAGCGGGCCAAGGCGCCATTAATGGCCATATTGGCACGGCGGGGTATGGAAGATCTGGAGTGGTAGTGTGGGGGGAAGTGGGTTTTGGGGATTGTCGGCGAGGTTGAGATCAGGATGAGGATTGGGCCTCATGATCGCCGACTGAGACGTTAAAGTCGCCGACCATGGTCGTAGTCGACATAACGCGTGCATACATAGTACATAGTATATCGCAGTGGGGCTGCATTGCTAGGAGGCCGGTTTTATGCTTTCTTTTGTCGTTGGCTGTTGATTGAAGGCCAGCGTTGGTTTGTCAAGGTTGGTATATTGGCTTAGGACGAGAAGGGGGCGTTGAAGCAGAGCCGAGAGGATTGGCAGGGTCGAGTCAGTAGTGTCGACGTCGGAGCCTCGAACTTGGAGCAGCCGTTGGGCTGTCGGCCTGTTGTCTAGGAGCTTTGCACTGCATAGGATAATGCATAGTGCATATTGTAGATTGCTTCTTGGTGTGCCGACGTGCAGCTCTGTTTGCGCGATTTTTTAGACTGTATTAGGCGTCCGTTGGCAGCACTCATTCTTATTCTCTTCTACTTGCTTCTTCTGCTTCTTCTTATCGTGGCGCTGTGGGACCTCCTTCCCTTTCTCGCCGTCTTCTTGCCTATCGCTCCTTCCCCTCTTTGTCTGAAAGAGCGGTCAGCTGTCAACAGGGATAGAAGGAGTGAGAGCTAAGGGAAGAGAAAACAAAGGCAAAGAAAAACAACGAAATAAACATTCAAGGCAGAGAGAGGATTGCGAAAGCCCAGAACAGTGCTAGCCAGAGCTGCTGCGAGAAAGCAAGAAATCACACCAGAGCAGTCGAATTCGGCCCGGAAGCCTCCTCCCCGGCGGGGCCTGCGCTTAAAGACATTCCTCCTGGACAGTCCACAATCATGCACATTGCTCGACCACTCGCACGCGTCTGACCGACAAGACAGGCCCAGAGCCCAGAGCCCAAAGCCCGCTTGCAGCACGACCACGTCGTCGTGCCGTCCGGCGCTCTGGCCATCCTGCGACGGCATGTCGGAGATACGTCGGTCGCTGCAGCGAGCACAGGCCTATCGGACGTGTTCCCTGTAGGTCTGCCGGCGTCGTCACATTGAGCCTTTCTGGTCACAGCCACTACCGCTTTCCTTCCGCCTCGATCTTCGACTACTCGTGTGGGCAGCAGATACGCGGCGCTGCAACGCCGAGACACACGGCCTGTTTGATGGCATGTTTGTGGGCACCGCTTCAAACGTCGTACATGCATCCAATCGGCGGATGGGCCCTATCAAACTGTCTCGACCGTTGCGGACAGCCCAAGACACCTGCCCAACTGATATGGCTCGCGACTCTCACCTCCCCCAGCTGCGCAGATACTACTGTAATGGGATTCAGCATGGAACATTGCCTCCGTCACCGTCTTTGTCGTTTTCTCAACGTCGCGACTTAAAACTCGTGTTGCCACCCGTCTTTTTCTTGTCCATTTGTCTCGATATCGCGAAGCTCGCCTGCACGTCATTCACAAAGTTCTCCTAGCTTGACACACAAGTTTGTTCTTTCTACCCACACTTTCCCCGTTGTTCGTAGCTAGAAGCCCCAGAGAAGCGATCGGATCCACTGGCAGACCCGGAGAGATGCCGAGCACCCCCTCAATGGAAATTCTCAGTGGCCCGTCCGAAATGGGAGCGGATTCTGACGCGAACTCGGATGAACCGCAGCTGCAGGAGTTGCCACAGATGCCCAATGATCTGTCCTTGGGCGACGTGTCTAAAGATGAAACCAGCATCGTTGTGGACACCGAACCGATAGAAACGGACGATGAAGAGCCTGTCGGGGAGGGGCCCTTCAGCGTGCAGTTTGAGGCTGCATGCGAAGAGGCCCGCCGCAGTGCAGTCGGAGACTTCACCGACTCAGACTCCGATGGCTTCTTCATAGTCGCAGAAGAGCGTGGTCACGTTTTGGGCCAGGGGCCCTTTTCGGGCGAGGGGCTGAGTGAGGGGCCCTCTACAAGCCAGGGATCCTCTCCAGACCAAAGGCCTTTCGCAGATGAAGAACCATCTCCGCCTGGAACTCCCAGGAGCAGCGAAGACATCGGGGCCAGCGGAAACTTGTTTGGTGAACAGTACGGAGGTCCGATGGGTGTCGAAACGGATGAGTCCAGCAACATGCCGATGCCCATGGCCATGGCCATGCCCACGTCCATGCCCACATCCATGCCCACGGCCGCAGAGAATTACGAAGAAGACAAGGAAAGTGAAAACGGCGAAAACGATGCAGTAGCAGTCTCGAATATGGAAGAGGACGAGGATGAGGACGATGGCAGCGAAGAATATTTCAGCCAATTTAAGCCCCGCCCGGATGAAGATGACGGCGCGTACATTGACAGTACCAGCACAGGCCGCTATGATCTTGGACGCACTGACGCAGACGAAGGGTCCCTATTTTGCGCGCTCACGCCGCCTTCGACGCCTATCGACATGATCAGCCTGCTGAGTGCCGTCAACGTGCTGCCGCTGCAGACGTCGCCACTGTTAGCCCTGCAAGAGAAGGTGGCCGCCTTCTTTCGCCAGGGCCCTGACTTTGCCAGCTTTGCCTTTATCAAGCTACAAGAAAGTCTGGCCGAGCACCGCTACGTTTTGCAGGGCCCGTTTATCAAGGTGGAGCTGGCGCGCCACAGCAGCGAGCTCTTCAGCACCTTGCACAACCTCGGTGGGCTGGACGCCGGCGTGCTGAGCGGCTATGACCATAGTGGCAATGGCACTTTTGGCGGCGCCGGAACATTTGGCGGCTATGACGGCTACGGTGCGTATGACGGACTGAGCGCTCTGGCTAGTCTCAACACCCCTAGGCACAGGCACAGCAGTTTGATCCGTCGCTTTGGTCCTCTGGGACGCCCCGACCTCCACAAAGCAAAGCCGGTCCACAGCAGCAGCAATGCCAGTCTGCAGGGTGACCTGTGGCGTTCAGACCGTATGGCGTCGTCCCTAGTGATGCTATCAGCAGCCTCACACTCCGACACCTGCGTGCACGGCACCTTGGGCAAGCACTCGCGCCTGCTGGGCAGCGCACCGCCGTTCCGCGTCACACAGAACACGAGGTCGGCCTCACTGCGAACTGCCATGTTCCGCGCCAAGCTTCTGGCCCAGCGTGCCAATCGTACAACCGTCATGGCTGTCTCGCTCGTTGACGTGCGTTATGTTGAGATGGCCTGCTTCTTTGGCGACGCGTCCTGGGAGGACGATCGGTACCTGAGCTTCGGCCACATCGTCACCATTGGCGTCGGTCCCGAGGGCGTGATTATCTGGCAGGCTTGGGGCCCTCGGGGCTACCGGCTTGACGACTATATACGCGCTGGCCATGCGCGCCTGCGCAGCTGGGAAGAGGCCGAGACGTTCGCCAAGGACTTTGATGAACTAGCTAGCTCTTCGGTGAGTTTTTCAGAAGATAGCGTGATTGCAAACACAACCTTACTGACACGACTTCAGGGCATTTGGAATGCCCGCCGCAACCACCTCTACCAGCAGCTGTTCTACATTGACATCAACCAGATGTGCAAGCCGTCCTGCCTGAACCGGCTGATCACGCCGCACTATGAGCCATGGGTGCGGATCCACACGTTGCATAATGTCCTGTATGAGAACATGAACAAGTTTAGGTTTGTGTAAGGACCAGGTGAGAGCTAGCACAGGTCGGGGGACCAGGAGTGTTGGGTTTTTATTGTTTGAGGGGACCGGGCTGGGATAGATTGAATCAGTTTTGTTCCCTAAAGGGAAAGGGGAAATCAGGCGGCTAATGAATTACGGCCAGATTTTTTTTTTTTGGATTGACAGTAAAATATAAACAGAAGCACACAAACGTATAATAGATATCCGAACTCTTTACTCCGTACAGACCCTTAAATTGCCGCGATGCATTTCTACCTAAGCGCGAAATGGTTTACATGCATACATGTAACCAGGTTATCCGCTTTTCGCCATTGCTGTCATCCGATACTCCGTAGAGCCTACTCCGTAGGAAAGCGGCACCTCTTACCGCTTTTCGTGCCCGGTGCTGTCAGGTATTCCGTATACATAAGAAATTTCATACACAATTCATATAATGACTCGACGCTAACTGTCCTATTTCTTAGAAGATGACTTGGTTGCCCTGATTCACTCGCTTTCATCTAGTCCTCAATTTTCAGCACTGCCCGCCCGGCAAGTTTTCCAGACACCATGTCGTCCATAAGTCTGTCGACGTCGGCCAGAGTGCCCTTGGTTAGGATTGGGTGGACCAGGCCACGTGCGGTGAAGTCGAGGGCTTCGTCCACGTCGGCAAGGGTGCCCACGGCGCTGCCGACAATATTGAGTCTCTGGGCAGAGGATCAGCTTACTAAGCAAACAGGGCAAAGATTAAGACTCGGATAACAGCATACCTTGATAGCCAACATCATGGGCGGGGCACCAGCAAGCACGGCCGGGTCACCGGGCATGCCGACAGCGACGAGGGTACCGTTGCTGCGCAGCAGATAAGGGGCGGTTGCATATCCGGAGGGAGCGGCGGCAAAGTTGATGACGCCGTGGGCGCCGATGCCGTCGGTGAGAGCGAGGACAGCGGCAGGCATGTCGGGGGTGTCGGCGAAGTCAAGGAAGATCTCTGCGCCCATGCGGAGGCAGATCTCGCGCTTGGCAGCGCCGCCGTCGACGGCGATGATGCGCATGCCCATGGCCTTGGCGTACTGGAGGCCGAGATGGCCGAGGCCGCCGCCAGCGCCGAGAAGGACGATCCACTGTCCAGGACGGACCTGGCTGCGCTTACAGGCGGAGTAGGCCGTGACGCCACCACACATGATGGGGCCAGCCTCCTCATCGGAGACGGCGTCTGGCAGGACGGTCGCGTAGGCGGCCGAGGTGACGCAGTACTGCTGGAAGGTGCCGGCGACAGAGAAACCGGAATTCTTCTGGTGCAGGCAGAGCACCTCACCACCCTGGTAGGAGTCGCGACAGAAGACGCAGTGGCCGCACACGCTGGCGATCCACTTGATGCCGGCACGGTCACCCAGCTTCCAGCGGCCGGCGGCCTCGACGCCCGGACCCATGGCCACGACCCGGCCGACACCCTCATGGCCGGCGATGCCGTGGGTGTCGGGTGTCATGGCCAGGCCGACGCCACCCCATTCGTCGTGCAGCAGCGACTTGTCGCTCGCACACAGGCCCGTCCACGTCAGCTTGACCAGGATCTCGTCTGGGCCCGGCTGCGGCACGGCTACCTCGCGCAGTGGCGTTTTGGCCGAGGCACCGTGGCCTTCCTTGACAGCGGCGCGCTGCGTCGCCGGAATTGCGCTTGTGGCGGACGGCATTGTTTACTTAGAGATGTGGGTGGCGTTGATAGTAGGTGTAGAGGCTGTTGAGTGGAGAGAGCAACGACACGAAATGAGCTGCCGGAAAGACAAAGTCAAGAGGTAAAGGCAAGCTGCTCTTCAACTCCCACCATGCTCGTTTAAATACCTCACCTCCTCGTTACGAGACTCCAGCTGCCGGGCCTGTCATCGCAGACTGACCGGTGGGCTGGGGAGAGAGTGAGGAGTATAAGCTGCCTGTCTGCTGCTTTGTCCTTCGTTGCGGCTCCTCTTTTTTCGCATTTACGTGACATCATGATCTGCTATGGAGACCCATCAGACCACAACGCTCTTGTCTGCTGTTGAATGACGCAGTGGCGGTCAACTTTAATTGGACATGGAGGGATTTAATTGCGCCAATTTGTGAACCGCATCTAGCCATGCACATATTATTCGGATGTCTGCAACAGAGTTTCGACGCCGGAAAACCACAACTTGGAATGCGGGGCCCCAATGTTTCTGACACGCAGAAGGAGCAGCTGCAGCAGACACGACGACGGAACACCGGGTCAAGGAATGACCTCCGCAATTTGGACAGTACGGAACTTTGCCAAGGATTTGGGGTATGTCTGCAAAGCCATGTGAGTTTTCAAGTTGAAAAAGTACTTCGGCATATTTCTCCGCTGTCTCTAGTCAGGCGTGCAATCCATACGGAAAGTTTTTAGGAGTTAGTAGCAACGGAGACATTTGAATGCGGGCAGTTCTTCGGCAGCAGCCCGGTGAAGCACGAGAGTATCGGGGGAAAGAAATGGATATGAAATGCATGTGCAGCGGCAGGCTGAAGATCGGCGGGTTATCGAACAAAGAGCATTCCAGTGTCACTGTGCCGGAGCAAATAAAAATGCACACTGCACGTGATGTACCTGACAAGTAAAGAGAGGGCCAAATCCACTAAATCACAGTGTATCTTATAGAGATCTCATCTTATAAATCGACAATTACTGTACGAGTACGACTCGAGCTCATCTTGCAATATGCTTCATGATCGGCAGCAGCACGTCGACAAGGTGCCAGACCCGCGAAATGTCGTGCTAGACATGCAGACGGCGGAAGAAGAAATGCGACCGGCGACGGCCCGTCTGTACGGTATGTGCAACGCTCCAGATCGGCTGCCACAACGGCGACACCCGACCGGATTGGATGGATAACGGCGGCAGGCAGGCCGACATGGCGCAGCAGATACGGGCACAGATCAAGCAAGGTGAAGAGACCCGCCGTGGAGGGGGGATACGTGTGCAGGTTTTGGCGCTCTAGAGCAGCTACGTCTCTGGTGTTGCCTGAGAAAAGTTTCGGGCAGACGATGCGAGCACGCAGAGCTACAGCGACAGCTGAGAGAAACTGCCTCAAGGCTACTGTTGGTATTGACGAGGAGTCTACGACCGTGTCAAGGATTACTGGAGCACATCCCAGCCGGCCGGAGCCGGCAGTCGAGGCTATTCTGGACGCGCTGACCCTCGAGGACATGAAGATGGACTTTACCACCCTCTACCTCGATCACGTCTTCCCCTTTCTCTTTCCCGCCTACCGCCGCCTATGTTTGAGGGTGGCCGAAGCTGGCTGCTCGCCACACTCCAGCACAGCCGCGCCCTCTTCCACACCGCCATGAGCCTGTCCACCTACTTCCTCGCCCACAACGTCTGGGATGTCCTGGCCGGCCGCATGGACGCCGCTGTGCATGCAGTCCAGGCCGACATCACCGCTCTGGCTGTTAGTGCGGCCACACCACCGGCAGACCCGGTTATCCGCGAAAGTATGATTAACGTGTTGGGTCTTCTGCTGCAGGTGTCCACACCGGCACTGCTGCACAGTCTATCTATTGCACGTGACCCTGTGGGTCAGTGTGCAGAGTTTTCACTCCCGCAGTACAGCCTGCACTAGCTTCTAGTGCATGAGAATACATGCACCTTTCCACACTATCATGGCCACACTGTATTGCAGGATGCATGGCTCTGGAGAGTCAGGAGCAAGCCTTCTGCGATCTCTTCGAAGCTGCGGGCTCCCTTCAGGCCTTTGGAGGGCCGGGGATAACGCTGCGTATCATGCAGAATGTGCGGAAGATTCGTAAAACCTGACATGGATACTTGGGACATAGCACAGCGCTTCTCGGTGCTGGATCAAAAGCCCTGTTGATATGATTGACGCTTGAGTTGTTAAAGAACACAAATATGTCAACATCAGTACTGTGCCATCCCAATGAGTTTTCCAACCTGCCAAAATGTCTGCAGCTGTTGTGGTCTTCACGTCTGGGAACATGGCGTTGAGAGATTTGTCTGGTGGCACATCATGGTGGCCAGAGATCACCCAAAGCCCGAAGAGGGCGAGATATGGCAACGCGTTCTCTTTCGGTATAACGGCATAGTTTTTGGTGAATCCTGGTAATTCGGCGATTTCGTTTCTCGCGAGCGTTTCTGCCGAGTCGTGCGCAACAGCAAATCTTCCTCCTGAACATGTCAGAGTTCTGATACAACACGAGAAGGATTATCTGACTGTCGGCTATTCACGTACCCCTGCCTTTTTCCGCAAGAGATAGCAGCTCATTCAGAGTCAGGCGATCATATACGTATGACTTGTGATTCCAGGTAGGTTGTTTTAACAGTCTGGCGACAAACGTGGCTAAGTCGAACAAATACTTGAAAGCAACGACGTCATTTCCACTCCCCGGTATGGCAGCGACCCTGTTTGCGACATCAATGGCAAAAACGGCTTGCGAGATATACGTTTTGACCTCTGGCGGGGCATGATAATCGATGAAGTATCCGGTGTAGAAGGTGGTCCATCGCAGATTCGTCTTTTTGAGCTCTATTTTAGCAGCCTAACGGGATGGGTATATAGGTGAGCTAGTAGATGAGGAGGTTAGTAAAAAAGTAAATAAAAAATGGACATCCGACACTACTTACTCTTCGGGCTGTTCAATGCCCCAGTCGCTGGCGACAAACCGTTTGACTGTGCCAGACTGGACTGCCGCCTTGGCTAATCTTACTTTGGCATCAGAAGATTCTTGGTCCATCACAAAAATCGCGCAGATGACTGTATCGACGTTGGGCTGGCAATGAGCTTAGCGGTACCAGCAACATCGCTGTAGTCGACAGTCAGGGTGGCGGTAATGCCTGCCACATTCTCACGAGCCTTAAGCTTTGAGGTCAGTTGAATGTGTACGCAAACGATGGCACGGACTGCTATCGTCTCTTGCCTTTCTCCCAGAACGAACCCGCTATTCTTTGTGGTCTCACGGAGGACATCGACAACGGTGCAACCAACTTGGCCGGAGCCACCAGAAACTGCAATGATCGACGTACCCGGTAAGAAGATGGGGGTACGAGAACTGTTTATGGGAGAGATCGTTACGCCGTTTGTGTCGTTTGTCAACTATTACTTCTCTACATGTGTCTTCCGCATGGAACACCACATTTATACTTGAACCAGGCCTGAGAAATCCCATCTGTACGGGGTCTCGGCGTAAGTCCAAGTTTGCGGCCGAGCTTTATTTCTAATCTCATGTCGTTCGTTGTCGTCCTTTTCAAGTGCAAAGACCGCGCGCTGCCCTAATCTGGAAATATGTCGACTACGTGGTGATTACTAATGACATGACATGCTACATCTTTCTTCCCTGTGTACGGCGTATTTGTACGAGGATCTAGAGGATCGTTAGTGGGCTAGATGTATATTGAGACTGCTGTTCTTCTACTTCTGCTTACAATCTTACTCACTAATTGGCAGCCTCTGTACAATTTCTGTCGTTAGATGCAGATGTCTGATCCCAACTCACATACTCTACAAAACATACTTCAGGCCACTATTTCGAGATAACGTCGTCCTTAACACATCTACAGGACCCAAAACTGCCTTTCCACATCCCTCATCTAGAGTCCACACCAGACACTAGGTAATAGCATAAGTACGTATCATTTTTGTTTTTTCAAGGTTATGATTCTGGGATAGAACACTCATAAAAAGGATGTTTTCAGGAAACAGGGGAAAGGAGCTAGCAAAGCTATTACTATAAAACGAATCACGCTGACGTTCTATGCATCTCAAAATCAGTTGGTTACTACTGAAACTCCTGGTGAATGTTCGTTTACAGTATGCACTCTGGTGAAGTCTGTTTGACAAAAAAAATACGAGAACACAAAACCCCCTGAGATGCTATGATTCCCTGCTTTGAATTATCTCCAAAACAATATAAAAAAAGTCACAATGCGGCGGCTCGCGGGGTTGCTGCCTGATGAACTGTCGAATTCTTATGGGCACCCAGTGAGCATTCGTGTGTCCATGTGTGTTGTTACTTCCGAGCTGTGCCGATGAGCATGATTTCCTTAACAAATAGGTGGGTATTTGAGTGATACGCCACGGGGTACATGTGTCTTTCCACCCCGCGCCACACGTCCTCATTTCACACCCACTCTGGTCCAGCTCATTCGACACGAACAGCACTGCCTCATTTTGCACCTCCGTGAAAAATACGCTTGCAACCGGCTGCTCTCTCTCAACATACTTATCATATTCCGTAGTCTCCCGTTTGATCGTCATATCATCACTACTATGGATCCAATATCAGCTTTGTCGTTGGCAGTCAACGTGATCACAGTGGTAGATTTGGCTGTCAAGACAGGCAAGACGCTTCACGATATATACAAATCAACATCTGGCTTCTCAAAACAAACTCTAGAACTCTCCGAGGCAGTGGAACAATTAGAAACGGCACTTAACGCTCCATGGTGTACATATCGACCTGATTACTGCTCCTAATTCTGGAACCCACAGTGTGCAGAGTCAGAGGAATCTGACTAATGAGATGAGTACTTCCTAAAGTGGCAATCCAGCCAATAAAAGGCAGTTATCCCAAATGGGCAAGGTGCGTGCGAGGTAATTTATTTTCTGGCCTGGAATTTCAGGCACACACGGGTCAAGTACTCTGCAGCAACGTTTAGTAGCGCAAATAACGCCCGATGTGAGTTGCAAACAGCCACCAGAAAACGTGTTGCTACCGACGAGGCACTTGATTCCATGGCGAGCTATATTGAAGGCCTGCTACTTCCACATGGACGTCCTCAGCTAGGTACATCGGTGCTCCCAGCTCTGTTGGACTGCATTGCCGACATTGCCAAAGCGTTGCGCAAGTCCTCCCGAATTACCCTCGCCGGAACGTCCAACGTGTTTGGCGATGGCCAGCTGAACGTGGACATTGCTGCTGAGGATCTCGTCCGCACGGCCCTGGCTCGATGCCCTAGCGTCGTAACTGCGAGCAGCGAGGAAGATCCGATAGAGAAGCCGACAGGCGTGGCTGTGGACGCAAATGCCTCTGAACAGTACACGGTAGCCTTCGACCCTCTTGACGGTAGTTCCATCATTGCGCCAAACTGGACCGTTGGCACGATTATCGGCATCTGGGACGGGGCCTCGGCGCTGCGCCAGCGGCCGGCAGACAAGCAGATCGCCGCCATCCTGGGCGTCTATGGTCCACGTACGACGGCTATCGTGGCTCTGCGCGTGCCGGGTGCCGAGCCGGTCTGCTTCGAGGTCGGCCTCGAGGATGGTATTTCTGGTGGCTACGAGACTGTCCGAGAATGTGTGCGCTACGCCGACGCTCCATTCAAGACGCGCTACTTTGCACCGGCCAACCTCCGGGCGGCCGCGGACAACGACGCGTATCAGCGGCTGATTACGCAGTACATCCAGAACAGATACACGCTGCGATACAGCGGCGGCCTCGTTCCGGACATCGTGCACGCGCTGGTCAAGGGCCACGGCGTCTACATATCGCCGGTGACGGCCACCAGCGCGGCCAAGCTGCGAAGGCTGTACGAGCTGTGTCCTGTGGCGCTTGTGGTGGAGTGCGCTGGAGGACGGGCACTTGACCCACTGGATGGCGAGCCCATTCTTAGCCGGCCGTCGGTGAGCTGTGATGAAAGGGCGGGTTTGGTATGTGGGACAGCTGCCGATGTTGATGCAGCATCGCAGATGCTGCTTGGTTCCAGTTGACGTACGAAGAGTTGTAGTTATTGTCATATTTATAGAGATAGATCTACCTGAATTTATAGCTGTTCGAACAGAACAAAAAAGTAAACTTGGCTGCTTCTAGGTGACGTGGCGCTTACTACTGCCTTTTGGTTACAAGATACAGTGGTACTGTTGGACCATGTAAGCAACTGTAATACGTTTCGACTACGCAGCATCATTCTTACCACTTTTTACAAGCTTTCTAAAAAATTGACAAGTGGCCATCATTCTCTCCATTTGATAGCATCACCTGTGAGTTTCCTACAGCAAGGCCGTCTTTTCAGGCCAACCGCAGAAAGTTATGTCATCCACAGGAGAAAACAGACCAAACAGGACAGATTGGCTGGCCTGGCTTTGTCTTTGTCTTGTGCGCAATCAGAAGAAGGACGGATACGAAGACATCCCGCTAAGGTCGCCCCTGCCATACGTGGACGGCCGGACAAGTCCAGAAGCCAACGCAGCCGAAGCCGATCCTGAGGCCGCCGTGCGCGCCATTAGCCATGCCATCCGTACTGCTGCCACAGCCAGTGCCACAGCCAGTGCCACGGTTGTAGCCACGGACGAGTATGCGGATGGTGTGAGATGCTATTCCGAAGAAGACAAAGCCGCAGCCAAAGCGATGGGGGATGTCCTTGTCAGCATGATCACAATTACGGGGAAACTATGTCTGGGGCGCAAAGATGCGGCGAAAGTGACGGAGGTGTGGCGCAGGCTCTTCTACGACATTGGGACGCCCATGGCAACGAGGCTGGCGGCGGGTGAACAAGCGATAGCTATCAAGACGCTTTACTGGGCCGAGCTGGGGACGAAGTACGAGCCATACAGAAAAGACCTATCGACGAAGCAGAAGAGGGCCATTCCAGCAGAGAAGGAGGCGGAGATGATGCGAGAGTTCTACGAGGTTATCGCGGCTGTGCCGGCAGCATCAGCACCAGCGGTGATGGCGGCGATGAACAAGAGCCTTGCCACGGTAGCCCAGGCACTTGCCACGACTGTGCAAGTTGGCAGGTCGTCGGTGGCCACAGCGTATACGATCTATGCACGGAAAGTAGCTGGGGACGGGCTTGATACTCTGTAGTGCTATCTATGTGTGAAATGCAATGCTCGGACGCTGTCTAGATGAAATAAAATGCGGTCATGTACATGAGGAGCGAACGAGCTTCTCGAGCTCGGGCTTGGACCCGGGCAAAGTCCACTGGTCCATGATCATGGTGAAGTTGGCAAAAGCCCACATGCTGTCGCTGACATTGAGCAGGGCGTGCAGGAGTTCCTGTTGCAAGGGGGTGAAGGTGTGGAAGGGAGCGCCGCGGGGGGGAGTGACGCCGTCAAAGGCGATGTTAATGCAGGACGCTGTGAGACTGAGGAGCTCGAGTCCGCTGGCGCTGGCAAATGTCTGCATGATGGCGCGGGCGAACTCGGGGTGCTCGCTGCCCTTGAGTCCGGCGGTCTCGAGGGTGGCGAGAGCAGCGAGGTCCTCGATGTCGTGGGCGGCAAACGGGAAGACGGTTCCGCGTTCCTCCAGGTTCTCAGACTCGTACTCGTTGAGGAAGGCGTCGTCCGTGAGCTTGCGGGCAACGAGCGCGAGCTGGTCGGCGGTCTGACAGCGCAGCTTCAGCAGGCCAAGACAGCCGACCCAGCGGACGAACAGGTCGGCGTCTGGAGCGGCTGCCTCGGCCTGAAGCAGCCGGGCGACGGCGCTGTCGGCAGCCAGGTCGCCGGTCATGTACTGGGTGATGGCTAGGGAAAAGAGGGCAGATGCGCGGACGGCAACGTCCGGCTCAGTCGCCAGCAGGGCCTCGAGTGCTGGCCGTGTCTGTGGCTGCACGGCCGGGAACCAAGCCATCGTATAGGCCGCATGGGCTCGCACGACGGCGGCTGGGTCCTGCAGGCGGGCGATCAGCGAGTCCACACCGGCCTGCACGGCCGCGTAGGCGCGGTGGTTCATCATGGCAACCTCGACGGCGCCCTCGGGCTTCGGCTGCAGCTGCAGCTCGCGCTCACGCTTCTGGCGGTCGGCCTGGCTCGTGCTCGCGTTCAGCCAGGTGGCCTGGGTCTGGCGCAGGCGGTCGACATAGGCTGGGTCGCTTTGCATCGCACGCACAGTCTCGAGCCAGCCAGCCTCGGCTTGGCCCATGGGCGACTGCGTTGAGTTGGCCCCGATGGCCAGCTTGGTCAGGTACTCCAGCAGCAGTTCCTTCTGTGGCGTGTGCGGATCGTCCAGCAGCCGGTACAGGAACGGGATCGCTGTCGCCGTGGCCGCGTATCGCGTGCCCTGATGGTACAGGTTGCCATATAGCACCCAGTACGCATCCTGCACGTCGTCGGCCTGCTGCAGTCGCCGCAGCGCATCGGGAATGTCCGTGGCTGGGCCGTATGCGTGGGCCACCGCCGCCCAGTCGACAGAGTCAATGTCGGCCAGCGGGTCGACCGGCTCGTCTTGCGACATTGTGTTGAGTAGGTGGAGTTGAGCTGGATTTAAGCTGGAGCTGAGCTGGAGCTGGGCTGGAAATGAGCTGGAAATGAGCTGGAGCTAAGCTTGACCTGTCTTCCGTTGGGAGGTAGCAGTGAGGTACGGAGTAGCTGTGAGGTAGCTGTGAGCTGGACGGATGAACTGCACACCTCACGCAACAAATCAGTCGAGCGCGGGGTCTGGTTAAATACGAGCCCTTCGGCCGAACTTCCATCTTCCACGCAGGAGAGCTGTCACCCCTGCAGCCACCTGCAGCCGCCTGCAACATACAGGGCTGCTGGCCCCGCTGTAACCCCCGCCGCGCACCCTCAGGGCCTGCTAAGCCCACTCCAGTTGACTGCAGCATTTGCACCCGCTAGCGCTGCTCGACCTCCAGGGCTCAGGGGCGAGGAACGTACCTGGAGCCCAAGCACATCCTCCCTTTAGGCATGTTTTAGCGACAACAAGACCCCGCCCGTAATCTTACTCCTGGCCGCTGGTGGGCAGCAATATGAGAAGTGAGAGATTGCATCCTGGAAATCCCTCAACGACTCGAGGCCGGCACGGATCCGGCGATCCTGGAGGCTTCCTAGTCCCTTGGCACCGGTCAGCCCTAACCATCTCGATACCTGGTCCCGCCTAGACCGGGCTAGGTTCCCCTTTCTGTCCGTCCTTTTTCCATATCGTGTGGGGTCCTGCAGGAGCTGAAGCCGTGCTGCCGTAAGATACTAATTATTGCTACAGTATTGCTACTGTTCCAGCATCATGAAACAGGCCTTATCGCGCTGCCGCCCACGTTTTCTTCATGCCCCCAACTGCCGCCCCAATACCCATTACCTCATTGCCTACAGCTCCCAGCTTGCGCAATCATGCAATTTCCGCGTACACCGGCGGCCGCTCCATCTGCTCAAACTCGCGCATTGAGACGTCATAGCCCAGGTGGCGCTTCAGCAATTCGTGCGTCACGAACCGCTCCGGACAGTTGCCCTGCGCGTCCACAAACGACACGTGGTGGTTCACGTCGCTGATCCGCTGCAGCTCGTTGGCGTGCCGGTGGTGATGCGGACAGCCGTCCACGCCGATCAGAAATATGGTCACGTGGGCCCACGATAACCCAAGCAGGTCCAGCTCGAACTCGTCCATGTCCGTGGCCTCGCCGTCGAGCAGCAATAGCAGCCGCAGCATCGGCGTCTCCGGCCCGGCCTGCCACCCGTACACTTCGTGATGCACTGCGCTGCCCGAGTGCTTCTGGAAGTGCAGGTCCTTGACCATCTGCCAGCCTGTCATCACCCTCGTGCCCCCACCAAAGCGGATGCCCCCCCACATCGAGTCAAAGTTCACATGGTTGACCGTGCCGACGTAATGGGCCCTATTGGCGAACGTCACCAAGTCATAGCCCTTCGATTGGTGGTCGTGGTTGGCCAAGGCGTCTGTGAACCGTCGAACCACCGCCCGCGCCACATCTGTTTCGTTAGCCGCCTTCTCGTCTCTGTGTCTCTCCATCCCACTCTCACCTCGGTTCTTCGGCTGCGTCGACTTTTCATACCCCGTCACCAGGTACTGCTCGTACACAGGCCGCAGCGGTTCAAAGCCCATCGACCCCGACACATCCAGCAGGATCATGCTGTCGTCCTCGGCCACCTCTGGCCGGTCATACGCCTGGAAAGGCGCCGGCATCACCTGCCTCGAGTAGCCCGCCGTCGTGTGTTGCACATGGCATGTGTCGTCCGCCGAGAAGTACAGCGGTGGCGGCTCCACTGCCGTTGCCATCCGCGCATGCGCCATTGCCATCTCCGAGATGAAGTCCGGCTTCATCCGTGTCCCCACAGAGCCCTCGCGGTGGTTGAGCACCCAGTACAGCCGCTCCTCGGCCAGGTCCTCATACCCTCTCCACACGGGCGTGATGCCCCGGATCCCTGCAGCCGCCTCGACGCTGAACTTTAGCGGGTTCGACGCCCGGTTGGCCCACGCCACCGGGATCGGCTCAAAATACCCGGCTCGGAGGAGATGTAGGTACTGCACCGGGCAGCTTAATCGAAGCGCTGCAATCTTCCCCGCCATTCCCACCTTGTCCTGGTACGTCGCCACAATGTGCTGCCATTGCGCGTCGGGCCACCGGCCCTGCTCCTCGTTCAGGATGGCTTCTCGAACCTCCTTTGCCTTTTCTTGTGCCTTTTCTGTGGACGACTTGCCGCCAAGAGCCTTGCGAAACTTTGCGAACCGGGATGCCGTTTCTTTCTCCACCACTTCGTCCTCGGCTTCCCAGATATTGACCTTCGGCTCGTAGTCGTTGACTTTTGCTTGTGCCTCTCTGTTCAGCCGATTGTTCAAGGCAATCGTCTGCCTAAGATTTGCCGCATGGCAGTCTGCCAAGGGCTGGCACATGCCAAATGAGCCCATGCCTCGTACCGATTGGCCATACCCAAACACGGAAGGAAGCATGCTGTATGGGTTCCAGCTGAACACCGCCACGCCTTGCAGGTCACTGTAAAACTTCTCGCCTGGGTACTGGACCGCCTTGGACCAGCGCTCCAGAACTGGGACTCGCGCCATTTTCCTACGCTTGTACTTGTGGATTGGACAAACGCACAGGTAGTCCGAGTCGTGCTCCGGCTCAATCTCGCTGTTGTAAATGCGGTAGTTGTATTGGAGCACTTGCAGCTGCTGTTGCATTTCTTGCTGCGGATCGTCAGTTGAGCTCAGAACCGCCTCAGATCCTTGATTTACCTCGTCCTCCGCGCGAATTTTTGCCGCCTCCATCACTGCGTTTGTGTGACGGGGATGCGCAAAGCCGGAGCTCGTACTGCTGGCATACGGTGGTGGAGCATCGTCGTCTTTGTTGTCCATAGGCGGGCAGACTTTATTATTCGAGAGATCAGTTGCAGGCATATCCAAAGGCGACGGGCCGTTGACCACAGTTGATTGGTCTCGCAACAACCCGCCTCGATGCTCCATGTAGGAGCCGATAAAATCGGTGGATGCCACGGAGTCGCCCAAAAGATTGTGCAGATGTGCCTTTGCTTCTGAGTCGTCGAGCCGATTGGCGTAGTCGACGATCTGAACGAGCTCGCTATCTTCCAGCGGCAAAACCTGACGGAGCTGCGACAGATCCCATTCTCTCAGCACCATTTTGTCCTACTTGATGCCAGGACGCGGTCGTATGAAATTGTGCACGATGCAGGTGTCCTCGAGTGGATTGCCAAAGCAGTCTGCGACATCGTCGCCCCGCATTTAACGAGGCAGTACTGCCTTCACGTGCTCCAATTCCAGAGATAAGCTTTTGCTCCCCCACTGCTAAGGCAGCTAGTGCTTACCGGTTTCAACGTTTTCCATCGCAGAAAAATGCCGCGACCTCATAGGGCTCTAGAAGTTGCACATTACATTTTGGCAGCGCCCTAAAGTCAGCATTGATGGAGGAAACGGGACCATATCTCCCAATCCGGTGTCAATTACGTTCCGTCTTTAAATATCACATGCAGCTTTTCGCTTACGATACTCTGCAACCGCATCGGAGCCAGATGGTTAGAGCAGTCAGGATGTGGTGACGATCCTAATCCTCTGGCCGGACCTGGACGTCATGCCCACACTGCAGGCTCTAACTCTGTGCTAATATCTTGATTATTATGAGCACCAAGTCGGAGAAATGCTTTTGTTGGACAGAAAAGGCTTAAATCTCCCCGTGAAACTAGAGCGATAGGCCAGTCTGGTGAGACCGGGGGTTTTCCCTTATGCTGGGCGTACTTGGGCTCACTATTGGTTTCTCTATTGCGTAGTAGGAGCTCAGCCACTCAACTCACAAAATCGCAGACATTCGTCCTTCTTCTCTAAGTGTCTCCATAAACGCCTTTCCGGTAAAAGCTTGTCAGTAGCGCTAGAGGCCGGTTGATAACATTTGTAAGCATGCAATTGTGCTTAGGTGAATTCCGTTCGGGGCATGCCAGTTCTTGACATACCGCACGCACTATACTGTACGGAACTCCGATCATCAGAAGCAACAGAATCGCCGCAGTTCTTCCGGCGTCCACTTTTTTGTGATAGAGAACTCCTTTGCGACCTCAAAGCCGAGCTTAGCCACTCAGTTCAGCTCTCCCTTGCCTAGAGACAGTAATCATCGACCCAAAGCCAAGCAGCTTAGGTCATAGACATACTGCCCTGCGTCATTTTAAACAGGAAAGTCATCGATGACCATAGTCTCTGCCGTTACTTTACGAACTTAGTTTCATCGGTGTTGTAAGAGAGAAAAATCTAGCGATTTGTAATGTGCTAGTCGATCTGGTGCCCCGAGTACTTTCTATGGCTAAGATTACACAGCTTTCCAGTTCCGATTAAGAGATAATCGCAAGCTCTCTGGGCATCAGAAGCCTGATGCGGACAAATATCTTATTCCAAAGGTTTTTCTCTCTGCACCTCACCATTTATCGGCTCTGATAGACCGAGCTGCTGACTACGTTCTTGCTGGGTTTGTCCATCTCAACGGACTCCCGGTTGATGGTGTTGCTCATCAGTTTGGTGAAACATCCAACACTACCGTCTTCCTGGTCCTTATTTAGAATATCTCCGTCGATACGTTTCGACTTATCCGCACTGGGCCGGGCTGACGACAATGTCTGACGTATCCGAGAATACTGCAAAATATTGGTGATCTTGGTGAGTCGCACAGCCTTTATTACCGGCTTTTTCTGGTTCGAACTGGTGGTGAAATGCGGTGAGTGTCGGCGTCTTGCAAGGATCGAAGGACTCCGGACAATATTTGTGCTGCACTACGGGCGTACTTTAGACGAACAATCGCTTGTACATCGTCCTTTAGCTGATCTTAGGGAATCACCAATTATTATCACCCGTCTCGTATTATTTTACTCGTTAGTTAGCGACAATCTTTTTTATCCATACGTACGGAGTACATCTGCACTAAATTTACCAATTTATACGGTGGGCGGTCAAGCTCGATAAGAGAACGATAGAAAGTTCAAGGGCTCTGAATTAATCGACTGGAAACGACTTGACAGCAGATATGACACCCTGACGGCGATGTTATCTCGAAGGTTTAGCCACGGCATACTGATAGTTTAGAGCGCTTCTCCCATTTGAAATTCATGTCTTTGCCCAAAAATATACTGGGATGAAAAAGGATTATTTAGCCGTGCCCTAGAACCCGAGAATTTTGGTGCAAAAAGAGAAAAGCTTGCTGCTGCCGAGAAGTTATGTCGCTTTTGGAATCGTGAAAATGCTCAGCCTTGTACTCTGTAGATTGTTGCCAATTGCCAATTTCCTGTATGCCCAAACATTCGTGGCTGCTGACCACCATAATCTCTAACAACAAATGGGGACGTAGCTCAGTGGTAGTAGCGTTGGCTTCCAGTTCCAAAGGTCATCCGTTCGACTCGGGTCGTCCTCATATTTTTGTCCCCACAGACCGGTATAGCGGCACATACTCCGTACTTAACAGGCGACCTGCGAGGATTACGTACGGTAAATGCAAGGCGTTTTGTTTACTACGATATTAGGCTTTGTCTCCCCTTGACATTCGAGGAGGGGGAAGGCACATGGTTTGGAATTTAGCCACTACTGAAATCAGTCATTCGACCAATCCAAAATCGAGATTCTAAACGCTGTTTTTCAAGTTGTAATTTGCTCGCTTCCCATATGCGCTTCGTACGGAGTATGTATAATGTCGGCCAATTAATTCCCTCGGTACCCTTTTCGCAACGTTGTTGGTGGGGTAGCGTATGCGGGCGATTTTTCCATTTTTTGAGAATTGCATCCTGGACAGTACGGAGTACTCCGTAGGAATGCAGGGAGAAAGTGGGACCAAGAAGTTCCTCGCCACATACGACGTAGTTCTAACCGAGACCCTCTTTGATGGATTGTTGACAAATATATTGTTACCCTGCCTTAGCAGATTCAAGTTCCTACTACGTGGTACTCCGTATAAGATGTCGAAAAAGCCGTACCCTGGATTGTCCACTCCTTGACGTCGGTGTCCATGGGAGATAGGGCCACATCGGAAAGAATACAGTGCGGCATATCTTGACTTGGCAGACTCGAAGTTAGTGGGTCCGGACCCAGACGGCTGCTCGGCCGCAGACGGGGAAAGAGGAAGATCCGTAAATGTATCCCTTTTGCTCGTTTTTATACGGACCTTTTTGCTGAGCGTCGAATGACGTCTAGCTTGCAAAGACGCCGATGTTGCGTGACAATGGGACCCGGACGGGAATCTTCATAACACCGAGGTAAGGCACGTTCAGGGCCTGTCAGCATCCATGCTGCTTCGTATACGACGTATGTCCCTCTCTCCCCCCAAGCTACTGGCGTGTTGATGCCTGCAGCTGCATTTGCGTCCATGTTGAGCAAGCGATGGACTATGGGTAGCGCACTTTTTGCAATCTCTACATCGCAAAATCGTCCTTTCCAGAGACTGGCAACGCGTGGCGTGATCGCTCAGTCGCTGGTGGACTAGATATATTGTCAGGTTTGGGATCAAAGATTCGAAGTGTGGTAAAGTGCCCGATGGTCCTACATCCGACAGCTTTCCGTGCGCCTGCGAGTTGATGGAAAGGCTGTCACCGACTCTTCGACAGCTGCTTTCGTCCTGAACTGAGATAACACGTATCAGAACTCCGATGTAATAATTTTTAGTCAAAGACTGGCTTCGTCAACGATCTGAAAAGAGAGAGTAAAGAGTGTTATTTGATTTCAATACCTTATTGTGCGATCGTTTTCCAGCACACTTACCTCTGCCGGTATTGGAGTGGCTTGGAATGGCCATGATATTCGAGCAGCCAACATAGGCGGCATCCTTGACTGAAGCGAGTATATATCATATTAAAATTGTCTGAGCTCAGAACTTGATCGCTTTTTCCGTTCAGTATCGGTCTGCCCTTCGCTAGCATTTGCTAGCTCTAAAAAGGTCAATGTTATTCCCTGTGCTCGAGACGGTGCCGGCATTACGTATAGTTTTATCGTTAGAAAGAGACTCGCACTTCAGTTATGTCTTTCTGATAGCAAATAAATTATGGCTCTGTGGGTGTGGTAATGGGCTATTAGAGCTGAAACGATTATTTGGTCCTCTTCGCCATCATAGAGAAAATGGCAGGCGCGACCCACAAGTTTCCCCATGCAGCCACTCTGGTTTGTCATCTGCTGTTTGCTGCAGCATCGGCTACATGCTAGAGTAGCATAATCCGTTTACCATTTTCAACCACGGTGTAGCATTGGCTCGATACCCTGATGTACAAAAATAAACAATCTGACGCTCTGGCGCACTTGGACGGACAGAAGAGTTAAAGCGACACGTTTCAGCTTGCTGCATCTCTCAGGCCTATCGAATGGGTTCTTACATATTATTCTATGCATCAATTTGCTGGACGGTGTCATCCTTAATCTCTTATTTATTTCCAGCTTGCTTTATCCCTTCGCTATCTTTTCTACGCGCCGTTACCTATGGCCTTTCATGCTGCTGAGGATTGTTTTGAAAGGTACTACCGTCGAACCTTTGAAAAAAGCTGACAGTCGGAACCAGGATCTAGTCTTACAAGAATGATACAAAATTGGTTTCCCATGGACCTTACGCGTCTTCGCCTATTTATCATCGCTTAACTTACACTTTCTTTAGCCGTCACATGTACGCAGGGCCCTCGAATCTTAGACCTGTATCGGCCACGACACCTTCGGCAACTCTTCATTTGTGCTCTTAAAATGTGGCGTCGTTGTTGTGTTCAGCACCTATTACTATCCTTAGACTCGCGACTACACGATACGTCGCTGGCCTTTACGTGGCTTCCATCTCCGCATTAGGTTTGCGCGTCAACGTTATCCTACCCAAAGCCTATCCGCCCATTTAAAGTCTTCAGTACCATAGTCTACTTGCACTGCTCTGGCGGGCTCCACCATAAAAAATCTGAGTACCATCTACGACATCACTGGCGTCGTCGTCGAAGCTGCCGCCACAGGATGTTTCAGTGTCGTTGTTGTTGCCTTGCCGCCAATATGGTTTCGGATGCTAGGCCAGAGTAAATCGGGAACAGGAAACCGTATTGATCAGGTTCTCCCAAGGGTGGCTTTGCCTGCTAGCCGGTGCCCCATCCGCAGGTATCGTTCTATGGAACGCCAGCTTGCTGAACTTAACCTGACTAGGCTCTTAAAGGCGTCTATGATGCTCGCCGAGACTGCCTAGTTTTATGATCGCATTATGTGAGCGCAGTATGTGAGCTAGATACCTTTCTAACGAGTTTTGTCTGTTTCAACTGATCATGTGGTGGCAACGGCAAGCATGAATGAATATTTTTTAACTTGCCCATTTTGAGTTGGCTATGTATAACAGTACTTTGAATTGCGAGAATGGTATGTAGACAGTTTAGTTGGTTTGTATCTGACCGGATCTTACAAAGTAAAGTAAACCGAGATGCGTCTTATAACAATGCAAATGGTTTGATGCCCATCTGGTAATATGTTTAAACTCGTGTCAGATAGTTCAGACTGTTTGAAAAGAGGCACCTCCTTTTTTCGAAACATATGATTGCACCAGCAGTTGCAAACGGCCCACCAACAGTGCCAGTAGTAATTTTGTCATGTGTTTCTGGTCACAAGAGGTATTCTCGACATGCTGAAAAAGGGCGCTTATGCGAGGAAAAGTCAACTTGCATGTAGAACATTGGAAATTTTGAACCTCCTCAGCCCTGTTGGACGCAGCATCTGCGCCAAGATAGAATTTAACTCCCGAACAGCAGATTTCTGCTTCTAGATGCAGAAGCATAGCAGAGACGCAAGAAAATGATTTATGGCAGTTGACACACGCTATTTTCATTTGTTTTTATGCGTTTTCAGATGCTGATAGTAAAGTCAGTTCTTATCGTAGACCGAACAGCCTCGGACGTGACCTACTTGTTTAAGATCAAGTACAGAGGGCAAATACTCTCCACATTTCTCACACATATCGTGAACGCCTACATCGTGCTGGGTGAGCTCTTCGGACGAGCCAAAGGCCTCGTCGCAGAGGTGACAATAGTTATGCTCGCTTTGAAGATGTTGGCCGAGTTCGCTTTCCGACTGAAAATCGGTATCGTCCTGGCAAATTGAACAGACGTTATGTCGAGAAGAGTTGGCGACGTGTTGATTCTTTGCACTAGAGGATGCAAAGTGGCGTTTGCAGCGAGCGCAATATGTATTCGTATGTTTGCTGTAAAGGTGTTGAAGGAGTGCCGTTGTCGATATAAAATGGCGGTCACAAGGCCCGCAGTATTTATCCATGGTAGGCGGCGATAGGTGTGAGATTTTCTGCATTATGTTCAGGCTGATGTGCTCATAAAAATATAGCGGACACTTCTAAGTGAAATTGGACGAAGTGAATTGGATCTGATCTTCACTGGTCGAATGTCTCAAAGTAGGAAACTGCGGTGTTGAGTTTTAAGACCACATTTATGTAGTACAATAAGGGTCATAGATCCCAATTGAAAGCCCTTGCTTCATGAAAATCTACCGTGTCTCGTGACAAATGTGTACCGTATCATGGTGGTAGCTAAAGTCCCCCCGCGACTACTATTACCTTCGGTATTGACGATAATGACCTTGATACCATCTAATTTTGATTAGCCTTCAAGAGAGGAAATCATTAGGAAGTTCTGCCTTATCCACAGACCACGCATGATACTTCAGCTTCTGTTGCGTGGCTGCGTCTTACTGCTTGTTTGAGTAAACCCTTGTCATATACATATAAACGTTGCCTTATTTCGGAAGCTAGAGAAACAGGAACATGTGCCGCTAAATGTGCGGTCAACCTCCAGCATCTCTCGCCAGACGGCATCTGCTTCTCCCTAACAAAAAACAGTTGCCAAACAGCGCGGCTTTTTTAAGGCGGAAACTGGATGCTGCGGGGTCGGATTTCTGAATGTGGATGCAACCCCTCAGACCAGATGTTAAATCCAAATTCGTCATACACCTCTGCCAACTACAATGGAAGGTATGGCGTCCTTACTTGCAATCTGGCGAAGTCTTTTTGATATTTTGGCACGTCCTAATAATAAATTGTATGATGGTGAAGCCTATACTGAACAACAGTACGAAGCTGTCATTTATCCTTTCTATTACAGCAGTAAACCGGCACAGTCTCTTTCATTGGTTGATATATACTTACCCGGATGCAAACAGAAATCGGCCAAAGTGACAAGCTCCTCCCTAACAACCACTGCCCCCCTAGAGCAACTCTTAATCTTCCTGTTCGTATTATCCTTCGATAAACTTGGCACCTGTCCACATACTCAGTCGGACTTGGCCCTCACCAATGTACAAAGGGCAAGCCCAGCCATGGCATAGAAACAAGCGGCGACAATAAATGGAAGTGAGAGTCCCATACCCCCAATATCGAGACCAGTTGAAAGTGAGAACCCCAGTAGAGGAGAGGACCCAATAGATGCGATGCCCTCGAATACCGTTACTGCCGTAAACAGTAAAGACAGGTGCTCTTTAGAAACGAGCGAGGCCAAGAATGACCGTACAGCAGAAGAGACTCCACTGCCCATTGTGTATATCGTAAACGCTGTTTCCAGTCAGTATTCCACGTTTATCATTAAACCCAGATTGCCAGTCAAACGTACCTGCAATGAAAAGGGAAGCAGAGCTAGCTAAACCCATACTAAGAGCCCCGACACAGAGGAACAAAAGCGATCCACGAGCAACTGTCAAATTAGCGGCCATTGGGCTCTTCTTTTTCCCTTGAAGCAGCCACCTGTTGATCAGTGGTAGCACCAAGGCAAACAATGGTATCTCTGCGGCGGCCTGGAGGGAAAGGAGAAAAGAAGTCTAGAATTCAATTGTAAGCTATGCATCGTGCCACGCGCATATGTCTGGCATATGCACTTACCCTGTCGAGCGGCCATTTGAATCTCGCCGACATGTACTGCAGAACGATTTAGAAGATAGGACGGGCCATCTTGGCAACAACCAAAGCCAACAGGCCGCCTAGCAGACTCCGCTCAAGAGCCCGACTGCTGACATCTTGTCGTAGCCTCCGGTCCTGTAGAAGCTGTTGTACCTTTTGGACCAGTCCGCCCGTGGCGTTCGAACGTGGCTCTTCTACATCCTCAATAGAGTCGCTAGACAGTAAAGGCTGCTGGACCTCTCTATCCAAGGTGGATTGGATTGTGCTCGGGAGGAAGGCGATTGCCACGAGCGTCAACGCTTCGATGGGAATACCGACCAAAAAGGCAAAATGAGGTCCGAGCCGGTTCATGAGAAAGTACCCAAGTGGCGGCGCAACAATCTCGGTCATTAAATTGTTTACTTAATGCTCTTTTAGCAGAAAATTTAAAGCCGTAGTTAAGCAAGCCTTACTCTAAGTTAAGAAGAATCCTAACGTCTAGCCTGCTAACGCCCCTATATACTCGCAAGTCCTTACTACAAAAATCATCTACACGCACAAAGAGCACAAAGACAACACCAAAGAGCTTTATAAAAACTCGGAAAAAGCATACTTCCTTATGCCACCAAACCCTATGCTAGGAAAATCATCAGATCCTAGACCTCTAGCTAAAGGATCTCTAGTACGAATTACCTTGCAACTATCCCTTGCAACTAGTATAGACATTGCAACTATAGTCGCAGCGATTAAGCAACTTAACAATACCATTAAAAAGTGTTTTCACCGCCTCTCAACCTAGACGCAAGACATGGTATCCAAACTCCGATCAATTGCGAGCGCCAACCAAGTTCCCGCAGACGCCCTCATTGACAACCTATTCGAAATTAAACAACCGCATAATGCTATTGATGCTTTGATGGACTTCTGATGCAACTCCTGCCAATTACTAGCATTTACTTTACTTGCATTTACTGCTATTTGCCTTCTGGCATCGATTGTAACTAAAAAAAAAAAAATATGACGGATCACGTGTTGATCCGAAAAGTGGGGCATCTCTGCCCTTTTCTAGCTTTCTGCGAATTATTAGCAGAAAGGAGGACTCCTGAAAAATACAAGACTATTTTACAACTCGTCGTTCAACACATTCATGCACTAGTTTTAGTGCACGCGCATACATGCACTCTCATCACTACCTTGTATCTTACGAGTATATGTTAAGCATTGGAATCTGCCACACTGTGGCCCTTCCGCCCCACTTGGCCGTACGGGCCTGTGATTGGTTAGAAGGCACAAAAGCGGGAACTAGCACTAGTATCAATACGGATACCTAGAAGGGTCGCGATGTATCTATTTCTTCCTTAGTACTCTGTACACAACACTCTTTCACCCACACTAGACCCTATTATGACCGCCACGTAGCCACCTTTAACCTTCACACTATATGATGATAAAAGTCCTAGGGACGTATCTAGCCCTAATACGGAGTACGTATGTGCGATACTCCGTAGTGTAGCTTAACTCTAGTAGAGCGGGGTGCGACTATTAATCAATTCTTAGAAGATTACACCACCACCACTACGGAGTGCACCGTGGTTCTATGCGGGTATGTAGCACTTGCCAAGCTCCCTTATCGAGGGGATTTCCCCAGCAAGGTCGAAGACCTAATACAGGTACATGCGAGCACATTTCGGGGAACGGAATGTATGTCTCCTCATCCCCCAAACACGCGTGTTTCTCAGACAGTTGATCCTGGATACGGGTACCTGCACACAGTCAGCATTATTAGACCGTAGGCGGACATGCCTACCTGTACTCGTATAGATACTCCCCCGCCCCTTCCTTTTAAAGAAAGAATACAGTTCATCAATGGTTGCCATTTCTGTTCCTGTCCCCCGCTACAGCCTCAAATTGACCAAAGTCATCAATCATGAGCTGCCTCAGCGATGCCTCTATCGGGCCAGCGGTTCGTGGCTGTCGCAATGATTTTGATTTCACATTGACCTTTGAGGATGCATTCTTTACTCTTTCACCATCCTTGGTGTTCATCGGTCTCTGCTTCCATCGTCTTATCAAACTCTGGCGCTGCCACAGGATTGTTGGCGGCGTTCGATTCTTAGCGGTCAAACTGGTATTGCTCTGTAGCCCGTCTTATGTTTCACCTGCATCGAGCATGCGTCAATAGAGCCACCCGTTCATCTCTAACATTGACAAATAGTTGCTTGCCACAATCTACGCGGTACTTAGTCTTGCTCTCGTTGTCATCATATCCATACAGACATCGCACGCGCTTGTCCAAGGCCGCCTCTCTCTTGTTGCAGCGTCTCTCGGCTTCATTGCCGCCTTGACTCTGGTGTTGCTGTCGTACCAGGAACATGCGCGGTCACCCAGACCATCCATCCTCATCGTGACCTACCTCGCCATTACCTGCCTTTTCGACGTGGCCAAGACACGAACCTTGTGGCTGCTGTTCGACGGGCCATCACCTCTAGCAGCCATCTCAACAGTAATGGTGGCCCTGAAAGTGGTCATGATACTTGTCAAATCGCAGAATAAGACGAAATGGCTTACTTGGAGCGACTCGAAAGAGCATAGTCCCGAGGAGACGAGTGGAATTTTTGGCCTCGTTGTCTTTTACTGGCTCTACAGACTGTTCATGAATGGCCATCGAACCATTTTGTGTAGCGAAACACTCTTCCCGCTGGACCAGGCTGTCTCGGCATCCGTGCTCGCACCTAAGCTCGCCAAAAAACTTCGGACATCGTCGTGGAGGGGGCGCAAATGGGGATTGGCCAAAGTGCTGTTTTCCACGCTGGCCCCGCAGCTGTTGCCACCTATTATTCCTCGATTGGCTTTGCTCGCTGCCAGCATGTGTCAGTCGTTTCTTATCGAGGCTCTCCTTGACTTCCTGCAAGAAGACTCAGAAAAGAGCCACGGATACGGGCTCATCGGTGCTACGATTTTGACGTACGGTCTCCTTGCTTTGTCAACGGCTTTGTATGGATACTTCCAGGAGCGCTTCGTCATCATGACGCGCGGATGCCTGATCACCGCCATATATGATCAGACAGTCCAGCTCGAGCTCGCCTCGTCAGCCGAATCTGGAGTTCTCACTCTAATGAGCACCGATATCAGCCGTATAATGACGGGTTTTCTAGACATCCACGAGTATTGGGCCAGTTCCATCCAGGTTGGCCTGTCGTGTTGGCTGCTACAGAAGAAGCTGGGGACAGCCTTTGTCGCACCCCTCGTCGTGGTCGTGCTGAGTTTCCTGGCCATGTTCTTCTTAGGCAAGGTCGTCGGTCGTTGCCAGAGGGCTTGGATGGAAGCCGTTGGCATCCGCGTGGGCACCATGGCCACTGCAATCTCCCAGATGAAGCTGATCAAAATGTCGGGAATGGATGCCCCCATCAAGAAGAGAATCCAGCAGCTGCGCATTGCAGAGATCCGAGTCGGTGAGCGTTGGCGCATGCTGGCCGTCACGGGAGCCGCTATCTCGCAGGTCCCGTTGCTGATATCCCCTGTCTTGGCATTCGCCACTGCCATGAAGACGTTGAACACTACGTCTATCTTCGTTTCAATATCTTACCTTACTCTCCTTGCGGCCCCACTGTTGGTGCTCTTCCAGAAGGTGCCCCAGCTTCTCAGCGCATTCACATCCCTTCAGCGCATCCAGGAATTCTTGGAGCGCGACACCAGAAAGGACTATCGCATCTCGCATAGCCACAGCATGTTTGCAGACATGGGAATGGAGGCGCACAACGGTTTTGATATGAACTTATTGGAAGGAAGTGGAACCAGAGATTCCTGCATCAGTATTTGTGACGGGGAATTTGGATGGTCTCAAGACACCCCGGTTCTCAAAGACGTCAACATTTCCATCCCGGCCTCTTGCCTTACCGCTGTCCTTGGACCTGTTGGAAGTGGGAAAACGACTTTTTGCAGATACATCCTCGGCGAGTTACCTTTTGCCCGTGGCTTTGTCCATCTTTCGACTCGTAGAAATATCGGCTATTGCGACCAGCAACCATTCTTGACAAATGCCCCGGTCCGAGACAACATAGTGGCGTATGGCGTCTTTGATCAAGACCGATACGATGGCGTCGTTATTGCGACCATGCTTGACCGGGACATCGCTTCCTTTCCCCAAGGCGATCTTACGGTTATTGGAAGTGGCGGCATTGCTCTAAGCGGCGGACAGCGGCAGCGCGTGTCCATGGCAAGGGCACTCTACATGGCGGACACGGATTTGCTCGTATTTGACGACGTTCTAAGTGGTCTGGATGCCCTAACAGAGAGTCGCGTATTGCAACGCGTTTTTGGACCAGACGGCCTGCTGAGGAAACGTCGCGCGACGGCGATTCTATGCACACACAATCCAAGGCATATCGAATTCGTCGACCGTGTCATCAGACTTCATGAGGGCGGTCGTGTCACGGAGGAGGGCTTGCCGGCCTCGAAAAAGATGGCCACGATGCCTACGGCAGACTCGCAGTCCGACACTACCATCCCATCCGGAGCCGAGCTATTGGCGACAATTCCCACGCAAACGGAGACAGAGAGTCAAGACGTGGCTCGCAAGAGGCGCGATCTCAAGGTCTACGGCTACTACTTTAGCACCGCTGGGAAAATCACCCTGGTTTCTTTCGTCTTTACATCGGCGTGCTATAGTTTCTTCTTGAACTTTCCGCGCATATGGCTCACCTTCTGGTCAGATGATGCGGCTAGGAAGGATGGCGGGCTTCGTCAGATGCACTCTCGAGGATACTACATTGGCATTTATGGACTGCTGCAGCTCATGTGCCTCATGTCATTCTCCGCTGCTGCAGCGCTTGTTCTGGGACCGATGATCCGACAGAGCGGGTCGATACTCCATCGGCGAGCGCTCGATACAGTAGTGAATGCGTCGCTGCAACTCTTTGTAAAGACGGATCTCGGCGTCATCACCAATCTGTTCTCCCAGGACATCACTCTGATTGACGGAGAACTCCCTTTGGCATTTCTCAATCTTGTTTTGGATATATTCAGCGTCATCTTCATGGGCGCAGTTATCATAGCGTCGACCCCATGGCTGGGTTTGACGTACCCTGCCATAGTAGGCATTCTCTACGCCATCCAGCACTTCTACCTCTTCACTTCGCGGCAGCTGCGCCTGCTGGATCTCGAGGCTAAGAGCCCGCTATACTCTCACTTTGTTGACACGCTGAAGGGTATCTCAACGATACGCGCCTCCGGCTGGACGGACAAGAGTATCGAGAAAAACCTTGCCCTTCTCGACCGATCTCAGAAACCGGCATACCTGCTTGCTATGGTGCAGAGGTGGCTCTACCTAATGCTCAACACGGTCGTGATGCTCATTGCGATAGTCTTGGCCTCCATGATGACGCAGCTCCGCCCAAGCTCCACCTTGTCGGGTGCCTCTCTCGTCACGCTCATGAGTCTCAGTCAGTCCCTGGGTGACATCGTGCGCTTCTACGCCTCTCTGGAGACTTCCATTGGAGCCGTTACTCGTCTGAGGAACTTCTCTATGCAGACACCATTGGAAAAGTCTGACGGTTTTCAGCCAGACCACAACTGGCCATCCAACGGCAGCATAGAAGTTTCAAAGGCGTGGGCATCCTATGGGTGAGAAATAAGCCCATTGTCAATAATCGGTTAATAAAATACTAATAATCGAAATATTTGTAGCAACAACTTTGATTTTGCTCTCCGTGGAGTTGACATGACTATCCGCAAGGGCGAGAGGGTTGCGCTTTGCGGTCGCACAGGAAGGCAAGCATAAGGCTTTCTTACCGAGCTGAGTCTTGATACCTGCTAACCTAAGACATGAACATACAGTGGAAAATCTTCCCTGATTCTCCTCCTTTTGGGGTTCATCGACCCTGTGGAGCACGAGGGGGTACAGGGCAGCGTTAGTATAGATGGCGTATCTCTGTCCTCCATCGATCGCCAGCGACTCCGCGAACAGCTAATCACTCTCCCGCAGGATACGGTGTTCCTACCAACGGGAAGCACCGTGATGGAGAACCTCGATCCCGGGGGTGTAGCAACTCCGGAGCAGTGCCGTGAGGCCCTGGAGGACCTTGATCTGTGGCAGCCCGTTCAGCTCCGAGGAGGCCTTGGTAGCCTGTTCGACGAGAGTCTCTTCAGCCATGGACAGAGGCAGCTCTTCAGTCTCGCCCGTGTGGTCCTCAAGAGGAGATTGATGGTAGCGGGAGGAGGCGGTGCGGTGCTCCTCCTGGATGAGTTCTCTAGCTCGGTCGATGCCGTTAGCGAGCAGCGGATGATGGTGGCTGTCGATAAACATTTCTCAGGCTGCACAGTCGTCATGGTGGCCCATAGGCTGAAGACGGTGACCGAGTTTAGCGACCGGGTCTTCGTCATAGACCGGGGACAGGTAGTCGAGTCTGGTGACCCGCGGGTATTGGGAAGGATGGAGGGAACGTGGTTTGCTTCGCTGCTCAAAGCCTCGGAATAAGCGTAATTGGTATGTGAATAAACAAATCATGTATTGGGTGTGCTGCATATACCAGGTGTCGAGGTCCCTTGAAGCCTCTTCTTACAGTTCCAGAGCATTTCTTTCCAAGTATGTCCACCATTCCATTCTATTCTCATTAGAAATAATGATGATCTAGGTTTCGTCCAAGTGCAAGAGTCGGTACGCCGTATAACATCGACTACAAATCTTATGCTAAAAGCTGCTAGTACTAGCCTAAGGCTTGGTTTAGTCGTTTCGATCCAAGTTGGGATTGCAAGCGCTGTTTTGGGTATACTTCGCTGTTTAGAAATGTCGACAATTTAAACTACAATAGAAGAAATACGTTTGTTAATAGTGTCATTTGGAAGAGCTGATTTATGTCCTTATTAATATTGGATTATCAAACAATTTGGAGGATAGCAGCAACTCTACAATGCAATTGAGTAGGCATCAGCACCTTACTTCTCGCTATAAGAGATAATAAGAGCAGATCAAATTCTTGGTTTGGTCCCAAGCAACATCTCGCCTCAAGTCTATCTTAATCCGCTAATTCATATAAGACTAGTATTTCCATTGGCTTGATGCTGGAGGCCTAACATGTCATGAATGCCCGTTGTATGGCGTCGTATAGCCGATAACAGGAACAAAAAATAGGCACATACGGATTAGAAGGTTCTGTATATCTCCCTCGCTGGTCCCACTGTTCGGCATATCACCGAAGACTTTGGAATGTGCTTTTGCTGCCGAAAAAGTTTCGTTATACGAGAAACGCGGGAGGTTCATTTTTTTATTGACAATCCGGCTGTTATTGTTCATCTCTTCAAGACAGCCGTGGTTCGCGCAAGTCCTCTATTCGCGCTACCGTCCCGTTTTGTGTAGCTTTAGCAGATGGACACGCACCATTCTTCCTTGCATCAAAACGTCACAAGAAATCTCGCGCATCTCTGTAGGCCATGTCGCCTATGACATGCCTCCCGTTCTTTCACGACTGTTATAGTGTGTAAGACCGGAAAGACACCCGTTTAATTGCCAAGCTGAACGATATGTACACTGCGTCATTGCGGATATACGGCGGCCAGGACAGAGTAGCCTCCCGAGCTGTGCTTTAGGCTATTCTTAGCAGCCCGTCGCCACCTCTTTGGGCTAATAGAGCGACCCAACAAGGCGAGCTAACCAAGTGGATACTGCCGCAAAAACCACTATTGACCGGCCTAGGAAGACGGTTCCCGGCATCAGCTTCGTCTGTAATGAGACATTCTAGGTTCTCTCGGTGTCGCCCGCGTTTACAAATCAGCAGATAAGTCTCCCTCTGCAGCTGACAGTGGAATTAGCGGGCCCCATGTGCCAATCTACGTCTTGTGCCGTGATACCGAATTCGGTACGAAAATTGCATGGCCAATCATCTTGGACCCAATGTTTGGTCCCAAGCTCACGTCTCGAAGGGAGAGGCCAGTGTATATATAAAGGCCCAGGGAAGGAGGAATGAACAGCCAGATACTTTCAGAGACTCTCAGCACCGCAGCTTCACAGTACTGCAAATATGTCTCAAGTCCAGTATATCACCACGACTACCACGCACAAGGCCACCAGACTCTTAACTGGCGAGCCACACGTCTTTCGTCGCACTGCCGAGGAGAGCGGCGAAGATGTTGCATCCAAGCTCTACGCCCTTCATTCAAAGCTGCCCAGCAAGTTTGGTCAGTTCGGCGGCCAGTATGCACCAGAGTCTCTGATGGACGCCCTGACAGGGCTAGAGGCCGGCTTTCTTCAGGCCGTCATTGACGAAGGCTTCTGGAGGGAGTTCCGCTCGCAATACTCCTTCATGGGCCGCCCAGGACATTTGCAACTGGCAGGACGCCTGACAAGACACGTTGGTGGTGCCAACATCTGGTTAAAACGCGAAGATCTGAATCACACCGGCAGCCATACGATCAACAATGCCATGGGACAGGTGCTGTTGGCCAGACGTCTGGGGAAAACCAGGATAATCACGGATACCGGAGGTGGCCAGCATGGGATTGCCACAGCTTCCGTGTGTGCTAGGTTCGGCATGGACTGTACCGTGTACATGGGATCTGTTAGTCTGCCCCACTCTCCCAAGGAAAAAGAAAACAGTCGGGAAATTTAACACTCTTGAACCTGAACAGGACGACTACAATCGCCATCCCTCAGCCGTACGACAAATGACCCTGCTCGGCGCAAAAGTAGTTTCGGTTAATACCGGTTCAAAAACAGTGCGGGAGGCCGTAAACGAGGCCCTGCGTGCCTTTGTCTCAGATCTCGAGACAACACATTACATCATGGGCTCTGCCATTGGCCCTCATCCATTTCCAACAATAGCACGGACATTTCAGATGGTCATTGGCAACGAAACAAAAGAACAATTTTCGCGCCTACGAAACAAGCTGCCAGACGCTGTGGTCGCCAGCATTGGAGGCGGCTCGAATGCGGTGGGGATGTTCTCCCCGTTTGAGCAAAACACACGTGTGCGGCTACTGGGCGTCGAGGCCGCTGGCGACGGCATGGCAACGCCACGCCATGGGGCCACACTTGCAGCAGGGTCTGTGGGCGTGTACCACGGTGCACGGACATATGTGCTGCAGGACAGAAACGGCCAGATCCAGGATGCTCACTCGGCCTCATCTGGCCTTCGGTATCCTGGTGTCAATCCTGAGCTGGCAAATTGGAAAGAGAGCGGCCGTATGGATCTGGTCACAGCCACAGACAACCAGGCACTCGAAACATTCCGCCTGTTGAGCAGACTGGAGGGAATCATTCCAGCCATGGAGTCAGCCCATGCGGTTTACGGTGCTATGTGGCTAGCCAAAAAGCTGAAGCCAGGCAGGGATGTTGTCGTATGCCTGAGTGGACGTGGAGACGACAGATGCGAGCCATAATCCGGACGGAAGGCTAGCAGAAGGGTGGGGAAAAGAGGGATAATGGGCTATACAAGAGTGTCAGTAATCGGGAGGACGGTGGTGTTGCGGGCTCGTCTGGTACGAGGTTCTGGAGTATCTGGCGTAAAGGTTCGGTGCTGTTGGCAGTTTGCATTACCATTTTGGTCTACTGCCTCGTACATATACCTAACAAATTGAACACAAGCCTAGTATTTATTGGCCAATATCGGATCCTCGTGTATGGAACCCTCTTTCGTGGCTCATTCTGGTACGTAAAATACGTCCAAAATATATGCAGCCAATGCCCAAGCAAGCACTCGAAACTCTTGCACATGCCTCCTCATGGAATGACTCAAAAATCAGGGGCACAGTAACTGTTGGTTGTTCGGGTGTCTTAGGTAGCCATCCGTATTCTGTAAGTGACTCTTGTAGTAGAGGAGGTTGCAACTGGCTTGGCTTCTAGCACAGCCTGACACGTACAGTACGAGTACATTCCCCCCACTCGGTATCCATACCAGATAATCGTACGTAGTACTTAGCGAGAATGATGTCTCGGCTTTCTGGCGACTGGTGATCATGACCCAGATGGGCGGGACGAATATTTCTTTTAGTTGGCCACCGATCCACACTGTCTGGAGGACTGGCCTCGTAATCCTCTATGTCCCTGTGGGCCTAGACTTCTAATTGCCAAAGGCCCAGGCACTACTCCGTACTCCGTACATCGTTCGGAGTAATGAAACATTGTGTTAGTATAATGAACCATTCCAACAATTGAACACAGGGCTTGTTCGGAATATTTCGTCTTCGACTAGCCCCAACTAAGACAGGCCAGGACGGCCATCCTTTCGAGCCAAAAACCACAGGAGCTGAACTAATTATGGAGCCGGTCCGCTTTTCCCTCATCACAGACAGCCCAGCTGCCAGTTCATTCCAGTGGGAGAGCGCGCCACGATGGTGGACCAAGCCGAAAGAGAAACATTTGAAGCGCGGAGCAGCAAAAAGATCGCCCGGCAGACCAAGTATTTCACGACGCGAGAGGTTGCCCTGCCCATGTTGGTTCTCCGGCGAATATCAGACCCAGGTCCTTCTGTCGACCCACAGCGCTTCAGTAGGCATCAGCACCTTGACCTGTCGAGCTGGCTGCAAAACCCACAAAAAGCCCCACAAAAAGCACGATCAGAGTTCAAACCGGGCCCCTCGGCTCGGCTTACCACCGTCATTGTTCTCAGGCACCAATGTTTTTATTTTCTCATATTGTATCTTTCCTGGCAGCTTGCTTGATTTTCCCTTTTCGTCTGACAGGCTGCGCAATGACATATGTCCGAGGTGAAATATTGATGCTGTCGTCATCTCAGATTAGGGAAGAGCCTCGCATGCGTAGCCTATCCACAAATTGCCGAAGTCAAGTTACTATTGGCATTCGCAACAGCTTACGACGTAGCCTCGTGTTCTCGGTCAGATATTATAACGGCCGCTCCGCTTCGGAGTGACACGGCAGGCTTCCACTGACCATCGCTAAACTGTGTACAGAGTATTTCAGAAGCTAATCGGGTAGGAATTATAGCTGCAAACTGCCGATCTATACCGAGTCTAGTCTGTAGCCGCTAACGCGTGCGCGAACGTAGGACACATCCTATCGCACGGAGGGTCTACTTACAAAGGAGGCAGCCCGGTAGGAAGTATCGATTTATGCCTCTTCGAGAACAAAGCTGACGTGTTTTATTTTCGAAGTTGGCAGCGAGCCGCACGCTAAACAGGCCTGTGGGCCTTGGACAGAGAAAGACCTCTGAACTACCGAATTGTTCAGGGAGCCTTCAAGGCAGAAGTTTGCGTGAAATTGTAAGAAATTTTCCTTGCCTCGTACCATAAAAAATGTAAACATATTGGACGCGACCGTGTGTGAATGACATACAAAATATCCTAAAAAGCAGATGATCTTGAGTCATGATTGGAAATACCCAAGATCACTTTTGTCCGGCGAATAACGTGCGCAAACAATCAAGTAACGGCCACGACAGCTTCCTCAAACAGCTTTGGAAGCTTCCACTTCTCATCCCCTCTTCCTCCACAAGAACCGTTTGAAAACCCCAAGACATTTGAGAGATGGGGCGGCTGAGGATAGCTCAGGCAGAATGGGCTGAAAATCAGCTATCAGCTTTCATTGGGCGTCGAACAATCGCCAAAGCTGTAAATTACGAACAGGCTCATTGTTTTCGTGCCGAACAGATGCAAGCCCGCTCATGCCGCGTTGAGTGTTTGCAGGTGCCATCCCACTCAACATTCCGACTACATAGTACTCCGTAAGGATTCTAAAGAAGGGAACTACTCCAGCCAGGGCTTGGTGCTGCATACGTAGATGGTTGCTTTGGACAGTTTTTAGCAGATACGGAGTACTCTACATAAAATCCAGTCAGCGGGACTACGGAGTACTAAACCAGCCCTTAGCGGAAGCTAGCAAGGGCCCGCTCCCCGGATCCTTAGTGGGTCGCATAGTAGATGTTGCGGGTCTTGTCATCTTGCTATCATGAATTTCTTGCCAGCATTGTTTCCGATTTGCCGCACTCTTTCACTGTTATGATTTAGCCGTTCATACAGAGGTCGCTACCAAAAGTCCTTTCTGACCGCCTTAGACCCACAAATCTAAATAATGCCGGCAGAATTATTTGTTTACTTTTCCGTGCCGCTGCTGCCGTCGCGCCTTTTGTTTTTTCTTTACATCTAATTCATTATGCCTTCATACGATATTGCTACCCGGGCGCAGGCCCTTAGCTTAAAGCTATTCGGTGCTACGAATAATCAAATCGAAGCCTCTACTGGTATTTCTGCACGGCAGGTACATCTACTTCTTGATAAAGCTATTAGCCGTGGCTTTAATATTAATGCACGCCCGCCGGTTATACTCGATATCCATGTTGCAGACGGTAACCGAACCGGCCGCCCTCGAAAGCAAGAACTAGTTAAAGAAGAGGTTCTTACAAAGGTTCGCACCGACCGCTAGGGACGAGAAAAAACAACTGCTTATTTAGCACATGAAATTGGTAGCGTTTTAGCAATGACAGTTTGGCGCACTCTTTGAAACGCTAGGATAAAGAAGACAAAACTAACACGAAAGCCTAGATTAAGAGAGTTAATAAAACAAGAGCGGTTAGCTTAGTGCTTGCGCCATAAACACTAGACATTGGATGATTAGAAAAAAGTAATCTGGTCTGATAAAACGTCTGTTCTTCTTTGCTATCGACGAGGGAGCTACAAAGTTTAGAGAGCTCTAGACGAAAGGTTCTTACGATCTTATATCTAAGAAAGGTGGAAGGGATACTCTAAATTTATGTTCTAGGGATGCTTTGCATACGATAACAAAGGACCGTTCTATATTTGGCATCCTAAGACTGCAAAAGAGCGTGCAAAGTTAGAAAAAGAGTTAGCGTTATAGAATTAGCAAATAGAACCACAACTTCGTAAAGCATGGGAGCTTAAGACTAGTGTTCGTCGTGTTAGGCTACGAAATCTACTAGGACGAAAGCCGCAATGGAAGTTTACAAAGCAAACAGGCAAAGCTACTTGTAAGAGCGGTAATGGTATTAACTAGTACCGCTACCAAAAGCATATTATTATCCTAAAGCTAATACCTTTTGCCCGCAAGTGCGGTGCAGACTTCTTAGTTCAAGAAGACCGAGCTCCAGCCCATGCACATGCTTCGCAAGCAGTTGTATACAACCGTGCAGACGTTCAAAGGCTGATTTGGTGCCCGAATTCACCAGATTTGAATATGATCGAGCCATGCTGGATGCACTTAAAAAGGCAGACTACTAAGTTTGGCGCGCCTTTATCAAAGGCACAAGCAGAGGCAGACTGGCAGCGTGCGTGGGCAGACTTAAAACAAGACCGTATTCGGGAGTCGATTGAGAGGATACCGTGGCATATTCAGCAGGTAATCGCTTTAGGTGGTAGTAATGAATATAGGGAGGGACGAAAGGATGCACCAAAAAGGAGACGGAATGTAATTTGAAAATAGATTTCCTAATTAGGCTTAGTGCTAACAGTGGGCCCAAAGGCGGTCAGAAAGGACTTTTGGTAGCGACCTCTGTACTGCAGGGATGATTTCCTACTGGAAAAAAAAAAAGGTTTAAAAGCTTGGGCAATTATATAGTGCTACTGCAGTGTTACAAAAAAACGCGTAAGTTTTTAGCAGTCAATGTTTCAATTGATGTTCCTTTTACATATACGACCTAGCAAAAGTAGAGAACACAAGTAACATCAAGCAAATCATGGGTTGTCAAAGCTTCGAACTAAAGAGCATGACAAGGCTAAAAAAGTAGTAAGCTTTAAACCCCAGTTTCGTTATCTAGTGGCTTTCGCCCGTATACAACTCGGCCGGCCATGTAGCAGTGAATGTTTGGGTTGTGTAACAATTTGCGTAAGTAGGCTTCGTAAACCACAACCTCTTCTTTGGTCCAGCCAAGATTGCTCGTTACGAACATAAGGAAGCCACTAATGTCATTGAGAAGGGAGGTCATACATAGAAGACCGATTTCCCGTTGTTTAGGATCCTTGGGCCAAGGACCGAATGGATACTATAATGTCCAACGTGTCAGTAAGATATAAGGTAAGTATAGAATAACGAGATTAGGACGATACCTTAAATTCCTTCACGTGTAGATCAACAAAGCCAGCGGCTTTCAAACACTTCGCTTGTATGTCGTCTTCATATATGCGGAACGACCGGCCACTCTGCTCGCCACCCTTCCAAAAAATAGGGCCCCACTGGGCCATAGCTGAGTTTGGGGGAATAGAATCATCATCAGAGACAAAGTTTGCAGAGGCTTCAGAACTCTCAATCCATCCACCAGGCTTCAGAGACTTGTATGCCTCTTTAGCCACTCCAGTCCAGTCTTTGATAGTTCCTTCAAGGTAGCGCATATGCACATAGTCAAAGGTCCCGTCTGAATATGACCATGGGCTTGTGTAGTCTTCGATTTCACTGTATTATAGTTGTAAGCTGTGTAAAAGGTGATAACATGTGTTTTTCGTGTTGAGGGGTTGGAAAGAAGGTGCTTACAATTTTAGATTGGGCGGTACCCACGTCGACTGGATAGGCGATATGTCGGTGCCAATTACGGTGCAATCAGGATGTGCGTCGGCAAAGTCGCTATGGCAGTGTCAATATGTAGAAATAGCATTTTGCTTTCGTTAAACACATACATCGCCCAAAAGCCTAGACGGACAATTGTCAGCCCGAGTATCTTCAAATGCCTTAAAAAGTCTAAAACGCACCAGTTCCCGTTCCTATATCCAGGACATTCTATGAAACATTAGTGAATTTAGATAAGTGATAAAACGTCTTAGTAGGTACCTTAGGATCCTTAAGTGGTGCTAAAAAGAGTTTGTCGTCAAGTGAAAGTGTGAACGCGTGATGGCTACAACATTGTAAGAACATGTGACGACTAAGCTTGACATGGCTCTTACAAAAGGTCAAGCGAAATGCTCTGCTGTTCGTCATTTGCAGCCCAGTATTGTGCATTGCCGCGCTCACTATGGTAAGTGCGCCCGTGAAGAGTCCGGTATTGAATAATAGAGGATGCCAAAGACTCGGTAGACGACTGAATATTCGAGTTGTAAGCAGAGTCGGCATCATCGTCATCATCACTAAGACCGGGATCCTTGTAAGTTAGGTTTTTTGTATTTTTGGAGGTTTTATTTGGGTTGTGCGTATAAATTGAGTTAAAGAGAGGGCCATACCAGTCCTAGTGTATTGACCACCGCTTCGGACGCTCCTGTTGGCGACTCTGTCGCCAAGGTGGGAGGCGTGATCCCGGACATGGTAAAATAATCGTGGCAAGGCGCAATTAAACTATACTGGAAAAAAGGAAGAGAGGAACCCCGGCCTTCTACGGAGTATATAATGCGTCTCCCCACGGAAGGTGACAGGTTAAATATTAATGACGATAAGCCTACCAGTTCCATATTGATTAGGCGGCTGACGGATGCACGGAATAGGTAGCTGCCCATTCCGGTGCCCAAGTCCGTCGGATATTTGTGATCGTACGATGTAGTACTCCGTATAGGTAGTCCCATAGCGGCTTCGAGCACGCACCATCTAGCAGTGGGTACCCCCGACGTGCTTGTGCCAGGGGCGGATGGGTTTACTGCGGAGTAAGTGTATGTTTATGGGTCCTACGGAGTACTCCGTAGGCTAATATTCTGTACTCCGTACAAAGGGGGACTATCGTATCATTCGATGCTACTGGCTTCAAGCCACCCACGAAGCTTGTCGTTGGGATCACACACGGCGATCTAAACTCGAGATGCGCAAATGAACAGAGATTTAGACAGCGGGTATTGTTTTATAATTCGTTTATCTTAAACGTATACGGCCAGCTGTTCACGGGTAGTGGCTAGACCAGTTGCTTCTAGAGAAAGCTGCATTGTCTTGTCGGCCGAGTGGCCCACATAAGCTAGGCTACATACATACGACCTAGGTCCCGGGCTTCCACTTTAGTCTTAGATAGCGTTGTATTCTAAATACAACGATCCTCGCCCGCCCTCAGAGAGTCTTGCCGTAGCGTCTGCATAGGTCAGAGACTTTAGCGAGATAGCAGAGGCCCTCATACTGCATTTGCAAGTCAGCACTATCGTACCAACCGAGTGCACTGTCTTTTTTTTTCTTACTTCTCATTTCATTTTTTATCTATGGCTATATGGAACAGAACGGGTCTAAAGTCCGCAAAAGCCTCGTTCAAGGCAGGTGGCGGGGGACGGTACATAGTAAAGCCAGTACGCTAGCCAGCTGCACGCTGTTGGCCGTTGGCTGTGGGCAACAGCGTCACAGATATGGAGTACTATGTATAACGGGACGCTCTAGCGCCAACTACGGGTCCAATAGAGCAGCACAAAGTTGTAGACTCCAGACGAACAGGCGTACTCCGTACGGAGTACTGGTGCAGGAAAACCATATCGGGGCTCCAACAGCATACGGAGTATAACAGCGCAAATAGCCTTCTCAAAGTAATCCAAACCGATTCGCTTTTAATTCACCAAGCGACAAAGCCTAGGTCTGCAAACATTAGTAGGATAAATGTAGAACTACAGCGGTGTGCTGCCTGATACATACTTTAGACATATATGCACGTCTTTCATGCAACAGTATTCCATATAGCGATTTTATGTTGCAGAAGTGCGCAACCAACAGCCATTAATGACGAAAGAGCTTCGTATCTTGCACTCTTGCACAAAAGTACGTTTGTCCGAAACAGCGAACGAATAACCATCTAGCTATCTATCTTTCTAGCCGCTTCTTGGCAGCAGATGTGCAGCGTAGCCAACGAAATCATGGTCGGAAAAGGTGAAACAAGGGTCTAGAGCTGCAGAAAAACACCATTATGCATAAGCACATGACAAACGAAGGCCACCTGACCGCGCGATTGACACGTCACTAATTTCAAGCCCATCATGTGCATATTTACCATATAGCTAGACCAGGGTAGCATTTTGTATTGACTGTTTGTCGGAAGGCTAACTTTGCAAATATACCAATTGTTCGATACCGATACTTTGGCTTTATATTCAGCTTGAGCTTCATTTTTCATGTTTTGCATCTGCAACATCCCTCCACGGCAGCCAAAATGCTTCTCGACGGATCTCAGTCTGCTGCTTTGAATGGCCTCTGCTCGGGGGATCGTATTGATCTGATGGACACAATCGATAGTCTTCGGTCACAGGGGATCAACCACCTTGTATCGCTGCCACAGATCATTGTGTGTGGTGATCAGTCGTCTGGCAAGAGCTCGGTTCTGGAAGCAATCTCTGGTGTGCCTTTTCCTGTTAAGGGCAACTTGTGCACCCGCTTCCCCACAGAGCTTGTCTTGCGCAGAAGCCCTGACGTCGGCGCCACCATCTCCATCATCCCGGATCACTCTCGGAGCGCTTCGGAGAAGGCGGGCCTGGCCGGCTTCCACGAAGAGCTCAAGGACCTGGTCGGCTTTCCAGATCTGCTCGAAGACGCTAAATCTTCCATGGGAATCTCGACACATGGAAAGTCCTTCTCTAAAGACATCCTTCGAGTAGAGATATCGGGGCCTGATCGTCCTCACTTGACGATTGTAGACCTTCCCGGACTCATCCATTCGCAGACAAAGAACCAAAGCGCCTCTGATATAGAGCTGGTGCAGGATGTTGTCCAGTCGTACATGAAGCAGCCTCGGAGCATCATCCTCGCCGTCGTTTCAGCCAAAAACGACTTTGCCAATCAAATTGTTCTGAAACTGGCTCGTGCAGCCGACCCTCAAGGTGACCGTACCATGGGAGTCATCACAAAGCCTGACACCTTACACGCAGGATCGACAAGCGAAACTCTCTATGTGTCCTTGGCCCAAAATCAGGAGGTTGAGTTCCGGCTCGGATGGCACGTTTTGCGAAACATGGACTCGGACTCGGAAAAAGGAAAAGGCACACTAACTCAGCGTGACGCGTTGGAGAATGGGTTCTTCCGCGTTGGAGTCTGGGCGGAGCTTCCTAGCACCATTCTGGGGATCGAACAACTGCGCCGCCGTCTGAGTAAGGTTTTGCTGTCACACATCGGCTCAGAGCTACCCAGCCTGGTAAAGGAGATCGAAACCAAGCGCAGCGCCTCATACGAAAGTCTTGAAAAACTAGGCCAGCCCCGAATCACCCTGTCGGAGCAGCAGCTATATTTGCTGGGAGTCAGCGAATCGTTTCAAAAACTTGTTACAAGTGCCGTCAACGCAAATTGCAACGACCGCTTCTTCCAAAATGTGGACACGGACCACGGCTACCAGCAACGAATTCGCGCAGTCGTGCAGAATCTGAATACAACTTTCGCCAATGATCTCCTCGAGAAAGGCCGGCTTCATATCATCAACGATGGACTGGCCGAGACGCCTTCTTCCAAGGACGCTGCCCAGATCAGTCGAAGCGATTATGTAGATCGTATAGAGGCGAAGATGCGCAGGTCGAAGGGGCGAGAGCTGCCCGGCCTCTTTGATCCCATGATTGTTGCGGATCTCTTCCGTGAGGAGGCAGGCCCTTGGGAACAGCTCACGCGAGTTCATGTTCGCCGCGTTTGGAGGGCATGTAAAACGTTTCTCAAAACCGTTGTAGAACACGTTGCGGATACTGAGACATGCAATGCGCTCATGCAAAAGATTGTCGACCCTCAGATGGCTAATGTCATGGCTGTCCTCGAAGCCAAGACAGGCGAAATTCTGAAGTCGCATCAAACAATCCATCCTATCACTTACGACAACTGCTTTGCTGAAGCCGCTCGGATGATTCGAGAGGACAGGAAAAAGGCTGAATGTGCCTCGGCAGTAAAGAAGTACTTCGGCGTCTCGACTCTTGATCCGAGAAACGTGCATGTTGATCTTTCAAAGCTTGTTGATGCGATTGTGGAAGGTATTACCGAGCTGAATACGAACCGCCAGACGGCCTCGGAAGCTCTGGATTACATGGAGTCATACTACAAGGTGCGGAGGACTTGTTCCCAAACTGCAAGCTGAGCTGACGAGGGATCAAATTTAGGTTGCTTTGAACCGATTCATCGATGACGTTGCAGTTGAGGCCATCGAAGTCTGCCTGGTGTCATCCCTGGCTAATGTGCTGTCTCCAACTGGGGTGTACAAGATGAGCCCCGATCTTGTGGCTATGATTGCGGGCGAGTCAGAGGACATCCAGGCTCGAAGAGACCAACTTGTCCGGCAGCTTGATGTCCTGAGCAAAGGTGCTGAGATATGCAAGGGATATGTGGGTACGAATTTCAGTGGTAGGTTGGACAAGCACCTGAAGGATCAGCACGACAGCTGTTTGATGAAGAGTCCATCGCTAACGAGGACAATATCAAAGATGGCGGTTCATCCTCTTTCTCAGATTTCGAGTCCCATCCCGACGCCTCTGAATACGATACAGATCCAGGGCAAGTGCCAACACCGGAGCCTCTTTCCGAGGCCAAGCCGGCGTTTTTTTCCACTTGGGACCAGATTCGAAAAGAATCGAAAACATACAAAAGGGGCTGGTAATCTTGACCATTTGGCGTAGAATTTGGATGTTGATTGAAAGGAAACCTGCCAATCAAATGTCTTTAAACAGGAATTCGAAGAAAATTGCAAACTGTACGGAGTACATCTAACACAATCAAGGTGCAGATGTCAAATTATAGGTGCCCAGTGAGCGTGTTTGTATTGTTATAGTTAGGTATCTTACTTCCAAGGTATGCCGACGTGCGTCAAAACACGTACTAATTAGCCCTATGCGCCACATGACGAATTATGTGTGCCCCGTAAGCAGAGATGTATTGTTATGGTTAGGTACTTCTAGGATATGCAGACGTGCGTCAAAACACGTACTAAATAGCCCCCTGCGCCACACAGTACATGTATTCTTTCACCACACTGCATAATCGTGCACGCCCCTCCCATTCTGGTCTGGCTCATTCGACACCACACAGCACATGTATTCTTCCATCACACGGCATAATCGTGCATGCCCCTCCCATTTTGGTCTGGTCCATTCGACAGCACAGTCTGCATACAGTATATAGACAGTGCTGTGATGAAAATATCCACAACCTTTCTCCGTACACATCTTGGACGCCAGCAATTCCTAGACGTCGCCGCCCAGCATGCCGATCACATATGCTGCAGCACTCGCATATGAAGAGCCCCCCATCCGCGTGGTCCTCGTACAGACGTTCTTCCTGCTGCTGCTTAATGTCCTCAACTGGGCGCTTGATGCACTGCTCTACAGTGGCCTCGTTGGCCAGATCCTCATCGGTATGGCCTGGGGAACTCCGGGCGCCGGCATCCTCTCGCTCAACACAGAGCACGCCGTGGTGCAGATTGGCTACTTGGGATTGATCCTACTGGTCTACGAAGGTGGGCTCGTCTGGAAAGACTTAGCTGAAACCACCCCACTCCCCCAAGAAAATGCACAAGTTTGCCCTGCTGACTCCTATCTAGGCGGCCTATCGACAGCGTTCCCCTCTCTTCGTGCAAACATTGCCCTGTCGGCGAGCGTTGCGGCTACTGGTATCGCGGCCCCCATCGGGCTCTCGTTTGTGCTGCTGCGTCTCGTCACCAGCAATGGCACATCCTCTTCCTCGCTGGCGGCTTTTGCTGCAGGTGCGGCACTCTGTTCGACCAGCCTTGGCACCGCATTCACGGTCCTGCGCACGAGCGGTCTCGCAGCCACGCGGCTGGGCGTCGTGCTTGCCGGTGCGGCCATGCTGGATGACGTCGTCGGCCTCGTCATGGTGCAGGTAATTGCCAGTTTAGGTCCCCGTTCAGCGGGCGCAACCGACGTCTCAGCGGCCACTGTTGTCCGTCCTGTGCTGGTCTCGGTGGCCTTTGCTGTCGTTGCCGTACTTCTCTGCCGCTTCGTGGTGCAGCCAGCCACGGCAGCCCTTAACAGCTGGCGATCAGCACATGAGGACGCCCGCATCAGCTGGCTATTTCGACAGAGTGCAACGGCCCTCGTCTTGCACACAGCACTCCTCGTAGCCATGGTAGCCGGGGCCAGCTATGCCAGGACGTCGAATTTGTTTGCCGCATACGTTGCTGGCGCTATTATCAGTTGGTGGGACTCGGAAGTGCTGCACTGCAGCGACGATGCCGTGTCTGACGATCATGGATCGGTGCGTGATGGTGATGCTTCAGGCAACACCAGAGGCAATGCACCCTTGACTTCCGGCTGTGACATCTTCGACCACTACTACCGCCCTGCGGCCAAATGGGTGCTGCAGCCCTTCTTTTTTGCTTCCATTGGCTTCTCCATCCCTGTGACGAAGATGTTTGTGGGCGAGATCGTGTGGAAGGGCATCGTGTATGCCGTTCTGATGTGCATCGGCAAGCTCGTCTGTGGGCTGTGGCTCGTTCGATTCCCGGATGTCGGAATTTGGATACGCAGCATGGTGAAGAACCGGCAACTGAAAGCATCAGAGGCCAGACAAGACACAACCGAAGTGGAGCTGCACGAACGCAAGCCTCCAGCTTCATCGAGGGCCGACACAGGCACACTGCCGTCTCCCGAGGAGAAGTCCAAAGAGAGAAACACGCTGCTCAACCCCCCAAAGCCTCTGTCCCTTTATCCAGCAGCGATCTTAGGCGTGGCCATGGTGCCCCGGGGCGAGATCGGCTTTCTGATCGCGGCCGTTGCTCAGAGTCACGGCGTCTTTGGCCAGGAGATGGACTCGGGCACGTCGGACGTGTTTCTCCTTGTCACATGGGCCATTGTCCTCTGTACCCTTCTCGGGCCGCCTTGTGTGGGACTGCTCGTCCGTCGAGTGAGGAGGCTAGAGGGGCAGGCAGCAGGCCGAGACGTTCTGGGGGTCTGGGGGATTCGTTCAGATTCGCATTAGGAACGTGTCTTTAGCCATGGAGTAAGAGGTAAAGCACAGAACCCCACCATAACATCTGTACAGCGTACTTGTATGCCGGAACCGGACGCATATCACGTCATGTAAGCCGACTTTCAGCAGGCTACCGCACGTTGCACGAGTAGGAGGAATGTGTGGTTGTTTGGTGTCAGTGCCTGTCCCAGCTACCTCGCCTTTCATTTGCCATTACGGAGTACTCCATGTTGACTGGGCGCGATGGCTGCTGCTCTCTCTGCTACGCTCCACCTCTGTCTGCCAACGATGATGCCTGAGAACAGGTGGCACAGGTGTTGGTGTGTCACTGTCGCGTGGTCCTCAGAAGCTTCGTGGATCCAAAGCGACACTGGACGAGTTGGCGGGCCGCAAGCCGAGAGCTGCAACAAAGCTGCCCAATACTTGAGGGAGGTCCGGTAGTGGGTTCTGGCTTGTGGGACTTCTCTGTCTGGCTGTTGAGGCGGTCATGCTATTGTTGCGAGTGTTTCTCGTCGGTCTCCGGGGAACTGCGGCCGTGTCCAGCGTTGAGAGAGACGACTCCTTCAGCGGAATCTACTCTCGTTTCCGCTACAGAAGGATGGCATGTAGCTCCGCTTTCCGGCTATCCTATCGGTAACTTTGTGTTCTCGTAATGAATGTGTGTATGAGGTCGTGGACCTGCTTGACTGTCTCCAGCTTGGCCTGTGCTATCCATTTCTCGCCACGCCTGTATCTGGCATAGGTGTTGTACTCGTAGGTCAGGCATTCGAACTAGGTAGTCAGGCGGTCTTGTTGCTTAGAACGTCGTCGAACTCGATTTGGACTGGTGCCTCGTAGGAAAATAGGTTCGAAAGGAATCTCATGGCCCACTCAGTGTACTCGAACACGCTCCCGTCGAAGTCTTGTCTCCTGGCCTGCTACTCGCGATTGTGACCATCGTAGCAACTGCGCTTGAGCCCGTCCCAGTCGCCAGAATGGCCAGGGTACTCTCCAGGGTGTCTCGAAATCTTCTCAGGCAGGCCAGCTGCATACCACGGCTGCCCTCCATCGACAACGAGCTGGTGGTGACACGTTTCCTGCCTCAGCTTCGCCAGATATTACGTTGTAGAGGAAGGCAGAGGTCAGAGAGTAGCTTCGCTCTTGTCTGGCTATCGCATTTTCGTGGTCATCGTAGGTGTGGTTGGAGGAGTTTTGTATTCGAGCCGAAATTGTCGAGATGGGTGCGAATGCGGCAAACGGCTTGTGCCTACAGACCGATTTCTAATTGCAGATTAGATTAAATCATATAAAAGCAGACCGAAGGCTGGACTATGTACCCCAGTTGCTGTAGGAAGCCCGTGGGCAGAGTTTTAGGAGCAAGGACGTCGTCCAGCTTGCGTTTGGCGTTTAGCAACGGACACTCAATGCCCAGCATACGTGCAGGAGCTAACGGATAGGTGTCAATCTGGACTCTGCTGTCATAGGCGATAATGCGGAGTGTGTATAGCCCTGGTTCGGGCATTGCGTGAGGGTGTGCAACGTGCCGGGGCGAGAAGCTTACCGGAAGCTGACTGGTCGACTTGTGGACGCATGTTGTCTTGTTGTGCTCAGAATTGAGGCGCTGGACTGTTGTGCCCCATGGACGCTAAATACAGAAGGGCACGGGCCAACGGCCCCGCGCAGGCGTTGCAAGATATCTTCACGCTTATTTGTGGGTAATGGATTCGTTGCATCGTTTGCAACGGTTGTGGCTTAAGAGGGTTATGGCTAGCGAAAGTGTCATGCTGTCGTCGTGAAGGAAGTCTCTACGCCGTTCTCACTGTCTACGAACTTCAAATGTGTTTTGCAGCCTCTCAGTACGTTGTTTGACCTTGACGATACTGGCCCGAATTGGATTGCCCCTCTCAGGATGAAAAATTGCGATGCGAAGGTTTGAATGGGAGAAAGCGTGCCGCTGTGGAGGACTACGTTGGGAAAGATAAGGCTAACTCTGCAAGGGGCCACGCGAGGCTAACACGAGAAAGCGTGGACCGAGCGGTCGTCCAGCAGCTGCCTCATTTCTGATGAGCAAGGCGGCTGATCCTGAAGGACCTCAGGGCTCTGAGTTCTCGCCTCACGACCGTCGTGGCAGTTGGCGGAAAGAGCAAGGAGTACGCACCAGCCTTGTGCTCCAGCCTCATAATGTACAGAGCTTCATCCCTGGTGCTAGATCCTTGTCTGGTGCTTGAATATGTGCCCTTGGGCAGCCCAGTCACTGAGATGATATCGGTGCCCGGATGTTCTTTCCGAGGCCGTGTGATGCGGCTATGGAAAGCTGCCGGCTTGGACTGCTCATCCCATGCAAACGCATTACTCGGCGAGGCATCGCAGATGAAACAGCCCATCGATCAGATCACCTCAGTTCGACCACTCTTGTCGCTGGGTCGACGGCCGACGCAGCACAAGGCAGGCGTCCGACAAAGCGCAGCCCCATTTTCTGATCTGAATTGCCCATGGGGGGATTAGACGGACATGATGCACCTTTTCGGACCTGGCTCGCCTGCGAGCTGGAGTGCACAGACGCAGAAGAAGGCGCGACCTGAACGACACAATCGGGCAGGCCTCGAGGTCATGGGGCGTGCTAGAGAGCGCGGAATCGATGGAATGGGAGCGGAACAGCATAAATAACAGCACACCGGTGTCAGAACGAGACCTGGCTGCAGGCCGTGGCGTCGAGAGAGAGCCGTAGACGGCCAGCGGGGTGGAGCTGGCTGCAACGCTGCGGCAGTGGTGTGGCACACTTTTTGGCTGCCCCCCCGGGTCGACATCTCACAAGAATACAGACGTGATTCGCCCAGAGCTGGCTTTTGTCCCACGTTCGCCCATGGCGCGTTGCATGCAGGTCATTTAGGAGGGGAGGTTGACGTGTAAACTTTGGACTTACCATTGGATTATGTCACCCACCATATTGTTGTCCCCCGCCCGTGGCTTGAAATGGCAGGTATGGGCGGGCGTTCCTTCTTCTCAGCTGAACATTTGTTCTTTCCTCCCACTCCCCCTTCCGTTTTTGCTATTAATTCTCGTCTTGCTCCTTTCTTCTCCCTCTCTTTCGAGAATGTATTTCACCATCATCTTCATCCCCATGCCATCCCAATAACGTTCCCAATTGAAACGCCTCATCTGCCTATCACCTTATTGTCGTGTCTTTCACGCCCAACATCATGGAGTATTCTCTGACGGCAATTCCCAACGAGCTGCTGCACCAAGTGGTCAGCCATCTGGACACGAGCTCCCTCTACAGTTTGATGCTCTGCCGTCACCTGTACTACCACATGTTGCTGCGCGAACTCTACCGTGAGGGTATTTGGCAGGCGCAGCAGATGAGCGGCATCAATGAGTCGACGTTGGCAGCGGCTGGCGGTCCACGCAACCCCAACAACATGTACCCGCTGCATTGGATCTGCCGGAGAGGCTACACAGGCATGTTGGCCATGGTGCTGACGTCACCGTGGGCCAATCCCCGAGGCGGTCGTCGCATCAGCAGCAATAACGACCGGCACGGCACCGGCTGGCTGGATTTGGACGCGCGTGACCACATGTCTTGCTCGCCCGTGTGGCACGCCGTGGCTGAAGGCCACACAATCGTGGTGGCACAACTGCTGGCGGCCGGTGGTTTCCCGTTGACGCCTCAATACCACGGCCGCACGGTACTTTCGCTCGCTGCGGGCATGGGACATCTTGTGATCGTGCGGATGTTGATGGCGGCCTTTGAAAACGACGAGAAGCTGCAGCCGACGGCCGAGATGGTGGCAGAGCGCGACGTGCCCGACTGCGACGGATATGCGCCGCTGACGCACGCATGCCGTAGAGGACACTTTGATATTGTGCGGCTACTGTTAGCGGACGAAGACGAAGATGACGAGGATGACTTTGAGATAGAGACGGAAGACGACGAGCAAGAAAGACCGGAAGGAGCGGACGGGCGGGTGGACCGTTATGGCTACACGGTGGACGATGACCTTTGGGCGGATAATTCGTACGTCGGCTGCTCGCCGCTGATGCAGGCGGTGATCTACGGCCATGCGGACGTGGTGGCACTTCTGCTGCGCCACGGGGTTGCAGACGCAGACCTGCCGACGTATGAGCTGCGCACACCGCTTTCGATTGCAGCCGAGAACGGCGACGTGATCGTGGCCTCGCTGCTACTGTCGACCAACACTGCCAAGGCCGACGAGGAGGAGGATGGTGGATTTGGTGGCGACTTTGGTGAGGGTTCTTCCGGTGGTTCGTCAGGCCAAGCCGAGGGTGCAGTCGGTCAGTTGGGCAGCAATGGGCAGGAGGGCAGTGAAGATGACGAAATGGACGATTACGACAGCGACTATGCGGACAACGACGACAATATTGTAGTGGACGTCAACCGCACTGACAATCTGGGGCGCACGGCGCTGATGTACGCGATCCAGGCCGGATCGGAGGCGGTGGTGCAACTGCTGCTGGTGCAGCCGGATATTGACGTGATTCGCCATGACCGGACAGGCCGCACGGCCCTCATGTGGGCGGAGGCAGAGGAGAAGAAGCAGCTGGAGGAGGAGGCGGAGAGGGAGAGGAGAATGGGAAAGGGGAAGGGGCGAGAAGAGCCAATGTACGGGCAGATGCATGTGTATGCGCATATGCACTCGCATCTGCACTCGCACCTGCACTCGCAACTTCACATGCATCTGCATGCACATACGCGCTCAACGATCCGGGCGCTCGTCGAGGCGGCAGCAAAGCTACAGACCGAAACCAACCGACGACTTCACGACGAGATGACCGAGCGCGAATGGCCTCTTCGCGGGGCGAAGCCCGGAGAATTTGCAGGACTTTCACCTTTTTCTCCCCGAAACGCCGATACGAACACACACTAAAAAATCGTTTGGCCTTTGGTCTTACCATGGTGGTACAATAATACATTGATGTTCTGATGCTCTTGCCTCTTCTGCTCTGCTGTCCTCTGACTACCAGGCCAACTCTGACTTGGAGGCGGCGCAACCGCCGGCAGCCTCGAGGCCGGCGCAGAAGCGCTCCTCTTCGTCGAGCTTGTCCGTCTTCATCTCGCCGGCGATCTTGGGTGTGGCCGGCCAGATCGGGCGGCCGTCCTGCTTCTCCTCCTTGGCGCGATGGGCCATTACCTGTGTCCGGACGGTATCCTGGAAGTAGAGGGGCCCCTTTTCCTTTTGCGGGTGAAACTCGCCATTGACATAGACTCCGGCGTTGATGTTGGCCTGAGCATTGTCGCAGAGGGTCTTGTCCTCACCGAGGACCTGATGGTAGAAGTCGAGGATGGCCTGGAACTCGGCGTCCGTGGCCTTTTCATGGCGGAACACGTCGTTCTCTATGCGCGTGGTGGTGGCAGATGTGGGAACCATGCGCTGGATGTAGAAGAAGTTATCGCTGGGAGAGTTAGTGTGGGTGAGAGGGCATGAGAGTAAGCGAACGTGCGTATGTGTATATGCGTATATGCGTATGTGCAAGAACGCATATTCACATATATGCAGGCAAACACAAAGATGACTCACGTGACTGTGATAGAGGTCAATGGGTAGAGGTAGACGATGGAGCGGCGGAAGTTGCCATCGGACTCGGCCTTGTTGACGATGGTGTGCTGAAAAGCGCCAGCTTTGGGCTCGACGGTATACTTTGTAAGGTCGGAGACGCCGGCGATGAGCGGGTGGGATGTCGGACAGTGGTAGCACTCGTTGTAGTTCTCGACCACGCCCTTCCAGTTGGCGTCGAGGTCGATGTCCCAGCGATGATCGAAGTGGTAGCCGGAGAAGCCGTAGGTGTCTGCCATGGTGGAGTCGACGCCAGCAAAGTCGTCGGACCAGGGCACGGAGGGCGTGCCGGCCTCGAGGTTGACCCAGACGAAGCCGGCGCGGTCAACGTGGACGTGGACAGGCAGGAGGCCGTGCTGGGCGCGGTCGAAGCCATCGACAGTGTCGAAGCGAGGGGCCTTGGCGAGGCCACCCTGGTAGGAGTAGGACCAGCCGTGGTACTTGCAGCTGAGTACGGCGGCGTTGCCGCAGGCCTTTTCGACGATTGGGTAGGCGCGGTGGCGGCAGATGTTGTGGAAGCCGTTGATGCGGCCGGTGCGATCAAGCACAAGGAAGAAGGAGAAGCCGGCGACGGTAAAGGACTCGTAGTCGCCAGCCTTGGTGAAGCGCAGCGTGTGCGTCATGAGGAGCCAGCGCTGCGAGAAGACGGCGCGGCGCTCGAGCTCGTACATGGCCGGGCTGCGATACCAGGACGAGGCGAGGCCACGGCTGGGCAGTGGCTTGGCCGGAGAAGCATCCTGAGAGAGGCCTAGGAAGCGAAACATGATGGTTGTGGTTGGTAGCGTGAGGCTTTCTTTCCCTTTACTTCTCTTCTTCGCTTTCTCCGTCTTCCTCATCGTATGTCTGTCCCTCTTCAACTTACATCTGCCGTATCATCATCCTCACTATCTTCTGCCGAGCCTACCCGCTGACCTGTTCGGTAATACGATTTGCTGATGAAAAACCGACTAGACTCCCCACTTCTCGTCGCGCCCACGATAAGGCTTGTCTTTAGTGCTTTCGGCACAGCTTGCCGGCCTCCATCGTACGTTTTGCGCTGCCAAGCTCCCCCATTCTTCATGGATGGGCGGCTGCGATATAGGAGCTGCCTCGGACAGCTGGCCGGACTGTTGAGAAAGCGCTAGAGCGGCAGCCTTGTACAGATGCAGGTACTATAGAATACAAGCCGTTGCGTTCGAGTAGTGCATCATACGACAGAGTCGGGAATCACTGCACACATTCTAACAGCTGCCATCCACCATGGCCGCCCAGATCGCTCTGATCGACTTTTCTGGCTTCTACTCGGACGACGCCGCAAAGAAGAAGGCGGTAGTGGACCAGATCCGGACGAGCTGTCTGCACAATGGCTTCTTCCAGATCGTGGGCCACAGCGTGCCGCTGGACCAGCAAAAGGCAGTGATGGACGCGGTGAAGCGGTTCTTTGCGCTGCCGCAGGCCGACAAGGATGCGGTCAGCAAGAACAACAACACGTGGAACCGTGGCTACGAGATGCTGCGGTCGCAGATCTTGGAGGAGGGCACGGAGCCGGAGCTGAAGGAGGGCTTCTACATTGGCGACGAGATCGCTGAGACGCATCCGTACTTTGTGCAGCGACGGCTGAACAGCGGCCCGAACCAGTGGCCGGCAGCTCTGGGCGCCGATCTGGCCAGCTTTCAGTCGGCCTCGATGAACTACTACCAGTCGGCACTGGGGCTGGCGGCCGATCTGCTGCGTGCACTGGCGCTCTCGATGGACCTGCCGGAGGACTACTTTGGCCAGTTCATGCAGGGCGCCGTGGCCACGATGCGCTACCTGCACTATCCGTCGCAGCCGGCGGACGCGGACGAGAAGCTGGCGCGCGGCATCGGCGCCCACACCGACTTCGGCGCCATCACGCTGCTGCTCCAGGACACCGTGGATGGACTGCAGGTTCTAGACGCCGGTTCGCACACTTGGATTGACGTCGAGCCGACGCCGGGCGCGCTGGTCGTCAATCTGGGCAACCTGATGCAGCGCTGGACAAACGAGCGGTACCGCAGCAACATCCACCGCGTCATCAACAAGTCCGGAAAGGAGCGCTACAGCATCCCGGTCTTCATCTCGGGCAATCCCGACTACGTTGTCGACTGCATCCCGACCTGTCTGGCGCCCGGCGATGCCGTCAAGTTCCCGCCCATCACCGTCGAGGCCGCCGTCAGCGCGTCGTATGCCGAGTCCTACGGCCGGGCGCAGCTGTTCAAGGCCAAGCTGGCAGGGTCTGCGTGAGGGGGTAGTAGGGGGGCCGGAGGGGGGGAGAAGAGGATGCACCCCAGCACAGCTCATGTATTGTAGAACTGACAAGAAAAAGAAGTGCAACATTGCAATCAAATCCAGTGAAACCTGCAGCGATCGACATCCCCACTTCCACTTCTGCTTATCAACGCACCATCGGTGTAGAGACGCAGGATGAGAATAAAGCTGGCTGTCCCGCGTGAGAACGTGTGAAGAAGAGTAGCATCCATACCGCCATGGAGAAGCACGCCATCACTACGGACACGACTTTGGCTGCCGAAATCAGCCAAGTCATCCTTTCGCCCGCCCTCGAACGGGCATACGGTAGGAAAGCCAGCCGCACCCGCTGTGACGTTTGCTGATTATCCAGTCCGCAAGATGGATCTCTGGCTGCTTCCCTTTTTGAGTGCCATGTACTTTTTCAACTCCATCGACCGGGTATGTTGATGCACACACACGCACCCAAACACACCCGCTAACCGTCAGAGCAATCTGGCCAACGCCCAGACCGATGGCATGGGCAAGGACTTGCACCTTGTCGGCGAGCAGTACTCGCTGCTCGTGCTGCTGTTCTACATCCCCAACGGCCTGTTCGACCTGCCCCTGAACCTGCTGACTAAGCATTTTTCCGGCCGCACGGTGTTGCCGGTGCTGATGACCGGCTGGGGTGCCATGTCGCTGATCCAGGTGGGCTGTCGCAGCTTTGCGAGCATGCTGGTGGTGCGGTTGATTCTGAGGTAGGTGGTATCGGAACGAGCGTGGAAGAGAAACCGTGCTGATGTTCGACGGCAGCGTCTTTGAGGCCGGCTTTTTCGCCGGGACGGTCTTTTACCTCACGCTCTTCTGCACACGTGGCGAGCTGGGCTTCCGGATTGCGCTTTACTTTGGCAGTGCCTTGCTGGCAGGAGCTTTCTCTGGTGTGTTGGCCTTTGGCGTCTTCCAGATTGACGATCCTCACGTCAAGGGTTGGCAGTGGCTCTTTATTATTGAGGGTGAGTCTTGTCTCTGACCTATATCAGTTTTCATTGGTGTTTCTGCTTTTCCTCCATCCGTCACCTCCCTCCTCTGGTCTAACCTCACCAGGCGGAATGACTGTACTCTTTGGCCTCGCCGCCTTTCTGTGGCTGCCAGCAAGCCCGCAGACAGCCTGGTTTCTGAGTGCAGACGAGAGGGCAGTCGCATCGCAGCGCTCTCTCCGTGACGGCTCCTCGGCCGTGGGCGAGCGCCTGGACTTGCAGGCCTGTCTGGCGACGTGGCGCGAGTGGCAGTTTGCGCTCTGGTGCGTCATCAGCTTCACGTACCCGGTGGCCTTTGCGACGACAGCCAACTTCCTGCCGCTCGTTCTGCGCCGCCTCGGCTACAGCACGGTCAAGACGAACCTGCTGACAGTGCCGCCGAACGTGGCCGGCTTCGTCGTGTTGCTGGCCGTGACGTACAGCTCGGATCGTCGTCGTGAGCGCACGTTTCACATCATCGGCAGCCTGCTGCTCAGCCTGGCCGGGCTCATCATCCTGGTGGCCATCGACGCCGAGGCGCATCGAGCTGTGGCCTACTTTTCCTGCTTTCTTCTCTGCTCGGGGGCCTATATCCCCAGCTGCCTTGTGCACAGCTGGCACAACAACAACAACCTGCGGGAGTCGTCGCGGGCGGCGACGACGGGCCTCCTCGTCGGGCTTGGCAACATCGCCGGCATACTCTCGGCGGCCACGTTCCGCACCCAGTACGCGCCCCGGTATGCGCCGACACTCATCGCGACAGCCTGCTGCAATGTCGTTTGCATCGTCTTCACGCTTTGGCTAGGGCTCTGGATGAGGGCAGAGAACGGCCGGCGGGATCAGGCGCAGGGTGTGCGGCTATCGGCCGAGCAGGTGGACACGCAAGAGCTAGAGGGAGTGAAGGATGTGAGGTTTCGATACTTTGTGTAGGTGATTGTTATGGTCAGAATTGGCAGAATAGGCAGAATGGGCTCGATATAGACTTGTGCAGTGATAGAAAGATTTGTACTATTTAGGGCAAGCGTGTATGCATTCATTCATTTAGTTACTGTTTGTTGCAACAACACTTGTTGGACATTCGTATCATACTACTCGTTTGTCACGCCTCGTCCTCACTCCTAGTCACTCCACGGCACGTTGTCATTTGTCATTTATTACTAATCTACCACTTAGTTACGCCTCCGTCGACGCGAATGTCGGTTCCAGTACAGTACCTGTTTGTTAGCAGAGTTCGATTGGATACACACACACAGAGTACTCACATGCTCGCATCGCTCGCAAGGAAGACGGCGGCGCCCTTGATGTCATCTGGCTCGGCGACGCGATGGTTCATGATCTCATCCTTCCAGCTCTCGAGCAGGTCGGGAAACGGGGCGGTCATCTCGGTGCGGACGTAGCCGGGGCTGACGGAGTTGACACGGATGCCGTACTGGTGCAGCTCGGCGGCGATGGGCGGGACCATGGCGCGGACGCCGCCCTTGGTGGCGCAGTAGGCAGACGACCACTGGGAGCGGATGGCCATGTAGGAGGCGATGCTGGCGACGAGAACGATGCTGCCGCACTTGGTGCCGTTGGCGATCATCTGCTTAGCGGCCAGCTGGGCGGTGAAGTAGACGCCCTTGACGTTGACGCCGAGCAGGCGCTCGAAGTTGGCGGGCGTGGTGTCGAGGAACTGGACGTGCTGGTTGACGCCGGCACAGGCGACCAGGATGTCGAGACGGCCGTCGAAGTCGGCCTTGAGCTGGGCGAAGCCGGCCTCGAGAGCCTCGTACGAGGTAACGTCGACCTTGTAGGCCTTGGTCTGAACGCCATACTTGGTGGCGATCTCGGCAAAGCCGGCGACAGGGTCGAGCACGTCAAAGACGGCCACATCGGCGCCGGCTTCGGCGAGACCCTGGGCAAAGGCCAGACCACAGCCACGAGCACCACCGGTCACGAGGGCCATGCGGCCTTTGAGCGAGAACTGGGGTGTCAGCGGGCGTCGAGATGGAGGTGGGAGGCTAACTCACCTTGGACATGATGGTGGTGTTGGTTGTCTGCTGGGGGAATCTTCACAGTTCTCCCGACTTCTCGTCAGTAGTGTATTTGAGCTGCGTGCGGGTATAAGAACAGCGATGCGGCTTAGCGGCGGACTTGGCATCGCTCGGCCGTCGGGCGTCAAGGATGGAGAAGTGGGAGTGGTTATCGCTCCCACTTCAGCAGTAGGCCGGTGCCCAGCCCCAGCAATCCACAGTAGTCCACAGTAGCACAGTGGCCCGCACGTTATGCAGCTGTTCTGTCCGACAGCTCGTATGACATGGCCAATTAGCGGGAGAGGATCGGTGATATGTATCAGGCAGCTGCTGGGAGAGATGACCGGCTGAGACGACATCGGCAAGTCTGAGCAGCAAGATGGCAACCGAATATCGAGTGCAGGAGCAAGTGCAGCGTGATGCATCGAGCAAATTGAAGGTGTGTCGTCTCTTCTCTGCGCTCCTCTCGTCTAGTCTCGTCGCCCGCTAATTTCCAGGTCATCGTCGTCGGTGCCGGCCTTGGTGGCCTCGGCGCGGCCATTGCCGTGCTGCTGGCCGGCCACGATGTCACCGTGCTCGAGAGCACGTCACAAATTGGCGAGATTGGCGCCGGTATCCAGGTCCTGCCCAACTCAGCCCGCGTGCTGTTTGCCTGGGGCCTGCAGGACCGACTGGACCCGTTTGCCACCCGGCCGCAGACCTGCAACTTCTTCGGCTGGAAGGGCAACCGGTTGGCCTCCATGGACTACCATGCGTATGGCAAGGCCTCCCATGGTGTCTTCTGGGATTTTCATCGTGCCAACCTGCATCGCGTGCTGCTGGATCGGGCCGTCGAGCTGGGTGCCGTGGTCCAGACGAGCGCGCGAGCCGTCAACGTGACCGTCCTCGAGAGCGACGGCCAGTCGTCGGCGACCGTCCATCTGGCCAATGGCCGCACTGTCTCGGGCGACCTCGTCGTCGGCGCTGACGGAATCAACTCGCAGCTGCGTGAGGTCCTCGTCGGCCACGAAGACCCGCCCACGCCGACGGGCGATCTTGCCTACCGGCTGCTGCTCGACACGGCCGCCATGATGGATGACCCGGAACTGCGCGAGATGGTGCAGAACCCACAGGTCAACTACTGGGTCGGACCCGAGACCCACGCCGTCAACTACGTCCTCCGAGGTGGCAAGCAGCTCAACATGGTCCTCCTCGTGCCAGACAACCTGCCGCCCGGTCAGCTTGCCTCCACTGGCACTGGAACCGCTCAGGAGATGCGCGACCTCTACGCCGGCTGGGACCCACGCATCGAGAAGCTCCTCGGTCTCTGTGCCGAGGCCGAAGTGCTCAAATGGCGCCTCTGCATCCGTCCTGGCCTCGAGCCTACTTGGTCCCATCCGGCCGCCAGCTTCACCCTCACCGGCGACGCCGTTCACGCGACCCTGCCCTATCTAGCCAGCGGCGCAGGCATGGCCCTCGAGGACGCTGGCGTGCTCGGTCTCTGTCTCGCCCGCCTCACTGACAAGTCGGCCGCATCCAAGCGCCATGCCCTCGCCGTCTACGAGGCCTGTCGGCGTGCCCGCACCGAAAAGGTCGTCCAGCGCGGCACCTACAACCAGCACATGTACCATATGCCCGACGGCCCCGACCAGGTCGCCCGGGATGCCAAGATGGCCCACTACGATGAGGTCGACCGCCAGTGGCTTGCCCAGGAAAAGCCCGTCCTGCCCGTGTCCGACGAGACCGGCGACGATCCATTCCCGTGGCGCTACCACGGCGTTGCGCGCTGGCTGCTGACTTACGACATGTGGAAGGACGTCGAGGACCATTGGGATGCGGTGCCAAAGGACATCAAGGCAAACATATAGGGTAGCTTGTCCAATACATGATCAGAATGATTCCACTTTACGCGCCGGGGTTGTCTTATCGCCCAATTACAGCATCTCACGATGCGCTCGGGTGGGGTGTGGCTGAGCTGCTCGTTTCAAGAGGAGGACTTCGTCCAGAGAGGAAAACAATCTGCTCTTGAAAGATCGTGTACGATTGCATTACATAATTGATCACATTACTGCGAAACTAATAAGCTTCAATCATGAGACTGCTCAACGCCCGCACCCTGAAGATGGAATATTTTCTGTCCGAGGACGACTTCCCACCGTTCGCAATCTTGTCCCACACCTGGGGCAAAGAGGAGGTCAAATTCGCCGAGATACTCTTGCCTGGGACAGGAGAGGGATGGACGAAAATAAATTATACCTGCCAGCAGGCGATTCGGGATAAGATCGACTGGGTCTGGATTGACACGTGCTGCATCGACAAGAGCGACAGCGCCGAGCTCTCCGAGTCAATCAACTCCATGTTCCGCTGGTATCAGATATCTACCGTCTGCTATGCCTATTTAGCCGACGTGTCGGTCACAGCCCGCCAAAGAAATGAGCCTGTATTCGAATCAGACATTAGCAGGAGCCGCTGGTTCACTCGTGGCTGGACTCTTCAGGAGCTGGTTGCGCCTAAGATTGTTCGATTTTACTCTAAGAACTGGGAGTACATTGGTTCCAAGACAGACTTTTGCAGCCTGCTCTCGTCCATTACACGTATCGCCGAGAAGTACCTCACCGGACACGATATTTTCACAGCCAGCATCGCCCAGAGAATGTCCTGGGCTTCACGTCGCCAAACCACTCGCAAAGAAGATATCGCCTACTGTCTCTTCGGTATCTTCGACATCAACATGCCCTCGGTCTACGGAGAAGGTACCAAGGCCTTCCGGAGGCTCCAGCTTGCCATTATTCAGGCTTACCCCGAGGACCACACCATATACGCCTGGGGGGCCGTTGTTGAAAAGGTCTCTTGGCTGTATCCGGAGGACAAGGCCTGGGCTGACACGCCTCCGAAATGGGAAGATGCCGAAGAACGGGAGGAGCTCGGACTGTTGGCGAGCTCCCCCAAGGACTTTGTTGAGTCTGGTCTGTTTGTTCCAACCCCGTTTGGCTCCGATTTTTATATGTTAAATCAGTACGATGCCAAGCTTCCTGCTCAGATTGGCAACACGACCATCCGCCTGGACCTGCCAGTGTATCCTGGTGTTAGGCTGTGTCTCCGCAGACAGCATGCGCTACAGATGGCACAACTTCGCTATGTTTGGTATGCAGCACTGTTCTGCGGTCTCGAAGGTGACTTTATGAGCACCGTGGCCATTCCTCTGGAAGGCAATGATCTGGACTCAACAGTTCGCACTCGCGAGATAGTTCGCTGTACAGACCCCGCGACTAGAGAGATGTTGGATAAGTGGAAAACAACCATAAATATTGGAATATCACCGTCATCTCGGCTGCATTTTAACGACATTGTATTTCGCCGCGAAATATTTAACTTGCAAAGTGTCGAACGCTCGCCTGTTTACCGTTTTCCCAATAATAGAAGAGGACACATGTGGAAAATTCAGCACAGTATCAGCACTGACAACACCTCTCCGGACATATGCGAACTGCCGATAACCCTTAAAGGCCAAGATAAAGCCTTCTCTCTATTCCTGCGTCGCACTCAAAATGAAGTGGAATATGCTTCTTCACTCAGTGTTAGCGTTGTTCTCTTTAGGAATCGAAAAGATACAGAAGTGAGTGCGGTTGGTTGCAAGTGGCTGTTGGATGACAAATCTACGTTAAAGACTACATTCACCCATAAGTTCGCGTGTCCGGCAGACGAATGGGTTTTGGATGTGAAGCCTTTACCGCGGATATTCTTACGCGTTGAGAAAGTTCAGCACTACAGTGGTTTGGTTTATGTTTTGGATTTGACTGTAGCATAATAGGATCAACTCTATTTTCTTTTGTTAGTCTATGATGGGCAATATTCGGTATTACGTCTGATTTGGATGGGACTAGCATCGACGAGACTCGTAAACAGATTCAACAGAAAATATTGAATGTAACGTTGATTTTGTTTATTTGGCGTAACCAGCATACCGTGTCTATCAAGCCCATGATCGTCTGGTGCACTACTCCATGCTTTCTTCTACTTCTTCCCACACCTATGCCTTGTATTCCGGGTAGTCGTTGTAGCCCTTCTCCAGCGGGTCAGCGCCGTAGAAGGTGGAGCGGTCGTAGGCGTTAAGCGGCAGGCCCTCGCTCAGACGCTTGACCAGGTCGGGGTTAGAGATGAACTGGCGGCCAAAGCCGACCAGCTCGGCATCGCCGCCCTCGACGATGCTGGCGGCGGTGTCGCGGGTGACGGTACCGCAGGCGAGGAAGGGGATACCGGCAGCCTTAAGGATTGTGCGGAAGGGCGTCAAGGAGTTCTTCTCGGCAGCTGCGGCGGCCTTGCCGTCAGAAGAAGTGTAAGCAGCGAGGGCCTCGAGCTTCTGCTGCTCGCTGAGCACCTCGTCGAAGCGGGGTTCGATCCTGGGATATTAGACTTGAACAAGAGACGAAGAACAGAGCAGGCTGACTCACATGTGAACATAGGCTGGCCGCTGGTCGGCTGGCAGGGCGGCCAGAGCCTTGCAGAGGTAGGTCCAATGGGCGTTGGGGTCGCTGTCGTGGGTGTCCTGGAAGTAGTTGAAGGGCGAGAGGCGGATGCCAACGCGGTCGGCACCGATGGCTGCCGAGACAGCAGCGAGCACCTCAAGCAGGAAGCGGCAGCGGTTCTCGACGGAGCCGCCGTAGGCGTCGGTGCGCTTGTTGATGTTGTCGTGCAAGAACTGCTCAAGCAGGTAGCCGTTGGCGCCGTGGATCTCGATGCCGTCGAAGCCAGCTTGATCGACAGCCCGCTTGGCCGCAGCCGCCCACTCAGCCGTGAGTCCGTGGATCTCGTCGACGGTCATGGCACGCGGCGGGTCGTCTGCGCAGGAGGAACCGTCCAGATAGTTGCCAGCCATAGGCAGCTCGCCCGAGGACCAGCCGCGTTCGCCGCCACGGAGCACCGACCCGGAGGCCCGGCCAGTGTGCCACAGCTGGGCCACAATCAGGCCGCCCTTGGCGTGCACTGCATCGGTCACAGCGTGCCAGCCGGCCAGCTGGGCCGGTGCATAAACACCAGGCACGCGAGGGTAGGCGCTCGCATTGGTGCAGATGTCGGTGGCCTCGGAGATCTGCAGGCCGCCGTCGGATGCACGCTGGCCGTAGTATGTGACCATGCGCGGACCCGTCACATTGACGCCATCGACGACATCACAGCGCATGCGCGTGCAGGGCGCCTGCACGATGCGATGCTTCACGGCCAACCGGCCGACAGCGAGGGGTGTGAAGAGAGCCGACTTGCTCAGCGGCACGAGGGCGCCATTAGCGGAGGACATGGTGAGGAGAGGAGGGGTGGGGAAGAGAGTAGAAAGTGAAGAACAGGACGTAGATGGTAGAGGGTAAAGGTAGAACAGCTGGACAAAGGCAGAAGTGATTAGATATCACATAAGTAATTGCAAACGGCATCAAGCTGTCCAAAAGCGGAAACCAGCACACACAATATATACACTACCCCACGGCTGTGGTAGAATGGTTTCGGTACAATGTTGATGCGCGTTGCATTGGCAGTGGACGTGCTGCTCTGCTGCACTTTCGCCGCTGTGGATTCGTCTCATTTGCCGATTGTGCTTTATCTCTCCAGAGCTCTGCTGTGGGCCTGATGGCGAGCGGGCCTGTCCCATCCTTGCCGGAAGTGGGAGGGAGAGCTAATGGCAGGGGACAAGGGGAACAGAGTCGCAATCAGCGTGGAACGTGTTTGCCGTATTTTGTGGAGCACAGTGTGCCGAAAGAAATACAGACTAATATGCAGTAACGTACAGAGTATACACGGGCTACTGTACTCCGTACGGAGTACGGATAAGAAGAGACAGTGCAACCACAGTACAGCTACTGTCAGGTTCTATTTCCGCGGCACTTTGAATTACAACCGTGTTTCCTCCAGCGGCCACGATGACTAATCCAACACCACCCAATCCAGCCTCCTCAAATCGACGCATGGCCGTGCGTCTCGTACGGCAGCCCCAAGCAGAAGAAACCGGCAACAATCCAGAGGGCGGCGCTAACATAAATTGGCACGCTTGAATAGCCGTTGTACGTCGAGATGAGCGAGGCACAAAGACCGCCAAAACGCAGCAGTGTGGCCGCGATACCGGTGCCAGTGCCACGAACAGGTCCAGGGAACGACTCGGGAGCATAGGTGTACATGATTGCATATTCTGGTGGTGTTAGTGTTCGGTAACAAAGGTAGAAGAAGCATACGGGAACCCACCAAAGTTGCCCAGAATGCCAGTGGCACACTGGAAGCCAATGTCGGCAGCCTCGGTCTTGGCGACAGTGTAGACAAACAGGAAGACGCCGGTGAGGACAGCCGAGAAAGCCATCATCCAGCGGCGACCAAAGCGCGTCTCGACAGCGTAGCCAGCCGCGATGGGACCGACAATAGTGACGGCTGAGACGATGCAGTAGGTGCGGTATGTGTGGCTGATGGAGCCGTTGACGTGGTACGACTTCTTGGTCTCGAGGTAGGACGTGATAAAGGCAAAGTAAAGCGGGTAGGCGATGCCGATAGTGAGCCAGAGCAGAAAAGTAACAAACGAGTGTTGGGCCATCTTGCGACCGGCAAATAGGGACTTGTAGCTTTGGCTGTTGTAGTCCTTGAGGCTCTCCTTGAGGATCTGACGATAGGTGAGGGCCTTGGGGGCGATGGGGGCTACAGCCTCGGTCTTCTCGTCCGTGACCTGGGCGCCTCCGTGGATCTGGAGGTCGACGGCCTGCAGCATGTCGAGTGTGAGGGTCTCGGGCACGCCGTTGTAGCGGGCAATGTAGTTGACCGACTCCACAGCCTCAGCGTCGCGGCCCTTGGAGATGAGGTAGCGCGGTGACTCGGGGATCTTGAAGATGAAGATGCGGATGAGGCCGAAGCAGATGGCGATCCCGCCAAGCGTGATCATCATGTAGCGCCAGCCCATGTTGGTGTGGCGAGGACAAGGCGCGTCGGCCGAGTCGCAGGCGAAGTTGGCCAGGAAGACCCAAGCGAGCAGTGAGACGATCAGCTGGCCGAGGTTCCACCAGGCGGACAGGCTGACGAGCAGCCACTGGTACGTCTGGGGTACGAACTCGAGGAAGATGATGGAGTCGACGGGGACGTTGCCGCCGGCAGCCGTACCGATGACGGCCCAGAGCGAGCAGAAGGCGACAAAGTTCTGCGATCCTGCAACGGCGCAGGCAAAGATGCCGCCCAGCAGGGTGGTCAGGTTAAAGGCCGGCTTGCGGCCAATCATGTCGGCCGTTGTGCCCCAGAAGGACGCGCCCAGGATGAGGCCAAGGTAGTAGGCGACGGAGCTGAAACTGAGGTGAACGATGCCGGTGAACTCGTTGGCTACGGGCGGCCGGGCGGCACTGATGCCCTGCGACCAGAAGTTGTCGACCATCCAGCCGAAGCCATTGACAACAAAGAGGTACCACTGGAACTTGCCCATGCCGATAAGGGCCATGTGCTCGGCCACGAGCTCCGACTTGAGCCTGTATGACTGACTGACAGCGTCGTGGTAGAACGACTCGATGGCCGGGTCTTCAACCGGGTCGATAGTACCGCGGGTCAGCGACTGCGGCGTCGACGGCCGCTGGACGGCAGTCGACTTGGCCATGGACGGGTCAGACATTTTGGGGGAGGAGCAGGAAGGTGGATGGATGGTGAGCAACAGGAGCTAACGCGCACAAGAGGATGTGCTCGGGGAAGAATGGACGTGCAGAGCTGCAGGAACAAGAGTCAACAGACAAAAACACGAAACAGGATCGACAATATCCTAAGTAGTCAGACGTCCATACAAGCCAACTCCATGAGGACTAACCTCCTGACCGTCTGCCCATGACTGCCAGCAGTTCCATAGTACTGCGTGCATCCTCGCCAAGCCCGGAAGGCTGGGAACCGTCTTTGCTAGTCGTGATAATGGTAAGCTGATCACACCTTGCCACTGATTGCTGCCATAGCTCGTTGCACTAACATGCCTCTCATAGATACGAGCTCTTATCTCATCCCCATTGCTCTGCTATCAGACATGAGACCTCCCACTTGCGGCGATCCACAGATACGATACACGTTTCCGGGGATGATTAGTCATCACTTGTTTCCGGGATACTCGGTTCATCTCATTTGTTCACACCTGATGTACATGTACACAATCTCTTCAGTTACAAAGTATTCGTTTGGTTTTAGAGTTCTATGCCTGCAGGAAACCACCGTAGTATGCATCCAGCCAACGGGCAGCCTCCCCGCCGGTCTCTTCCGAGGCCTTCCAGCGGCGAATGGAGCCGACGTAGCCGTCAGGCCGGACGTTCATAACAGCGACCTCGTCGGCGGCCAGGCTGCCGAGCCACTTGCCAGTGCAGGACTTGCCCTGCGTGTCCATGGCGGCGACGTCGTCGAGGTAGACGGTCCAGGGCGACTGGGAAAACAGAGAGGGCAGCTGTGCAAGTTCGAACGAGCCCTTGTCGGCAGCCGTCATCAGAGCAAAGGTAAAGAGCTCACTGACAGCGGTATAACGCTCCGGACGGACGAACACGTCCTTCTTGCGGGCCGGTCGGGGCTGTTTGGCGTACGAGGCCTTGGCAGCGGCCGAGAGTCGGGCCAAGACGGAGCCATCGGCACAGACAGCACGACTGAGGGCGCCGACAAAAGCAGCCTGGGCAGGAGCAACGACGTCGGGCACAAAGACGTAGACGCGGAACTGGCCGAGGATGGGGATGTCAAGCTGGACATCGACGGGGTTTGCGTCGATGTAGCGGGTCGCCTTGGCGGGCGGAAGGGTGCAGCCAGGTTGGGCGAGGCCGCCATCGCCGGACTTGTGCACCGTCGTTGTTGGGGTCTCGCGCACCGGCTCGTTGATGGCGTTGAGCCCGTAGTCGACACCGACGCCGGCGATGAAGCGGATGTTGGTGCGGAAGTTATTCGCGAGCGCAGCAGCATCACCCGCAGCGATCTGGTTCGCGTGCTCGTAGTCAAACTCGATCAGATCCACGGCGATCTTCTTGCGCTCGGCCTCGTAGCTGGCCAGCAGCGCCGGCGTGGCTAGGCCGCGCACAGCCAGGTTGAGCTTCCAGGCCAGGTTCCAGCTGTCGTGCACGCTCGTGTTCATGCCTTGCGCTGCCTTGGGCGAGTGCGTGTGGCTGGCGTCGCCGCCGATGAAGACATGCAGCGCCGGGTCAGCAAAGCGTGCAGCCACGCGCTGGGCCACGGTGTAATGGCCGAACCACTCGACCGTGCGCCAGTCGAGCCGGAAGGGTGCCAGCACGCGACGGGCCTGTGCCATGACGCGGTCCTGGGCGGAGGCCTCGGTGGATTGGGCCGTCTTCTCTGTCGTGGCCTCGCCCTCATCCTTCATCTCGATGTAGAATCGCGTCATGTTGCGCTCGCGCGGGATCATCAGCACCGTTCCGTGGGCCTCGGAAAACACGACCGTCTTGCTCCAGATGTCGGGGAAGTCTGTGTCCAGCTCGCCGTCCAGCACGCCCCAGGTCGACCGGTGCGGCGTGCCTTGCGCATATGTGTCGGGGATCTGCGCCCGGACACGTGACCGCGCCCCGTCGCAGCCCACCACATAGTCGGCCGCCACGACTGGCAGCTCCGGTGCGTCGACTGTGTCTGATGGCCGGCTGTGCACCTTGAGCAGCCGCTCGCCTCCATCGCCACCACTGCCTCCCCCTTCGACCGCCTCAAACGACTCAAATACGTGTGACCGCTGCACTGCGCCACCGCAGTCCTCCAGATCGTCCAGCAGCAGCCCTTCGATCATGCCCTGGTGGCATAACAGAATGTACGGCTGCAGCACATCCAACACGTCTGCCGGGTAGTGTACCTCACGCGAGACCCGGTGCAATGCTGCCGCGTCGTCGCCCCGCCAGATGCAGATGTCGTGCACGCGCACGCCGTCGCGCAGCAGTTCGTCACCCAGTCCCATCATCTGGAACGTCTCGATCGTCTTGGGCTGGATCCCGTCCGCCCGTCCGACTGCCGTCCGGTCTGGCCGCTCGTCCAGCACCGTCGTCTTGATGCCCAGTCGCGAGAGGACAGCCCTTTTGCGTGTCAGCCTGTGTGTTCTCCAGAAAACGGGCGTCTTCATCTCACTCACGCCAGCATCAGCCCTGCCGGTCCCGCTCCCACCACACACACGTCGTAGTTCTCATCGCCAGTCTTCGTCTCGGTCGTCATGGTGGACTGTCGGGCTGTAGTATTGGGCTGCAGTGTCGAGGTGTCTTGGCCGGCTGTATCAGGTCCAGGTGTCGAGCTGTCGGGTAGCCAGTGCGGGCTGGAAGCTGTGTCGAGCCAAGCTATCGAAGCTATGTATCACGTCGAATCGCCGTCTCCGCAATCGTTCGCGCCGGCCTCACAGTCCTGTCCCACTCCAAGAAACGGGCGACATATGACAATCGTACGAACCGGCCGTCGCCCATATGGTACGTCTGCCCGGCAGCTCAAGTTGCGCGACCACGCCGTCACAGCTAGCCTGCCGCCGCGTTGTCCCACTACACCACTCCAGCTCTGCCAAGGCCTCTCCCACTCCTGCCATGACCCGCTGTTTGGGGCGCGGATTGCTAATCGCCCGCTTTGGCCCGCTTCGCCCGCTTTGACAGTCCCGCTTGAGTCCCCGCTTATGCACACCTCGTATAGATGCATATCGAACACCACAGATTCGCGATCCTCGCATGCGGAAGCGTAATATCAAACGGGAACAAACGGCATTATCACGGCGAAATAACGTCAGAATGAGCGAACAGCAGCCTTGGGAGGAGGTTGTCGCCCGCAAACAGAAGCAGCGGGCCGAAGCCCTGACCCCATTTGCTGCATTCCCTACTTGCGATGCCATCACAGACGAGGACGATGTGGCAACACTCGCCGCCAGCATTGTGTCTGGCAAGCTGACGTCCGAAGCCGTCACGAGGGCATACATTGCGAGAGCATATGCGGCACACGAGAAGACAAATTGGTATGTCGTTGGTGTATCTTCGCGCTCTATCGGCCGTGCTGACCAGCCAGTCTGACCGAGGTCTTCTTTGCAGACGCCCTCAAGCAAGCTGTCGAGCTGGACCGACATCTGACTGCTCATGGAAAGCCCGTAGGACCGCTGCACGGCGTCCCCGTCACACTCAAGGACCAGTTTGACGTCCAAGGCTACGATTCGACTATTGGCTACGTCGGCCGCGCGTTTGCCCCCGCCGAAGCAGACAGCGTCCTCGTTGCCATTCTGAAGTCACTGGGGGCTGTCATCCTGGCCAAAACTAACCTGCCACAGAGTATCATGGTTCGTCGGGGGCCGAGAAGACCAGACGACTGAGCAGACATCCTGCTGACAGCCGCAGTGGTGCGAGACCGAGAATGCCATGTTTGGCCTCACCGTCAACCCCGTCGACAAGACCTACACGCCCGGTGGCTCTACGGGTGGCGAGTCCGCCCTTCTGGCATCGCACGGATCTATTCTAGGCTGGGGCACCGACATTGGGGGCAGCATCCGCATTCCGTCCCACATGCTAGGTCTGTACGGCCTAAAGCCGAGTGTGCGTACTGTTTGCTCTTCTGACTTGCACAATTGGCCTTCTTCGTCATGCTAACGTCACAGAGTGCTCGTCTCCCATATCGTGGCGTGCCTGTTTCGACCGACGGCCAGGAACACGTGCCTTCGTCCGTTGGCCCGCTGGCCCGCAGCCTCGACAGCATCCGCCTGGCCATGGAGTTCGTCATCGGCCAGCGGCCGTGGGACAAGGACGCCCGCTGTGCGCCGCTTCCCTGGCGCACCTCCATGTATGACGACGTTCTGAACCGGCCGCTCGTCTTTGGCGTCCTACGCTACGACGGCGTCGTCCGTCCTCATCCGCCCATCGCCCGCGTGCTCGACGAGACGGTCGAAAAGCTCCGTGCAGCCGGCCATGTCATTGTCGAATGGGATGCCTCGTTGCATGCAGAACTGATTGCAGTTATGGTGAGTGGGGGGGGGGGGAAATGAGAGAAAGAGGGAAAAAAGGAGAGCAATGAAAAAAAGAAAGAAAGAAAGAAAGGAGAAAACAACATAACTAACCCCACAGGATGCATTTTACAGCGCTGACGGCGGCGAGGATGTCCGTCGCGACGTCGCCCTCGGCGGTGAGCCTTTTATCCCGCACGTCGCCCGCCTCGTCGACCGTGGGCCCGCCATCTCCGTCTACGCCTACTGGCAGCTCAACCGCCGCAAGATGGCCCTGCAGCAGGCGTACCTCGACCGCTGGGTGGCCACGGCCTGCGACGCCGTCCTGATGCCGCCTATGCCGCATACTGCTGTTCCGCACCGCTCCTGCGGCTGGGTAGGCTACACAAAGGTCTGGAACGTGCTCGACTACCCGGCCCTCGTCTTACCCGCCGGCACAGCTGCGCCCAAGGACCTCGATGCGCCCTGGGATGGCGATAGCCGGCCGCTGCTGTCCGGTCATCCCATGGATGCGGCTAACCGCGCCATCTGGGCCGAGCATGGCGCCCGCATGGCCGCCCTGCGCCTGCCCGTCGACGTGCAGGTTGTGTGCCGCAAGCTGGAGGAGGAAAAGGTATTGGGCATCGGCAGGGTGGTGGACGAGGTGTTACGGCGGATGTAGAAAGGAGATAGACAGGGTGCTGACATATTGCAATCATAGAAATTTAATTCAATGATAGATGTTGAAAATTATGCACGTTCTTGTAGAAAACTTATTGAAATAAGGACTTTGAAGTTAATTTCCTGTTTCTAACTGAATCTGATCGACACAGTACATAAACTAAATGTGTATCAAGATGCAGTCTTTTATTACATCGGTTGCATGAAGTATATTTTACTCGGTGTTATTTTCAGTCTGAATGTGAATTGTTGAGTTTGGTTACTTGCGAAGTGGTGTACCTACAATTAAAGAGAGCGTCATGTCACATACCGTAACACAACTACGCCCTCTATATCCTTCACCCACTTACCATCATCTCCCTATACTATACACTGCTCTCGTAGCACATACCTCTCATCACTTTTCAACAGACCTAACGCATCTATTACCATCGATCTGGGATGGCTTCTGTGGGTCCGCCTTTTATCAATTCTACCGGCGCAGCATCCGTCAAACCCGTCTTTGTGGATCTCGTGGGACTGCCAAATTACAGGAAGATTGACCCCATATTCCTTGGCGGCGCACCAACAATATAGTAAGTGCCTCCCCACCACAGTAAAGGAAATATCTGTGGGACAGCCTGTATCTTAATGTGACCTTCAAAAGGAGTAATATTACGGCAGAACCAAGATTTCCAACACATTTATTAACGTTAATGGACAAAGACATGCACGATCTATTTTATGACACTGCCATGACCAAAGAGACTTGCGTTCCCCCAGTCAGGATTCCTCTCTACAATACAAAGCCATGTCCAATGCTCTTTTGGAACACGGAACACACCGAAAACCCCTAACCCCAGACTGTGATTGTGGACTAGTTGTCCTCAGTAGCCTCAACAGCCGGCACGACGTACCGCTTGCCCCACCGCATGTTGCGCTTGGCATTGCCGAAGCCCCGGAAGCCGTTTCCGGCAGCAGCCTTGGCACCATTGGCGCCGTTAGCACCGAAGCCGTTGGCACCGTTGCCGCCGAAGCCACCAAAGCCCTTGAAGCCGTTGCCGTTGCCCTTCGCCGCGTTGGTTGCCTTTGCGCCAGAGCCCTTAGTCTTGGTCGCCTTGGCGGTGGAAGTGGCAGCAGCAGAATCAGCCGTAGCAGTGCTGTCGTCGGCCAGCGCCTTAACGGCAGCCAGGCCCTGCTCGGCCTCAGAGGCGCCGGCGTTGGCGTTAGCCGCAAGAGCGGACGCTAGGTCGGCCTTGTTCACCGCGACCTGAGCCGCGATGCCGGCAGCCGTCTGCTCTGTCTCGATGTTGTCTGGGGTGTTGGCCTTGGCAGTGGTGTCAGTCTGCTTGACTGCGAAGCAGCCGCCAAAGGGACCGGCAGCGGCGCTGTTGAAGCAGCGGACCGTGCACACGTTTCCGGTCGAGGCTGTTGTTGTATATTAGCATTGGGTGAATGGATGCGGCTGTGTGCCCTTTCTGAGTTCTGTGTCTGAGTCTTACCTCCGATGCAAGCCATGTCCGACGGCATGGTCACGGCGAGCGAGATAGAGCCGTTGCTGTCCGTCTCCGCGACAGTGAGGTTGGTCTGGCCCGTCGCACCATTGCCGTTGCTGGTCAGGTCGAGGTCGCAGGTGTAGGGGCCTGCACCGCTCGCACTGCCCTTGGCGATCTTGACCGTGACAGTGCTGCCTTTCGTCACGGACGTGACCGTGTTGTTTGCCAGCTGCTCCTCCGTGTTTTCGCCAATGTCAATGTTGCCGCCCAGAAGTGTCCGGCCACACTCGTTGACCACGTTGGAGACGATCTCTTTGCTGTTAATGATGTTCGCATCCGTTCCGCCCGTCTTGACTTGCAGGCCCAGACTGGCAGGGGAACCCTTGGCTCCCTGTGCACTCTGGATCACGCCCTGGCCGTAGGCCAAGGGGACTGCCGCCAGGACGGTGAAGGTGAAGATGGAGCGTGCGAAAACCATATTGTCCAAAAAGAGAAAAAAAGATTGTTGGAGAAAAACAGACGTGAAATGATAAAAGGATTTGAAGTGAACGTGTCCAGCACAAATGAAGGGAAGGATTATACAGAATGGAGGAATGCAAGAGGAATCGAATTTAGACCGGCTACAGAACAAGAACAAGAAAAGAGCAGACGGGGACAGGAAAGACGGCTTTATACCTCTTGATCGGATGGGACGGCCGCCCCTGAATCGGCATTGTCCAGACTCGGCGTTTCCTGAGATCATCTGCAACGGATCTTGTCGCGTCGGTGGATGCGCTGTGGATCTCCGGAGGTCTGACGCTGTCAAATACAGGAGCACCGAAGCTTTGGAGTGGGGCCTTTGGGATCGGTAGCTCGTTTCGAGCAACCCCGTCCAGGGGTCTTCTTCTGTTTTGGCTGAAGATTTGTAACCCTCCAGTGTATGCTTACGCTTGCCGGTCAATTTCATGCTTGAAACTATCCATGTTTAGGTTGACAACCTCTAGCCCGCGAATACGAAAATACGAAGCCAGACAAGGGAAGACCCCATTCTTCGCCGCGTCTGGTGGAGCTAGGGGTGGCCTGCAAGGATACGCAACACCCAAATAGTTAATCTATACGGAGTAAATACTATATGCACTAAGTAGAAAAACCAAGCTTGAAGCCTACTTGTACAAACATTACGGAGTACTCCGTACAGTACGGAGTACGGAAAAGGTAGGCGCATGAACCTATCACGGATGCAACACCAAAAATATAACATCGTCACGTGCCAGAGGCGGCTCATGCTGACTAACTTCCGATCCGACTGTCTGTTTTTAGCGCCCGTTAGTGGCCGAGTCAAGAAAATAAGCAAAAAAAACAGCCACCGGATCGCTGCCGCTTCACCAACTGTCCGCGGATAGGGAGTGTCCTGAGCTGAGTCGTACAAACGACGACATCAAATATGGATGGCAACCAGAAGGCAGATTCTGCCAGACCACCGACCATGTCGAAGCACGGTTGATCTATACCAGCCGGCACCGCCTTGTACAGCCGGCTTTTGTACGATTGTGCTTCGTCAAAAAACGCACGACATCTGCGCGTTTCTCTCGACGCTACAATGTATCGACTTAGTCACGATCATTTGGAAGTGCTTTAACTCTGAAAGATCGCAGGATGACCATCAGATTGCGCGGTGTCTGGCTAGGTTGTCTCTAATTCTGTTGCGCGATCACTCGCCCTTTCGACGTGTTCAAGTCGACACGGCGACCAAGTGCCTTTCACTGGCGGTAAGTCTTTACGTTGTACGCTAATTCTGTTGTCGATCGGCTTACCGAAACCCTTGCTGACGTTGTGTCTAGGGTGCCTGCTATCCTTAACATTGGACGACTCCATCGGCTCCAAGCCTTACCCACCGACGAAGAAACGCATCTGCTCGAATACCTGCTACATGCTTCCACCGTTGTCTTCGAACCTGTACCTGTCCATGGATTCTCTACGACGTACAAGTCCGACTTGAACACGATAAATCCCTAAACATATACCGTACCTCACTGGAATCCGTGGGTCCTCGACGTCTTACTGAAATGCACTTTGACGCTCGTTTATGACTTTCCAGTAGCAACACTTTGCAGAAAAGGACTTGTTGCACTAGATAGGAATGTCACTGGCATAACAGGGCCTACGGGCCCGAGGCGCCCTCGAACGCTCGGGTTGGGCGGGTGGCTGACTTGCTCTTTTTTGTCTAGACTATTGCGCTGAAACGTGTCGTAATGACCTCGTAATGACAAGGGACTACTCCGTAGGGGTAGGTTGAGTCTGGACCGTCTATGAATGAGATACACAAGGGGTTGACAATATCGCGTCGACCAATTGGTGCGCACCTCAACTGTAGCCAATGCGGTCATACAATGGACGAAGGCAGCTAATAGCCTTTTGTTTGTATTGACTGTTAGGCCGAGAGCACGGAAATTGTAAAGCGTCGTCGTTTTTGGAGTAGACATCGTCTGTTTCCTAGCTTCCAACACAACTGCCGACGATGCTCCATACTCCGTATGGAGTATGGAGCACTCCTTAAAACTTGAATCTGGTTTCAGTGTCAGTTCTATTATCCAGTAATCACTAAGAAGCAACCTGCCGGTCCACTCAAGCGACAGGGCGTATTATTCACTGCTTCCCACCGAAAGACAGAAACAGCAGGGCGCAAGTAAGGATTTACTAAATGCGAACTATCGTCTAATACAGAGCAGTGCCCAAACATTACCGACAAAACCCGTACATCTCTAGTTGAATTCAATTACAGACAGCAACAAACCCAACATGACTTCGGAAAGCAGACAGCCACTGGTGGCCTCAGCATTAGCCACTATGGCGTAGCGGAATAGCAATTGCGGAAAACAAACCCTGCGCCCCACCCTTTCCTTTGAACCTCTTCATTGGCAGCTTAAATGCACATCCGCCCGATCAGGCTTACTATGATTCTAAGCCCAAATGCGAACCTTTTCCCCGTCGAGTTTTGTGCTTACGTTGTTCATTCGACAATGTCTGCATTGGTATCTGTCAACATGGCTGGACACACCAGACTACGCGGTCTCTGTCTGTGTTAAATTCGAAGCAGCAGATGGCGCAGAGTCCGGGGCTGCCTTTGGAGCAGCTGGCGGATGCCTCAACGACAAGGCACGACATCACCGACAGACCGTTGCTTCCAACCGCCTTACCCATACACAAAATCATCCGTCAGTCCTCATCGCCCCGTTTGCATTCATCTACGCACGAAATATCTGCACCAGGTCGAGATCAAGCTACGACCACCCAAGGAACGCCTGTTGTGAAAGAATATAGCATTGCTGTCTCAAAGAACAGTGCAATGGGAATATCTGCTGCGGGGTCTTCATTTGTCCACGTGGGTGATAACAACATCTACGTGGTAGTTGAACATGACAGAGCTTCTGGCAAGTTGATGCGTGAAGCGCCGGTCGTTGTTCCGTTTGGCTGCAGCTCCAAAGAGTTTGTCGGGCGAGAAAATATCCTTGCAAAGCTTGTCGTGATGATTACCCCTCCAGAGAGAAACGGATACTCCCAGCGGACCGCCATCGTTGGCTTGGGAGGGATCGGGAAAACGCGGATCGCACTAGAAGCTGCCAATCGCGTTCATGCAAAGGTTTCAGACTGTGCTATCTTCTGGGTGCCGGCCATGGATATCAATAGCTTTGAGGACGCTTGCCACAGTATTTGCCGAAAGCTGGAGGTTCACCGACTTGAACATGACGGTGTTGACGTGAAGGAGCTGTTCAGGGCGGCCTTGGAAAGTCGAAGTGCCGGCAAGTGGCTTCTTGTCGTTGATGGTGCCGACGATATGGATTTGATGTTCGGAAAACAAGGCTCCTCCAACACAAACACGCACTTAAACAGCTACCTTCCTTCTAATAGCGGCTCTATTTTATTTACGTCACGAAACCATGGATTAGCGACAAGACTGGCTCGAAAGGTCATCCAAATCAATGCAATGGATGCACATGAGTCCCTCGAACTATTTACACAGTCCGTGAACAAAAACCTGGCTTCCGACCGAAAAGCAAATGAGCTGCTCGGCCTCCTCGAAAGATTGCCTCTCGCCATACAGCAAGCATCAGCGTATATGAATGAGCACCATATTACACTGAGAAATATCTGCACATGTTTAAGTCGAGTGACAAGAGCAGGATCCAGCTTCTGAGCAGCCACTTTGAAGACGATACCCGGTATGCCAAAACAAAATGGTCAGCCAACCCCGTTGCCACCACATACGGGAAGTCGTTTTTGGAAATTGAACGCCGCGACAATCTAGCTGCCGAGAATCTTCGATTTATGTCTTTTTTTCAACAAGGTTGCCCCCAGTGGCTGCTACCGCGCGACACCGAAGTACACATGGCCGAAGCAATAGGCATCTTGAAGGGCTACGGGTTCATAACTATAGACGAGCAACGCGGACTTTTTAACGTGCACAACCTTGTGCGAATCGCCGTTCATCAGTGGCAGGCCGACCAGACAGCTACGAAAACGAATTGGGCCTTGAGAGCCATAGAACAGCTCAACAAGGCTTTCCAAAATAAGGCCTACACGAGTAGAGCTGATCGGGATATGTATCCGCCGCATGCCTTGGTGATACTAGAATCTCTACCAGAGTTGGATGATCACCCCGCCATGGCGAACCTTCGGTATAATGTTGGGAAATGCTACTTTTGCCAAGGCGACTACAAGAAAGCGGAGCTCATGTATAGAGAGCTGTTAGTGCACAAACGTGGAACAAACAATCTTGACAAAAACAATGCTAGAATGGGCATCGCACATTCCCTATCTGGTCAGGGAGAGCACGCCGAGGCCGAGAAATGTTACAGGGATATACTCAAAGGCATAGAAAAGGAGCTACAACCGGATAACCCGAAAGTTATATCCTTACAAATCAACATTGCATCCGAGCTTACAAAGCGGAAAGAACTCGACCAAGCTGAAAAATTGTACCGGAAAATAATACAGGCAACCGAGATGCGTGCGTTCGATGCTAAGGATTCTACCAAGGTCTGCTTACAATTATGCCTGGCAAACTTGATGTACAGCCAGAACAGGCTCTCAGAAGCAGAGGAGGCGTATGATGAGTTCTGTCCCTTATTCGAGGAGACGGCAGGTCCTGAACATCCCCACGCGCTTAAATTCCGGTACAATCAGGCTAAGTCAAAGCAGAAAATGGGAAAGATTGAAGAGGCTGAACGTTTGTGCAAAAACACACTCGATCTACAAAACCTTATAATGGGCCCTACGCATCCCTCCACAGTCAAAACTCGAGTGCTCCATCGCAAAATTATTAGCGGTGGGATGCGGAGGCCGAGTAAGGGTACAGTGTAGTTTAGTGCAGGCTAAAAGCTACAAAATGCACCGCAAAATAAAATTCAGCGGCACTTGGAAAGCGTGCAGTGAAGATTGAAGCGGGGGTGGTGTATGTCGCTCCGTTTTTGTCTGTGCCTTTCTTTTTGCAGTTTGGGAAGTTATCGATCTGTTCGAAGTGTTTGCGCCTAAGTAGCAGAATTGATATGCAATATGATCTACTGGTCTGAAACGTGTTTAGCACAGCATAGTAATCACTTTGTATATTCCAAACTAGATAGTGTACTACAAAACATTGGCACGAGCACTTGGTTGATTGCGAGGCTTGTCGAAATTTTATCCTGACATGAGCCCGGTAATTATTGAAACAGAAAGCCAGACAATTGTGAGAATTTCAAGGGAAGGGGGGCAGAAACTGTGGCCAGTTAGCTCCTAGACTCGCTTGTATTGCTTTGTGTGAATACGTACTCCTCTGAACTTAGATCGATAAATCCACTCCAAAAAAGCCACTGTGCAGCGTAAAGCAGAAGCATGCCGATTGCCGTAGGTGCATACAAACTCAAGAATACACTATAGGAGCCTAGGTGGTTTCGCTTTTGGGCAGGCATAGTTCCATACGGAGGTCCACCCTGTAAGTTAGTGGTTTTTCCGCGGGAACTGTGCACAGTGAAAAACTTCACTTGGCTGCCAGACGACCCTGCGCAGACCCCATTCGGTGCCTGTACAGGGGGCATTTTCTTTCGCCTTCCAGTGTCGTACGTTGTGGTGGGGGCCGCATTCTTGAAGGTTGGCGTTTCTTCTTCAGTGAGCATACCTTCAGCTGCCAAGTTCAACCATGCGAAGCTTTCGCCCAATTGGACCGTCAGTTCCTCCACGATGTTAGACGGTTCTTGAGACCTTTCCTCCAATAGTGGTTTCAAAACCTTGCCGAATTTGATCATCCTGTTGATTTCAAGTGCCGCACTCATCAACTGGGCAAAAAGCACAAAACTGGCAATGAGCCACAACATTGCTCCAGCATACATGGATTGTACCGCACCCTCCATTCCAGTGCCTTTCAATCGTCCGTTGTAGAATTCATGTTCTAAGCCGTAGTTGATTGTCATGAGCATATAATATGCTGAAAAAACTTGGGTGATCGTTTCTCCTAGCAAAGCAGACATGACTGCAGAGACGCTTATCTCTTTGAAGGGTTGTATTCCGATCTGCAGAAGAGGTAGCCAACCAGGCCTAGGCATTGAGCACCAGAGGAGTATCAGATCACTTTTCGGGACGTGTTCGTAACCAGGCGTACTCAGCACCACATATGCATTGAGCCAATTCGCAAAAAGCTGAAGAGCAGCGATGAATATGCCCTTAAAGATCCAGCACGACGAGATTGGGCGCGAGATAAATCCACGTGCGGATTTATAGAATCCAGTTTTCCAGCCGACCAATGCGGAAACGGGAGCGGCCATGTTGACAAGAATGAGGCTTCTGAGCTTCCAAGTTTTCGAAGTGCATTGCCCCATCGGTTGACCCACCGGTTTGATCGTCCATTGCCATGGAATCATGTCCTGGCGCATTGGCGCAGCTAATTCGGGCCAATTGTCTGGGAGTCCGTTCCAGTCTCCGAAGTTACCACAAAGACCGTGTAGCCAGTTCACATAATCTATTCGAGTCTCGTAGTAATGGCATGAGCCTTTGCATGAATCGTAGGAGAGGCCACGACAGAAGCAGCTGCTGTCGATTGTGCTCTTGACGTCACAGAATCCATCTGAGTCTAGCTCACAGGCGTCGATAGCACATTCATGAATACGCTCTGTCACCTGCGTTGACATATCGGCGAGACAATTAGGCCAGCGCCACTGGGGCGTGGGAATGTATACTGTTCCCGTTATTCTGAGCAGGTTCGACCATTTATCGGGGACTGATGATGGTCCGCAGACGGCTTTCATCCACGTTCGTTCCACCGTAAAGTCTATGTGTCGTGGGTCTGAACAGGGCTCCTCTTCTAGATTCATTTTGAAGAAATTACAGAAGCATTCATTGTCGAAGCTGTATCCATAGATGATCGCATAATCGTCAGGGACATACGCCATAAGATCAAAGCCGGCAGTTTCGAAGCCTAGAGCAGTCATGGAATTCCGAGCTTCGTTATATTCCCACATACGAGCATCATTCCCAATAACTTCAGTCACCCTCGTGAAGACGCATGAATCTATGACATGCTGGAATGGTTCCGTGGAAGGCGTATTCGAATGAGAGCTCGTCAGACATATTGGCGCTCTGTGGATCGTGTTCAACGAGGTATAACCTCCAGCCAGGGCATCCGGGGATAGGCTGTCCAGCCCACTCGCATCGCCAACATCAACCAGCCAGGTTCGACCAGTAATGCGACGAGTCCAGAAATATAGCTGCGCTTTGGCGATTACCGATCTGCCACAGTATGGCAGATACTCTCTGATCAGATTGGTAGAGAACTCGGCGCTAAGACAACTAAGTTCGGTCAACCATTGGGAGTGAGTGCAAATGAACCAAAAATGCGAGGTACATCGCTTTTGGGTGCATTTGGTCATGGCATTAAACTAGTTGGTTTGATCCTGCTGGGCGATGCACTGTGGCATTGGATTCAGGTCTTCAGGATTGACCCAACCATTCCGATTTTCTTGCGGGATGATGGTAATGTCCCCATCAGCTTGCACGCTACGGTCGTGGAGGACGGTCGCTACAGTCCGGTCAACGTCAAAGCTAGCAGAATCGTGGGCGCACGAACAAGTACCTGCTGAAGCAGCTGGGCTAAGCCCAGCCGACAGTAATAGAACGATTCCACTGGCTACTTTCATTGCGTTATTGACGCCAGAGCTGTGGAGGTTGTGGTGCCGATTAGTTGGGAAGTGAATCGAATTGGTGATGAACGGCAGTCTAGGAAACTGACGTAGTCTCGGGATTTCGTTTTCGACAATCATTTTCGTGGGCTGTCAATCACCAGTCGGCGAACGGAATTTCCTACGTTCCTTGTATTGTGTTGATTGGAACAACATGAAAGGCACCACGTGACGTTCGACATGTCGACGAATGGGCGACTGCAAATGGCTGAAGTATGGAGGGGTTCACTATTATGTGCAAACGATTAGGACTGCATAATTTAGGTCTGGGGAGATTGCTAGTGTCCTCTAAGAAGTCTACTGTTGCAAACTGATTTCTCCACGAAAGTTGTAAAAAATAAGTATAAATAGAGTACTCCGTAGGACTGCGAATTACAAACGAATATGAGTAGAAGGTCTTTGGGCTGTGAGGCAGTCTAAGAACACGGAGTGGGACGCATACCTGCTGGATCGTAGCAGCATATACGGCTTATTCCATACGTCGTAAGCAATCCTATTCGTACTGCTATTTTTTCCTATCTATACGGAGTACTCCGGACTGTATTCTTCAAAAAAGGGTACATAGCTCTTTCACTGCCCTGCCCTGGGTTAAGCATCTTGGTATATTACAGACCAGATATACATCCCTACCACCGACAGCAGTAAGACGTACAATAGCGTTTTTTACACGTATATTGGTAATAGCACTTTCTCTTCATTTTATTACCTATAATATTCGCAAACGTTATGTTGGTAGTTAAAAAGCTGCAGACGTTTCTTCACGTTAATAAAGCTAACAATTGCTCTTAGTCTCTGCTTAGAATGCAAGCTTAAGGAGCAAGGTATTGCAGAAAGGTGCCTGGCAAAATCATAGCGGACTTCTTGAAAAAGTTTAGCGTAAACTCTGACTAATGCGTGCTCATGACTAATATGACGTAGACACTAGATTTACTCCGTACGGAGTACTCCGTATAAGTAGGAACAACAACAGTACGAATAAAAATTCCCTAGTTTATTTGTCCTCTGCGTGTTTGCACTTTGCCTTGCTGCCCGAACGGCATAAATAGGAGGACAGCTCATTAATTTGTAGGAAACGAAACTTTAGTACACTGTATCTCTCTATTTACCAACACATATTTTCTATGTCTTGTGTAGATCGAACTTATACAACCACATTCGCACACTTCTTCCTGGCTTCGAAATACATTTTGTTTCACTGGGTTTCAACCGCGGATTGACGGCCCGTCGATTCTACCTACGGGTAAGCACCTCTCCCAGGCTTGTTTTGAAAAAAGGTTTCGGGAAGCTTAAACTGAGAAACGAGCTTCTTGAGATGGTTGACCGTGTCTTGCACAATGTCGTAGCTGAAATTGTAATCGAAGAAGTCTTCTGGGCATGCTGTTTTTGTTAACAGGCGCTTAATGTGTGTCATGGGTAGATGCTTACTTGGGACCTTGTCTGCTGGCATGAAGGCAGATGCATCCTTGCGGATGAGCTCTGGCTCATCCTGGCCGGCATTACTGAAAATCTGGATGAGACTAGCTCTGTTCCGTCTGATCTTCTCGTACAGCTTCAGTCTCTCGGCCGTGTTCTCCTTGGTGGCACCAACGAGGACCATTCCGAGAACGACTCCGTCCTCGATGCCTTGGGCACCACCTTGTCCCTGATCTGCAAGGTGTTAGTTTGAGAAAGTACTCGGAGACATGTTGCACATACGAGGAAGCATAGGATGGGCAGCATCGCCAGCCAGTGCCAAGGTTCCATTTGTCCAGGTCGGAATGGGCGGTCGAAACAATAATGCCCACTGCTTCACTTCTGTTGCTTTGCTGCGGGTCGTTAGAAGCAGTTGACAGCCTGGCAGCAGAAAACCCCCGCTTTTATCTTACCTGATAACAGCAAAGAGATCTGGATGAACGTCGGAGTACTTCTCGAGAAGTTTTCCCTTGTCGACGGAAGCCTGCCAGTCTGCGTTATTGTCAGTACTGCAGCTGCAGACTAAGATTATCTAGCTTGCTTACCTTCTTTCTTCATCAGGTCGAGATTATTCTGATGAAATATGGCGACGAAGTTGTGCACCTCATTGCTAGCTACGTCAGGTCGTGGTCGCCTTGTCGGAAGGTAGGAACAAAACTTACTTCCGACAGGGATATGAGACAATCCTCTTCAGATCGCCAGTGAAGAATTTCATGCGACCATCATCGTCCTGGTTGTAGAACTGGGTCGCAGGATCGGCCTCGAGATCGGCAGCGGGGATGAGGAAGCGGTAGCAGAAGTTGTAGAGGTCCTTGGACGGCTCAGGCGGGTTTGCTCGTCCCAAGACCGCTTCGACGGCGCTGGTGTGAATTCCATCAGCAGCAACAACGACGTCGGCATCGATGGTCTTTCCATCCGCGAGCATCACTGAGGGTGCATCTGCGTTCTAGTTCCACCGCATTAGCTGCGAAACATGTGTGCTTGTAGAGTTGTGGAAGCATACATATTTCACCACCTCGGACTTGAGAAAGACGCAGGCAGGAGTGCCCTGGCCATCGGGCGAGGTGGCGAGCCGCTTGAGCTCTTCATGCAGATCGACACGATGGGCCAGGAACCAGGGAGCACCACACTGTAGCGGGATCTGGGCCTCGGTCGTTCCCACGTGGAATCTCTGCAGTGTCTTTGCGAAGGCGCGGAAGCTGGACTTTGTGGTGACGAACTTGGCACCGACAGGATCCAGTCCCCATGCTAAGAGGGCGCGGGAAGCGTTGGGCGGAACGTGGATGGCGGCACCGACTTCGTTATTGAGCGACGATCGCTCGTAGACCCGGACGACGTGGCCGGCACGACGCAGAGAGATGGCAGCCGAGAAGCCAGCAATGCCGCCGCCGATAATTGCAACATTCAGAGCCATAATTAGAGCAGCAAATAAATCAAGGCAGAGACTTGTCAGCTTATCATTGCACAATAGAGAGCTGTCAATCTGTCACTGCGGAGGAGCACGTCTGCAGCTACGTCGTATGTCTGGGGGGAGGGTTACGCAGACGGGATATGCAGATGGTATCCATGCAGGCAGAGCCCCAAATGGCCTAGCCCATCCTTCGAGGCGGTCCAGGGTGTTCCCGCTCAGTGTTGCAGTGCATAGGGGGGTGTACAGGGATTGTGTTCTTAAGGTGCCCATACGGGGTAGCGTCAGGGAGATTCCGAAAGTACTTCGTAAGATACTAGGATTTACGTCGTATGCAACGACACTAGAACGTGCCAATGACTAGCCGCAACCGCCTGTACGATACACGGCCATACGCAAGCACTCCGTAGCTGTACTTTGGTATGAAGCTGTCGTGCCGCCCCCTCTGAGCCGTTGCAGGCTAGCAATGTGACAATGTTGCAGATTCGGCCGGCGATACTTGCAGGGATTGCAGTGGTCCCTAATATCATGCCAGTGCAAGCAGTCTGGTTTTGATATCTTGCCGCTGTCTATTTTCTCCCTTTTCGTGGCGTCCGTATTCCTCGCCGTGTCCGTTTTACTTGCTTTCTGCTTTCCTGTGGTTGTGCCTGTGCCTTCTGCATCCATCAGTGTCTCTTTTCTGTTTTCCCTCTATTTTTTTCTGTCTTTCTCCCCCAAAACCGCCATCATGAAAGTCAAAGACACTCAGCCTGAATCGGTCGTGCCTGAGAAGGTGAAGGATGAGACTTCGGTGGCCAGCTCCCTCCCCCCGGCCGAGGACGAGCCGATCCCCCATTTGCACGCAAAAACGTTTTTGACCGTCTTTGCCGTTTGCACTGTCTATTTTGCCCAGCTTGTGAACGTGGTCGGAGCCGGAGCAGTAAGGCCCAGTACCAGAGCTGATCGACACGAAAGTAGCCAACTGCCAGCATTCACTAACCCCCCCAGCAAGCACAGAAGATCGTCGAGGTCGTCGGTGGCAACACCAACAGCGTCTGGCTGACATCGACAATTGCCATCCTGACGGCGGTGCTGTCGCCCATCGTCTCGCAGGCGGCAGACTACTGGGGCCGCCGCTGGTTCCTGATCGTGCTGACGCTCTGTGGTGTCGTTGGCTCCATCGTGGTCGCCCGGGCCGACAGCATCGGCATGGCCATTGCCGGTTTCACCGTCTCCGGCCTTTCTTATGGCGCCCAACCGCTGCTGCATGCCGTCGCGTCCGAGGTACTACAGCGTCGCCACCGGCCATGGGCCCAGGGCTTGACCAACCTGTCAGCAGCCCTCGGCGGTGTCGTTGCTCTGCTTGTCGGCGGCGCCATGACGCGCAACAGCAATGCCGCCGGCTTCCGGAACTTCTGGTACATGGCTACGGCTATCTTTTTTGTCGCCACCGTTCTTGTTGCCCTGCTCTACAACCCGCCCAGGACGGCCAACCAGACCGATCTTACGCTCGGCCAAAAGCTCGGCCGCCTCGACTGGGTCGGCTACAGCCTTCTCTGCAGCGGCCTCGTACTCTTCTGCATGGGCCTCTCCTGGTCACAGAACCCGTATCCGTGGTCCAATCCCCACACGTCTGCCACCTTTGCCGTCGGACTCGCCCTTTTCCTCGTCCTCGTCGCCTATGAGACCTGGTTCAAGACCGACGGCATGCTGCACCACGGCCTTTTTGGCCATCGCAACTTCGCCATCGCTCTACTTTGCGTCTTCGTCGAAGGCCTCGTCTTTTTCGCTGCTAACAATTATTTCGCCTACGAGGCCGGCGTCATCTACGAGACTGATACCCTACATGTCGGCCTCCGCTACACCGTCAACATGCTCGTCTACGGTGCCAGCGCCATTTTTGCCGGATTCTACTGCTCCTCCACCAAAAATGTCCGCTGGCCGGCTGCCTGTGCCTTCACCTCCATGGTCATTTTCTTCATCCTCATGGCTACCGCTACCCCCTCGGCTGCCAGCTCTCGCAACGTCTGGGGATACCCCGTCTTTCTCGGTATCGGCCTGGGCATCGCTCTCTGTGCCCTCGTCACCATTGCACAGCTGTCGACGCCGCGTGAACTCATCGCCATCACCAGTGGCCTCATGATTGGCACTCGCTCTCTGGGCGGCTCTGTTGGCCTTGCTATCTGTAAGCACGGCTTTCTTGTTTGGGCTTTTGACAGAACTAATACTGTTGCCAGATAACGCTATCCTTTCAGGGCACCTGAACTCTCGTCTGGGCCCGAATATCGCTGCAGCTGTGCTGCCTCTTGGCCTGCCCGAGTCATCGCTCGCCGCGTTCATTACCAATCTCTCTAACCAGAACACTGCTGGCCTGCTCACCGTTCCCGGTGTGTCAACTGAAATCATCCTGGCGGCCGTTAGTGCCCTAAAGGAAACCTACAGCGTCGCATTTCGTTGGGTCTGGACGGCTGCCGGTGCCTTTACTGTTATTGCCGCTATTGGTAAGGAACCCTGTGTTTCGATGATAAAACAAGACTAATCGTCACAGGCGCCACCTTTTTGATTGATCCCAAAAAGGAGTTCAATAATCACATCGACGCCCCGGCCGAAAACGCAGAGGAGCTCTACAACTGAGCCGAGGACCAGTCAAGATTGCCATAGCAGATCTGCGCTCGTACGGAATAGATTTGTGTTAGGTTCCCTTCCAACTCCCTACATTTTATGCAGTAATAATATACTTCAGATTTGTACTCTGCAGCACCCGTAATATTTTGGTTGTCACATTTACCCGTACATAGTATGTCATCTCGTACGAGTTCTCACTACAAGGTGGAGTTGCTGCGAGCCAAGAGTACAACCAAAATTAAATCAGCTTACAGAATGAGTTAGTTTCAGATTACGGCCCAGACCCTCGCTGGGGTTCAACGTAGCAACGGAGCTCATATTATGCTTACTCCAAGTGCGGGCACCTCAATGGTCAGCGCTGCAGCGAATTATTCCTCACCTTTGCAGGGGTTCTCTGCTGTATATAACTCCGGTTGTTTTGCCCCAAGGACACCGAGTTCCGACGACCCCTGTGCAATAATCTTACTATGTACGGTACTTTCTGAGAATGGCGACTTTCCCGCTTCTCCTAGGTTAGTCTTGCGTGGCTGATGCGCGGAAAACATGTACGGTAACTTCGTAGAGGCTAGACAGCGGGGCTACAGAAAGCAGGGGTTAGTGTCTTATATAGAATCAACTGATTGGAAACGGGCAGACACTTTTGGACGGAATGCGCACATGTACCTGTACATGTGCTCGGTAGAGACGGAGGCACGGAGTACTGCGACAGCTTGTGTCAAAAAGCAGGGACAGCTGTGACAAAACATGGCGCAGGTGATGAAGATGGAAAATCACGGACGAGGGGGCAGATCTCGGCTCTCGACTTTTCCATGGTTATTAAAGACTGGATGCATGGCGTGGTCTGTCTTGTCCAGAATCAAAATCTGTTTCCTCCCGAATAGCAGTTGGGCGTCGCGAGCGACCGCCCTAAATACTGTGTGCCATCATGTTCGGGCCCCCCAAAGTTCAGCCTGTGCTGGTCCTGAGCAACTTTTTCGTCGCGCTCAGCTTCGTTACTGTTTCCACACGAGTGTACACGAGGCATATTGTCGTCCATGCTGCAGGCATCGAAGATTATCTGATATGCATATCTCTGGTATGTTGCATCTCGTTCCTAGCGAGCACCTAAGGGTCCGGCTATGCTTGCAGATGTTTGATCCTACTTGGGAAGATCTTGACGCCTATCGTCACGCTTGTAAATTTGACAAATCACTGACCATACCTTAACGCAACAGCTCGCAGCCATTGGCTTTTTGATCGTGGAGATGTTTCGTAAGCTACCCTGCATTGTCCGATCGATTGCCTGCAGGAACAGTTCGTCTGGCTGACAGTGGCACTGGAACCAGAGATCAAGTATGGACTGGGGCAACACCTCGTCGACATCCCACCAGAAAACCGAGTCAAGTTCTTTAGGGTATGCGCTGCATCGGCAAATTAAAAAACGGCCGACTTCAGAATTACATATTACGAAACTGACAAAAATACCTCACAGTGTCTTTGGGCCACAATTCCGGTGTACAACTTCTCCCTGACGTTTTGCAAGCTGTCTATTATCTTCCAGTACAAACATGTGTTTGTTGAACCTACAGTCCAAAAAATTTGCCGATACTTTCTTTCTTTCCTGGTTGTCTACGGACTCTGGACTGTTCTGGGCTCCGTTTTCATGTGCGTGCCCGTCTCCTTCTTCTGGGGAGTGGGCCATGGCTCGTGTATGAACAGATTGGCGTTCTGGTTCTCCAATGCAGCCCTCAACATCACCACTGATATTGCTATTATCTCCATTCCAATGCCACTTATTAGGAAGCTCCAAATTCCCGCTCGCCAAAAACTCGTCCTCATGGTCGTCTTCGCATTCGGTGCCTTGTACGTGCACCCAAATCTTCGCTACCAACAAAAATGATTCCTGCTAACACCAAGCTTACCAGTGTCTGCATTACGTCCATTATTCGATTACGTTCCCTCCTCGCCATTTCGACTTCGACCGACACTCCCCGTACGTTCTACCCCTTCCCCGCGGGTTTTTTCTTTGAGCGTCGACCGATACTGATTTAATTGTGCAGATGATGGAGTCGCTATTGCTCTTTGGAGTGTAAGTAGTGTCTTGTAATATCGTTTTGGTTTTCAGTACTTGCTAACCCGCTTTGCAGAACATAGAAATCAACATGGCCATTATTTGCAGTTCAATGCCCGCCCTGAAGCCTTTAGTATCTTCCATTTTCCCGAAGCTGCTGGGAATGTCCTCCGCAAACAACCGTTCAAACGGGTATAGCGAACGTTTCGACAGTCACCCCATGCGATCTTTCGCTCAAAGTAAGAACGCTGGCATATCCTCCGCAAGCCGAAGTCGGGATATATACGTCGAACAAACATTTGAAGTTAGAGATGAAGGCGAAATGGGTGATGTGGGTGATGGGGTCGATGGCAAGACTAGCCGAGAGGGAAGTGAGCGAAATTTGGTTACTTCAACTGCGGTCCAGTCGAAAGGACTACCCTTCAACTGATGTTATCCAGCTTAGACAGTTATCCTCGTGATATACTGCATTGAAAGTGGAAGATAGTAGCCTTAGGGCCTAGAACTGTCCTTTTCAGTGACACTACACGCTTTGATGACCCAGTTTAGAAAGTAGTCTGGGGCTACATGAACAAGCTCAAATATAGTGCGAGCCATATTGCAAGGGAACGACCATGCCGTACACGCCCATTTAGATATTTCTTGTTTTTATCTCACCGGTGAGATATCTACAATGTGAAAACGATGGACCTTTGTCAAGCATGGGAATCCGCCACACTGTAGACCTTCCGCCCCACTTAGCCATACTGGCCTGTGATTGGCCAGAAGGCACAGAAGCGGGGCCTGGCACTAGTATCAATACGGACCTCCAGAAGGGTCGCGATGTATCTATTTCTTCCTCAGTACAACACACATATTTGCTCACACTACATCCCATTCAGCTTCCTGCTCATCCTAGTGCATATCGCCTTCTTAAACCCTGCGCATAAGCTCTGAGCCTGCACAACCTTACATCAAATTAGAAGAAAAAGGCAGTAACGGCCGACATACACACAACAACCAGTTTGACTTGATAATTGAGGTAACATTACGACAGCCATTATATACTTTAAACACCACCTATGATGCTGTAACCATTATGTAGCCGCTGTGCCATCTCATCCGCTATGGAAGCGGTTTCCAATTCTTCATTTTCTGATGACGTGGTTGTATACGTACGAGATAGACGATAAAAGGGAAGCCGGAGTAGAACGGCAACCCGAATGAATTGCCCGCGGATCCAGTCATGTTGCCCAGGCCGTAAACGCCGCATGATGAGAAAGCCATTAGGACTGGCTAGCATGTTTAAAAGTCGACTCAATGGTCCGAGGATGTGCCATGCTCCTTGTGCAATTACGTGGTGTATGTGATCATTCTGAGACACGATGGCCTCGTCCACATATCCATCCCAGTTGAGCAACCGGACATCACTCCAAGATAGCGAGTGCTGACTGGGAAAGTCAATGGCGGGATCAGAAAAGTCCCGGAGACTTGATGGCCTGGTTCGGTTGCCAAGGTAGAAAGGTACCGTATAGCATATGTCGTCGAAAATGACTTGCAAATCCTCTTGCAGTGTGGTTCGAATAGAGTTTAACCAGAATAGGGTGCCTTCTAAATCAACAGGATCTTCTCGGAGGCGGATTTCTTGTAGATTCAAAAGCACAAGGCATATCTGGGTACAGTTTAGGCGATAGTACCTCCATAGATTCCAGATCGACGCAACTTGACAACACGTGTATATATCGCATGTGTCTTCATAGCTGATACATGATGAGGGAAAGTCCCTCCCTCTCGTCAATCGAAGTGGAAGCCAGTGATTCGGCAGGCTTTGCATCCAATATGAAAGACGTTCGTGGATGTGCATCGCTTGCCGAATCCAATTTAACGGACCTGGCGGGTCAGCCGAAGATGACTGGTGATATTTTCTCAAAAATGACGAACAGTTGGCCTGCAAACGAATAATATCCAGCCCAATTTCGTCCAGCATGGAGCTCGGGTTAGGAGGCACCGCCGTTAAGTTGCTGAGTCGAATGTGTGATAATGCTTGATCAGAGAGAAGCTGGCCTTTGCGCAGAGCCAACGAGACCTCGACATGCAATAGGAACCGGGCTAAATAGGATTTGACAGTTGTGCCTAGTGAATTGGGATCATCAGATGGACCATGAGGCGAAAGCAACGAGATCGCTCCATGCAAATGGTGTCGCAATACCCTCTGCGCAGTATACACGCTGGCGACATTTTCGCGCCAGTGCAGTAGGAGAGTAGCAAGCATAGTCTGTGGCTTTGTGCGTTCCACGGGGTCTTCGATGGCTGTGCGAAGACGAACGAGGCATTGGCTGAGTTCTTTATGGGGAGCAAGGAAGGCAGCCGGCCCATCCGTCCACAGCGTCAAGTGATTGCAAGATATAACAGAGACGGCAGTGGCCAGTGGTGAATCTGCCGGCTCCGTGTTCAGTACCGGGATAATAGCTTCAAAAAATCCGCGAGTGGACTCGAGCCCTCGGCCAACGGTCACACATTCGCGTAAGAAAAACTTGATCGCCACGTCTTTGAATGCCGTCCTCAGGAGCGAGGAGTGCGTATTATCGGTAGGCGTAAGCACGAGCCGCGATCTCCGATCTATCATCGATATTCCAATCCCCCGTTCGTAATCTTGTTCAGGGTCGGTTTCCCGGGGTTGTGAGTGTGTGCTGATCAGTCTATGGCTCTGTTCTTTAAATCGAAGTTTTTTTCGGATTTTTTCATATCCCTCGCACTGTATTCCCATCTTCATGCAGCGTTGACATTGAGGTTTTGTCTCGTCGCACTTGACACGACGTTCTCGGCAATTGCTGCATCGTCCGGAGGGTCCATGATTGACCATGTTTTTAACTTGAAGCTGCGGTTTTAATGCCAACGCCTAGAAATATGCAATAAAATAAAGGCAGTTTTGGCTGCTGCCTTCGCCAATGACGTAAGTATAAGGCAAGATCGGGTTTCGCAAAAACATTGCCCATTTGAGCGTAGTCCAGTGTCTGATATGGCTGATTGTGGAGCACCTCTCCTAAAATAGGCGTTGAAATACTGCTGCCTTGAAGATTGTTTTGGCTTGCGGTGTAAATACTTTCGAGTTTCGGGGTCAATCTTTTTCACACCGTCATTACGTGTAACAGTGGCGGAGATGATCCTCGCAAAAAAAATACCTAAGTTAGAGGGCAACTGAACTTGAACAAGATAAGCTCCAAGGTAATGTTTGGGACAAACAAAGATATATAAGTAGCAACGAGTTTGGCAGAACGGACAGAAAGCATTTTGCACCAGATGTCAAATACAATAATTTAATTCCTATTTCGACAGCATTCTACTAGAATAACAGCAGTATTCCGATTGCTAGCAACCATGAAGATCGATATGTCCGCTTCTTTCCTCAATTCATCGGCGCCATTGCTTCTAATTGCACAGTTTGCGACCGCTTTTGATATTCCAACTCTACCACTGAGCACCGATGCCTCTTTCAACTTCGAATTACTCATTCCTCTGAGTTCCGCCACAACCGGCGGTGGTGACATTGCTGAAGTTCTTTCGGCTGCCAAGAATATCAAGGCTGGCGATTTTGAGTCCTTCAGTCTGACTTTTTGGGAACTTGCCGACCGGACCAAAACCCGTGCTCTGGAAGAGGAGATTGCCTACGATCCCATCAATGTTCGAGACTCCTGGTTCTCTGCCGCCAAATACTTTCGCCGGGCCGATTTTTATCTCCATGGAGACTGGGACGATCCACGTATGAATATTCTGTGGGCGGAACAGACGACGGCGTTTGACAAAGCCATCCACTCGCTACCTGTACCTGGCGAACGGGTGAAAATCCCAGCAGATGGCTTCACCATCGAGGGAATTTGGTATGCTGCCTCCTCTGACACCGCCCAGGCGCAGACTATGGTCCTCACAAATGGGTACGATGCCTCGCAAGAAGACATTTACCACCAATACGTCGCTGCTGCACTAGCTCGCGGATGGAACTGCTTCACGTTTGAAGGTCCAGGGCAGGGCTCCGTTCGTCGGGATCAGAATATTGGGTTTATTCCGGACTGGGAACGTGCTGTGTCGCCCGTCGTGGACTATCTCTTGGTCGAAAAGGCGGCACTAGTTGATCCTAAGCGTCTCGTCCTGCTAGGAAACTCAATGGGTGGATATCTAGCTGCCCGTGCCGCCGCGTTTGAGCACCGGTTCGCGGCCATCGTGCTTGACGGGGGCATATGAGATTACCATGCCGGTCTTATGGCCCAACTTCCTCAAAAACTACAATTGCTCTTCAGCACAGGAAACTAGTCAGCCTTTGACGACAGCATTTTCACGTTGACGACACGGACAAATACCAACACGAAGATCCGATGGGGCGTCGACCAGGGTTTGTGGTCATTCTACACACATTCTCCCTATGAATGGCGGGATATGACACGCGCCTATGTGATGGCAGATATCGTGGGCAACATCCAAGCTCCCGTTTTCATTGCTGATGGCGAATACGAGGCGTTCTTTCCCGGCCAGTCTGAAGCACTTAAGAATGCTCTAGGCAAAAAAGCAACGCTGCATATCTTTAATGGAACGGCAGGCTACCATTGCCAGATCGGTGCTGGGAAGGAGGCGAACAGTGTCATCTTTGGTTGGCTGAACAAGACCCTGGGGAAGAGGTGAAGTACGGGAGTTTGTGACCGGACGTGCTTGCCTATTATGATTGCGAGTTCGGGTAACAGCCTCAGGTGCCACTTGACCCATGTTCACGGCTAAATCGTGGACAGTGACTTTTTAAATTGGGTAATATTTGCGTGTGCAAACGGGTGTCACGGATTAATCGCTATGTTGGAAAAACGAAAGCCAAACCAGCGTCGTCAAATTACCTAGTCTAGACTATCCTTCCTTAAAAAAAAAAAAAAAAAAAAAAAAAGAGAACCGGTATTCTTTCTACAACCTCTCCTGATCGGTGAATTGTCCTTCTCACGCCAGGACCTGTGGTCACAGCAACCTCTATTATTACGTTGCCCACGTATTCTCTATGTTCGATCCGCCGGCAAAGTCCCCAGGTTCTGCCGTCGATCGCACGAGTTCACGTACGGGTCAACATTTGCGTCCTCGTTAAAGTACATTGGAGCCACCTCACTTCAATGCTTCTGTGAAGTGGCCTTGGAAGTTAGATCGAATTGACCTCATTTAGCTGACAGTCTATTGTAGTCTTTCGTTCAGTTCAAGCCCTCAAATGCTAGAGATCCCTCATCTTATTGCCAGTCCCGATACCCGTTTTCATGACAGCATTTTCAAAAAAAAAACCCCCCCAAAAAACCAGTTCCCAACACTACGACCAGAGACAAGTTACGACGAAAAACCCTATATACGCTACTTTGATCAAAGCTGAAACTTATATTAGTACTCTGTACCAGTCATCGACATTTCTTTAACGACATATAATGAACGTCTTGGAACTGGTATTGAAACTCGCTTTATTGTGATAACTAATAAGAACTGCCAAGTTATACAGCATCCACCCAACGTTTTTCCGTCATGCAGCTGGCTTGCCGTACTTCTTCATCACCTCCTCCGGCGTGGCCGGCATCAAAGCGCCCTCAGGCGGCTTGTTTTTACTCTTGAAATGGTCGGCCATCTACATTAGTTAGCACATAAACTTTCACTCTTTCACAGGGGGTGGTACAACTAACCTCGGCCATTGTGACCCACCGGACGCCCTCGTGCTTGTTTATGTGCTCGATGATGCGCTCGTGCATCAACAGGACATGGGGCCGACCAGAGACGTCGGGGTGGATAGTCATGGGGAAGATAAACTCGTCGTACTCGCGGTAGAAGTAGTCAAAGTGGTCCCGCCAGATATCCTCAATGTCACGTGGGTTGACCCAGCCATGGGAGTTGGCAGAATTCTTAATGAACATCATGGGTGGCAGGTCGTCAATGTACCAGGAGCCGGGGATCTCAACGAGGCCGGTCTCCTTGCCCTTAACGAGCGGCTTCATCCACTTTTCGGCCTTCTTTGTGTAGTCGATCTTGGTCCAAGTGTCGCCGGTACGCAGCCAGTAAGCCTGGCAATCGTGGTGGGACATAGAATGGTCATACTCGATACCGTAGCTCAGCAGCAGCTCAGTGCCCTCGGCGCTGGTCTCCCACCAGGGGGCGACGCTGCCGCGCGGCGGCTTGCCGCAGAAATCGGTTAGCATGGTCCAGGTCTTGGCCAGGACGTCGCGCTGTTGCTCAAAGGTCATGTCGGCAGGATTCTCGTGGCTGTAGCCGTGGAGGCCGATCTCGTGGCCGCTGTCGCGCACCATGGCACACTCCTCGGGAAAGGTCTCAAGCGTGTGTCCGGGGATGAACCATGAGGCCTTGATGTTGTATTTGTCAAACAGCTTCAGCAGCCGGCGGGTGCCCTCGGTTCCGGCCCAGATGCCTGCAGAAGGGGTATGTCAGCGTGTGGAAATAGGTCTGGCCAGAGCCCGGCATCGACAAGAACACCTACCTCTGCTAATGTCGCTGGTGCTGTCCTCGCCACCGTACGATCCCAGCCAGCCGGCAACTGCGTCAATGTCGACGCCATAGCTGGTCTGTCAGCCAGGGCGCTTGTTTCTGTTATCGGTAGAAGCCACCTACCAGACGAGTACCTCCTTCTTGGCCATGATGTGCGATGCTAGTGGACAGTATCTGAAAAGTGTTGGATAGCTGTGCACTTTTTTGGTAGTTTTGTTCAGGATGTCTTGTTTGGATGTCTCAACGCAGTTATCGTTTCGTTTCGGCGCAATTATCCGTTGGAGCTCTGGCATCCGCCGTGGTATAGCGGATCCGCCGTGGTATAGCGGATCCGCCGTGGTATAGCGGGGTCTACCGATCGGATTGCCGCCAAGCTGTAATTGCACGAGTCATTTTGTTAAGTCACCAAGCGCCAGGCCTCGGACGTATCAGAAGCCGGCACAGTAGGCCTATCTTGTTATCTGTGGAAGACAACGACCAAGAGTGGGTGAGGGCTAGGCGTACTATAGTACCGCCCGAATCTACTAGTCTACAAGCCAGTCGCTGGTCTGACCCCCACTTCTCGGAAGTCTCGTCAAGCAGCTGCGAAAAGCACAGCGGCCATCCTGTCCCGTAGCTGACAATAACCGCTACTGACGACTGAAAGTGGGCAAAAGCACCAGAAGAGAAGGGGCAGGGTTCGGAAAAAGAAATAATTGCAATCAGGGCAAGAAAAAAAAGGGGAGAAACAAGCAAAGGGGGGGGATCATCTTGAACGTGGTATCGCGACCAGGCCCAAGAATGGAGGGAACACGATCTGGACGACACCTTGGCCGTGCGGCCCCAGTTGAGGACAAGAAGTTTGCCTGCACCCATGCCGGCTGCACGAAGCGGTTCACACGGGCGGAGCATCTGCAGCGACACGCGCTGAATCACACCAGCGGCGACTCGACGTGTCCCCGGTGCAGCGCCCACTTCAAGCGGCCGGACCTGCTGGACCGCCACATGAAACGGCACCAGCAGAAGGACGAAGAGGCAGGTGGAGAAGGCTGCGGCTTCCTCGACACCCGCAAGCGCGCCTGGAAGGCCTCTGACGGATCCGTCGTTGAGCGGCGGCCACACCCGTCAGAGCGAGGCCGCAGCTGCTCGACTGAGCACTCGGACGAATCGTTCAACGGCTCGAGCGGCACGAACGGCACCATCAGAGTAGCTACCGGCGACGCCGGCGACAACCACGGCAGCACCGTCGAGAAAACGTCGTCGTACGGAACGTGCTTTGAGACCACGGTCCCGGCATCGTTGACACAGCCGTCGGCTCGGCAGTATCCCACGTCACCGATCTCGGATCGCGCGTCGGGCGACCTGTCGTTCCAGGATTATAGCGGTTCAGTCAGCCAGGGCCAAGGCTTCCAGCAGCAGCAGCAACAGCTCCAACAACCACAGGCACAACTGCTCCAGCAACTCCAACAACCCCAACCCCAGACCCAGCCGCAACCACTCCATCCAGACCCGGCCAACCTTGACCCCATCTTCTCGTCTCTGCTTCCAACGGCTGACGATCCTTGGCAGCTCCTGTACGAGCAGCCGTTCCAGCCAGACACGGCCAGCTCGTTTAACATGCCCTACACGACGGCGCTGGACTACAACTGGCTCTTTAACGTATCTTCGCCCGTTGACTTTCCCGCTCGGCCGCCGGTTCAGCCAGGCTTTCCCGACCCTATGGCGCTACAGCAGACAGCAGCGACACCAGCAGCACCTGCAGCCCCGTTTGCGCTCACGCCCCGCTCCAACAGCACGGTGACTAGCATGCACCACAACGGCCCCGGCGACAACCAGTCCTGGTCGGGCTCGATGGAGGCGGCTCCCAGCCATGACAGCACCGATGACCAGATGCGATTCGCATCGCCTGAGCTGGGCTTTGCAGACAATACATTGCACACACAGCCACAGCCACAGCCACAGCCACAGCCACAGCCACAGCCACAGCCACAGCCACAGACATCCGGGTCACGTGTTCCTGTCCGTCGAGGAGCCTTCACCCACGGCCAGGTCCAGAACCAGAAGCCGACATATGGACAACAGCAGCAGCAGTTGAGCTTTGATAGCTTTCTGACCCGGGCTCTGACCGACTCGGAACGGCCGCTGTCGATGCTGGAGCCGCGGACGCAGCTGCCGAGTATTGACCGAGTGACGCATGAGAGGCTGCTGGCGGTGATCAGCAGCGCCAAGCCGAACCTACCTGAGTGCAGCAGTGGCCACAGCGGCGCCAGCAGCATCTCAGCACTTCGAGACCACCCGTTACTGTCCCAAACGGCACTGCAGTCGTACCTAGATCTGTTTTTCACCCGCTTTAACGCGGCCTATCCTATCGTGCACCTGGCAACATTCGACCCAGCAACAGCCGAGCCGCTGCTGCTGTTGGCCATCGTGCTGCTGGGGGCCACGTACGCAGCCAAAGATGCCCACCAGGTGGCCGTGTGCATCCACGACGTTATCCGGCCGTGCGTCTTTGCACACGACGGCTTCTCGGCCCGGCCAGAGCTCTGGACGCTGCAGACGATCTTGCTCGTCGAGTGCTTCGGCAAGTCGCGAGCTGGCCAGAAACAGCACGACATGAGCCACCTCTTCCACGGACTGCTGATCAACCTGATTCGCCGCTCCGATTGCCAGTCGGTCCGGCCACCGGGTCCGCCGTCGTCCACACGCCCCGACCACTACCAACAGCAGCAGCAGCATCACGGCCACCACCACGGTCCATCCGAGGGCAGCATTGTCGGACTCGCCTTGGAGCGAGCGTGGCTGAAGTGGGCCGAGGCCGAACAGAAGAAGAGGTATGGCTTACTTTCCAGCCTGTCCTTTGATGTTTCCACCGCTTACCTGCAGGCTCGCGCTTTACTGTTTCATGTGGGACACCCAGCACGCCGTTCTGTTCTGCCAGAGCCTCTGCATGTCCGCCTTTGAGCTGCGCTTGCACTTTCCCTGCAGCCAGTCCGTGTGGGAGGCCCCTGACGCGGCCTCCTGGGCTGCGGCTTGGTGGAGCACTACGCCCGTACCTGCTCCGACGACACAGAACGTACGAAACGAGCAGCCGCAGCAGCCGTTCTACCTGCCGTCCCTACGAGCGTACCTCATCCCAGGAGGTCCGCCGCCACCGGCCGGCCTGAGTGCCCAGTCCCGTCTGCTCGTCCTGCATGGCCTCATGTCTATCTGCTGGGACATGCAGCGACGCGACCAGACCAGCCTCGGGTCCGCTGTGGCATCGTTGCCGGGCACGTCGAATTGGCGCGAGTTGATGGCGACGGCGTACGGCGCCTGGAAGGTCGACTTTGATGCCTACTGCACGGCAGTGGTACAGCAGCAGCCGCAGATGTCGGGGCAGCGCGCAGACGAGTTTGTGGCCGAGATAGGCACGTTTGCCGCGGCAGCCAACGCAGTTTACCACGCAGCCCAGTGTCTGTTACGGATGGACTTCTTGGACGTCCAGATCTACGCCGGCGCCCGTCACATCCTCGGCCGGCCCGTTCAGCAGCGAGACTACCGGCGGTCGGCCCAGGTGGTCAAGCGATGGGCCAGCGCGGCATCCTCGGAGGGGGAGAACGAGGGCAGCAGTGGCAGTAGGGGCAACAGCAACACCACAATTCAGGCACCGATTGGCGTTGCCGATGCGGCCGGAGCGGCCTGGCACGCGGCTCGGATGTTACGCGAGGTGGTTCCGGAGGCCGAGTCTGAGGCCATGGCTGGCATCTTCCACGTGCCGTGGTGCCTCTACCTGGCAACGCTCACCTGCTGGGCTTTTCACCACGCGGCACCACTCGGCAGCCGTGGCCAGTCGCAGCTGCTTCGGGACGGCGGCGCCGAAGAGGCAGTCCCGTCCGTCTTCCACGACGACGACGACGACGACGACGACGAGATCGTCTGGGACGCGCGCGCCGAGATGGAGGCGCTGATCACCAGCATGGCTGCCAGTCCCGACGGGCCCCTGCGGACCCGCCGTCTGCAGGGACGCCGGCGCACCAACGGGCTCGTGTGGGTGATGGCCGATGTGCTGACTAAGGTTCGCTGGGGCATCGTCCATGCGGGCGTATTGGTTTTGCGCGGGCTGGTGCCAACCCGGCTGATCAACCAGTACGAGGCGGAGGAGTAGACGGTGCCTTTTTGGAGGCAATTAACGCCGTAATGATAAAGCGGGCTTCCGGGCCATAATAATGTTTTAATGAAATTGCCTTGTTAACTCGCACCGAAGCAAAAGTAGGGACCACATACATTCTATCTTAGCCGTCACTGTAAAGTGAAAGTTTGGATTGCTGCACTGTAGTAGAATCTTTGAAGACTCTGTAATGTTTCTGTCGGTCCTAGTATCCGGTAAATAGCGACTTATACCATAATACGAACAGTACGCAATGGTATGTCAATTACCTCCAAACCAGACTCATTCGCTCCTTTTACAACTGAAAACGCATCACCCGCTTTCATGTTCATAAACAATTGATATTTAGGACCCAAGTCGACTTATGCTTTAGAGCTAGCTGGTTTGATCATCTTGCTTAAGTCGCCGACGGGAAGAGAGATTGGGAAGTCGATGCTGGCAAGCATCATGGCGAAAAATGTCCACCAGCCAAAAGCAGACGTGACGAATGCTGAAGCGCCAGCGGCCTGTGGACAAAATGTTAGCTGGGTCTCTAAGACAGCCATTTACATTACCGTTGTCATCGGTCATACCTTGAGAAGTTTCGCTGACAGAACCGCGTTGCCAGTGTAGTTCATTGCAAGTACAAAGTAGGCGCCCGTCAGGAAGGAAAATGTAAGAATAAGCGTAAAGAAGATCATAACGAAGCAGATGTTTACCCGCAAGGCACAAATAAGGTAGACGACGCAAAGGAGCCCCATAAACAACATGAAATATCCTGTTATGTCAGTCAGCAATGTTCGCGAGGAGCCGTCAAGCAGCAGACGTTCTCACCAAAGCTTGCATTGAATCCTTTAGTCTCAAGTCCAGTGCTTGTAGGGTCTCCAGCCACGGCATACGTAGAGAATGCGGCGAATGACGGGGTCAATGTCGCGCCAAATGTCAAGAAGAAGGCACCAAAGGAAGAGAAGACGACAGATGAGAATGTGTTGCCGAGAATCCATTCGAGCAGGCCGGTGATTACCTGCAGGAGGCCGCCGAAAAAGTAGTAGGCACCTCTGTGCATGGCGGTTAGTGACAAAGGAAATCCCAAAGCGGGGAGGATTTGCACGACGAAACAAAAGACAACAGAGATCGCTCACATTTCAGCTGCGCCGCTTCCACCAGCGCCTCGCCAGCCCATGAGATCGCAGGAGAGTGGTGTCAAGGCCATTATGAAGCCTACAAGAGCACTGTGGAGTGTTAGCCATAGCTAGATGGGATGATGCGAATATGCAGCATCGTACATTGGTGTCGGATTACCAAAGGTCTTGCGGAGATCGCCCTTGACCTTGGTTTGTGGTGAGACGTAGAGCTTCTCGAACAACTCGGCCGTCATGGCCACGCTGCCGACAGTCCGTATTTTTTGAAGGTGATTTTTCTGGTCGAGCTCATCATTGAGATAGTTGGAGTTGTTGTTGGAAAGCTCCTCAAGACTCGTCTTGTCGGCAGCCATTGTGACTGATTGTTGATAGACTGCTTTCTAGGGTTGTCTTATATTGCTAGATAGTGCTGTTCTCGTTTGATGCTGTGCAAAAAGCGCATCGTACTCCGTAGACAGGCGAGTGGAAAGAAAAGGGATATATCCTGTCAGAGTACAGGGTGGCACTGCTGACATCGTAGTCTGTGTGCAGAGACACCGGGACGAGGATCCTACCTTAATTTGGCAAAAAGCGCGCTCGCTACCCAACTAACACTGACTACGAATAGAGGAAAAACACTCTGTGGAGACTTCACTCTGGGCAGACTGACATCGCTTCCGTGCCCATGTGCCGGTCGACCGGCATGAGTCCGTGCAAGCGCATGACAGCATCATACAGCTCTCCCTCCCACTCCCTCATTTTACTAGTTCTCCTCCCCCTTCGATACAATGTGGACGAAAGATCTCCCTACTGACGGGTCGCACATTCTGTCAGCGCGGGAAGCCGGGCTGGGTACGATTCCGTGAGGTCACTTTGTGGATACGCACTGCATCGTCTCCACAAAGGGGGAGTGTCTCCATTGGCTCGGCCCATCTCCACAGACGTGTCCCTGCACAGACATTGCATAATACGAGCAAACATAGCACGAGAATCGTACTACGGTACGGAATAGAGCAGATGATTTTCTGGGCAAAGAGCTACCCCAGAAACAAGTGGGTCGATGATAGACTAAGTCGGTGTGGGGAAGCTGCGGAGGGTTCAAGTTTCCGTACTGGCGAAAAGGAAATACGGGGGTTACCACTACTCCGTACATACGTCGTAGTAGCACCATTTTTCGTGGTGGGCAATGAGAGAATAGGGGCCCGGCACATGATTTAGACACATGCCGATAGGGAGGATTAGGTCAGGGCGATGTGAGGAGATGTTGATCGGACACCAGCTGAGGCATGATGGCGCTGGCTTGCGTGAAATAGACGCCAAGGCAAACGTGTCTTGCGGCCCAAAGGAACTGATTGCGGGGCAACGGAGGGGGACATGGATGCGACGTCTTCGTCAGCACCTTGCTCCACGTCGTCGAACTAGCATTACGGAGTAGGCAATTGCCTTTTGCTCGTGCGGGGAAATTGAGTGCTCGTGCGGGAAATCGAGTGGCTACGATGTTGTGGACGACGAGAGGCGGTGACTAAGTGGGGAACCATTCCACTTGCGATTGAAGAGAATCGCTTGGAGAATTGAGTTCTGAATTGTACGACGTACGTCGTATGGCCGACGGCTTAGGTCAGGATAGTGCCTCTGTCAAGTGGAGCATCTGCAGACGGTTTATAGGCGAAAGGAACTAGGGTACGGAGTACGATCAGTACTGACCAGGGTCTGACCAGGGGCTTATGGCAGGCCAGTGACTCTTTGACAGTGCACGGTACAAAATCGTACCCTAGTAAGATAACTCACCCTTGTAACCTCCGTACATACGGAGTACTAGCCAGTGAATGAACTGATCCCGCTAGGAATGTATGTGTTGCATGTTCAAAATATGGAAAAATTTCAAATATCGCAACTTAATCACAGCCAGAATACCGTTTTTCTACGCAAATGGTTCGAGGAATTGAAGAAGTACGTTAGCTTAATGCTGAAATTTCATCGCATGCTTGTCTCGACAACACGTTTTCTGAACATCATGCCAGCGTATTTCTACTTTCATGTCTCGTTACTGAATCGGTCCCGACCTAGACTGCATCTCTCAGGGGCTTTTTCAGAGTATTGTCATCGCGCTGCCTGCGATGCGTCCTTCCTTCACGAAGGTAGTCATCTTTTCCACAAACAACTAGGACCTTTTACTAAGTAATGGGTGCCCAATCTGTATCGTTATTCAAGTACCCCCTGGGAGTGTTTTGGGCCTTTCGTATCACGTCCGTATTCTTCATCTCTGTGCCTTTTTCTAGAACGTCGAAGGTACCATACAGAGAAAATTATAGTGCGATCGAAGAGTGAAGGAAGAGGTAAATAGGCTAGTGCCTGAATGTAACTTACCTTGTTGTTTTTTTCGCGGAGCATCTCAGTGAGTAAGACTAGATTGGCGTGCCAACATGTAGGATATACAGTACCAGTACAGCCTGTACATTCTTATAAATGGCAATATTAAGCTGACGGGAATATAAGGCTGACGGGCCCTAGTCGCTAATTCCAAGTAAAGATTTTAGTTTTAGCAAACTGGACGTGTTTTGGCTGCATACTTCCGCTGAATGTTATAATCGCTCTCCTCGGAGATATGTTTTCTCACGTCAAAAGAATTGTGTGCCATATCTGCTGCTATCTAAAAACAATCCAGGACGTTGTGCTTACGAAACTTGTATTAGAGAAAAGAACTGCCGCGGTACTCCGTATTTAGTAAAATAAAGCTTTTACGCGCTATAGACCGCTCTCCATCTTGTGTGCGAGCACCGTTCCCAATATTATGCGCCAATGCGCTCATAGGGCTGCCGAAGGGTCGACTACCTGTTTCAGATCAAAGGGGCCATTGCGAGTTTCGTTCCTCTATCGCTAAAGAGCTGGAATCTTGGAGCATATCTTTAGAGGAAGCCACTATTACCACCAATCCCTAGAGAACGAATTACGTCGTGAAGAGCAGACGCACCGTTCCTTAATCTTGCTCGTATTGTTTTGCGATCAGGTGAGCAGACTTCTTACTAATCTTTTGCTTTTTCTACCATGCGCCATGACATCATGTGACGTTGCTTAGTAAGCACGGATAAACCTGTTTCCATATCCGATTCGAACCTAAAGCGCGTATGCCATCTCTACGTGATCGATGCTCATCACTAACAGCCAAGTCGAGTTCTGTCAGTTGTTTTGATGCAACAAAAAACCAGCCAATGCAGACCGTCACCATGACGGAGCGGAGTGCTCCTGTAAAGAAGTTATCGTACAGCTGGATCGGGGCGATGCTAATCTAACATCATAGTTCACTCCCCTCTTTCTTTTTGCACCGAAACCCTTCTCAAAGCTTACTGTTCCGACAAGCTCAGCCCATCGCTCTATTATGAGTTCGAAAATAGCATCAATATAAAATATTCTCTCCGCCTCGTTTGCTGCAGGTGTCCTTTCGTGCACAGGCAATGCCAAAGAGCATCAAAATAAGATTCCGTGGCCCAAACCACTGTATTTTGGCTACCAACGTACACTATTCTGTTTTTCACTTGTGACACCTCGGCGGACGAAGTAATATCTAAGCAGTCCTTGATTTTACAATAGAGAGATGCACAGAAAGTTGTCCGAATTATCTTCTCTCCAGTCAGAACTTTCAGCCAGTCTTCAAACGAAAAGACAAAGTTGGACCATACCTGCCGAGGGAACCACCTCCCACCCCTTTGGAAACGGAAGGCGTCGCCAGCCCGGTCCAAGCTATACCCTGACCAAAGGAGCCGCTTTATCGACGACAACTCCCAGGTGCTATTTTTTGTTAAAGAGTATATTACCATGCAACGTACATATTACGAGTACGTGCTGTTGGCAGACTGGGTACCGACTAAGCGCGCCTCCTTTGTATACTGTTTGAGCTAAACATGAATGGCACTGTGCCCTACATCACCTTTAAATGGCGAGAGCGGTCAAGGACTCAAATATCGTACGAGGGCTACTACAGATGTAGAATAAGGAACAGACAGCCACATCGTCACACCCATTAGTACTATGTCATAGGCAATCATAACAACTATGTATGATGTGATTGGAAATGACAAAATCACTGCATTCTGAAGCCTGCGCAATAGAAAGGAGAGACACACGAACACTAAAACCCCATTTTTATAGCATTTATGGTATGGTACCACACTGACCGGTCATGCAATACGCAAATATAGATCTCACAAGCCAACAGGCTGCAGGTACCCATTGTACATACATTTATTCCCCGCTTTAGCATTCTATCGTGTCAACCAGTCAATCGGCTCGCCAATTGTAGTATAGAAAAATAGAAGGAGGACTGCAGAAACCAAAACTTGATATCCAAGGTCGAGGGTGGTCTGTAAATGAAGTCAAGGCAGCAGGAGTCAGCTGCCGGGCATACATTTAACCAATCAACTCTTGATTTCATCTTTTTCTTTCTGGAAATTCGCACATTGAAGCTCAACGTTAAGATTGAGATGCCTCTGAAGGACAAAACGCTCTGGGTAGGAAGTTCAAAGACGAGTAGAGCTAGCGGTTGGTAACTATGAAGCTGCAGCTGCAGCTGTGGAACGCATGCCAGACGTCGTCGTCTTCTTTCAGGGAATTTCCTGGCTGTCCGTCATTCCGGAGACTAGCATGGAAGCACTGACTGACATAACAATCTCGTCCAGCCAGCACACACGTACACATACAGTCACATGCCAGTGTTATGAGGGATTATTCTTGCCAATAGTAGCTAACATTAGCCAGCTCTTCAAGCACTCCGTCACTGTGACGCCAAAAGTAAGCACTGCAGATGACAGTCGAATCGTGTACGTGGCACCGTTTAGCTTTCGGTTGCTGATAAGCGCCTCCTTCTCCGTCTGCTGCAGCAACAGCGTCAGCTGTCTGCTGCCACTTTCAATCTACTCTCACACCTCTAGACTACAGGCGCACGTTATTCACAGTGTGACAGCGTCGGTCCGGCGTATGAAGCAGAAATGTCGGAGTCTTTTGCTGCTGTTCTGGTGTAATCATCTACGTACGCAGCTGGTTCTAGTCTTTACATCCCCCTTTGTATTTCTCACTTTGTTCGCCCCCAAACAAAAAAAACGGCATATGCATTCGTCGATCGATGTTTAGTGTCTAAATCGGACCAGAGTACTGTGTCTAGCGCGCAGACCACCAAGATGAAGCATCATGAAGGCCTGCTGCTCTAAAAAGTGGAATGGGGCGGCCACCTGACTGTTCCATGGCATTGCTACGGGAGCACGCCCTAATATGGCCTTGTTTTCCTTCGCCGACAAAGTTGCCTTCCCGATACAGACTTTCCCTCTTATCCTCTCAGATACGTGCAAAACCGTCAATTTTTGCCAGAAACAACGACATGTGATTTTGTATCATTTTCGCTGCAGATTCCAGCTCAAATTCTGTCGGTGGCCCTCGCGAAACAAGTGGTATGACCCTTCCTTGATCATCATAGCCAGGGATCTCGTGCGGCACATCCATTCCTTGAAGACGGCGCAAAGTTTTATGAAAATAGGACATGTAACCATCGCGACGGCGCTGCTGTCGGACATCAATAAACATGTACCATACCCGGCGGTCCATTGTATCAACAGATGGGCATACAGGGATGGTGTCTATCCCACCCCCTGCCACGTCTCTAGAACTCTGCGCGGCCATGTAATAGCGCCGGACAAGACCTGTCATCCTGCTATCAAACATCTGCCTAACGCTGACGGCCGAGTTAAAGCTAGGCGGAAAGGGCCGCCCTGCGATGGCCCGCCTGAGTTCGTTGATCATACTATTAAACGTATGAATCCACAAACATAGCTCGTCTGCCATTCGCTTGTACTGGTTCGGGGTGATGATATCGTCCAGCTCCCAATGCATCGTGTATAAGTCATGGCTTGTTGTTTGAAGTGTGTTGTCGTCGAATTTATGTAATTCCCGCCGGGTGAGGTTGTTTCGGTAGGCGTCTTACTATTTGCAGGGAAAGGGTTGAGCCCAGGACAAGCGAAGTCCGGTCGCATTTATATTTGGATTTTGGCAACGGCTAAGGAAGAGGTCGTCACAATCTCTCCTAGTCATCATACCTCGATCATTCCAACTGCTCTCGTGACAGCCCATAGCTCGCAATGAGGATTATCGTAGACCTGCTTCACTAATATTTAACATGTTTTGTATATGCTTTCGGCCTGACTGTGGGACTGGGGCGCTAGAGACAGGTTTCTACGGCTATCACTCCATCCTTTATAGTGACAGCAGGGCCGCGCATGTACCTTGTCGCACAATGACCTTTGTAGTGTGAGCACAACTGGGAGGTCCCGCTTCGCTATGGCAAGATTTGTCAACACACAGATCAGCGAGGCCGTGGAAGTTTAACGACATGTGTGAGCTGTTTCTGTGAGTTTTCCCAGATTATGTTGCGCAGCTCTTTTTTGTGAAACGGGTGACATTGCGTATGTGTTGTATACATTGATACTACTCCGTACGGAGTACATAGCACTGACTGCAAAGCACAGGCCCCAGAAAATTGCCTCCCTGCACATATCAAAGGGTCTGTATGATTGGACGACTTGATGTCTGCATCTCGCAATACTTGCATCAACTGACTTCTAGGTGTGTGGACCGTTGCATGAAATAAGCTTAAAATTTGAAATGGCTTGCATGTAGTGCAACGCTGTGCGTAACCTTTTACTCATATTTGGATGCCGCTGGAGATGATTTTACGTAAGATACTATGACGCTATAAACGAGGCTGCTGCAGTCTGCCTTCGACTCTCCCCACATAATTGGCCAGATGCTCATAGTTACTGTAGCGACTAATGGCGCTTTGGTACACTTAGCACAGACGGTAAGTTCGTTTAGTCAGACGGCGCTAAGAATCTTACGACGGCTTATCCACGGGCTTATCTCTCCTTAATAATGCCCAGAATTTGCCAGACCATTTCAGCAGTCTCTCTACCTTTGTGCAGTCCGACAGCCGCGTGGCAGCGCTGCGCAGATACATAAGAATCTCCCGAGACGACGCCCGGCCTCTGGGTGCACTGAGCCGCCTAATGTCGGCCAAGAGAGTCCCGTCTTGCGAGCCCTGCCGGCTGGTGAAGCTGGCATGCGATCACCAGCATCCAGTGTGCTCACGCTGTATTAAACGGGGCATTGACAGCAAATGCGAATACCGGAAAAACGCATTCAAACGCATCCGGCCGCAGGAATCGCAACGACCGTCGCCAGAGGCCATGCAGTCCTCGCCCGCAGACCACTTCCAGAGCCGATGTACCGCGGCCCAGTCGACGTCCTCTTCGACGCCGCAGTCGCTGCATCAGTCAGATATCGGGCAGTCAGTCGTGCTGTCCCAGTTGAAGCTGTACCCCAGCCCAGGCTTCCAGGGACCGTCTTCGCTGGCCTCAATGCTCGACAACCTGGGCCGTCGCGGCCTGCCTCCTCCCCCAGGCTCGGAGCACGCCGGCCTCAGCAACGAGGAGGCCAGCCGGATGGACGCGCTCTCGATGAACCGCCTGTCGATGATCGAAGACGGCGTCAGCATCCTAGACATGCTTCTGGCCGTCATGGTCGATGACTTTCTCGACCGCGTCTTCACGGCTTGGAAGGGCTGCGGCCTCGAGTCGCACCTCGGCTCTTTCCTAGTCAGCTCCTTTGTCGACACTATGTCGCAGGAAATCAACCTGCTGCAGAGCTCCCATAGCTGGCGTGCCAATCTGTTTGCGCTGTCGCAGCGCATTTTCGACCGTGGAAGCCAGCCGGTGGAGCTGGACACGTCGACCACGCTCCGAGACTTTGTCAATCACTTCACCGGCCCCAGTCTGCGCTGGGAGACGGTTGGCGTGATCTTGACACTCATTGGGTATGGCACTGCCATCTGTCGACCGCCAGCGCACGTCTTGCTAACCAGCGATTTGACAAAATTACCAGCATCGCCGCCGCCGAAACCAGAGCCCCCAATGCCATCTGCAACAGCGAGCAAGAACGGCAGATCCTCCGCATGAACATGGTGAACTGCGCCAACAAGTGCGCCTCTTTTTGCGAGTCCTTTGACATGTCCAACGATGTTCAAATAATTTTTCTGTATCAGAACTTTCTACTGCAATCCGTCTTTTACGGCGACCAGAGTCCGTGTCCCCGTTTCGCTCCTCTTAAAAGCGTAACTGACCGTTATTTACTCGCTACTTGGCAGGTTTTAAAACCTGGCATGCATTCAACGATGCGGCAAACGCTCTGCTGGCGGCCGGACTCCACCAGAAACCCCAGGATGCACCTAACGTCCCCTTTTTCCTCTTGGAGATGCGCAAGCGCATTTTTGTCCGGTTTTACAGTACCGATATCACCATGGCCACATTTCTCGGCCGGCCACCCCGCATTAGCAAGCGCTTCTGCACGGTAGACCTGCCCTCAGACCTGAACGAAACAGTCTTGTCATTGCGTGGGCCAGCTCTCGAGACCGAGCTGCAAAAACTTAATGCAGACGGGTGGAACACGACGGGGCAAATCCACTCCGGGACGGTGCAGCGGTGGGCCATGACGACCTCCATGATCCGGGAAGATGTTTTGGAGCTACTGCTGGGCCACGGCAAGGCCGACGTGGTCCAAGTGACCAGGTGAGTATCGCTACGTAACTTGACGAGATGCGGAGACACTGACGACGGCAATTGCACAGCGCTTTGCGAGAAAGACTCATGGAAGCTTGGGCGTACTTGCCTAGTCGCATGGTCGTGTCGTCCTTGAATGTCTGGAAAGAAAGAACAGACCGCGAAGAGGCCGAGTGTCTACACTTGATCCGGCTGTACTACCTCCACACGGCCTTCCTGATTGAATGGGCTGCATGGAGCCAAGCCAGCCTGGAGCCAGACGATCTCTTCCGGTCTGCAACCGAGCTCCTGGCTTGGGTCAACCAGGCCCTCGTGCGGCGTGAGAGCCTGCCCAAGCTTGGCTTCATTTCATTGGCATGGAGGGTGAGTTTCTTTGTACTTCATTTCTCCCAGGTTGGCTCTGACTTGAATGCAGGTTGCAACATGTGCTCTGCCGGCAGCCGGCGCTATCAGCCTGTGTCTGGTGCAGCCATCTTCGAGGACCTGGGTTGAACGATTAGACCCTGCTTTACGACGCCACACGATAGAGAATCTCTGTGTTTTAATATCTCATATTGACATCTTGCACGGACCCAGCGACGGCAACTACTTGCTCTTTCACCAGGCCAAACAGGCACTCCAGTCTGTAGTGGACAGGACTCTACAACCATCGCGTCCCGAACTGATCCATTACCCACCCGAGGAGTCACCCTCAATTCATACGGCGCGTGGTTTCGATCATGACCGCTGTGCATTTGACAGTGAATTTTGGTGAGCTGTTCCGGACAGCAGCTAAAGAGGTGCTTGTGTCGTTTGCTAATGGTGTGCTAGGGACACATTGCCTGCAATGTTGAATATGTTTGAAACCCAGGATGGTATGGCACATTAACATGATGAAATTTATCTTGACCCTTTTTTTTTCTTTCCCCCTTTCCGCATCTACAATCACTATCCATTGGATGTTCTGGTTGCATAATGGAGTGACCTGACCGCTTTGCTTATCTTCGGAGTATTGCTAGATATGGAGAATTAACAGTCGGCGTGTTTTTTCGGAGTAAAAATTCATTGGTCAGTCGGCGAGTCGGAGTAATAAGATCAGCAGGTCAAATCCCATCGCCAAAAGCCGTTAGCACAATGTCACTGTGAAATCTATGAACAAAGATTGAGAGGCTAGAGTCGGCAACGCCGCTAACCCTGCTTATGTCAGCAGCCTGGCACTCTGCGGGCAGTTAAGTGGCAAAACTTGCCGTGTTAACAGATAGAGAGTTGAAGATTCAGTAGTGCTGGCCGGGGCTACTTTGCTTAGCAGACCGAGCAAGAACGTAAAAAGGCATGTCTAATAGTGTGGTTTTAATCTGGGCAACAATGCTGACCCCTCGAATGATGCTGACGGCTGCCTCCCCTCCCATACGGCCTCTACCGGTTTCATAGCCTTTTTCATGGTCTCGGAGACGATCTCATTCTGGCGCCACACGCGCAAGATGTTTTCACCCGCAAGCTTCTTCACTTGCTCGTCAGTCGCCCCCCGTCTCAGGAGAGCCTCGATCAGCCGTGGATATTTGGACACGTCCTCAAGACCGTGAACCACATATCCAGTGCCGTCAAAATCACCACCTGTTATAAGCCTGTCAGCCGAGTTGTGCAAACATCATCACAACTAGGATTCGTATGACGTACCAATACCAACATGATCCCAGCCCGCGACCTTGACGACGTGAAGAATGTGGTCCACCACGTCATCCACCGAGGCCTTGTCTGGGTCGTCCGGCTTGATAAACTTTCGGACGAAATAGATCATGGCCACGCCTCCGTTACTTGGGAGCCGTCGTAGAACACTGTCGGGCACGTTGCGGTTGCTTTTTGCAAGTGCGTGGCAACCCGTATGCGAAAGGATGACGGGCGCGCGGGTCACGTCCAGGGCCTCAAGCATGGTTCGGTGAGAGACATGGGCGAGGTCGACCATGATGCCAAGGCGGTTCATCTCCTTGATAGCCTCGACGCCAAACTCGCTCAGGCCGCTGTCCTTTCCCGTTTCCGTCACCGTGGTCGCGGCCGTGGCAAAAGCGTTGTCGCAGTTGTGTGTGAGGGTGATGTACCGAAGGCCGAGACTGTGGAACTGTCGGATTACTGCGAGGGCAGAGCCGACCTGGTGCAGACCCTCTGCGCCAAGCATGGAGGGAATCTTGCCCTGCTTAAATGCCCGCCGAGCACATTTGGAGTTGTCACAAAACTCCAAGTCTGGCACCTCGGCGATCAGCCGTTTTGCGACGTCGATCTGCTCAAGAGTATCTCTCACGGCATGCTGGAAGAACCGTCAGCTCGTTGTGAAGTAGTGGCGAGGGTGAAGACTGAAATACTCACATTTGGATCGTCCATATGAACAATGTCGGGGCACTATTCATGTATGAGCATTGATGCTGCCCAAGAGCAGCAGCAGGCTAGGTACGAATATACTGACGTCGATAAAGGTAGACCAGAACTGCCCCCCTACGCGGCCTTCCCGCATCCGCTTCAGGTCTGTATGTGACCCCAATCCTGTAGTAAAATACGTCAGCGCCAAGCTGCTATCACTTCGTTCTAAGACGGGCAAAGCAGTCCCTACCTGTCTGAAATGAGAACTCCTGGTCATATATTTTATTATCTAGCTGTAAGCGGAACAGGTAGGGCAAGTCGTTGTGTCCATCAATGAGTGGCGTGGTGCTGAGGATGTGTTCTGTCCGTGCCTTGAAGTCGGAAGGGTCAAATGTTTCCGGCGCGCCGTAGCTCCATTTTGCGGCTAAGGCAATGCTCGCTGACACGAAAAGCGCTGCTGTCCGCAGCGATAAGGCCCGCGTCGGCTTTTTTTGCTGCAATCGCACAATCTGTGTGTCCGGTGTGCTTTGTGGCGCATTTACCTGCTTGGCCAAATTCGCTGACGGGCGCTCATTTACGAGAGGCGCTGGCGGATCGTCACTCATCTTGATGCTGGTGGGCGAGCTGATCAAGGCGTGAGTGAAAAGGTAGGCGGGTTTGAGTGGACTAGTAATAGAGAAGGTTGACTCCATGCATGGCAAGACGCTGCGCACCCTCTCTTCCACTCTAGGCAATAAGCAGACAAATTGGGGCCGAGGAGGGGGTTTTTAAACCGAGCAGTCAGGGGATATATGGGCCTGAAAGAAAAATGTCCACTTCAGAGACGGGACCCACCAGCAAAAAAGCTTCCTGCCGTAATAACGTGGATCGTTTCTTCACATGCCGTCATGGCAGCCACGCCACACGAGCCGTTACATTCTCTCTCTTTTCTCTACTTTTTGTTCTTTTATACCTTGTTTGTTTCATCTCGTGACCCTGTCTCCCATTACAGCGGCTATTTTTGTACACTTACTGACCTGAAATCTACAGCTCTATTTGACAAACTTAGGGCATTATTACAACACCTTCAAGAGCAGCGGCCACAAGGTGTAGCCAGGGTCTACTTTGTCTGTCTGCAGGTGGTAGTGCCCCATCACCCCTTTGTACTCGGTTGGGTCCGGAATCAAGCCCTTGGGCACCTCGCCGCTGTCGTCTTGTGGCAGCGTGCGCGGGATCTCCAAAGCATCACATATGGCCGGCACAAGCTGCTTCATAACGGACTTCTGCACTTCCGTGTAGTCCAAGTGCCGCCAGTTCGGATCAGCTGTGTGCGGCTCCTGTGCTCGGACAATCTTCCTGTTTTGCACATTGTAGGTTTTACGAAGTGTGACTGGATTGTTGATCTCAATGCCAACAGAGGTTTCGTTTGTCCACCGAGCATGTCTGCCCAAATCGTTCACCAGATCCATACCCTGGTACAACGTGCCATCAGAGTCTAGGAAAAGCTGCACAGACAGCCCTCGCCACAAAAGGACATGGAAGCAGTCGTGTGATGATGTGCACTCGTCCCTGCAGCACACTGTTAGCCATCTGTCTGCCACCAGTCGACTTCTCTAGCAAGTGCAAGACGAACCAGTGAATGACGAAGCGTTCAATCCCACCAATCGTCGGATTGGCCCGCTTGCCAACTCCGTTGAAGTCTGGGATCGCCTCGATGACCCGCTCAAAGCTGAAGCCTTCTGGGTGAGTCCAATGCACGACCGGAAACGACGTCGGGACCTTTTCGCCCTTGACGATGAGGTAATTTTCGCCCTTGGGTGACTTCCATGTACGCCCTTGGAGGGCCGCGGCCGTCTTGGGACCCAGGATGCCGTCTATGTTGAGGGCATGGTCCCGCTGCCACCGCGCCACGGCCGCAGCAAAGATGGCCGACTCCGGATCCAAACTGGCGAACTGGGCCGGTGGAAAGGCGGCCGAGCTGCTGCGGTGGTAAAAACGATTGCAGGCAATAGCCTTCTCGAGTTGGTCGCCCGACATAATGGTAATGGCAGTTGTCATGGTCACGAGGCTGATGGGGTTTGGGGATAATTTGCCGGTATCTTCGGAGACTGATAGATAAGTAGTACCCATGAATAATAGGCGAGTATTTAAGTTCGCGATGATTGATTCCACTAAAATCTCAAGCTTTCTTGCATACCCCGCGGCCGGAGAGAAACGGACCCCCTGTTCTGTGGATCCACCGCGTGCGTCGTATGCCGGCCGGCCTGGTTCTGCTGATATGCTTGACAGAAATATCCACAGGCTTTCTCCGAAAGGCTCTGTAGTTTTCTCCGACTCGCCGAAATGGTCTCCACCGGGGCTCTAGTTCATGTGGGTATACTTGTGCATACTACTTAGACCCATGTTCATAACTTAAGTCGGTGTCTACTTTTTAGGAATTCTTTACTGCTCATCGTCCGTCCTCGAAAGGCGTTTGTTTCTCTCCAAGCAAGAAAAAACGTGGCAAACTCGTGGCGACACCCCAGATTGTTTCACGATGGATTCCAAGCTTGTCAACAAGTGGTGCCGTATGGTGTACGGAAAGGACCTGAAGGCTGGAAAGCTGGTCCTGAAGATCGACCTTCTTGTCATGACCTACGTGTGTTTGACGCAGTTTGTCAACCTGCTAGGCATGTGCAAATATGGAGTGCAGACAATTGGTCTTGTCTGAACTGTGGCTAACCTTGACCTGGTTACAGATCGGTCCAACTACTCCAATGCCTACGTGAGCGGAAGTAAGCAACCCCAATCCGTCTCACTGCTCGTGTCTTGTTTATCTAACACTCGACAGTGTACGTTCTATCATATACTATACCTCCAGTGGATCTGTGTTTAGTGCTCGGTGACCTAACCCCTTCAATAGGAAGAAGGATCTTCATTTCCATGGCAAGCAGTACAACATGGGAAACACAATTTTCCTAATTGGATACACCGTCGGCCAAATTCCCTCTAACATCGCACTCACGTACATCCGTCCCCGGTATTGGTTCACTGCCATGCAGACCTGCTGGGCCGTCATCTGCCTTGCACAGTACTCTGCCAAGAACGTCAAGACCGTTTTTGCTCTCCGCTTCCTGATGGGTCTTTTCGAGTCCAGCACTTTTGTCGGAACCCACGCTATCCTCGGTTCCTGGTACACGCCCAAGGAGATCGGCAAGCGCTCGGCTATGTTTGTCAGTGCTGCCCAGGTCGGCTCAATGTGAGTTCTAACCCTTCTGTCTATGTGCCTTTTTCACTATTGCTTTTCTAACGTATTAAAAACAGCCTGTCTGGTCTGATCCAAGGCGGTCTCTACAGGGTTGGTCTACATATGAAAAATATCATAGCGATGAACCTAATTAATTCTCTCTACAGCACATGAACGGCAGAAACGGTCTGAAGGGCTGGCAATGGCTTTTCATCATCGATTTCATTGTCAGCATGCCAAGCATCATCTATGGCTTCTTCTTCTTTCCTGATTTCCCGCACAACACGACCTGCTTCTGGTTCTCGGAGGAAGACAAGCAGCTTGCCAAGGCCCGCCTGCCAAATGCCCAGGTCCATGAAGTTCAGTGGCGCAGCACGGCTACATGGAAGCGTATCGCCACAAGTTGGCACACCTATATGTTCCCCGTGTGTCTTCCCAGGACGCAGTAAAAAAAAGCCAGTGCTGACGTTTCGCCAGATTCTCTTCACTCTCTATGGAACCGGTCTCCAAATTACCGGCAATAACGTCATGCCCTTCTTCATGGAGAAGCATGGCGATAAAAAGGTCGAGCATTTGAACTACTACCCAACCGGAATGACCGCAACGGGTATCCTCGCCTTCTGGGTGTACGCCATTATGTCGGATAAGCTTAGGACCCGTGTTCCTGCTTCGATTGCCATTGGATGCACCTTCATCCTTGGAGCCGCACTGCTGTACTCAAAACACATTTCCTATGGCGGAAAGCTGACTGCTTTCTGTGAGTTCCCCCGCAGGACCAAAAATAAATTAACAAGTCTAACCAGCTATTCAGATCTCCTGGGAACTTGCTTGTCTCCTCAGGCATTGTGGTACTCGTGGGCCAATGATCTGACACGTGATCACTTTGAGCTCCGTATATTCCTCAACGGTTCTATGAACACTATTATGGTAAGATGCCCCCCATCCGAAGCAGTTCTTGAGCTGGCTACTTACACAATGGTACTCTAGGAGGCATTCATTGCTTGGTGGCCGCTAGTATTTTACCCAGCCGACTCCAAGAATTTCAACCGCGGCTTTATCTCCACCATGGTCATCGGTGGGCTCATTATCATTGTCGTGCTGATCATCTGGATGCTAGAGCGGAGGCAGCTGTAAGTTTATCCCACTTCGGCTTATCGTGACATTTGGTGCTAATATCTTTCACAGTGCACAGGAAGCGCTCGCTGAAAGGAACGTGCTTGAAGGATTTGGCGGGAAATATGACGAGAAAGAGGCCGTCCGTGATGAGATCACACCTTCCAAGGAAGCGTAAACGTCATACGGATTTCAGAGTATCTGTCACATGCCTTCACCTTGAATACTTTACCAACCGCTGGGCTATCACGTCGATGCATTCATACAGCACTGCATGGAACGTACACGTGGAATGATAATTAGACTTTTCACATGTAGACTGTAACCTTTGTTTACTGGCCTCGCCTCGCATAGACAGTATTCCACACAGGAGCTCAAACGTGCGCGTTAATAATTAGTATTGCATATCATTCAAATTCTATAGACTTGCAACAACGGGCCGGTCCCAATTGTGGAAGATTTCTTCAGCTCTTGCATACCACTAAGTGGTGACTGCAGTAGCCAGCGTAACTTAAAAAGGAAAACCAAGGTTTCATCGATCTCTTCAGTTGTCGTCATTTCGACCAAATTCAATATACTAGATTGCAGGCAATATATTTTCACTGATCTCACTATAAATCTGTATAAATCTGAACTCGTCATTGATACTACACTGGCAGCCTGCAATCATGTTCTACCTTGATGGCCACCAGCCAATAATCCTAGACAATGTTCCGCCAAAGACAGTTTACAACGTCGTTACTTCTCATGGAATTTGTGTGAAATAACACCGTCAAATTTTGGCCCAGAGCCTTAGGCCATGCTTCCGGTAGACACACTGCCTTGCCGAAAAAAAGAAAATGCCACCCACGGCCACTACGGCGACATAGAGACCGGCAAGTGCCGTTGTCCCAAAGGTCGTGAGCAATTGCCCGCCCAAAGGGCTAGCTACAAACAGAGAGAAGCTGACGAAGAAATACATGGTCCCTACATTCAGTGCTAGTTAGCCGAGAAAGAGATGATACAAGGAAATGGCGGGAACAGACCAAAGTATCTCCCGTAGTCCTCCGTCTCGCATATCAACCCCATACAAACCGGTGCTAGTGAGATAAATGAGCCACTCCCAAAGCCCCAGAGTGCGGAGAAAGCGGTCAGAGCGCCTAACGAGCTTGAGCCAAAGGGAACAAAGATTGAAGCAGTAAAGATGGTGGTGACAAGAACCATGAAAACCATGGTATTGAATGGCCCAAAATGGTCGCTAGCCAGCCCTGAAAGGAAACGGCCGGCCGTAGAGGTTGCGTTGGCAACGGCAATTAAGGTGTAGCCGGTATCCGAGTTGAAGCCGGCTACCATTGCATAGGTTGGGAGGAGAGAAAAGATACCGAAGATGGAAAACTCCAGAGCCGAAAGCCCAACTGTCACAAATGCAAAGGTCCAGCTCTTGAGAGCCTTAAAGTTGAGAACGGCTCGCTTGCGGCGCACTGCCAACGGAATACCAGAAGGCGGACTAGGAAGCGGATGCTGCAGACATAGAGCACCTATAATCATGATGGCTGAAAGCAAAAAGGCAATCGACCTGATGGACCAGGCCCATCCAACAGTAGGCAGGAGTTTTCGGAGCATCAGCGGCATGACCACGCCACCAACGCTCGATCCGCAGAGTGCTAGGCCCATGGCCATGCCTCGACGGCGAGTGAACCACTTGCTGATGACGCCGATACCTACCATGGAAACAATGGCAGCCCCGATGCCGCCCCAGATGCCCATCACAAGCATGAATTGCCAATAGGTGTGGCACTCGGCCAGCACAAAGAACACAGGGATGTAGACCAGACAGCCCACGGGGCCAAGATACTGCGGGCCGTACGCATCAAAGAGAGGCCCAACCTGGATACCGAGAAGTAAGGTCAGAGCCGTGAAGGCACCGGTTATCCAGCCGACGTCCCGCGAGCTATACGCCGACAACTGGTGTATTTCCAAGTAGGCCTGGATGGTGCCGATGGTCTGCATGAAGCCTGTCCACCATCAGTCCTGCTGGTCCGGGCTCGATCTCGGTCCCTGAGAGACGCACCATAGCTTGTGAAGAGGAATAAGAAGGAGCCAGCAATGGAGAGCCAAGCCCTGGTGGTGATTTTGGCATTCACAGGGGCGTCCGATCCTGGCGCTAATGGTTCTCTAGCCACGTCGATCGGCTGGCTACTCATCGGAGTGCTGCGGATAGAGCCCGCCTTAGAATTAGGAAGCTCTTGCAGCTGGAATGAGGGCGAGATGTCTACGGCTTCCATTGTAAAAAGATGAAACGTATATGGTTTGCAGGAGTGGTGCAATTGTCTGGTCGGAGAAGAATGAATAGTCACTATTTGTGACACTACCTGTCTCCGTTATCGGTCCCCCTCGGTCTTCCTTCCGGCCTTCGGCTGAGCATCTCCAATTTTCTGTTCAACTTGATGCCCAATACTCCATCCCTTCTTTTAATTGCACAGTACGAACGGGGCTCGCATAAGGCATATCGGCGCGTGCTGAGATGCAACGGGCATTCGATGGATAGCCCGACTAGATTTAATGATCCCTTCAAAGGCTGAAAGAATGTGCTCCGTCACTCGGAGCTTTCATGACTAAAGCAAGCAGCCTAATGCACACCTTTTTCGAATCCGTCCAAACGTGGAACATTAGACAGATCTAGCAATAAGCGGGCTACTAAAGACGATTCTCATGTTAATGGCTTTTTGCATAAGCTTAGCATGGCACGTTTCTGCCACCCTGACTGCCGAAACTAGGCACTCTACTCTGGTCGCCGTATGTACGAAATGCACGAACCCGTGCCACCCCACATCGGCTTCTTCTGTTGAATGGCGGCCCCACCTTTCAGGCGAAGAGTTGCACGGCCTCCCCGATAAGAGGCCACACTGCCTGAGCACTGGCCGCAGAAAGTATCTTTAGACATGGGTACTCCGTACGGAGCAGACTGTGGCTTCTACTCCGTGCACCACTAGTCTGTACGCGCAGTTGTCTGCGCGAATACCAGTGTAAGACCCGTACGTTAATCCTTGTGGGATATTCGTCCGGACCAGTTGCACGTATCGTAGTAAGCTCTAAGGCCTTCAGAAGATCTAGTGATGATATTTCGTTGGGTGGTTGACTGAAGACCAGACTGTGCGCAATGTGCGCGCAGATCAGGGCTTCGTCTTATCTAGTGATTTCGGCGGCCGAGGTCAGGTGACCTCGGGAAATCCACAAGACGTCCTGCTATCTATCCAATGCAACATTGACACAGGTACACAGGGATCTGCTATCTCTCAGCTACGGTCCTGCGTCTTCATCGGCCGAGGCTTGGATGCTTACGGCAGGTGTTGGATACCGTCGTAATAAAACGCATTGACGGGCTGGTGTGCACTGCAACAGCGTGGGTTGCCTATGCGGAAATTGTTAACGATACGCGTGGCGGCCAGACCCAAGCTTGTCTAGCATGGTTGTGCATGTGAAGTAAAAGGAATCGATAGGGCACCAACCGATGAAAACAACGCCTTCTCCATACTTTGGAACACCAGACCCGTCCAGAACTTTCGCCCTCGGCTGTGAGTAGGACTGGGTCGTGGAAGCGAGCACGTTTTATTGTGCTCTGTCAATCTCGCCTGCCTTCGACATGAGTCGCCACCATAGATGAAGCTCTACTGGTTAATGCCTAGTGTATTATTGTCAATAGTGCATCTAGCGCTCTCTTCAGCTCAGGGGTCTCATATACTCCGTTTGCGCGAACTCGGAAATCGTACGACTTTCGCAGTCGTACCACACCTTAGGTCCTAACAGGAACTGGAACCCGAGGCGCAACAGGGGTTTTCCAGGGGTCCTGATTAAGAAGTAAGGTTCCAGTCTAACTGTATAACAACATAGCCCGCAGTGTAGGCGTGATCGATCGTGATAGCGTATCGATCTTCAAAGTCCTTTCGTCGACGGCGGCCCCTCTAGGAGGGGTTGACCGGAGAGTCTCAATGAGCGGCGTTCTCTTCCTATGGAGACCACCGTAGGAGTATGTACTCCTAGTACGTGTACCTACTGGTATTAATATGTAGTTCAAACCCCTCCTGTTACTGCTCACATGCAGACAGGAGGTGTAGGCACTTTGTCTGTTATCTCTCTGCACAACCTATCTCTCTCATCTCCCTGTACTCTCTTTCCCTGTCTTCGCCCATACCTAGGTATGGCCACCAAAGCCGAAAAGTCAAAATACACCCCCAGAGGACGGCCGGTCGACGAAGGTCGACCCGTTCGAATCACCATCATCGGCGCTGGCATCTCCGGCATCTGTCTGTACATCCGCCTCTTACAGCATGTCCCTGCTGCAAAGATTACTATCTATGAGAAGAATCCGTCACTAGGTGGGACTTGGTATGAGAACCGATACCCTGGTGTAGCCTGTGATGTACCGAGTCATGTGTACCAGTACTCGTTTGAGCCCAACAAGAAGTGGACCAAGCTCTTTGCACCAGGATCTGAGATCCTAGACTATATCAAAGGAGTGTCTAGCAAGTATGGGGTCGACCAGAAGGTCAAGTACAGCACCAGAGTCATAGGCACCAGGTGGGATGAAGACCAGGGTGCTTGGGACATAGACATAGAGCAGACGGACAAAGAAGGCCATGTCTCTCAGGACAAGAGAAAGGCAGAGATTATCATCAGCGCTGTCGGCATCCTGAACAACTGGAAATGGCCGGATATACAGGGCCTCAACGATTTCCAAGGGAAGCTCCTCCACTCTGCAGACTGGGACAAGTCGTGGTAAGCTATTTGCCATTTTTCTACGATCATTTTCCGACTTTGTGAGGGCATGAGTCTGATTGGAGAACGTTATCGTTGGAAGGGACTACACAGGGAAAAAGGTGGCACTGATTGGTAGCGGCTCATCGGCTGTCCAGATCCTGCCTCACCTCCAGGAGAAGTGCCCTCAGGTCAGCAATTTTGTTCGTGGTGGCGCATGGATCAGTCGGTCATTTGGCTCGACATTTATTGAGGACATCCTGAGCCTCAGCGACGAGCCGGGCAACTACACCTACACAGACGAGGAGGTGGCCAAATTCGAGCAGGACGACAAGTTCTACTATGCCCTGCGCCGGGAGATGGAGAGTTCCATCAACAAGGACTTTCCCCGGCTGTTCCCGGGTTCGATCGAGGAGACCGAGGCAACGGAGCGGATCAAGATCATAATGCGCTGGAAGCTGTTCCAGAAGATCGGCCTCTACGAGAAGCTTGAGCCGTCTTTCGTGCCTGGCTGCAGACGGCTGACTCCTGGCCCGGGCTATCTGGAAGCCCTGGTGCAGGACAACGTCGATGTGATCACGGCCGGCATCGACCATGTCACCGAGGAAGGCGTGATGGCCAAGGACGGTAAGGAGTACAAGGTCGACGCCATCATCTGTGCGACCGGCTTCGACTGCAGCCACATCCCGCGCTTTTCCATCCAGGGCCGTGACGGCCATCTGCTGGGCGACCGGTGGCGCGGCCGTGCGTCAGCTTACATGTCGCACTCCGTCCCCGGCTTTCCCAACTTCTTCGTGGTTGGCGGCCCGAACTCGGCTACAGGCACTGGCTCCCTGCTCCTGATCCTTGAGTCGGTCATTGGCTACGTCGTCCAAGCGGTCAGCAAGATTAGTCGCGAACACATCAAGTCCATGGAGGTTCGTGAGGACTCGCTGATGTCCTGGGAGGCCATCCTGGACAAGTTCTTCCTCAACACCGTCTACGTGGACAAGTGCCAGAGCTGGTACAAGTATGGCGAAAAGGTTGTCGGGCTATGGCCGGGAAGCAACGTGCATGCCATCCAGACGCTGAAGAGCCCGCGCTGGGAAGACTACACGTATGAGCCCGTGGAGGGAACTGACAAGTTGGACTGGCTCGGCAACGGCTGGACGACGGCGGACCTGAAGCGGGACGGCCTGGGCTACTATGTCGACGATACTGATGTGCCGCCAGTTCCTGCCGAGGAGGTGCTGAAACGCCAGCCATAAAGGCTGTTGACGCACCTCTTAGTAGGTAACAGTGGCTGTTCCCGTTGGTGTGTGCAATTTGGATGTTCGGCGTCCTCGGCTGAGCGCACGGTCTCGACGTATCTCTGTTGTCAGTGAGCGGCAGATGCGCTTGAGCGAGAAGCTCTCCAGATCAGCGTCACGATGTGTAACAATTAGTGTATTTGGTAGCCAATTTTAATGCGTTTCTGAAATTCCAAGTAGTACGAGTACGTCCCCGTACAAGGCTGCCAATTAGCGGCCACACCATTTAAGTAAGTTGGCGAGGAGAGCACTCCCATTGCGAGGAACCATACCTTCAACCAGGACACATTGTTGCGTATTGTTACGGAGTTATAACATGTCTTAAGTTGGCTCAAATGGGGCGGTAGGAAGATAGATAAAGCAGCCCGCGTACGGAATGATTGCCTTAGGTAAAAAGAGTAAAAAACATCAAAGTTACGTTGAAAGGCTGGAAGCTATGTACCATGTAACAAATCCAGCGGCGCTGTGTACTTTTGATTATTACTGCAGTCTCACCATGCCTATGGAGTAGGGTACTAAAAGTATGTTGTTCAGCGGTCGAAGGATCATCTCTTTGGTGTGCTTCAATTTTGCTCTAGAATTATTCAACTTCCAGGCTAGAAGTGTACGAAAGATTATGTAAGGATACACTCCTTGTTACGGTGTTTACGTCGTATTATATATTTTCTACGGAGTTCGCCTTCTAGTCCTTTGCATCGACTGATCCGGGACTCTTTACGGAGTACGGAGTACATGTATTCATCCGCAATATTGTTTTGGTGAAAGAAAGTTGATCCCTCTGCAAAAGTAAGATACAATCGCCCTACCAAACCAGACAGGGTTCTCCTGCATACTTCGTACGGAGTATTTCCAAGTACAAACCCATTATTTTGTCAGCTACCAAATGAAAGCAGTAATTTGACTTTTCCCTGCCCACTACCCCTTTCTTCCATCTACCCCTGCTAGCTACTCCGTGTGTATGTAAAAGAAACACTGTAAGCTTAGGAATTACGCAAAAGAGAACAGAAGCTCCTGTTGCCAGCAATGGTAGGCGGCCACCCGTGCGGGGGGCTGTAAGATATCGTACAAATACTCGTAGTCGTAGGGATATGTACTCCATACGGAGTGCGATATATACGAGTATTCGTATTAATCGCAAAGAGGTGCTCAAGATTGTGTGCGTGACTGGCTGTCGGATTTTGCATGAGTCTGCGTAGTCTGTGTTCTTTCCCCTATTTTGGACAATTTTGACCGTACCCCCTTGAAATTATGCGCACAAACGCACTCCTCGCAGTATCACATTCTAACCAGAGGAGGCATAGCAAAGCAGCGAGCGGACCACAAATAGTGTTAAATTCAAGAGTACGGAGTACTCGTAGCGAGTATGGATCACACTGTACGAGTACACTTTGTCGGGTTAGAATATCTACTTTGCAATATCAGGTACGATACTTCGCACTCGTAGTCCAGACTCCTTACTCTGTACTTCATTGACCGCTCAAAGCTCTGGGCCGTCTCTGTTATATCCATCTTACGAACATGGTGATACATGGGCCTTTTAGATTACGACGAGCGGACGTTTGGAAATCCTCCTCACCAGTGGTTCGGAACCGACATGCCGACAATGGAAACATGGTGACGTGGACTGCAGACCATATCCAAGGGCTATCTTCGAGTTGTTGTCGTCTCTCAGTACGGAGAAATCGTGAATATTGCTTAAGTACTCCGTACGAGTACGGAGTTGGAAGTTTCGCAATGTAGAAATGACGAAGCTCTTGATGACTAAACTGCCACAACTCGAAACTGGCCACGTCTACACTGTGTGCATCTTATCGTACCCGTACGGGATCAATGGATGAACGAGTAAGGATCCGCCATGTTATGTCGTAAGGCTCTTGAACGCGCCCGGGAGTTTTTGGACGTGCCGAAGGAAGGAGTCGACACTGTCTTAAATGTGACGTGGGCCCATATTTTATTTGACAATCCACAACCAGCTCGATCTGCAGATACATAGAATCGTACCAATTCTCGGAGTGTTTACGAGTACCGACCGCCCACCCCCTTTTCCCAGCCTATCTTGTCTGCCGCACTGGTACACAGTGCCGGAACAATTGTCGCAAACATTGCGACAAGGTGGGAACGCGGTGGCAACTAATGTCTTGGCAGTCTTGGCAGAGGTCCATAAAGGTACTTTGAAGAGAGGGATGTGTACTGACCATTCTCTCTTACTCCCGCACGAAAACGCCACCGCCCAGGTATCGCTCTTCTCACTCGTACGAATGCGCTCGTACCGTCGGCCGAAGTTGGTATTCTTACTATGTACTCTGTACCAACAGCAGCAACCAGGCCTGCTTGAGCGTTTAGCTTACGACGTATGAATTGGGGGCCCACAACTTGGTAATAGCGCAACCGAACAACCGCGATTTTGCATTAAGTCGCGTGCCTCTCACTCGGGTGGGCTCTCTCCAAGGACCCTGTGTGGTTGACGGATAGTTTTCTACAGGAAACCCCGAGACCTTACTCCGTTCCCGTACTCCGTCCCAGCGAGAAGCTAAGATAAGATACTTTGCGTCTGTACTCGTACGGAGTACTGTTATTCGTGGATCTCGGCGAACGAGTATTTCTTACCAGCGCCTGTAAATCTCGTCCACGTTCTCCTCTCCTTTTTTTGGGCTATCTCTCTCTTCGACCGATCATTCATTTCGTCGCGCCCGTCGAGCATCTACTTCACAACGGCCGTGCAGCAAGACTGGACAATCTCGCAATGGCGACCACGGAGCAACCCGGCCTGGGAGAGCCTCAGTTTGCCTCCCACGCATCAGCAGAGCCCGTCGTACGTGTCTGCTCAAGCTGCTTTTTTGCGCCGTTCCCCTTCGTCCTTACCTCGTCCCTTCGCATGCTCCTTCTGACACGTGAAAGTACATTGGACTATGGAGTATTAACTTTATTTTTGTGACATAGGGCATCGTGTGTATCATGATAGCATCATGCTACTTTAACCGTCGTCGAGACTATTCCGTTTTCCCCAACAAACAGAGCCAGGGCCTGCTAGGTCGGACAGATGTGGTCGATTTACGAGACGAGCGCGACAAAGACGAGGATGAAGACCAGCTCGAGCTCTCCCCCGTCACCACGGCATCGACAAAGTATGGCCCGAAGAAGCGAAATCTCTGTGGGGTTGTCGTGCAGACGCCGAACTCGTCACGGTACGCCAACTACTGGCACAGTCGATTCATTCAAAAGTACCCGTTCTTGGTCGAGATGTTCTATTGGGCCGTCAACCTCCTCCTCTACGTCTCTATAAAATCCGGCAGCGAGTACATCTTCGCCACGGATGGTGTCTGGAAAACTGCGGAAAACCACGGCATCGCTGTACTCGATCTAGAGCAGAGGGGCATTTTCCGCTTCCTGATTCCCATGCGCGAGATCGACGTCCAACACTTCTTCAGGGCCGGTCACCAAGGTGCTTTGACCGTTCTAAACCGAGCATACTCTCTGATTCATATCCCGGTTACGGTTAGGTACGTTGAATTGCTTTTCTTGATCCTTCCTCTGGCTTCATATTCACTTGCCTGTGATCACATGGCTAATGCGAATCGGTCGTGCACAGTTTCCTTGGTTGGTACTACTACGCCGCGCCGTCTCACGCCCAATTCGCATCTGTTCGCCGCATGATGAGCCTCACGAATTTTTTCAGCTTCGTAACTTTCATGACGTACCCATGTATGCCGCCCCGTCTGCTGCCAGAGAAGTATGGATTTTTCGACACGGTTCGTCGTGAGGATGCCGAGTCCATCTGGGCCACGGGCAAATTTTTTAACCAGCTTGCCGCGTTTCCATCGCTGCATTTCGGTTACTCCTTCTGCATTGGCACGGTTTTGCTATACCATTCAGGCATCCTCCGCAACTGCCTGGCCCCACGGGAGAAACGCCAGTTCAGGCCACGCCAGATTCTCCTCGCCCTCCTGAGCGTGGTGTATCCCGGCTTCGTCCTGCTCATCATCATAGCCACAGCTAATCACTACTGGCTCGATGCAATGGCGGCGACGGGTGTTGTAGCTATGTCTTGGCTGTGCAATCGCGTCTTCCTGATGTTTCTGCCATTGGAGGATATCTTCCTCTGGTGCGTCAAGTTGGAAAAGCCTATTCCCACTACGGGTTACAAAGGCAATGCATTCTGAAGCGACTCTTCCGGGGAGTGTATACTTTTGTAATATTGAGTTCATATAGATGACCAGTTACGGTCGAGTCACTCTGGATGTTTGGTTACGACAGCGATTTGTGTTATCTTAGCATGAGGCATGCTTACTGGGGATTGCGATCACTCCTCTGAGCATATGGGGGCGTTACTAGCTGATTTTCCAACAGTCCAACAGTAGGAGGTCATCGCATTTTAGCGTACCCAGCAGGGCAAATAGGACAAACACTGCAGCAATGAGCTATTGCTTTTATAATTTGTGCCTGTTCATTCCGTGGATGGCCGTGTTTTCTAACCTCTCTGATTTCTATTGGAAGATTGCAATGGCTGAAAGCAGCCTGAATTTCCTCGGTGGCGTCGGGTTGTGTGGCTACGCTTTGTTGCAGGCCGCAGTAGCATGCTGGCAATACAGTAGACCAACGCAGCGCACGCAAGCGTCTGTGCGATGGAGACGATCAGGGCCGCGAGACAGGTGAAGGCGAAAGCGACTAGGAAGATGACAGCCGGCATTGCGGGACTTCGGATGTGAATAAAAGCGTTGTTTATTATGGCGGAAGTGAGGCCGTCAACATTCTTGTTATCGTCGTACAATTGCAAAGCCACTGTTGGCACGTCCAGGACCCAATTGGATACCCGGAACCTTAGGTCGTCAGTGGCATTTAGGCGGCGTCGGTCTCGGGATCCTGGGTGCTTTGGCTGGCTGGAAACCATTCTGAAATAACTCTGGTGGAGATTGCAGTTCCAATAATATGCAAATTATTATGTATCTTACTGTGTCACTAACAAAAGTGGCGGTCAAGGCTTGATTAATATGAGGTCAACGAATCCTATGGCGTCCTATGGCGCTGACATGCATAATAGTATCTTACTATGAAAGAACGCGACTCCCTCCAGGTCAGCCTAGACTGATTACTCGTTTGTACCACGTATGACGTGGGCTGTTACGGATGCTGCGGGCCTCGGCTACAAGGGTCGGTCGCGCCTTTGTTGACAAGAGGCATTTGCTTTAAAGACAGAGATGCCGAGACGACCTTTCGGACATCGGATGCGGCCAATCCCCTTTATCTCCTTTATTCTCCTGCGATACGCGCTCACCCGACATACGCCGACGCGTTGTTTTAGTGTTCCTTGATTATGCATTCATTAGCTTTGTAATAGCGACAGCGCCTCGATGTGCTGACACAATAATTGAGACAGTGACATTTTTGTGGCGAGACCCACGTGACGTGGAGGCCTGAAAAAGCGACAAAAATAAACATTGTCACCAGAGAGGCTCGAACTCTCGACCTCAGGATTATGAGACCTACGCGCTAGCCAACTGCGCCATGGTGACTTGTTTTGTCTTGTATGGTTCAACCTCCGGACTGGAAGCCCATATACCCCACAGCATTGATGTAGCCCCGCGTCTTCTCAGGCATTGCGGCACATAGATGGTTCTCAATCTCGCACCACGAATTTCTCAGTAGACGATAATAGGCAATACATTTATACGACATCAGTATCAAAGTAAATACACAAATAGCAACTCGACATCTTTCAATCGATTCGCAAGCCGGCCTCCTTGAGTAGGGGTAGGACCTTCTCGCCAAAGTGTTCCAAGTCGAGTTTCCAGTCATAAAAGCCAAGCTGCACGCCATCGATACCAATGCGATGTAGGGCCAGCAGCTGGTCACGCACCTGTTGAGGCGATCCGATGATGTCGATATTGCCAAAATGATAGCCCTGCTTGTGCTTGGGATCGAGACGACCCTTCCAGGCATGGGCATCGCTGTCAAAGGGCTTGCCGCTGAACTGGCGGCCAAAGGCGCGGTTCTTGCGACCGTCGTCGATGGCCTCGGCATAGGCTTCGGCCTGGATGGGGGTGTCACGGGAGACGATGAAGGGGTTGATGATGATCTTGATGGTGCGGCCGTGCTTGGCGGCAGCCTCGCGTATGGCGGCAATGTGCGGCGGGAGGGTAGCGAGGGCGCTGTCGATGTGGGCGCCGCCAGGCGAGGTGATGAAGATGAGGTCGGAGTATTGGGCAGCAAATTCGATGCCGGCCGGCGAGCCGGTGGCATTGACGAGGACGGGGCGACCGAAGTGCGGCTTGGGGGTGATCCAAGCGTTGCTGAGGCGCCAGGGCGATACACGGCCGTCGTAAGATATGTTTTCGGACTCGCCCCAGAGGCTGCTGACGACGTCAAAGAGCTCGGCAGCCATGGCGTAGCGCTGATCGTGCTCGATACGCTGCCTGCCGAACATTTCGTGCTCGACGGCGCGGTGGCCGGTGACGATGTTGATGCCCCAGCGGCCCTTGGCGATGTGGTCGAGCGTGGCGCCGTACTTGGCAATGTGCAGCGGGTGCAGCGGACCGTAGAGGACGTGCATGGTGGAGATGAGCAAGATCCGGCTCGTCACAGCGGCCATGGCACCGAGGGCGACAAAGGCGTCCAGTGAGGCCTCGCCGTCGTAGCTACCCTTTGGCAACCACTGGGTGCGGCTAAAGGCCAGATCGAAGCCAAGCTCCTCGGCACGCTTGACAATCTCGACGTTGTAGTCAAAGGTCCAAGTGGTCGACGTCGGCAGTGTGGACGTCTGCAGGTCCTGCAAGTCCAGAAAGACGCCAAGCAGCAGCGGCTGGCGTGCTGCCTTGCTGAGCGGGCTGTCCGGAAAGTCAAACAAGCCCTTGAGCAGCAGCCCGTCTTCGCGCACGGAATGGGCCATGATGGGCTGATGAGAGGTGGCCGTTTGCGAGAGACGATAGTTCTAGGAGGAGACATGCTGCGACGGGTTGCAATGCCAGAGTTTAAGAAGACGGCTGGCAGCCGGACTTGGCCAGACATGCCTGCAGTCGTGATCGCAGGCCTGGATAACGTGGCTTTAGATGTCTGTTATTGGACCTCGCCTATTTTGCGGGGATGGCGTGAGAATGGTTTACGATGTTGAAATAGCCCATTGTTGCGTAGGAAAGGCGTGGCCCAACAGGCTACCTTGTTAGTGTTGCAAACAAGCGAGTTTTCATTGGAAGCAGGACGGTGTGCATGTGGGAGAGGACCACAACTCTGGATCTGAACGTAATACAAATGCCTATGTGTTCGTGCATCTTGGTTGCAACACGGAACAGTCTCTTACAACCTTTCGGCTACTACAAAGCATGGAGAGCACATCATATATCGTCATCAGCTCCACAAGCCTACGATTCTGCGACTGCAAAGCATTCGGTCCAGCTTAGAATGATCAGTGCAATACTGCAGCTTACAGACTATATGACAGGAATTGCATGCATCATTAAATCTATGCAAAGAATACGACGGCACTGGAGGCGCTGTAAGTTTTGCATTCAGCCGGAAGATATTAGCGATAAAACGCGGGGTAATACGCAGTAATAGGCACAGCCACAGCAGCCACAGATTACGAACATATGCGACTGCCCCTTGTCAGGGATGTCATCAATGTTTACGTCGCCATGACGGTCCATTCGGGCAGAAAATCGGGAGCATGGATTCTGGACGGGACTTTGACCCCAAAGCTTTCGCAGGCGAGAAGAGCGGCGTGAAACAGAAATGGAATGAAGACGTGCGAACAGCGGGACCGCCTAACTCTGGCGCATATTGGCCGCCTCGGGCGTTTGTGCTATGGCAAACAGTGGCCAGGAACAGAACGTTTGCGGCGATGGCGGCGTCCATGCTGGTCTGGGCGATCGTCCACGCGGCAACGACTGTCTGGCCAGAAAAACGTCGATCGAGTAGCAGCGTGTGCTGGAGAAACACGACTTGCAGCAACACCATCACCGAGGCGGCCTTTCGCGGTGAATGGGAGGCCAATATGTATGCGCCTGCGTCGCGGACGGTCGAGCCAGTGGCCGTCATTCTATCGACAGACGGTGATGACGGCGATGGCGAGCGCCCTTTCGTTGCTGGCACGTCCTTGGCGCACAACGGGTCGATGCTGGTCTTCGACTTTGGCAAGGAGGTTGGCGGGATCGTGCATCTAGATTTCGTCGTCCTTGGCAACGGCTCTGGAGCCGTAGGCCTTGCCTTTAGCGAAGCCCGCAACTGGATTGGCGAGTGGTCGGACTCGTCGAGCGACGGCCAGAACGGCCGCGACGGCGCGCTGTACGCCAACTTCTCAGGTCCAGGCAGCGTTCGCTACACGATGCCAGACGCAAAGCTGCGTGGCGGTTTCCGCTACCTGTCCGTCTTCCTCATGACCGCTACATCTTCTGCTACGGCCTCGGTGCAGGTGGACTGTGTGCAGGTTGAGATCGCCTTCCAGCCGACGTGGACGGACCTGCGAGCCTACCAGGGCTACTTCCATAGCGACGATGCGCTGCTCAACCGGATTTGGTACAGCTGTGCCTACACGCTGCAGACGAACCTGATTCCGCCCAATACCGGACGCACGTGGCCCCCTCCTCAGGGCGGTGCCGGCTGGTCCAATGACGGTAACCTCGGCAGCACCGGAAATGACATTCTCGTCGACGGGGCGAAGCGAGACCGCGCCGTGTGGACGGGCGATCTAGGTGTCGCTGTTCCGGCAGCTTTCGTCAGCCTCGGCGACCTGGAGGGTACGCGCAACGCCCTGCAGACCATCTACGACCACCAGAACGGCGACGGGGCCTTTCCACAGGCCGGACCCCCGCTGCTCATCCAGGGCAGCGACGCCTACCACCTCTGGACCCTCATCGGCACGTACAACTACATCCTTTACACAGGCGACGCCACCTTCCTTGACCAGAACTGGCCGCTCTACATGCGTGCTGTCGACTACATCTGGGCCAAGGTCACGCCGGCCCATGGCCTGCTCCTCGTCACCGGCTCCAGTGACTGGGCGCGTCAGAACAGCGCCGGCGAGATCAGCGAGGCCCAGATGCTGCTGTATCACGCCCTGCAGACCGGCTGCAGGCTGGCCGGCTGGGCCGGTGATGACACGGGACTGGCAGAAACCTGGACTGTGCGGGCGAAACAGCTCCGACAGGCTACCATAACCCATTTGTACAACCCAGGCCAGGGCGCATTCATGGACAGTATCACCGATGCATCAATCTATCCACAGGACGCAAACGCCCTCGCCGTGCTCTTTGGAGTTGTGACCGCCCAATCGGCCGAGGCCCAGAACATCTCTGCGCTCCTTGCTGGCCGTTGGACTTCCATCGGAGCTCCGTCTCCAGAGCTGCCCGGAAACGTCAGCCCGTTTATCTCGTCGCTTGAGATCCTCGCCCATATTGCTGCCGGCCATCCGGATCGGGCCGTTGACCTCATCCGCATCAGTTGGGGCTGGTATCTGCAGCATCCCAACGGCACCCAGTCCACCGCCATCGAGGGCTACCTCCTGGACGGCTCCTTTGGCTACCGCACCAACGATGGCTACCGTGGCGACCACAGCTATCCCTCCCACAGCCACGGCTGGAGCACTGGACCGGCTACCGCTCTTACTGAAGGCGTGCTTGGCCTGCAGGTAACCGCTCGCCAGGGCCGTTCCTGGATATTCGCGCCCCAGATGGCGGCTGGCCACAGTGGGCGTCTGCATGACGTCCAGGGCGGCTTTGTCACTGGACTAGGCTCGTTTCAGGCCCGGTGGTGGTGGCAGGACAAGGAGAATCCAGGCCCGTACCAGGCGACCGTCCATACGCCTGACGGCACCACGGGCCAGCTTCTGTTGCCAGTCGTACAGAATGGTACCATTCCAACTATTCAGATTGACGGCCAGAACGCATCGCTGGCCTGGTACCGGCAGGGTGTGGATGGGGTGGTCGACCTGGTAGCCACAGATGGCGTCTTGGGCGGAAATCACACGATCAAAGTGTGGTGATCATCAGGAGAGGATGCATATATTGTTAACATGACCATTTGGTTTACCTGGTAGAGCCGGAGCGAGTGCGACGAACAGTTGATAGCATCGTAAGTACACAAATTGAGCGAGTGTCTATTCATTGTGGACTAATTATGTCCGGGGGGGACGACAATGATGGGGGTTCTGCCGTTGGCTGGGTGCTCCAACTTTCCTAGGCCAAGTTCACTGCCGCCTACGAAAGAAATATTGTACCAACAGTCCGCATCAGACAAAAGCATAGTGCCAGAGCTATCGTCTATGTCCCGAGTATGGGAGGACGTCATCACGAAGTTCGAGCTTGTTGAAGGGTGAAAATATGGGGGTTTCGTAGGTCAGGTCGTAGCAGCGCCAACGGCACGCATGCGGCCAGGAGTAACTGATACAATGTGAAAGGGCAAGAATGTAATTCTGCCCAAGCTAGGTATCCTGTTAGCAAAGCTGGATTCACCAAAGAGGGACACCTTACAGGTGCGCTATGCGTTGCCCAGAACATAGCACGGGAATCCTAAACGTCTTAACGGCTGATTGGGGGGCCTACCAACTCAATGGCATCGTAGTCAGGTCAGTACGCATTAATACAAATTTATTCCGCACTTTCCAAATTATCTACACATAAACACAGACAGCCACCTGGCTACAACGGTCTGATATGAGCAAAGTGGAAACATTAGGGCAAAAACGTCTCTTGACGAGCATAAGATACTAACTACAGGTAAAGGTAGTAAGGGGAGAAGACGAGCGAAACAGAACAATCAGGAGGAGGGGTCAAGAAGATCGAAGCCGGCAGTTAAACAGACACGTTAACATCCGTCTTTAGAGTAAATATAGCTAGATTATGCAAGCATAAGGAGTACTAGTGCCTTTGCGGATCGCCCAACCACCACGGCGCCAGACTTGGAATATAAAAAAAAGCGATTGCTCCCCTTAAAGCGATACCAGAGGTTGTTGGCGACAGTTACATATCGCTTAGAAGTCATTGTGTCCTGCGTAAACGAGCGCCTTGTAATAGAACACAAAAGGGGCAACAGTTTCCTACACAAGAAACAAAGTGCGAGAAAGTAATCCAATATAGTATTTACTAGGCTTATTGTAGCGCGGGGGGTCGAATCTACATCTACAATTCCCTCTTGCTTTTTTATGTTGCTTAGCCGTAGGTTGCTATATATAGTGTGAGTGCCACCCAAGCAGCGCTCTCCATGGATTTGTACTTATGAAATGATTTGCATATCCGCCAGGCGCGAAAAGGCTTCTTAGCAGGTAGCTATTGCGTCGATAAATGCATGCAGCTTCTGGCCTCACGGTTCTTTTCGAAGTTTGTACTTCGTATAGTACCGCTTGATGCCATTCTCTGACCAGCCGGTCAAATTGGTTATGTAGCCGAATGCCCTGGGGTCAATCTCAAAGATAGCGTGAGAGAATTGGCGACCACCTTTCGTTTTGGGTCCAATGGCCATCTGAAACATGGAATCTGCCTCCTTTCTGTCAAGCGAGACGACATATCTTTAGAAGAGAACAGAATTTGAGCAAAGGCTCTTCCAGAAGTGGCAAGCCGGCCTTGGCTGCATAGCTGTTACGCCTAGGCGCGAACCACAGTAGATAAGACGTTTGATCCCTGCAATTTGACACCTTCGCGAAAGGTTGCCCCACCGGGCGGAGGCGGACTGTTGGTCATGTTGCCGTCGTCGCTTCGGAGCAGCCGTTGCACTTGAACGGCTTCCAATCGCCTAGCTTCAACGACACCACTATACTATATACGGCCGCTCACAGCCTAGTAAAGCGGGATGGCCGACATGGTGGAGGCCATGGAGTTGGCTGCATTTGTCAAATTATGGGTGCCCAGTGAGCATCTGTGTATTGTTGTGGTTAGGTACTTTTAGCTATGCCGACGTGCATGAAATCCCTTACATAGTATCTTAGTAAATAGCGCCCTGCGCCACACAGTACATGCATTCTTCCATCACACGGCACAATTGTGCACCAACTCCCATTTTGGCCTTGTCCGTTCGACCGCAATACCGTCTTGAATTAAGGTAGGCTTCTTCCAAGTCAGATTGCCAGCTTTGCCCAGGCTGGACAACAGAGGCTTCACCTGCTTCAGTTAGGAGTTCGCCAGACCAGTGGAGAACACTGAACCTTACTTCATCCGGGGTTGTCCTAGGCGCATGGGTGAAACAGTCCCAGGTTCAGGTGGCCTAGGGGCGGTTATGGTTGCTCGAATTTACGGGTCAATGGTCGCCGTTATTGAGACAGCGCGGGTTTTATGTGCAACATAAAAAGTGTTAGGTAGAGTGAAGCGGGCAATCAAGAGTAGGGACGTGCTGGAATGAAAGGGACGAAACGAAGGAGAGGATGGCAACAGCATATCTTCGTGTACCCGAGAATAAACCACGGGGAGCCGCGACGTGCTAAATGCAGGGCGAAAGATCTATTTGCACAAGTACGACTGGCCACACGGTTGTCTGTTTGCCAATTTAATAAAGCGAAGCACTAAACGGGGGATGGTTTCGGCCGACCACACGATTTATAATGTTGGCAATATACTAAGACTTAATGCTGTAGAAATTAGCCGCTGCGCTGTTGATGCAGTTTGCGTCTACTTTCTAGACCATACGAATAGTAGGCGCGTGCTAACACTCACAAATCTGGGGAAATGCACGGAGTATTGCCTTGCCATGAGGCCTCCACAGCAGTAAGCAGCAGGGGTGTTTCGGCCGTCCTCAAAGAAAATCCGACACAGACCCCTCTGAGACTGAGGCGTGCTGAGGCGAAGCCATGTGCTTCGCCTCTGGCTTATTGTTTTTCAGATATCTTACAGCTTAGTCGAAGTGTGTTCGAGGGGGAGAGCCTCCTGCATGAGATCCATCTGTTTCAATCCTCAAAAGAAAACCCCGAACGAGATCAAAACCAGCTGCAACAAACAACCATCGAAATAGATACCTCAGAGAATTTTTTTACTGTCTGACCACCGAGATCAACGAAATGGATCCGCTAAGCCTGACTTGCTCAGTAGTAGCGCTGACACAAGCTGCCAGCTCTGTATGTCGATATGCCCCAATCCTAATTTGAGCCACTCTTGTATACATCTCGTATTAACGACGACAGATTGCATCGTCGCTTTACACGGCTTTTGAAGCGCTGCGCACCGCCGACGAGCGCATTGCATCATTCTGCGACGAAGTACAGAACCTTGCCGGGTTTCTTAACGCGATCAACAAGGCGCTCACAGAATGTGGATCCATGGGCATGGCGACAGTGGGAGAAGACCTCTGGCGACAGAGCGAGCTAACGCTTAAGGACATTGGCACGACACTGCGCGAGATGGAACTTCTGGTAAACCAAATAAAGGAGAATAATACGGATGGTCGGCCTTATGGAATGTCTCTGAAACGACGCGCACATATTGCCATCGACCTGAAAGCCCATGGGACAGCATTGTTGTCGTTCCGTGATAGGATACTGAAGTCAAATTGGGCGCTCCAGACGATTCTAAACACCATCGCAGTGTACGTATGCCTGTTTGTTTGCTTGGGTCCCAGCCGCACGACATTGCTGACCTCCTCCAGTTCTGTGTCTCTCCGAAATAGCGCTTCACAGGAATCGATCCTCATGGCCCTCAACAAGCTGAAGAGATCAGTCGATGACGCTTTCCATGGTACACGACAGACTGACGTTTCAGCGCGAACGCGGACCCGCGATCGATTTGATGTGCAGATGGCCCAGAACCTGCACAAATTGGCCAAGGCTGCCCAGACGTTTCACACGACGGCAAGCGCCACGGCATCTACCATCCACGGCGGAAGTGCCCGTGTTGACCTATGGGACAGTCCTCTTGGTGCAACAGTCATGAGCATTGCGGGAGACCTCTCGCCTTTCCAGCGTGAGCGTATCGAGGGGTACATTGACGGACAGATGCAGCACTGCCTGGAGGAAGAGGCCTATTCCACATTGATCCCTGTGCTCCCCGAGAGCGAATTCGAAGCCGGAGACTACGAAAGATATACCAGCGTGTATAATTGTGACCAACAGGAACATGGATATAACATGATTGACGGAGACGACGATAGTGAGTTGGAAAAACTGTTCGTCGACAACTTGATGGAGCTTGCCGAGAACCACATTCGCGACGGCAAATTCGCAAGTGCCAAAGAGTGTTTACATGAAGCACTACAGCAAAATTTCGACGTTGTAAGCCACTTGAAGCTGCGACGGCTTCACGTTCTTTTGTCCTTCTGCGACATCATGCAGGGCGACTGGAAATTGGTTGAGCCGTTGGTGGTAGAACTTGAAAAATCTTCAGAATACGAGTATCTCGAAGCAGCCGGAAGACTGCTCCATGCTGTTACACTGGGGCACCTTTGTGAATTTTCCTTTGATGACGCAGAGAAGCGTTGTCGGCGAGTATGGAAAATCAGAAAGAGGATCCTGCGGCAGACTGGCCATCTTCGGGATAAATACCACTACGATAACGCTTTGGGGCTATTCGCAATGATCTACGAGATGAAGGGTGACTACCGTCGTGCCGGTATCCTTAGGGGGAAACAGCCGGACTTCGTATATCACCACCCAGCCAGCCAGATCGACTATTTGCTGGAGTACGAAGAGCTGTTAGGTATTGACTTGCCTCGCTTCTTTCCAAAGAGCAACAACCGAAGTAATTTCGGTACTGGGCATCCCGAAATGGTTGACGAAGGAACGTACCATCTGCCTGTTGGAGAACATGCTGCCATGGTTAAAGACATGCACCAATTCGGTTATGATCATAGGCCTGAAGGCCTTGTTCAAAAAGACAGCTCCCACCTGAGACTCAAACAAGGCCAGTGGGAGAAGCTAGAGATTGACACAAGCAAGGAAGTTTATTTCCAAAGGCCAAGCTCACCCATGGTCCTCGATGGTGTCGACGTTGTAGGTGATCTGACAGCATTGAGTCCACAGCGCATGTCATCCCTGCATCGAAAACTGTCCAAGATCTTTCGGTATCGAAAAGCGCAAGATGCGGGTGAAGAGATAGAAATGATTCGCATTCGGGTGAAGAACGACGCACACAGAAGTAGCCAGTCCAACACGTCTACGACGGACTTGACACGATGGCTCAGCAAGCGTAGCCGTCTATTTCGAAAATCGAAAACACTTTTTCGGAAACGCGTTGGAGGCAACATGGTGAACTGGGAGGATTCCGCCTGCTTTGCAAGCCTTTCCTCAGAGTCGAACTCAGACGAAGACGATACAACCTATGGTGCATCGACACCTGTGTGGGAGGACGATTTAGACTGGCAAGAGAAGACAGCTAGCCAACATCATGCCGTTCACCGCGAGTCAAACGAACGTCAGGGAAGAACTGACAGGCATATCAGATGGAAGACCTCGTTTTCTTCCATGCCTGAGCAGCCTGGTGAAGATTTTTCAGACTCTGTAGACAGTGCGGAAAGTGCGTCTGAACATGATGACGTCTTCAGGCCATTTACCGAACCACCAGGAACGGGTGCAGAAAAACAGAAACCGAAATCTCGGAGAGCCAAATCACGACGATCTAGGGCTCAGAGAATGAAAGCAAAGATAGCCGCTTCAATCTCGGCAAAATCTGCAACAAGCACTCCGAGCAATGGCCCTCTTTATGGCGTCTTAAATTCCATTGATGACTCCGGCTACGATTCGGGTTATGGCACAGACTGTGGCGACCAATATGTCCCAAGAAGTGACAGGGCAAGCTTGATGGCATTAGTCTTAAGACATATGGACTACCTGTACGCCATGGATACAAGAAGGCCGGACTGGTTGAACGATATAGAGTTGCTGGTCGACAATTGGCCAGACACGCTAGAGGAACGATACCCGGCCTGGGGAGAGAGGCTGGGGCAGAGACGCCAAGACTATTTGTGTGGTTCGGACGCTTCCGAAGACACTCCAGATGCGGCCGAAAATCCTGTGTCAGTCAGGTCGCGGGACAGAGGCTTGAGAAGAGCATGCTCGTGGGTTTCAGGTTCCGAAGAGCGTTATGGCCCCAAGAACATCGTGTCTCAACCACTAGAAGGTTCTCGACCGCCAGAGGAGTCTCAGATTGACCCCGATTGTGAATTACCAGCAGAATTGCACGGTGATTGCACGTTCGAATTGGCTAGACTACCTTTATGTAAATCGTGGCATGCATGCTCCTCCTAAATTTTCCTCTTGTCCTATTTCCAAAGGTCACTTGTTCGTTTATTTATCTCGTCTTTGTTCATTTTTAGTCCTTTCTAAAAAATAATTGACAGCAAGACTGATCGTGCCTTACGGAGTATTCGCAAACGTATTCGTTGCTAGACTTCTCCCCGTTGCGACGACGGCTTGCGGCTTACAAATCGATTCTGATTAGTTATCCGGGATTAGTGTTGATTGGGACGTGTCTACCCTCAGCTCTAGGAAAAGACGTCATCACCAACTGCGCAAAACTGTTAAAATGCGAAAACTTGAGATCCTATGGATGTATTCAATTCTTAATGGCTGCACTTCTCTATATTGGTGGGGCTGTAGGCGAAAGGATAGCTGCAACAGTCATCACGTTTCCATCATACGTTTCAACGCACCAAGTAATGCTCGAGCTTTGTGATACCGTAACGACTAGACCATCCAGTTGCTTTGCTTAGCTCAATGATGTATGTGCGCGAATAAATGAAGGGAAACAAAACAGGACAGGCTGCATCAACCGATGAACGCAGAGTTTGCTTGGTAAAGTCTTCGTTCTACCCCCATCGGGTAGCGGTTTTGATAATGATTCCAATGCATAATCTTTGAAAATAAATGGGTGGTGAAGGACCGATTTATAATACGATCTAGATCGCAATCTATTGTGAGTTGCTAATGCATATCTTGGTGGCGGAACAGAGCTTGAGATACTTTATCACTAATATGAAAAATAAAAACCCCGGTTTCAGGACTGGAGAAAGCAGAGATCGGAAACGATATATAAATGCTCTCGTTTTCAGATTTAAGTTTGAGTTCATCGACAGCTTTCAATCGTCTTCTCACCAGTAACAGTCTATTAACACACGTTATAAATCCGAATTTTATCCTTTACTTTACTATTCAACATCAAGCAAAATCCGCACGTTTCACAATGTCCGATTCTCTGGCCTTCATCACTGGCACCTCTGGCTTCATTGGTGCACAGGTTCTGGCGCTTGCTCTGGAGGAGGGCTATCGTGCGCGCCTAAGTGTGCGGCGTGAGGCCCAAATTGCCGACATTCGTTCGCGGTACCCAGACCACGCCAGCAAGCTCGAGTTTGTTGTCATCCCTGATCTCACCGACCTTTCCGCGCTCAAAGATGCATTGAAGGGTGTCGAGTACATCATCCACGTGGCGTCGCCGATGCCCAGTCAGACGGCGACCGACCTGAAGAAGGACTACGTCGACCCGGCTGTCAAAAACACGACGAATGTTTTAGACGCCGCGGCTGTGACGCCTACTGTGAAGCGTGTAGTGATCACCGCATCGGCTCTGTCGGTTATTCCGCAGGGTGGTCTCGCCAAGCCAGGAGTTGTGGCAGAGGAGGGAACGAACCGCAACTGGAAGCTCGATGAAGACACTGCCAACGCAGACCCTTCCGGTTTTGACAAGTACTACATCTCAAAGCTTCTTGCGCACCGCGCAACATTGGACTGGGCTGAGGCTCACAAGAGCAGCAGCCTTGAGGTTGCTTCGGTGCTGCCTAGCTTCGTCATCGGAACTGATCTGACGCAAAAGGGACTGACTTTGCAAGGAGTGAACGGATACTTCTGGACCTCGCTCGGGCTGGAGAAGCTGCTAATTCTACCCATGGTGGTAGATGTGCGCGATGTTGCAGCTATTCACGTGCGTGCTCTGAAGATGAAAGCGCTGACACCCGGAGCGGTCACGGAGTTCATCGCTGATGGGCATCACACGACATGGGAAGAGATTCTCGGCTTCCTTAAGAGCAAGTACCCATCGGTAGAGATTAAACTGGTGGCGCCGTTCCCAGAGGCGATTCTGTCAGACACAACTCGGGCTGAACGTGACCTTGGCATTAAGTGGCACGCTGTGAGCGACCTGGTTAGCAGTGTTATGGACCAGCAGCTGGAAAAGCAGGCCAAGGTATAGAGTTTTTAAGGAAGTATAAATTGCCGTAGTCCTGAAGGCTGGAGTGGGGAAAGGGGGCACGAGAACGGGCGCTTATCATCAAAATTGAATCCATGATACTATTCCCACATTACATCTAAATGCGATAACTACATGCATCACGGCCGTATGTACAAATAGCAAACAAACCCAAGAGCAAATAAACTGCGACCAAAGATTTCTCTTGATAGCTAATGTCCATTGCAGGGAGCCCTTCGACATGCGTAGGATTATTAAGCGTTGTCAGGAAGTTGCTATTTTGACGTTCACTGTTTTCAACGACGTATCGTTTGTATGCTGAGAGCCGCGTTCTCCATCTCAGAGGCCATCGACGAAATAGTCGACATTGACATCCTGAATATGTACACTCACGGGAATGCCACATATGTTGTGGCCGCCGCGACGGCAATCGTCAAGCGACTGACAGATGTGCCGCTTAGTGCACCGGATCAGGCGGCAGGCACCTGGCATGGCGCCTCCTGCTTAGTCAACTTGACGGGCGACGCGCAATAATGGTCGAACTCGCAGCGGCCGCCCGCTCGACAGTAGCCCGTGATGTGAAAGCTTTGGCAAAGAGGTCGGTTACAGTCGCGCACAAAAAACTCCTTGTCGTGATTACAAGCAGGTTGCCCGCGCGCATTCGCGAGCGAAGATTTACGTTAATAAGTAAGGCAAGATGCTTGCGGAGGGATTTTATTACGTTGATTACTAAGTGCTATACGGTGTGTGATTGGCTACGCTTAAGGATAGGTTAGTCAGCTGTTAGCCAGTACGCAGTCTGTCTGCCAGTCAATTTCTACTCGAGTCTGCCTCCGGCTCATAAACAAAAGATCCTGTGAAGGTCAAAGGAGGCTATACGGAGTACGTGGCGGTCATATAACGTGATGCACTGTGAGGAGCAGGAGGCTGAATAGGGTCTAGTGTAGGCGAAAGAAGTGTTGTGTACGGAGATCCCTACCAAAAGTTCTTTCTCACCGCTTTGGCAAAATAAGAAGGTGGGTATAGTGCTAGTAATGTATTGCTACTGTATTTACTACAGCAGTGTTAGCGTATTTCTATGTGCTAAGCGCCCTGTAAAAATATTAGTAATTGAGTTATATTAGCGATAATATCCACTAAGCTCTAGCGTATCATCGCTAACAGCTTTCTCCGTATGATTTACACTCTGCACTATGTATTGCCGCAGTTATAGAAAAGCGGTGAGAACGAACTTTTGGTAGGGACCTCCGTACTAAGGAAGAAATAGATATTACATCGCAACCCTTCTGGGGGTCCGTATTAATACTAGTGCCAGGCCCCGCTTTTGTACCAATCACAGGCCCGTAAGTCCAAGTGGGGCGGAAGGGCCACAGTGTGGCGGATTCCAATGCTTGACAGAAACATGCGTTTTGTGGCGCACGGCGCCCAGTCCCACTTATTCAGTACACGCTTACTCCGTACTAGGTCCAAATAATTTACAGCATTATCTTACGCTAAGATGTCTTATTAGTATGATACAAACGTTATGCTTATGGGCAGAAGTGCACACTCTTCAATGGATTATCATGTGAATTGTGTCGAATGAGCTACACAGTATTTGAGGAGACATTGACGGTACGTTATATGGTAGAAAGATACGGAGTACGAATTACATACAAGGAGTATGCTACGTAAAACCGTAGGCCGTACTTCTACTTTAAAATAGTTGCGGACATGAAAATGAACTGACAATTTATCGTATCAACGTGAACTGAAAGGCACTAGGGTCGACATTACAAGTGCTTAGCAGTATTAGCTGTAAAATCGGGTAATTCAACGCCAAACTCCTTGGCTTCGCATTAATGTCAGTTTTTATTTTATGGCATTATTGCTTAATAGGTCAGAAAGTATAAACACAATCCCCCCTTTGCAAATCCGGTCTATCCCAAGTCTATTCTAATGTATGTCGCTGTCCCAGCACATTCGACCACCGCCCAAACCTATTTTACCACTGCCCAAACACATATCGCTCAATATCCTCCATTGTCCGTTGTTGGCGGACTGCACGCTCCTCCAGCAGCAGCAGCCGCAGCCGCTCGGCCTCTGTCTGTCCCATCGGACACTCATCACCAATGTGATCGGCAATCATGTCGAGCAACTCTGCCGGCAAGCCTCGTGCCTTCCAGTCAATCTGCCACCAGCCCGCATCAGCCCACCAAGAATTCTGCTGGGGTGGTACATTGCGCGTTGAGCAAATGCGGTAGTGCGGGTCAACGAGGTGCAGCCGCAGGAATCGGCGGTGCCCCGGCTTTGACGGGTCAGCCAGAGAACAAGCCCCGATGCGGTGCTGCATCACATTGGGAAAGGTGACCGAGCGGCCGTCGGGTGTGGAAACCGTTCCCAGTTCCTGCACGGACCGACCGCTGATCAGTCTGAAGGAGCCCTCCTGCAGGTCCTCGATGGGCACAACGCCATAGATGTCGGCCAGGGGCTCATACATACGACGAAACGGCATGGACAAGCTGCTTCCGTGCACATGCGCCATAGCGTCAAGGTCTGCTTCCACCCGAAACGACAATGCCCCGGATTCGGGCGTGACGTTGGAGCTGGAAAAGTACACCATTGTCGTAGCCACAATGTGCTCGTTGAGCAGACCACTTAACTGCCAGTCGGCCGCATCGCTAAAAGCGTTAGTCTGAAACGCCACAATAAATACAGGCCGCTGTAGTTTAACATACCGAGTAGGCTCTTCAGGCGTAAGTTCTATGCCGCCAATTTCAACTATGACCTGCAGGCCTTTGTCCCCAAACATATCCTGCAATGAGATGCCGTAAAAGTTATGGTTCTCCTTGGGCGGAAGGCTGTGGTACTCGTTCCCCACCAGTTGCATACCATTGACGACTGGGAAGTTGTTCTTGCCCGCCTTCCAGTCCTCGTAGGTAAACGACTCTCCAGGCTCTGGGTGCAGCCAGGGTCTAGCTCTCGCCGACTTCATGCGAACGACTCTGTTTGAACCAATCCGGTCGTCCCGGCTGAGACAATTGCACGCCATAGACGACCTGGGCTTCAGCAGAGGTGCTAGTGGGATGCTCGTTATATCCCTGACTGCCCTGGCCTCGGCACAAGCGTCTTTGTGCGGCTGGATTATTTTTCTCTGTCGAGAGGCCAAGGCTGCTGCTCTTTCTGGAAAATCCGACTTCCATTGTACTCCATAGGTGATTATGCGCTGTGGGTCTCTCCCCTGATCCCGCCGAACCAGGACCGCGTTCCACGGCTCGATAGACGCAGAGATGTACTGCTCAATGATTTTGTATAGCGACTGGTGCCATACTGGATGTAGATTGTTGATGTAAGATGAAACAACAACTTTTGTGTTGCCAGGAGGTGCTTCGGGAAGAAAGGATACTTCACAAGGTAGCCACTGGAAGTTGGGCGAGAACCGAAAGGCCCTAGGCTCCCGGGCAGGTTGCGCTGTATGGGACCCGGATCCATTTCGAAAGGACTGCCAATGCGGATCTTCCACTATGCCTTGGCCGCTAGCCAGAGCGACATCTTCCATCCCAACGCGGCCGCCATGAGATAAGACACGCGATGTTCCATACACGAGTGGATGCAAGTCCGGATCGACAAGGCCGGGCCGCTGTGCTGTTGATGGTCGTGCTGCATTCTTGTTTCCGAAGTTGTATGCTGATGCGGCATCTTGTTGACGCGCTAGATCATCGACCTCCACTTCCAAGCTGCTCAGCAGCTCGGGCGAGATCAGGGCGTCCGACTTGCAGACTCGCGAAGCGGCATTCAGGACATGAACGAGGCCGGTAGAAGCAAACACAGCTGCCTTGTCACGCAGCTCGGCCATGCACCAGTCCCATGTCCGCGGGCTGATTAGCGGCGCGGTCAACGCGTCCGCAGCCCATCGGGCAACGATAACGGGGTTGTTGATGTTGACCTCCCAGCACGGCTCATCGGTGATCTTGTTCATCTGGTGCAGCATCGCAATCTCGCGAGCCGTCAGCTGGGTTTGAGCCCAGTCAAGAAAGCCATGCGAGAAGCGGTCGTTGACTTTACACTGCATCAGCACGTCGTAGCCGAATCCGGGAACGCGTAGGGGACCATTGCCGCTATTGTCGAGGTCCGGATCCTCGGTACGGTAGGCCTCGTGGGTCAATTCGTTCCGGCTTCGCCATCCGCATCGCGCAGTCATGATTGCGCTTCTCACGGTGTCAGACGAGAACCGATACAGCCAGCCGTGCTGTGAGAAAAAGAAAACAGAAAGAAAGAAAGAGACATACGGAGTACAGTCGTTATGTATCCGAGGCCGGCACGCTAACAGGAAAGTGGTATGGAGCAGTAGTTCTAAATTCAGGGCCTCGGCCACTACTTTGTATTCGCCAATGCGCAGCAGTCCAGAAGTCTCACACAAAAAAGGGGGCCTGCAACATCGTGGGTCCCCCGATGTTTCCACCTTGTGGGCTGGTGGATTCCTCGCTGATCAGGCATCCAAGCTCAACCTCAACGCAACATAAAAGCCCTGCACCCACCGGCAGCCCTGGAAAAGAGCGCAGCAGATATGCAGAATGCCCGTCATCAGATCTTGAAGAGGCGTTTGTGCCTAGGAATAGTGCAATTGGTCCTTGGGTGAGATTGCATTCGTCATACTGCCACCATTCTTCCCATGGGGCACCCCTTGTACAATAGTGGACTGGAATCTCGAATTGCCAATCCAGGGGCACCAATTCTTCAGAGCAGCCACAATGCGACTTTGGTTTCAGGGGTGTAATCAAAACACAACAACGGCTTTCCGTCGTGGGGGGTCTCCACTACAATCAGTCAGCATTCGCGTAAAATATGTTAATGTCTGGCATATTTGGGACTCTTCACCGCCAGGTCAGTCAGACTGGTCAAAACAGTGCAGTTGTTGGGACAGGAGTTGTTAGAATATACTTCAAGTTTTGCTAGCAGCTATGTACACGAAAGATAATGTTGGGAAAGGGCGTAGCCTGAAAGGCCACAATAAAATATGCACAGGAAATGTTGCAGTAATGCAGGACAGAGGATTGCGCCGACAGACGCAGCGACCGGCCATGTGGCTTCAACGTTTGGCAGACATGACTGCGACAAGCTTAGGCCTGGACGGTCACGGTGACCGTGGTGGTCACGGGCGTGCAGACAGACGACGATCGGGTCATGGTCAGAGTCGTGGTCACATCGGTCGGGCAAGACGTGGTTGCCGAGCTCACAGCGTTGGCAGCAACGGTCACTGCGGCCGTGGTGGACACAGACGTGGAGGCAGGTGTGGTCGCAGCGGTAGCGGCAACAGCAGCGCTGGTGCTCACGGACGCCTTGGAGCTGGACTGGGCGACGTTGCTGGTGGAGCCAGAGCTGCCGATGGTGAAATCAACGCAGTTCATGTACGTCTGGTCGACCGACCGGGCATCCCACCACCACTGCAGAGCACAGCCGCCAGACGTGGAGCAGACGCTGGGCAGGTCCGACGGGATGGTGACGCTGAAGGAGGTCTCGTTGGCGGTGACGCCCGTTGCCGTGGAGGCGTAGACAGACCACGACGCCAGCGGGCTGCCGATGACGCTGTTCTCGGCCAGGTTGATGACCGACACGTTGGCGACACCGGTGTGCGGCGCCGATATGTCGACGGTGAAGGGGACGACCTCGCCGGCCGTGAAGCTCTGGATGCTGGCCGACGTGGCGTCGCTGAACTGGAAGCCGCGGCACTGCCACAGATGGCAGGCGGTAGCGTTGAAGTCGCTCTGGCTCTTGCCGTTGTTGGCCATGTTCTGGACGTTGCCATTGGGGTCGGACTCCATCTGGATATAGAGCTGCTGGCCGCAGGCATCCTCCATGTTGAGGCCCAGAGGACGAGGTGTTGGCGAGGTGACGCGGCCATGGGCAGAGGCGCCTGCGGCGAAGATGGCGGCGACGGTGATGAGTTGGGAGAACATGTTGAGTCTGAGCAGGTTGATTTGCGATGTGGTGTGCAGGTGTAGAAGGTATTTTTTGGATCAACCAAAAACTGTTCTTTGAATGGAAAGAATGAAAGTGGGCAAGAAGCTAGCTTGCAGGAAACGAATGGAAATCTTCCGGTGTAGATGAAAATGAACGAATGAACGACTGAATGTATGATGCTGAGATGAACCGATGAGAACAGAAAAAAGGCAGGAGATTCCGGCTTTTATGTTCTCGTGTCTTGTCGCCCGACAGTTCAGATGACCGTTCCGAGCAGAGCGGAGTGGATCTCGAATAAATCAAGGGGCACGGCCATCCACCAAGAAGGGGATCACCGGATGGATCGCCCGGTTCCCTTGCGCAGATCCCCTTTGCTAGTACACGGTCCCAATCGTTTCAAGCGATCCGTTGAAACGGACTAGGCCGTTTGGCCAGTCGCACCAGCCGAACACTCGTCCGACGGGTGGTGTTACTTGCAGTACAGCCCGCCTTCAACGGCACGAAAACCACGGATTGCACGGATTGCACGAATTGCACGGCGAGGGCGCCTAACGAGAGTCGAGCCAAGCAGGGGTCGCTGCGACGGAGCAGACACGTGTGGTCGTACGTCGTAGAGACGGGATTTCGTCTGATCATTTGCTATGTATTGGCAAAGTGGACACCAACCCCTGCCGGCTTGGTGGCTAACAATTCACCAGGGACCATCTACGGACTAATGAACAGAACACGTCTAGCGGCAAAAAACCGCTCTTCTGGACTGCTCCTGGCGCCGCAGATCAAGACTATCTGCCGTCGGCTAGAGGCTTGACTGGGGAGCGAAACACGGGCGGTCACGGTTTTACGCCACGCTCACTGCAAGTGATGGAAGAACATTTTTTTGTGGTATCTTACAAACCATCCTTGCAGCACAGCGGGGATTTGTCCGCCTACATACAATGTAGTACTCCACACCAAGAGAAGACAGCAGCTGGGGTACACGGGCTGACCAACGGCTGTACAGGAAGTTGGCCGCTGCAGCCAGGGCCTGGCTGTAGGTACGACGTAAGCTTAGCCGAGCAGCCCCCTGTTGTAGTGCCAAGACCTCGTTTGGATGCATGGTGGCGTCCTTGATTATTATGGGCTATTCATATCGGATCTCTTTTGAAACGGTGTACGCGTAACACAGGAAAAAAAAGGAAGATAAAAAAAGGGAGGACCAATATTCAAGCTAGCTAGTCTCTGGTCCGCATTATAGGTCTATTGCAATTACAATTCCTGTCGTCTAAGCCTCTTCTGAGAGGGTCGTCTTTACTCGTACATTCTTGTCACCGAAACCTGGTTCGGTCTCGCTGTCCCCTTCAGTTGCCTCAAGAGCTAGAGGGCCGTCGAATTTGGCGGCGATCTCCTCGAGCTTCAGTCCCTTGGTCTCAACGAAGGTGGAGTAGATGATGACGAGGTATATGATGTTCCACGCAGCATTGATGAGGTAGAACTTCCAGCCTAGATTTGCCATGGCGTACGACATTGCAAAGGAGAAGGTGAGTCTGTGCACACGTTAGGGAGGCTACCCGACAACAGTTGGAAAGGAACACGAACGTACCCAATGCTGCTATCGAAAAAGCGGAACACAGCAATTCCCACGGACCGCAGTTTGAACTGTGATACCTCGGTAGCATACAGACTGGTCATAGGCGTGATGGAGAACGCGTAGAAACCCTGGAAGAGGAATATGACGGCGATCGTTCCGTAAATTGCAGACTTGTTGCTGCTTTCGCCATACACTTTGATCAGGCCACCGGTGACGAAAAGAGTGATGATCATACCGACGGCACCAGTCATGGTTTGCTTGCGTCGTCCAAGCACGTCGAGCATGAAACTGCCAAAAATAGCAACGACAAAGGACCAGCAGTTGAGGATGACATTGATCTGGGTCTGGGTGACGGTATCCCTAATGCCGGCCTGGTCGAGGATCTTGGTGAGGTAGAAACTGCAAGGTAAGCCGAATGAACGCCTCTTGAGAGCCAACTTCACAGGCTGACTTACGAGATGATAAAGTTGCCCCACGAGTTGATCATACAGCCAAACGCAGCCAGGATGACCAGCCGCTTCCTGTTGCCTTTTGTCGAAAACACCTCACGCCACGGGTTGCGGGGAAACATGGCGGACTCGCGAGCCATGGTGGTGCGGATGTCGACCAGTGAGGCTCTGGCCGTGTCAATGTTCTCGGCAGCGCGACCCTGCATGACGAGGAGCACCTCGAGGGCCTCGTCGTGGCGGTTCCGAGAGATGAGCCAGCGCGGTGACTCGGGCACAAACGGCAGAAGCACAGCGGCCAGAAAGCTGGGGATGCACTGTAACAAAGACGGCAAGCGCCAAGACCAGGTGGACTGGATATTCTGACTGCCGTAGTTGATGATGGCGCTGAGAAGCGAGCCGACGTAGTAGCAGGAGAAGAAGATGCCGAGGACACGTCCACGCGATCGCGGAGGCAGCAGCTCGCCGAGCAGGATGGGGGCCGAGGCGTTGGAGATAGCCGAACCAATGCCAACAATGATGCGGGCGACGACAAACATGGCAATGTTCTGGGCGGCCGCCTGCAGGATGATGCCGATGGTGGTGACGATGACGGCAACGACGATGGCATTTTTGCGGCCGAGGCGGTCTGGCAGCGGCTGCATGAGAAACGTGCCCATAATACCGCCCATCCAGGAGGCCGCATTATTAAGGCCGGTGGTAGCTGTGTTGAGGTGGAAGTACTCCGTGTACGAGGGCAGGATCAAAAGCCCATTCATGACGGAAGAATCGTAGCCGAGGGTCTGGAGGATCAGCAAATTGGTCACGCCTTATCTTGCATTGTCGGGCTTTCACGGGGTCCAGACACGTACTGCAGAATTAACCACGGCCACTGCGACAAGAAGGGTAGTGAGAAGGTTGATGTTGCCAGGGACTAGGTCCGAGACGTACTTGCGCTCGTAGCGCGACATCGTGGGAGTAAACGGAAGCTCTGGCGAGGACAAGGTGTATCGGCAAGAAGAAAGTCAGCCTTGCTTCCCAAGATACAATTCTCCATCCAGACACGATCGCTTTCTGGGCCCCCTGCCTTGGCACTTATACGAATACCATGGTTGCAAAGCTCATCAATTCGCGATAAGAGAGTTAAATTGCCCATTCTCTATTGGCTGTCCGTGGTCTCGACTACCCCAGATTTGACTCGGTCGACCTCGGCCGAGTTACGCAAATACTGGACAACTTCGGGTGAGATTACAGATCGACCAAATATGCCATCGCTTGATTGGCCTGTTGATTTAGCGGCTCTCTGAGAGATGGTGCCGGATAATGGACCTTCTTCGAGTAAAAGGCTCACTCACTCTATTTAAGGGCAAGTCGGCGCGGATGGCAGGTATAGCAGGCCAGGCCCGCACCGCCTGTTTTCCCCCTTGTTGTTTTTTTTTTTTCTTTTCTTTCTTTCTTTCCCCCTTTCGCACTCTCTTTCTCGCTTTTCTTCCCCTCCAACCCGCCACGCCCTCCTTCAACAGCCGTTTCTCATCTCTCAGACATCCCTCACACCACGCAAACATCATGCCGAGTGCCATCACAGAGTGGCCTGCCTGGATCGAGCACACCAAGGCCGATCCGAAGCATGCACAGGATCCGGTGTACCTGTCGGCCAAGCGGGCCGTTTTGGCAGAGTACGGCGCCGAGGCGCTTCAGAAGAGCTGGCTGGCCGTGTGCGCACAGCTCGAGGCCGTAACCGCGGACATTGCCGTCCGCGGCTCGTCAGCAATTCCCGTGCACGAGGCTGCCGACGTCGTCGGTCCTGACGGTCTCTCGGCGGCTGCACAGGCCGAGATTAAGAAGCGCGGCTGCGTGGTGATCCGCCAGGTTCTGCCGCGTTCTGAGGCCGAGCAGCTCTACGCCGACCTGCAGACATACGTGGCCGATAACCGGGACGTCATCCGTGGCTGGCCGGCTGACTCGCCCTCGATGCTGATCCTCTACGACTCGCCGACCCAAAACGCCATCCGTGGCCACCCGAACCAGCTGCAAGTCCAGCGCCAGCTCAACGGCTTCTGGCACGACGACAACAACACCGAAGCCGACCCCACGTCGTCTGAGCCGCTCATCTTCTTTGACGGCGTCCGCGACCGGCCATCGCGCCAGGAGTTTATCGGTCTCGGCCCCCATATCGACGCCGGCAGCCTCAGCCGCTGGGCTGACCCGGCCTACCGCCACTCCTACGCCAACGTCTTCAACGGCTCGCCTGAGCGCCACGACTGCTATGACCTAGGCGTCCGCAAGCAGGCCCAACAGGCCCTGTTTCCCGCCACTGCCCACTCCACCGTCTTCCGCTCCTTCCAGGGATGGACTGCTCTTACGCCCACAGGCCCGCGCGCAGGAACGATGCTGCTCTACCCCGACGTCCAGTCTGCTATCGCCTATGTCCTGCTGCGGCCCTTCTTCCGCCCTCCAGCCGATCCCAGCCAGATCATGGACGCGTCCAAGTGGACCATCGTCGACCCCACCGACCAGGATGGTTGGTTCCCTGGCACTAACAAGAACAACAGCCAGATGCTCAGCCGTTCCAGCCATCCCCATCTCCGTCTCGAGGACTGTCTCGTCCACGTGCCGGCCCTCCAACCCGGCGATACAGTTTGGTGGCACACGGATGTCTGTTCTGCCCTTCCGCACCTCATCTGTCCTCCTCACAATCCTTTGCTAACAACTTTTTCTCACAGGTTTGCCACGCTGTTGAGCCTGAGCACATTGGACCCACCAACGCCTCCGTCGTGTACGTGCCCGCCTGCCCGACCACGGCCATCAATAAAGCGTACGTCAAGCGGCAGCTGGCAGCTACAACAAACGGTCAAGTCCCTCCCGATTATATGCGTGGCAACGACCTCGACGAGACAAAGTTGAAAGGCTACGTTGGTCACGGTGGCCTTAGTGAGGAGGCCAAGGCAGCATTTGGTTACTACCTGTAGGCAACAAGTGGATTGTTTTTGTATTTTAAGCCAATTTGTATATAAAAGTAATAACGTATCTTACAATGCAACGACTTCTCGACCGTATCTGAAGCTGCTGTCAAGACAGAAGGTAACAAACGACCAAGCCAAAAGAGCCGGATGTGAGGTTGTGTAGTGTGTGATGAATAATTCTGTCGAAAACCAGACCAAAATGGGAGGGGGTACTCCGTAAAGGGAAAATACATGTACTGTGTGGCGTAGGGGGCTATTAAGTACGTGTTTTCATGCACGTCGGCATACCTCGGAAGTACGGAGTAAGTGGGACCATGGGGATTTGGGCCACCCCCCCATTTGGGCCACCCAATTTATCCCAATACACAATACTATTTACAAACTTCAACACGTCGTACGTCTACCAAAATCACTCCAATTACCTCCTTTTTTGCTAACAGTATTCATTAGACTGTTATACGCTAGTATACCGAAAAAGAAATTGCTAACGCGCTTAAATCGCTTAATAATGGCGTATCTCTTTAAAAAGCAGCTATTAAATACGGCATACTGCGATTAACGCTTTAGAATCGATTACTTAGCTACTAAAATTACTATAATGATTATTAAGATTAGTAAAGGCTTTTTAAAGTTTAGGAAGAGCACCTAATATATTAGTTTTACGTTTAAGGCTTTATTAGAGTGCCTTTTACCTACTCTTAAGTTAAAGCTATAGCTTAAGCTATCATGCTTAGTAATAAAGACATAAGACTGCTTAGGCAATACTAGCTATATACTTTTTTAAAGCAAAATTCTATAATTTAAGTTTAAAGAAGTAAATCTTTTAATTCTAAGCGTTTAAATAAAGCTATAACTAATATAATTAGTATATTATAACGCTGCGCTAAGAAGGGGACCAACGTAGGCCACGCGCAAGCTGTACGCAGTATGCGCATAGCGTATTAGATGTACATTATAGACTAGAAGCGGTGCTTGTAGCGCAGGCTGCGTGGCGCAGTCTGCGCATAGGCCACAGCACGTGCTAGCGCATAGGCTAAGTAAAAGCAGGGTCGCGCCTGCCCTGCGCACTTAATGCGCTAGAGGTGCGCCTATAATAAAGAGCGCCTTCTGCACTCCTTTATAGTGTAAGAGGTAATAATTAGCTATTAAATATACTGCTACTTCTTTTTATTAAGAAGATACCTTTTTGCCTGCCTAACTTACCTAGCTTACCTAAGTATACCTTTAACAATTCTTAATTCTTTTACTATTAGGCTACCTAAGTTAAAAGGTAAAAGAAGTAATAGTACTTTAAAAGACTATAAAGCAAACGTTGCACGTATATAGTACGTAGGAAGAGAGTAGCTTTAAGGTAATAATTAATAACTCTTTTAACCTTATTATTAAAGAAGTAAAGAACAAAGACTTTAATCTTTTTAAAAAAGGACTATAAGCAACTAGATAATAATAATATAGGCAAAGGCTCTTTAGGGCAGACTATCAAGCTAATTATAGATTAGATAGTAGTAGACTTTATTGCTAAAAATAATTAACTATATAAAGTAAAGCGTTTAAAGCAGCAAATAGTAAACTTATAGTAATAGCTTTTAGATATAAAAGCAACTTAAGTAAAAGGTAAGCGTATTTAAAGTAAAAACGTTAATAAAGATAGCCTTTATAGTTAAGATATTATCTTAAAAAGCAGCATTAAACTACTCTTTAAGATACCTAGTAGCTTTTAAGAGCGCGTTACTTAGCTATAAGCTAAGAAGTATTACTTTTATTTAGCCTTTAATAAGTTAAAAAGCGCTAGTTACTAGATTTATTATATGCTTAAATATATAAAGTAGTTATACTATACTATATAGAAAACGCGCTTATAAAGTATAATAAACGTAGTAGTAGTAAAGGCTTAAAGTAACTAAGATATATTTAAGGCTTAAACCTTAACCTTTATAGCTAATCCTTATAATATAGCTTTTATTATTACTAATAAAATTAGTAAGGCTTACTAAAGACTAAAGTAAACCTTTTAAAACTTTAATAACTACCTTACCTTTTTTAAAAACTAACTACTTATTAAATTAAGAAAGAAATAAGCATAATTACTATTCTTTAAGCTATTCTTAAAAATAAAGAAAGATCTTTTAAAATTAAATAAGATACTATAAACCAAAGCAAAAGTAGTAGCTAAAGTAATAACGTTTTAAAGCTTAAAGAAGCTAAAAGCTTAGTTAAAATAAGATAATAATAGTATATATAGTAAAAAGGTATATAAAAGTTAAAAAGGCTATAAAGGTAGCTATAAAAATAATATTAATTAAGAAAACAATTATAGTAACTACTACTATAATAGTATTAAAGGCAAAGGCTAAGGTAAAAAGAAAGGTAAACTAGCTACTATAGCTACTAAGGGCTACTAAAAGAACCTACCTATATAAATAGTAAGTATATAAAGTGCTTTATTTATAAAAGTAAAGGCTACTTTGCTTAAAACTACTTAAAAAGGTAAAAGACTATATTAATAAATTTAGTTTTAGCTAACCTAAAAAGAATGCTAAAAAAGGTAAAAAACTAAAGATGCTTAAAATAAACTAAGACTTTTAGGCATTATTAAAAACAATTAAGATTAGTAAATTTTTTTTATCTAAGCTTCTTTTTTTAAACTAATAACTATAAAAGTATTCACTATATAAGATACTTATATAAGTCTTAATACTATTAACTATAAATTTATAAAAATATAAAGACTAAAATCTATAAAAATGTTAGTACTAACCTTTAAAGCGTATAATAAAAGCATTATAAGCGTAATAAAAGCGTAAAAAGTGCTCTTATATATAAAAGACTCTTGCTTAATAATACTACTATTAATATTAACCCTTTAAAGTAAGAAAGTTTACTTAAAGCTAGTAAACTACCGCTAGTAATTTAAAGTACGTATAAAGACTATATAACTTATACTATAAAGAATCTTTCTTACTATAACGCATAAAAAGCGCGCATAAGTATATATAATCTTACTAAGCAACCTAAAAGTAAAGGGTTATTTAAAAGGCATAGGCGTACTACCTATGCATTTAGCGTATAAGTATAGCAACGTACTAAATTTATCTAACGCTAAAGTCTTACTACTATATAAAACTATTAACTATATAATTAATCTTTTACCTAGCAGTTAACTACTATATAAGACAATATATTCTTTATTATAAAGAGAATTAAAAGAGCTACGCTAGTACTTAGACAATAACCTAGTAATAAAACAAATTTGCCTATTAAAAAGCTCTATAAGCGCATTTATCCTTTTTATACCTAAGAAGGATAAAAGCTTACTGTAAGGGGCTGGTGTGCAATGCGTGGTCACGAAGGCTTCACTGGTTTGTACTGTTGTGTTAAGACTTCAACTTAACGAACTATAGGAGATTAGTAGGCAAAGGCCTGCCAGCTAATATATACGTGGCTGGAAGATGCGGTGTAGCGCAAACCCAGTGGGGCGTGGCGCAGCTAAGTGGCTGTGCTAGTCCCGTGCAACGTGTCAAGATAGTTCGTTAAGTCCGCCGCTTGGTAAGCGACTGGTTGCCGAACCGGTGCGTAGGGACGCGTGTGTGGAATACCCTTACACTTACGCTTATACGTTAACTATAAAGAGTTAAATAAAGTTATAATAAAAAACTAATACTTACTACCTTTAATCTTTAAGATTATAAACTGCGTAGTAAGAATAAAGGTAATATTAAAAATTAATATTAAAAAGGCATATTATTGCCTAAAGATTAAAGAAGAAGACAAATAAAAGATAGCTTTTTAAACTAGATATAGTCTCTTTAAATACCTAGTCTTACCTTTTAAGTTAACTAACGCTTTAATAACCTTTTAGTACTATATTAGCTAAGCGCTATATAGTCTAGTAAATATAATCTATATTATCTACTTAGATAATATCCTTATATTCTTATATAATAAGAAGAAGTATATAAAGCACTTAAATATAAAGGGGTAGTATACAATGCATAGTTACAAAGGCTTAACCGGTTTGTACTATTATATTAAGACTTTAACTTAACAAACTATAAAAGACTAGTAGGCAAAGGCCTGCTAGCTAATATATACGTAGCTAGAAGATGCAGTGTAGCGCAACCCTAGTAGGGCGTAGTATAGCTAAGTAGCTATGCTAGTCCTATACAACGTATTAAGATAGTTCGTTAAGTCCGTCGCTTAGTAAGCGACTGGTTGCTAAACCGGTGCGCAGGGACGCGTGTGTAGAATACCCTTACAAATATATAAATCTATAAATCTATACTTCTAGTATAATATTTACTTAATTTATCTACCTTTTCATATATCTTACGTTTTTTATCTACTTAATTTATTAATCTTTTCTTTATTAAAAAACAAGTACTAAAAATAAGCTAGCTTAGTAAAAGATAGTAATATAAAAACAATTATTAAAAAGCAAGCCTTTTTATAAGCTTATAGACTAGCTTAAAATAAAGTACTTTTTATAAAAAACATTTAAAGCAAATAGTATACTACTAGTTTATAGCTAATTAATAAGCTTTACTTATTAATAAGCCTCTTTATCTTACTAGATCTTAATAACTAGCTATATATACTAAACAATTCTAATATTACTAGAATTAGTAAAACTATAGCTTTAAAAGATACTACTTTTTAAGCTGCTATAATTGTATAAACTACTCTTAGAAAGAGAAACAATTTACCTAGCTAACTAGCTAAATATTAACAATTATATTCTATATTATCTTTAAGGCAGCTTTTAATCTAAAAGCTGCCTTAAAGCATTTAACGAAAAGGTAGTTAAAAGCACTCTATCTAAGCGAAAAATAAAAGTATTAGAGGCAACGATTAAAAGCCTACAGCCTTAGAAAAGAAAGGCCGTAGTTATAAGCTTAAATTTAAAATTCGCTACAATTAAGGACATACAGAATAGCCAGGCTGCCGCAGGAAGAGAAGTAATTAAAGTAGGCGATAGCTTTGAAGGAGAGCTTTTAGATGATATATAATTTGCATGATTTGGTTAGGTATTTCAATTGCTATAATTGTTTTTGTTTTTGTATTTTTTTTTGATGCTATTAAATTATCACGATTTTTGGGTGGCCCAAATGGGGGGGTGGCCTAAATCCCCATGGTCCCACTTACCTAACCACAACAATACACACACGCTCACTAGGCACCCATAATTTGATAGATTCAAGCGCACAGCTCCCAGACCCTACATATTAGTAAGGGGTTTCATAACCACGCATCTGCGCGCCCAAGCATCTGCGTTGTCGCAACCTCTCGCGTTACTTTATGGCCTTCAGAGGCCAACTTCGGTTACTTTCTGCATACAAACTCTGTGAATCAAGTTCCTTTTCGCCTATTAGCTGAGAGATCCTTTCTAATATTCCGTCCATTGTTCAATTGATCAAGTGCAAGAGAATCCTTCTCTTATCACCAGTCTCTATTTCTATGGAGCTCTTAGGATTTGCATGTAAGATATCTTACTGAGGCAGCTGGTCGGCATGGTTCTAGGGCTCATCTCTAACGCGTACGTATCTTACTCCGTAGTCGCGCCCAATCACCAAAAAAGGGAACAGAGCCCATTGCTACTCCGTGCGAGTATCTCACGAGTACAAATACGATACTTGTATAAAGTACGGAGTACGGAGTGTACAGGTTCCATTGCAGTATACGGAATCTGCACTCGTGTCTTATTATTGGTCCAACCCTTCACTTGCAAAGCCGCAGGCTGAACCGTATGCATTAGCGTAATTGCAACACTGAGCGGGAATCATTGCTGCACTGCCCCCTTTAGGTATTACCGAGGCTATGCGTAATTGCTGACCAGTACGGAGTACTTCGTACGATGTACAATTCCAAATAACAGCCCACTATCTCATAAATGTGACTTAGGATGGAAACTGCATTTATACTTCGTACTCCGCTGCTACGCTCGGCATTTGAAGGATAGGATATAACGAGACAATCAAAACATCGTCACAATCGTCATTCTCTATTACCAGCACCCCAACGATGTCAACAGACGACAAGAACATGCAGATGGGCGAGCTGAGTCAGCTCCATGACTCGTCCATCATCTCACAGCTCATTGACATTGGAACTGAGGAGAATCAACAGAATAATTTCAAGCCTCGTCGTTTTATCGAAAACCTTCAGTGCCTCCAACCGGTAGGCACGAAGCTACGTCGAAAGTCAATTACCGCCCGGGAAAGGAAATACGTCGCCCTATCCTACACCTGTGAACCGTCAAAGTACGAGGACGCAAAGACAGGAAAATATCTGGTGGAGCTATGGGAAGGGCGAGACTACACACTCTCGAAGGTCAGAGACTGTGTTTTGGATCGCGCTCTCGGCTATATGAGATACGTCAACGTCGATCACCTTTGGATTGATGCCCATTGCATCTGTGAGGATTCCTCTGGTCGTGACAAATGTCCTAGTCATTCCGAATGCGTACTGAAGGGCGATGCTATGAAAGCCATGGACCTTGTTTATCAATGCAGCAAGTATCCTGTAGCATTGCTTGGCCGCTGTGTTGAAACCGAAACAGAGCTGCATCTTCTTTCGCGCCTTCTTTCAGAGGAAATCGTCTCCAACGTTGGAACCAATATGGACGAAGCTAAAGATGCACTATGCCTTCTTTCAGAGATCACCGATGATCTATGGTGGAAACGTGCATGGACGTTCCAGGAGAATTACCGTGGCGGTCTCAATATGAAGCTACTCATTCCTCATGCTTACAATCTAAGATCGCTAAAGAGAAAGGAAATATTTTGCGACATGGAAGGCGAGCTGATCGTCTCATCTGTCGAGTTCTTCAAAGAGGCGACTAAGCTGTGTTTGAAGCTAGAAGGGACGCCACATGCCGATCAGGACAAGATCGACAATGTACTCAATGCTGCGAAAAGATATAAATTGGTTTTATCAGAGTCAAGCTCTATGACTCCAAGCGTGGTTGCCGACATTGAAAAACGTGGCAGTGTTCAGCTCTGGGACCGGCTCGCTATCATCGCCAACTGCTGTCAGTACACAATACGCATGGACGAGGCCAAACTCGAGAGAAACGGGCACAGCCTCAGCTTATCTGTGCTCACTATGTGTCTGTTAAACGGCGAGATCCTCAATAACAGTTCGAATATTCCGAGGGCTGATAGACTCACCATGTCAAGCTTCCTGGACAATTCGATGTTTAAAGATTTCATGGCGCCCTGCCGCAACTACAAATTGGCATCTAACAAAAATTGCCGGTTGGTCGATGTACAGATAACAGCAGATGGCATCTTAACTCATGGCTACATCTGGAAGCTGTACCATGTGATCGATACGTCGGAGATTCGCATAAAACAGCGCAGTCAGAAGAATCTGAGCTGGGTCCAAAAAAAGCTTCTGTTGCTTCTGGACTATCTGCGTTCCGAACGACGCTGTTATAACGAGCTACTCAATATGTTGGATGGTTATCTTGAAAAAAAGGGATCCAGAAGAGAAGACTCTTCTTTTTCAGAAGATCATATGGACCGTATGGCTGAAGAGATAGCGAGAGCAATCGACGCGGGTGAAAAGCTGAGGCTAGGTACTCTCTGGGACCCCCAAAACGAGGGACGTAGCCCGTGTCGTGCCATATTCGTGTTTCCTGACAACGACAACAATCAAGCCTCTTCAAAAGACACGGCCTTCGTCTTCACGTCAGCGTGGGAGGCTAGTATCGGCGATGAGAAGCACGATGCCAACGATCTAGATAAGTTTGTTTATCTTGAGGTAAACATTGAACAGCCTAATGGCAAAAAAACCACGCCGCACCTTCGCGTTCGGTGTTGGAGAAATGGGATGTGCTTCTTCCAGCATTGTCGGCCTTCTAAAGTGGTATTTCCTTGGCCACATGCTTTGCAAGAGATGGAATTGTAAGCAAACCAACTTGGGAGAATTTTCAAAATAATCCCCGAAAGCAGGTGATCATATACTGCAATCTTATGTAGTAATACAGTGATCTGTCTTTCAGATAGGACAATAGCCCCCATCGTGGTTCCAAAGTCATTATAATGGTACGTATATCTTCAAGTAGAACATGAGCAGCAATAGGCATAGGTGACTGTTAAGCCTAACGCGGAGCGGTTTCTGCAAGTTTCACAAGAAGGTCGTCTACTGCAACAACCCTTTCAGGATCTGTACGCCCTCCTGCGCGATGACGTTGTGCGACTGGATGGCTTCGAGGTAGGCCATTCCTACGGCAACATCAGAGCGCCACGCGAGCTTCTCCATATCCGTAGTTGACCATTCAAGGCACTCTTCGACGAGGTGCCTAGCAGCATTGAAGACGTAGAACGACAGTGCCCACTGCCGCCGTTTCGTCACCGGCTGGTGCCAGTGATGGCAGATCCAAATGAGCTCCCGGGCTGTGGCGATGCAGAGGCTCCGCGCCCAGCTGTACGGATGGTGCATCGGCGTCGTCCTCGTTGTCGTCTTCGCTGACCACGTGTCCCGTAGCACCTGATTGGCCCGCAGTCGCAGGTGTAGCAGCACGAGCGTGATGTCGAAGCGCTGCCACACAATCCACGGATATGTCGCCTCCAGCTCGTCTGCCTCATATTGTCGGTCCGGCTGCAGGTAGTGCGGCAACGTATCGATAATCTCGGCCAGCTCACAGTCCGCCCGCCGCACCGTATCATCCAGGGTGGCCGCACCAGCCGTCGTACGTAGGGCGGCCTGGAAGCGGTGCCAGACTCTCGAGCACCGCGCCATGAAGGTGTGGTAGTGGACCGGGTGAATGGAACGGCCATCGGACCCAATCGGCCTTGGATTGCCCTCCACCGATGGCAGGTCGACGTCAAAGTCGCCGTCTCTCACTATCGGGATGCGGTACGGCACTTGGAGCCTGGAGACTGTCAGCTGATCAGAAAGCCTCGACGGACCAGAAAGCTGTCCTCGTCCTTACCAGTCACAAATAACCAACGTCCACCACAGCCGCCGGCGGGCCTCCTGACTCATCCCATCAGCAGCAGAAACGCCCGGCTGGTCAAGTCCTAGACGCTGTGCAATACTAAAGGCGCAGGCCCATATGGATTCGTACAGGTGCTTGTCGCCAAAGTTGACAAAGCAGATGCCCAGGATGGCAACAGCTTGCACTGTCCGCATATCCAGCCGGCGCATAAAGTCTGCCTGGTGTAAGCAGAAAAGTGAAGCATCATACCAGTTGCGCAACAGAGTGGTGTAGTCGTAGTTTACTAAATCTGTTAGTATCGGACAGGTCTCTATATGGTCTCACGGCCAGAAACCTTCACTCACGGGCTAAGAGACCTAATTGATTCGCCTCCTCATCATCCATGGTCAGCAATGCAGCCTGGTGATGGCGTTAGTTTCCTGCTCAGATTTCCAGTAACACGGCCACGCGCATCTAGTATGACCTACTGTGATGACACTGAAGTAGATAGCCAGCCATGATGCATCGTACTCGTGTAGCGGTGTGCCGGATTGCAGTGCGAGTAGAAAGCGGTTGTGCTCGTGCTCAAACTGCGGATACTCGATCGCGTAGTGCACCCACGAGTTCCATATCTTGTCGTACTCGACCAGGCCGATGCTGCACTGCGTACTGGGAAGGATGATCGAGTCCCAGCCGATGCGGTTAGAAGTGGGGAGGTGTGGTGCCGCAGATTGGAACAGGGTCTCGTCGAGTGCACGTGACCTCTCAACGGTCAGATGGACTGCGTTGTAATCCAACTGTTGTGACGGCACCGGAAGAATGTGCGGCTGTGGTTGCGGTGGCACCTGTTGCTGCCTCAGCAGTGCAATCTCGACAAGCAGCTGCTCGTATGTCGGCTGTTGATCGGAGTCCTGGGCTCTGTCTCACCGTCAGACCGAAGTTGGCTTCTTTCCCAACATACAGAATCAACTTACACGGTCACGTTGCCTCTGACGATGACCGTCTCGCGGACGCAAAGCTCTGCCTCACCCCGTCGGATGCAGGTCGAACATGGCACCGCCTTATCGCATCGGACCTTGCGACTAGAACATGGCCGACAGCTTCGAGGCGCGCGCTGGGTTGTTCTCAGAGACTGGGTGGTAGCATCTTCCAGATTAGTCGACATCGAGGCTGCAATCGCCTGTATGCGCACTATGGATGTGGGACGGGATTGATGAAAGACCAGAAGGGGTTCCAGTATTGAAGACTGACCCGAACTCGACCGAGATAGGATTGGCCATTGGGGAGAGTTTTGGACATTGTGGATTTCCGGAGGTCACCTGACCTCCGCCGCCCGAATCATTAGATAAGACGGAGCCCTGATCTGCGCGCACACCGCGCACTCCAGTCAACCTACCTACGAAATGTCATCGCTAGATCTTCTGAAGGCCTTAGAGAGACTGCGCGTACAGACTAGTGGTGCACGGAGTAGAAGCCACAATACCCCGTAGATAAGACGTCTTAGTGAAAGCTTCGAGTGAAATATCCCATTGTCTGAACAAAATCAGTATTCGAAGAGTGCATATTGTGGTCATTTCAGCGGGGACAAGCCAGAAAAAGCCCCGGGAGCGGGGCAAGCAGCTATTAATGCTATCCGGCTTGATAGACAAATGAGAAAGCGTATAGCTGAGGCGCAGGGTTCTTGAAGGTGGTATAGCACTGTGATTGACAATGCTCCCTCAATTTTGTTTTTTTGTCGCAGCCATGTTTAGGTCGGGTCGTAGGCGAGGAAATGCACTGTGGTACATGTTCGATTCGCCGATTGCCGCAAATGGAAGGTAAAACAATCAACAACTTTTGCATATTGTAGTTGCGCAATATAAAAATAAAGACATGCATCAACATGTTATCTTATGGGCTTGAATTTTCTAGCTATAGAAAAAAAAATATCAAGGACGAAAAAGTAATGCAATCCAAGTTGGAATCCAGATGATGGAGTTGATGTATCTACCCAGACTTGCGATAATATGTCTATTGCGATGTAGTTGGCAATTTAAATGCGGATCCTTTGTTTTTGTGATCGGTTAATTCATCGCCGAAGGAAATGAAGCTTCGTGCTAGGGACATCTGAACCACAGCAGGCGCTTCAATGACAGTCCTGATGGATTCAGCGGTGGCAGAGATCAAAGCAGCCGTGACGGCCGCGATCTTATTGGCTGGAAAGTATTTAACACCATAAACGAAAACGGATATACAGCATCTCAGCCATTTTTCAGCCATTTTTTTGGACGTAGAATTTAACGTCTCAAATGACGCGGCGACTCTGACTGCCGCAGCCTGTTCTTCATCCGTGAGGCCACCGATTATGTGTTTCGGAAGCACAGAGGCAGCTATATTACAGGCACTTGTAATGGCTGTTATGAAAGCTCTGCCTGCAATTTCCCTATCTTCTTGAAGGACAGCTATTGTGGTTCGTATAGCTATAGATATGCAGTCTGCTATGTAGGTGACCGTCTTCGGGATCTTGTCTTTCGGCACAGCATAGGCAGCGGCATAGATGGCAGTGGTGATGGCCGCTATTGGTGCTCCTGACCGGTCGGCTAGCATTTTGGCGATGTCGCCGTCTCCGCTGGGCAAGGACACTTGGCACTGAAGACTGCAGTTGCCATGGCTAGCCTGAGCTTGTACACTGTATGGTGGAGGATCGTCAGTTTGGGGCAGCGGCATGTTGCAGTAGTGGCCACAAGGAACAATTTATATTTTTGTTTGAACTTCCAGTATCTGGGGTCTGTCCTCTTTTCCTCTCGATCCCCACCGCATGGTGCAGTGTGTTTCAGAAGCCTATGCTGTTTTTGAAAAGTCCGAAGTGCGATGCCGTGTTAATGGATATTGGGACCTTGAAAACAAGGCTTTATTCCCTTTGCTTGAATGGTGTCGAGCGAGTTCTTATATGCCTCTAGGAAATCGTTGCAACGTAATAAAGTAACATCTAATGTGCCGATGGTTATTTGAACATCATTATTAATGTATGTGTATCAAAAGTGATGACAGTCTTCCCGGCAACAACAAGTGCTTATTTTGATATCCTTACTTGGACTGAAACGGCTGCTTCTCAGTATTAACTAGGGATGCAACCATCTGGTGGCCTGGACGGGCTTCAGTCCTTGGATGCTTTTTGTGGTCTTGTTTTGGGTGTCTGGCATATGGTCGAAACCGAAAGTGATTGTGATTGCCTCCCGCATTCCACAAAGGCGTTTGTTTTACGAAATTTCGGCCGCTGCAAAGTGGACGACTACTTGTGAAAGACTGGTGGTAATTCATCGTATTTGAGTATGTTCAAATGAGATGAGAATTTAAAAGAGAACATTGCCAGCTGTGCAAAAAGATAAATTTGATACCAGCTTATCACGTCACGTGTCATCTCGACCTTAGCCATTTCTGCGGCCTAATCGCGAACACAACACGCAAACGAAGGCTCCCTACGCTGCCATGGCTCCGCTTCTCTTCCACGGGGCAGTCATCCATTCGGTCTCTCTGCGGGAACTAGAGATCCTTACGGACGCCCTTATTGTCGTCGATACTAGCGGACAAATCGTCACCTTTGACAAGAAGATATCGCGACAGACAGTCGAGACGATCCTGGGGCGCTTTGGCGAAGCGGCAAACGACAATGACGACACAGATATCGTCGCCCGCATCTACCGCATTCTGCTGAAGCTCGGCCGCCCCGAGGCACACCTGCTGTCCCGCGGCGAGTTTCTGATCCCCGGCTTCGTCGACACCCACAACCACGCGCCCCAGTGGGCGATGCGCGGACTCGGCCAAGGGCTGCACATCCTCGACTGGCTCGACCAGGTGACGTTTCCGAGCGAGGCGCGCTTTGCCGACGCCGATCACGCGCGGGCCGTCTACGAAGACTGCGTGGCTGGCTTCTTGCGCCAGGGCATAACGACTGCATCCTACTATGGCTCGCTGCACGGCGAGGCCACATGCATCCTGGCCGACACCTGTGTTCGCCGTGGCCAGCGTGCACTCGTCGGCAAGTGCAACATGGACCGCAGCGCGCCCGACTACTACCGCGACGAGAGCGCGGTCACGTCGCTACACGAGACCCGGGCCTGCATCGCGCACATCCGCCATATCGACCCGGCTGGCGCACTCGTGCAGCCGGTGCTGACGCCGCGTTTTGCCGTCAGCTGCTCGGCCACGTTGTTACGAGGACTCGGCGACCTCGCTGCCGCTGAGCAGCCACCGTTGCCGGTCCAGACGCACTTTGCCGAAGCCGAACAGCAGGTCGCCGCTACGCAGACGCTCTTCCCCGACTTCGCCAGCAGCGAGGCCGGCCTCTACGACCACTTCGGCCTTCTGGGACCTCGCACCATACTGGCCCACTGCACCGTTATCACGGACGTCGATAAGGACCTTCTCCGGCTGCGTGGTTGCGGCGTCGCCCACTGCCCCATCGCCAACATGACCGTCGGCGGTGGCTTCATGGCCGCACCTGTGCGAGACCTCCTGCGCCGTGGCATCCCCGTTGGTCTTGGCACCGACAGTGGTGGTGGCTTCTCTAGCAGCATGCTCGACACAGTTCGCCAGGCTTTTGTCGCTGCCAATGCCCGCGAGGTCGCCAGCGGCGGCAATGACAAGGCCCTCTCGCTCGCCGAGGGCTTCCATCTCGCCACGCTCGGCGGTGCTGCCGTCTGCGGTCTCGCCCACAAGGTCGGCAGCTTTGCTATAGGCAAGGAGTTTGACGCTTCCTGGATCAAGACCGGCGACCCCAGCAGGGGCGTCATGACGATGATCTGGCCTGAGGACGGGCTGGAAACCATCTTTGAGAAGTTTATCATGACTGGCGACGACAGAAATATTGACAGAGTGTATGTTCGTGGTGTGTCCGTTAAATACTAAAAGAAATGGACTAAATGAGAGGCACTTTTGCGTTCCTCCTCCTAGGTATTTCGAGACGTATTCATAGCTTTTGACGTCAAAGATTTGCACTCAATAGGACTATCACATCTGATATCGACGCCTTGCAAACCCGAGAGAAGCTACAGAAGCTGTCTACCAGGATGGAAGGTAGGTGTCACTACTTCTAACACTGGCGCAGTGGTATTGACAGTTCAATAACATGTCGCTTCGGCGTATACCTAATCTATCAGGGAAACAGGTCTGAAAAATTAGCATGGTTCCGGTTTGTTATTGCTGCTGCACAGAGTTCTTGCAAAACAGTTGTAACTTATACAGCCCCGTGTACTATTTGTCCATTGTGGAAAATCATCGTCATTTATTGCTCGAGTCACAGCGTTTCGGAGATGCTGTGAGGCATAGGAAAGAATTATTTCTTGTCAGTGCACCTTGCTATGACGCTCTTGGTATCTCAACACGGGAGGATCGGTATTCGTTAAAAAAACGTTGTCGGAGCTCTTGACACACGTTCCCGAGCTGCCAAAAACTTCAAGTGGGCAATGCCAATGGCCAGTGCTGGCCAAGTCATTGGCCTGTTGGTTTAGCCATGTGTGATGGAACTAATGCACCACACATTTGGTTATTTCTCGGTTGTCATGTTTTATTGTAAAAAACATGTTGTACTTCTTATGATTAGTGCTGTTGCCAATATTTATTAATAACGACATACCATAAAATTCTGCTCCCCAACCTGAGAATTCATCTATCCCACGATGGCCCCTACCCATCGGTTTTAGGAGATACGTGTCTACCACGAATCATAAAGATACGATTGGCTGAAGTAGTGCAACCGTGGGCACAGGAAGATGAGCTGATGGATTCGAAAGGTAGATAACATTGTATTAACGTATGGTACAACTAAGATGTGCTTCCAAACGGATCGAAAAGGTCGTCCTTCATACAAATATTAGGTATGCGAAGGCTTTTTCAAAAAAAAAAAAAAAAAAAACGAAACATACTCGAGGCGTCTACTTGACGTGTTTTTTTAGCCTGTTGCTGTTAGCTTGGATGCAAGGAAATCAGAATACTTTACAGCGGGAAAGTTAAAGAAAAAAAGTGCTTATCATGGTTCAGCCTCTCATTCGTGCTTTCGGTTTAGTTTGCATAAAACCATCAATTACTGACGAGCAAAATCTGATGCTGGTGCTCTTAATTGAATTGTGACCACCAGAACCAAAGTAGATGTTCTCGGAACGTCTCCCATTACCTAGCAGGAAGGAAATCATCCTTTGTTGGGAGCAGTCGCTGTGCTCCTTAAAGGATTCCGAAAAATTGCAATCAGTGACTGTTTGCCCTTATTATACCAGCATGTTTGACAGCAGGATTGGCACCGGGGTATTAGAGAGGGAGTTTGAGATCGTCGGTTTGCACTTTGCAATAGCAAACGTTTCCGCTACCGATCAGGAACAATTGACTCGGGTCTGACTATTAATCCTATTTGGTACACAGTTTCCCACATTGATGATCTAAATGCATGCGAGCTCACTTTGCCAGCCATCCGTAATTATCACAAACACGCATGGTATCTCACTTCGAAGCTAAACGAGAGACTTTTTTCTCGGTCCTGACGAGATACTTTTTCAGCCATGTCTCCTCACAGGGAAACCCTGCTGTTAACATTGCCTGTAGACGTTGTTCTTGTCTTCAATGCTGTACTGAGTACAGAAAATCACCATTGACTGTGTCAGGATTTAACGGTAAAGACTACAAAATGCTCCATCTTCTAAAAAAAGCCATGTTCCTCTATGACAAGGCTCCCGCATCAAGGAGGGCCATACCGCAATCTGGAATAGATTTTCCACCGCTCGAGATCGTTTGACCTTACCGGACGCTCTCGGGCAGCGTGGTACCCAATATGCCGCTTGGTCTCGGTTCCATTACGCGTCAAGGTGCTGGGTGTGTTGATCGGGCTATCGTATCGAAATTTGGGCTAGCTACGGACGCCGTTAAAGTGGATCACCCGGTAACTCGGGAATCGGCGATGCTCTCTTAGGTCATCAAGGGTGTAAGATGTGACGTGGCTGTCTGGGACTGTGAACAGTCTGGAAAACACGTTGCCCCACGAGCCTTCAACGAGATCAACGTGCGTCAAGAAGAGTGACGAGGGCCTTATTGCTTCCAAGAGCAGGACGAGATCCTTCTCGCTCACGAACAAACCGCTCAGGCGGCATACTTCCAGATTTCGTATAAAAAGGTAGTCGGCGGCTGTTATATTCGTGTTTCCGTTAGCCAAATTGCTGATACTGCCGAGACCGGAGCCCCCTCGACTGCCATCAGACGGGCTGTTTTCATGGACAGCTGCCTGGCATGTTGGAATGCCTGCGTCCCAGTACAGGTTGTACCAGTGCACATCGAGAGACACGAGACTTGGCATGGTCCGAAGTAGCTTCCGGATATCGGATATCGCCTTTGCACAACCCTGCTTCTGGAGTTCATAAAAACTGGTCTTATCTGCTCCAAACTCGCCGGTGTTGCTGAGTGTTTCTGACTCGTCAATTTCGCGTCTAAGTCCCAGCGTGTTTGCATCGGCCGTTCGATGGGGTACCGGCAGGCTAATCCTGAGACTTTTGAGGCCATAGAAGACAGACGTTGTTCAACGCTTCCAGAACAACCAGGCCAGCCGATCGCTGGTCAGGCTGCGGAACATTTGATCGCCGAAGATGTCTAGGGACATGACCACAGGGAGCTGAGACGCTTCTAGCGCCTCCATGGTCATGTCAAACGTGCACTGTGCCATGTCCCATATGCCCATCCACACCAGATGCCACTTTGCCGGCTTATTGCCCCCCGGGTCGCTTTCGCTGGGGATTTTCTCCTGAAACGGTGGTCCGGGTGTGGTGACGCGCAGACAGAGCGAGCCTAGATACCCATGTGGCGACCGCACCTTGATGTGACCAAAAGCCTGCTGTAGGAGCTGTGTGTACATTGCCTTCTGCTCTGGGTCTGGGCCGGCCAGTGGTAGGTCGGATGCGAGCAGTTCTGAGGCAGGATTGTCGTCTGGCACGTATTCAAAGATCCGGGCACTCGGCGTGGCCAGAGCCGGACTCTCGGGTATGTGGTTGGCTACCCACTCGTCCAGCGTGCCCGTGATGATACAGCCCTGCAGCTGGCAAGCTAACGTGCTGCTGCCGGTGATGCAAACAAAGTTCTCGAGTCCGCTAGCGTCAGCCGGACCGTTTTGTCTCCTTTGAAGCAAGCCTCTAACCGTTCTTCGGTTGCTTTGTAGGCTAGGTCGCGACATACAGCGCGAAGAGACCCAATATCAGATACGTGCAGATATGAGGTGATGAGAAAAACAAGCTCAAGAGGGAGAGTGTCGAGACAGGCCATAATATTGTAAATTTGTTGGTGATGAAAGGCCTTCTTGGTTGGCACGCGGCGATTAAACGATATAAAAAAGGGGCCGGCAGGTTGACAAATGCTGCTAGGTGATATGGAGATGATTACCTGAAAGACTGGAAATAATAAAAGTGTTTTAAAGCTCCCCCCCCCCCCCCCCCGAGTAAATCATTCTCCATGAAAACCAACGTAGCACAAAGGACCTCGTGCACTCCAGGGCCGTGGCCGATAACGGTGCTGGAAAATCGATGCGCGTTTTAATTCCCCAGGTTCTTCAGATAACTAGGTCATGTGCATTTTAGGGGGCTGCAGCGTATTTAGGGGAAGACAAAGTGACGTAGAGAGCCCTTGGAAAGTCCAAGGAACCCTCTAAATCAGTAAACTTACACAAAACACGCCGAATACTGGGTAATGCACCGCATATACTGCAGCGAGGATGTTGCGTACATTAAGAAGAGAATGCCAAAAGTACTTGTTAGAAAGACAGCCCATATTTCTCTCTTTGTCTGTGGTTTACAAGGTTGCTTCGATTCAAGTCTACTCGCAAGTACTTCCGTAATATCTAACTCAACCCGCAACATCCGGATATTACCCCGGATATTACGACAGCGTGAAAAGGGAGGAGAAATGCATAATAGCATTTACGATTTTGTACTGACTGTTTATAACGCCACTTCTTGTTAAGCTTACACGTAATTAAAGAAGGTGCCAAACTGATCCATAATGTCTGTCAGTAGCTGCAAGACCTCAAGAATTATGGATAGAGCCTCGGTAGTAGTCCAGTTGCGTGCAGACATCTGCTGTATATGGTCACATACGATGAACAGGGCGGGCATATATGTAAGTTGGAGGAGTCCCTGAAAAACGTTAGACACGCCAATACAGTTCCAAAAGACGTGCCAGTCGCGGAGGACGAGGCGAGGGGGGAGATTGGGGTTTGGCCGGAGGGCGAGTGAATGATAGTGGCTAGCGAGGATCTCTAGGCGATTGGCAAGGTGACGGGTGTGGTGAAGGACACTGCCAACTTCGGCCATCGAACCCCTCTGATACAGACCCATGTTCAAGGTACTAATTATTGCACATGCCGAGTTCAACAGTCTAGACCAGTCTGCCAGAGTTCTGTCCATGACGTCGCAGTTGTATGGTGTCAAAGGGACTGGAAGCCCCAGCCAACCGGGGATGACCGATCGATTCGCTGAAGAGGGAGTGCTGAGTATACTCTCAGAGGGCTGCCCATTTCCGTAGGCCATTTTGTCGATGATTTTGTCTAATTCGATGCTATTGTTGTCGTTGATGTTGATGATGGGAGCGGTCGATTCGTGTTGTACTTCGCTGATTGGGATCGTTGGATATTGCATGACGGAATCAGAGCGTGTGGTGATTCTCTGTGTTTTTATAGATACATCGTACCTTTATGTCATGACAGCATTGATGAGATGAACAAAGATTCTTGAGGCAAGGAAGACCGAGTAGAGTGAACAAGGTGTTCCATGACGGGAGACGTGAACGAGGGCTATGTTCAAGAAATGAGCGCCGTCTAGTTGAACAAAAAAAATATTCATGTTCTATTGTACTTACGTCTTACGTGCGGCTTTTCGTACCAATATTTCAAGTGAATTGGCTTGTTTTGCTTTTTGTTTTTGCTAGAAAGAGCATGCTGTTTTGAACAGGATGTTCAGGTCACGTGCTTGAACTTGCTGTTTTCACACAATATCAAATACTTCCCGCGTTCTGCTACATTATTTCAACCTGCTCTCTGACCATTAACTTTACTCCATCAGCCAAAAATTTCAGGCAACGGTGATGATCTCTAATGGCAGTATCTCGACGCATGCCTCAATTGCAACACTTTCCAAAGTCACCGGGACCGCTCAAAGCAGATATAGACGAGACGATTGATTTTGTGTCAATCGTAAAGTTTCCTATACCATCTGGACGTGCCTCTGTAGGTTTATCGGGGTCCCCAAACGTATCCCGCTATCGTTCCCGTTGTTAAGCAAAGAAAATAGTACAATTATGTCTCCTGAATGAGCCTAAATGGTAATACTAGGGCTCTCCTGGCATGCCGAGATCAAAATAGATATTCAAGCCGCTTCAGCGTGGCTGCCGCCTATCTGTATAGGCACAATGTTATGGTGCTGGGAGGCTACTTCATTAATATCGTCAGTTGCAATGAAGAGAGCTTCACAGGATTCTATACCACCCTCGAGCAGAAGCCTCCAAGTCTCACAGCCTTGTAAAAACGACCAAAGTAGTCTTTCAAGTCCATAGCGTAGGAATTTGGGCTTCAGTAGCATTGCTTCTTTATAATCGTAAGCGTTTTTTCCGTATCAGAAAAAAACCTGTCTTTAGCAGCGGTGACAACTGCTCGTTTTGAGGGAACTTAAAATTAAAGTAGGGCTTTTTTGTTCGTATCCCTTGTCTACTTGTCCTCCGTAAATACACAAGACTTTTTTCCATCTCTGACAGGCTCTGTCGCCTTGCTGTCGCTTTACCGCGTCACTGCCCTCAGTGAGTCGCCCAAAACAAGTCACGCGTCATTTGCACGAGTCGTATTCTTTCCACCGCATCCCCCATCTCAGTGTAAGCTCACTGTCGGTGTGACATTGGAAAAGCACAGCGCGCGGATCTGAATCCGCAGGTCTTCAAGGACATACCCCAATTCGATAGCCGCTCGATTCAGCCTCGTGGCGCACTCAATCGAACTGGGGCGCGCATCCGAGTTCTGAGACATCGGCCTGTTGCTCAAGACCACAGTTTGACGCAAGAGGGCGATCTGCCTTTGGAGGTGAGGCCGGTATACACAACGCGCTCGGCTGCCCTGACCATTGGGGCCAATGGACTGTCCGAAAAGGCAGTGCATGCCCCAGTCTTGAAAGATGCTTGCCGTGGACAGGTACGCATTGGCCGATTCGGCCGCTTTTTCTTCGTACTTGAGGGCGAGGCGTAAGATGCCAGTGCCAGCACGATCTGCACGCTGCATGATGCGAGCAAAGTTGATAGTGTTAAGCTCGAGGGTGTTTGAGATGGGCCGCATCGTGGCACACACCACCATGTACGTCCGCATAATGGATGCCCATTCGCGGCATCCGTGAGCAATCTGAAGCCACTTTTGAATTCTGGGGATGTTCCCCACAGTCCCAATCGAATCCATGGCACGCTGGATGTGTCTGGGGATCTCTTCGCTCATTTTGCTAGTGACAGAGAAGCTTGGGATTGTAGATTGGATGAGATCGAAAGTGAAGACGAGAAGGGATGGCGGGAAGTGGAGATTGATGAGAGCCCTGAAATTAAATTGAAGGCGTTTGTTTTGTTTTGAAAAAAACAAAAAAATCTATTTGTGGGAGACTGAATTTATTCACTTGGCAGGTTTTTTGTCTTCTCTCCGAAGTCCAGCCGATTCGGAGGGGGCAGTCTCGCTTATTCTCTTGGCCATGATACAGTAAAGAGAATCCGAGATCATTGCACTTTGTTTGTTTAACTGCTAAGCAATGGTTTCTTGCTTCATTGATAAGTTCCTATGCGTAGCAAGATATCTGACAGCCTCTTCAACTCCCCCGTCTTTTGCTACACGACACACAAGGTAAACTTCCCTTTCTGGGTCACGCACTACAAGGGCTACCTTTGTCCCCACGAACAGCCTAATTATACAGATTTCCAACACAGTCGAGGGTCGACATGATGTATTCCACACGCACCAAGGCGACACTTGCGTCCCAGTCGACAGTCACGTCAGCCATATTCAAGTCTTCCTCCAGAGGCGCCCACTGGCTATTAATACGAGCCATCTCTCTATTTCTTGCAAAAGCCAAGAGGTGGTAGAGATGCTGATCCCTCTCAAGCATCTCCAAAGGGACGTCCGATGTGGGAGGACGTTGGTGTGCTGCTCGAAAGTAGTCGGCAGTCCATGTATCCTGCAGCGTTTCCCACCCACCCAACTTTTCGAGAAACTCGCCCCCCTCCGCTGCCCGCTCGTACCGGATCATTGCCGTTTGCAGACAGGAGATTGTTAGTCTAATTCTCTCCAAAGTCGTGACGAGTCTGGCACTGAATGACCGCGGGATGGTTTTCGAGAATCCAGCCAGTCCTCAGAAGAGAGGTCAGCCAGACTTTCGTAGACGCGTAAAGGTACCGATATTCGTCAGCATTCCCTCGGCGAGGATCATGTCCACGGATCGGGAGACAGTGTGGGTAGGCATTGTAGATAGTGGTCTCAGGACCTGAACGTTCCTGCTTTTTGTATTTGAAAACCTTGTTGGTCAGCTCGACTTCTTTCTTCGCTACAACCTCTTTGCGGTGACTTATTTGGATTTGGATGATATGCGATCAAAGGCTTGTATTTTCTGCGATGATTCTTGCTTGCTTGTCTGCTTTGTTTCCTCTGGGTAATTTTGCGGTTATGGGAGGTTGAAAGAATCAAGTTCCTGAAGCAAAATGAACATAATACTCGAAACTGTAACAAAGAGGTCTTCTTGTGTGACAAAAAGGTTTGCAGTGAAATGATTAGAGGGAGGGGGGACTTACGGCCAGAAAAGCAAGCTTTCTAAGGCCGGTAGTTCCACGGTGAGCAATGGCCAAGCCAAACCCACACGTCACAACTATTAATGCATTTTCTTCTGGAAAGATAACTTCCGTTTTTCGTCAAACAACGTGTGTGTGGTTCAACCTTCAGACGAGATGTGATTTGAACATAGCAAGGCTTTACTTCACCCCTGCTGTGGGCTTCTCGTCTACTATAGGTAGTAGAAGCATAAATTACTTCGGACAGGCTCAACTTTATTCAATCCACAGACAAAGCTGCCCACTCTTTCTAGTTCTTCCTGCCCCCCTCCTGTGGCAGCCCCTTTGGGTCTTGGACCGGGAAACCGTTGCTACGATCACGCGGGACGTAGCTGTCCACAGCGTCCCAGGACAGAGCTACGCCGAAGCTGTATAGCCCATATTTCATACTGGGTGGTGCCGTGGTTAGCTAGGGACTAGAGATGTCATTACAAGACGAACGAAACGACTGGCTAGACCTGGGTGCTGGAGAAGTGGTGGAAGCACGTCAAGGTTTTTGAAATTAAATATTGGGGCCGAGATTCCTAGGATCTAATGGCCACAAACATTGTACTTGAGGGGATCTCGTAAAAATGGGCGGCACAAAAAGCCGGTATTTCTGTCGTACTGTTGTCATCGGACATAATTTTCGGATCCTTTTCGCGGAATATCATTTGGGTACGTCCATCATGTCCTACCAATAATGTCATCGCAGAGAAGCACGATGGGGATATCTGAAACCTGCTCAGTTCAGCTGAGGTAAGGTAGTCAAAGTTGATGCCTGCAATCGAAGGTCGCAAAGGCATACACAGCATTCGACTTTGATCATGCTCTGCTCGATAGCTGGGAAGCTGGCCACATTCCGGAAAATGCCCGGCCAGTAACTGGCGACCAGACGTATGTGCTCAGTTTCCTCTGATGTAGTTTCTGCTCCGTTATTTTGTTGATGGCCCCAAAAATTTCGAAAGGCATGACTTTTTCTTTGTTACAATCTCGAAAGGCCCAAAGAAGTCGTAGTTGAAAAGGACGGACAAAAACTGCAGTGTAGAATTGGGATGTTTTTTTGTTGTGCTTTTTGTACTCAGCTTCCAAGGCAGTAGAAGGCACAAAACTTGTTTCAGTACTAAGCGAACTTTGAACATCACTTTGTGAACATGAAGTGCCTAGAAGAAAGGAGATCTCTTGTGGTGGACAAAATTAGTCACAAAGGGGATTATAACCGTGCTTTTTTGTGGACGAACAAACGCGTCTTTGACGCTTCACCGCTCATGACATCGCCTTTGAAAAATAGACAGACTCTGAACAATGCCTCTAAGTATTTGTACAGGGTAGAGGGATACAGTTGCTTATAGCTTTGGCTAACGGTTTTCTACATTTAGTTGCTCGATATGACCATAAAAGCACTCCTCCTCTCTCTACACCACGTCCAAGGAACAATGCAAACACGAAAAGGGCGACCAATAGGACAACCGATTTATTTCACTACTTGTTTGAATGATTTTGGTTCTTCCAATCGTCTTCGAAATCACATTTCTGCTCGACTGAGCTATCATATACTCTTCACTCTACCATATACACTTGACGATCATAATCTCCCGTACCTGAAACCTCCAGTCAGCTGGCGAGCACGGCGGACAGTCGTTTCACAACTATAATCCAGACCTATCCGTGATACACTGCGAAGTGTCTTTTTTATTTGAGAAACTTGGTAAGTGCCCGATAATTTATTGATGATCTCTAATTTGTGGCTTTTTAGGCGGCATATGGTCAGCAACATGTCATACTTCGACGAGTTGAATCCAGCACCCTTTTTAAACCTAGGACCTTTCGCTGCGAATACTTGAATACAAACCGAAAAAAAATCTCTAGTCGTAACTACGCATAGGATCTCCGAAGGTCTGCTGTACTAGTCAATCCGCACAAAACTGTCGTATTGCTGCATACTGCTAGATTACTTCAGGAATAATTGGCCATACGATCAATCATTACCGTCTTATTTGCAGTACGGAGTACACCGTATGTATACCAGTTGGCACATTCCCACTGGGTTTTTTACGCGCTTATCTGCAAGAACACAGGGCACGACAACAGAAGCAAATAGAGGCACCGTGCACAATCAACACAAGGTTGCACAAGCGATTTATATTTACTTTAGCTAATCTTTTCCAGTGTGATTATCTTGCGATCGAGTTATTATCTGCATACGTTGATGACAGAAGCATACAAGAGACAATCAACAAGCAGCACCGTCTGAAGAGAAGCTGGATTCGCAACAGGGAACGATAGTCGTGCTAAACGACAGTCCAATCATGGATATCATAATTAGTCGAAAATCGGCCCCCGAGAGAAGCCTGGCCTAGGACAGTGTTGCGAAACGCTGATCCAAATCCGAGCAAGGTCGCCGACAAATTTTGACAAATATGGCCAGTAAAATTAAAATGATATAAAGGCTTGGAGCTGTTCGTCATTCACAAGAAGTAAACAAAGATCGCCCGCTTCTCGCGACAAAACAATCTATTCTAAATAATGGTATTGAACACCCTTCCAATCCTGCTAGTCGCTTTCTCCTCGTCTTCATGTTCAGGGAGATACCGACCCGACCAGAGATCAGTCTCCGTGGATCGTACAAACTGTAACCATATGTGAGTAATTTGGCATACTGTGGTAAGACAATATTGTGTGAATCTTACCTTTGTCTTTTTCCATAATTTCCATACAAAGATTGGGATGATAAATATCGGAATGCCGATATATGTCGATACAAAATCTGTAGCAGACCAGTTTCCCTTGAGGAAGACGGAGAAACCTGCCACGAGTGTGATAATAGTTGCACCGATAAACCCAAACCACGCTGTATATGGCTGCCAGGGTGATTTCCATGGGAGGGTATCACGACTGATACCTTGGGCTTTCATTGCTTGATAAAAGCGGATATAACAGAAGCACAATGTGGCCCAGGCTATTAAACCAGCAACGGTGCTCAGATTGAGTAACCAACTGAACGCCTGAGCAGCTCCACCAGTACCAAGGCCTTTATGCGTTAGTAAGCATAAAATGAGTCAAGAAATGGAATTCATAAACACACTCAAATATGCCAGTGGCCCAAACAGCCAAGCCACAATGACAGCCAACCAAGGCACACCGTTGCTCCAAGTGCGGCCGAAGATCTGCGGAAGCTGCCTATCGGTGGTCATGGCCACGATCATTCGAGATCCCACCCAGCAGTATGAGCTTCCGGCTGACCATGCAGATATCAAGATACAAGCATTGACGATCGAAGGCAAAACGGATATGCCTGCCTGCTTGATAGCAATCACCCAGGGAGAGCTGTTGGCATTTCCTGAGCCCGAAATCAGGTCTGAATTTCGTGGGTCGACAATGATGCCTATAAGAAGGGCGCCGAGAATGTAGAAGAAGCCGATGCGGTAGGTTACCCGGTTGGCGGCCTTGGGGATGGACCTGTGTGGATTCACTGACTCGGCCGCACTGATGACGACGGTCTCAACCCCCACAAATGAATATGATGCGTTGACCAAGGCCGACAGAAAGCCCAGAAAGTGGCCAGTAGAGCCGGTGATGCCATCATAATCAACCCAGGCTCCAGGGTGGTGCCAATATTTGAATCCGATAGACTTGTGGTTGGGGCCACCACCTGAAGTTATGACGATGGAAACAATGACGAGTCCGAGAAAGCAGAGGACCTTGATTGCACCGCTGATAACTTCTGTCTCACCGTATAAACGGACGTTGCAGAGATTGATGGCCAAAATGAGGACAAGACTGACGGTAATGACGACTGCAGGTGTGATATCGCTCCAGTAGCTGACGAGCACGGCTGCGGCTGAAATTTCTGACGCTATCCCGATGGTGTAGCAATAGCCGTATGATATTGCTAGCGAAAACCCGACGGCAGGGTCAATGAAGCGTGTGGTCCAATGGGGGAACGAGCCAGCTGTGGGAATCTGGCGAAATCAGTCCAGCTCAGGAAAAGAATAGAAACATGACTGAAGGGAATGAAAAGAGGCATACCACAGTTGCTAGCTCTGAGATACTCTGCATGACACACCAAAGAACTGCACCGACGACGCAAAATGCCAAAAGGAGACCTGCGGGGCCAGCTTTGGCATATGCAGCTCCAGTACCAACAAAGAGGCCGGTACCAATTCCGCTGCAAAAGCCAATCATGGTCACTTGATAATCCCGCAGGCGGCGCTGTGTAGAGCCTTGGCCACCAACATTGAGTTCTAGTTCAAGTTTAGAGGTGTCGTAAAGGGGTGTGGGGTTATGGCGGATTTCCTCGATGGCATCTTGGCTTCCGTTTCCGGAAGGCCTGATGGCCCCAGGCTGTTTGATGTCTGCAGCAGCCATATTGACGTATGGTGGAACTATCCCGTTGGAAAGGCACAATCACTGGACTTTTCGCATATACATATTTAAAGACATCGATTGCACAATTCTACCTTGCAAATTCACCATACTAGAACCACTTTTTTGGCATCAAAAATTACGCAACTGTTTTCCAATTCTATTTGTTTTCGAAAATTTAGCAGGTGAACGGGGCCGAATTAGGTGGCAGAAGTAACGCTATTTGGGTACTCTTTGTTATTTGGCGCATTTTACGTAACTCTAAACGGAAGGCTGAAACCTTCGAATTTTGAACAGCAGTTGGCCGTGGGGCGAATCTTTCGTCTGCTGGCCCTCTACAAAAGGCACAGCATTGCAATTTGTATCCTGACATGTTTTTGTGGCATAGGCCTTTTTGTAGACCTGGCCACTTAATTCGAGAGTGGATTGACAGAGAAGAGACAGCCTTGTCTAGGGTGCTGCCAAATCACATGATGCGATGAATGGGGCAAAACAAAAAACTTTTGACGTGGGGTCGGCATCTCCGTCCACTACCGATCCACTACGATATCGACCGCCGGCAACCCACCTCTTGGGGTACTCCCGCGAGCACCTACTTTTCCAATATCTTTCAATTCCCTGCACGCGCACATATTAAAAGCATATTATCAGGGACCCTCACAAAGGGTTCGCCGCTGCGATGATCTTGTCAGTCATATCGAGCAAACAATACAAAGCCACTAACCCAACCTGTTTTGCGGCTGAGAAACCCCACATGTGGCCGTAGAGCCCCTAGTTTGACTACATAGTATTATCTCTCCGACGATCTATAAAAACTAAACAGAGGAAATCCAGGCCCTCTGTCATCTATCTACTCGTATTTGCATATAAGCACTCGGGTTCGCATTTTGTCCCCTGTTTAATACTGATAAGCAATTTTTTCTCCAAATACGGACAGTAGTGTCACATTAGGCATAGTGCATCAAGATTCTTTGCCGAAGAGAGAAAGGCTGGCTTGTACTGAGTAGGACGATTGGATTTGAGTCATGCTGATCACCCGATAGTTTGTGACGGTCTGCCGAGTATGCTACCCAGAACTTTCTCTGCCTTCGGTTCGTCTAGCTCTTTAGCTCGTCGCGACAAGTACGACAAGGCCTACCCTTAAACATAGACAAGTGACATTTTCCGTTTCTGCTAACTGCTCGTACCGACCCATATCGCAGACTATCAGCTCTGGGAAACCTTGAACCCAGGTGTCCGGGTCTGAAAGATGCCCTCAGGGTCATATTTGGCTGCAACAGCTTTTAGATTCTCTGGATCCAGAAGTTTGGCCATTGGGTTCTGCGCCTTGTCCGCATAGTTGAAGTATGTCCACGGTATATACCCATCCACCGACTTGGCGTAATCGTCGACCTCTTTCAGGTACTCTTTTGCCACCTCGTAGCCGTAGTCGCAGATCTCTTCCTCGCTGACGTTGACCGAGAGCAACATCGACAGCATTTCGGCCCTGCAGATGCTTCTCCAGTCCCATTGAGTTGCCGCCACGCTCGTCGCTCAGACGGCTGTAGTAGCCAGGCAGAGGCTGGAACAGGCACAAGGAGCTGAACTTGCCCGTCTTGCTGACTTTTTTGTTCTTTGCCACCGCCGACATGTGTGCTTCGACTGCCTTTGCCATGATGCGATCGTCGTTGAGGAAGGTGGTCGTGAACCAGAAGTTGCTAGACAGAGTCAGCATTTCAGAGAAAAGTAGTAAGAGACATCCATCGTCTGGGAGACAGCAAGACCTACTAGTAGCTTTCCGGCTGCTCCATAGTCTTGGCAAAATCGGCAAGGGTTGTGTGCTTGAAATCCTTCACAGTGGCCGGGATCGCCAGCAGCTCCTCGAGCTCCGGTGGGTTTTCTTCGCCCTTTGTATTGGCAGCGAAGCTGGTGATAATGATGTCCTTGAACGTCGTTGGCTCATAGTTCCACAGCACAATATAGGAGCTGTTTGGCCTGGACTCGCTTCCGTTTGTAAAGTTTTTCATGGACTGGATGTGCCGCCGCATGTTTGCCTCCGTCGGCTCTGAAAGAAGCATACCACCCCACAAGCCTTCCCAGCCGATAGTCTTCGCGTCAAAACGGGTGACGATACCAAAGTTGCCCGCACTAGCTCCTTTCAGTGCCCGCCACAGGTCACTGTTCTCGTCCCTGTTGGCGCTGACGACTCGCCCATCGGACAGCACAATTTCTGCATTGACAATCTGGTCACAGCCAAACCCGACGCGTGGAATATACCACCAGATGCCACCGCCGGTGAGCAGTCCCGACACGCCAACAGAGGCTGTGCGGCCTCCAGCAATGGAGATATTCTCTGCAGCGATATCCTGGTAGGCCTCGCTCCATTTTGTTCCCGGAAGCAATGAGACAATGCCCTTGTCATTGTGCACTGTGGCTCCATGCATGTGAAGACCCAGATCTATTAGGATCCCGCCATCCGTGTTGCTCGCGCCCCAAGTGGAGTGGCCTCCGGCGCGAACTGCAAATAGGCAATGTGGCTCTGCCGCGAGTGCCTTCACGATCTTGACCACATCCTCGGTGGTCTTGGGATGCACGATACTGTGCGGCTTCTTCTGCGCCGTGAGGGACCAGAAAGATTCGATGCGCGCCTTGTACAGTTTCGTATCGGAGGCAGTCACCAGATCGCTCAGGCCTGCCTTGTCAAAGGCTTCGAGAGTCGTCAAAACTGCAGCAGTATTAACAGACATTCTGTGGCCGGTATGGAGCGAGAGAAGTATAAATGAGAGCAAGAGTATAGAAGTTAAAAATATATGTGTGGGTGGCGTATGTTTTCAATACAAAGGTGCGTTTGGACGTGCTTTTATGGACAAAGAAACCCGGCTTTATATGTAGCATCCTCTTGTACGAGGACACGGCCCAGTGCGAGTAGGCGAATACTCCGCTGCAAGAGACGCAAAAAGTTTGGCTAATTGTGTGCTGGAACACGTGGCACATCGCAGTCGGGGGTCCTGACCCACGACGACTGTGACTTGGCACATTGCTTTGAGAGACTAGGGAGATTATGCCGGCATGTACGGCCCGCATGCAAGACTGGTCGCGTTCGATAAATGGCAGCTACTGCTTCAGTTCCGTATGTTCCTTGTTCATGTTACATGTGACAGGTCAATGTAACGCACAGAGCAACGCAACCGTGGACAGTCGCTATGCACTTACTGAGTACAACCAGTAAAGCGTGGCAGTTGTGGAAGATCGCAGATCTACTCCGTAGCAGAGATGGGAACAGCCAGAAGGGCATCTTGCAGATTGATACCACAACCATTACGTGTGAGCAGCAAAAGGAGATGGTAGCAATGCACAAGCGTGGGCGTGGATGCGTATTTCAGAGCGCAGGACTCCATATGGTAGTAAATATAATAGTAGGTCCACTCATAGAGGGTTCGCAGTTGACCCAATTGACTGCTCTAACGTCGTTGCTCCCGAGGGCTTGCGCGTTCGATTTCCGTTGGTGTGTGCCATGGAGCAGGGAATAACTGAGGTCGTATCGGTCCGGACAGATTGTATCCAGGAGAAAGTAGCCGGGAGAGATTAGGAAGATGTACATAGCTTACGGAAGTGACGAGCACTCTGGCTTTGGTAAGCCATTCGCCACCATGCAGCTAGGACCTGGACATAAGAACAATTTCTTTATGCAGACAACCGATGCCGTGAATATATACAAGCGGTCAAGGTAGAGGTTGCATTCAAAGGTGTAATATGTACTCCGTACACCACTCAAGACTGGCATAAGCCTCTTCACCCATCCGGTCGAGGTCCCTGTCCGAGCAGCAAGGGAAGGTAAGCTGTAAATCAGCGCTCTCGCATTCAAACTTCCGTCCACTGGTTAAAGAACATTTTTAGACAGAAAGTGGACGTAACAAGAGAGCGAATACTAGTACTGCAGAGATATATCTTCTGTCAAGTAAGGCATATTGCCACACCGGGAAAAGCCAAATACTAGATACACCTGATCTCTGGCGGCCACAATATGTACGACCCGTACAAGTGGTGGCCGCCCTGATCTCTACTGGTGACTGGCTACGATTACATAATGAGCATAATCGCCGGCGGCGGCCTAGTGGGTTGTGTGGTGGCCACGGGCCTAAAGGAGCATATGCCTACGGCCCACGTGCTGTGCCGAAGGCCGGATCGTACACCCGCGACAGTGCAGACTATGCAGCCTGGTCGGCGGCAGCAGGCAACCATGTCCACTGGTCGTACGCCAGGCTGTTGCCGTATTGTTGCCAGACGGAGCACTGATTCGATGGTGGCCTTTTCACGTGACCTCAGCTCTGGTGACAGGACGGGATCCTCCGCTGACCTCAAGCACGGGCGCAGCGTGGACCAATATGGGCGAGACCACGTTGCTTGCCTACCAGCAGAAAGGTGGCGACAACGTCGGGCTGTCGTATATTTGCGAGGGCAGGCTCCAGATATCGGCGAGTGTGTACGCCTCTGCATAGTCACGGGTTCGTGGCCGCATCGAGGATGGATCCAAGAGTGTGTTCATTTTCTTTGTCTCCTGAATGTCCATCTACTACCACTAACCCATTTAGTCGACCTCAACGTCATTCTCGTTTCCCTCAGCACACATATCCACCCTCACGTGTTTCTTAATCACGCCCCGTTGCTTCCTATTCAGTGCAAACTCAGTTCCGCCCATCCCACCCCCTAAAATCCCTCGACACCCGTTCTACTTCCTCAGGACTAGGGACTACGTACGATACCAGCTGAGTCTCCCGGTTGGGTGGTTCGTGGGGATGCTGGTTGGAATGGCCGTGGTGCTCGTGAGGGCCTCGATGGCCATGATGTCGGGACTGCCCCTGGTACCCTTGCCTCTGATTTTCAAAGTATGCTTGAGTCGAGCCTTGTTCCCTATGCCATTCATTTTCCTGGCGATGTTGCCTTCGGTATTCCCGATGCACTTCCTGCTCTTCTTGCAGTTGCTGGTCCCGACGCCTCCGTAGGTCTTCACGCCTCTGCTCGTCCTCACGCCTCTGCTGTTCTCGGCACCTCGCTTCTTCCCAGCTTTCTCCTTCTTCCCGGCGCCTATCTTCTTCCATGGTGTGTCGATAGCCATGATCGCTGCGGCCGTGCAGACAGTTCTCGAGCGGCCGCCTTGATACTTCGCCGTCGCGATGCCACCAGTGGCCTCTGCCTCGCCGGTTGTTGGGACTCTGCTCGAACGTCTGTGTCCGTTCCAGTGTTGACTCTCCCGACAGTGAGAATAAGCTACGTTTCCTGTCAGTGCGTGTAGTGATAGTATCCCGGTTTTCAATCACCAGCTCGCGAAATGTCTCGCAGAGATCATACCCGGAGGAGGGCCTGCTTGGCCCCTGGCCCCGTGGATGTATCTGTCTGTCCCTCGGATGCATTGCGTTCGTTTTCCGATAATTCTGGCTACGGCCTAGCAAGAGTGATTTTCTGCTTGCTCCTCTCCAGGAAAAGAGCACAATCCTGGATGCCGCGAACGATGTATTTATACTCATCGTGGAGCCACGACTTTGACAGTGAGGCTTTTACTGACCTCATCAAAACCATCGTCATGACAGGACCTAGTTACTACCTTCCTTCAAAAGGACCGGATTTCGTCGCCTCGAACTCTCCTTCGCTACTATGAATCATACACGTTCGATGACAAGACCAGGAAGCCATCACAACCTGAGCTGCCGACCCACTGCAGCATGGGGTTACACCGGTATCCACGTTGCCCAGCTCCGCCAACAGGGCTGCATTGTAACCGAGATACTGTCCTCATATTAACAGCCTGCCAACGCAGTCTGCCTGGGTGTCCAGATGTTCAAACGTCCCCGTTACTCTGTCTATTCAACACCGAAAATCCACCTTTGCTTCTTCGCTCTGGAAGCTATCAGCAGTCAACCCTCTCTTCGTTCCCGTTCTTCGGCCTAGCGGGCTCTAAAGATAAAGCAGTTTGTGATGGTGTAGTGAATCTGGATGAATATGCTACCTGCAGCTATCTAACGATGCAGGCTGGCTATGCTATGACTAGGTGACTAGGTGGGGCATGGGGCATGCCCACGTGACACATCTGGCCCACTTAGTAGACCCAGGCGCCATAACCGACAGAATGGACCGCAAAGCGGAGAATGCGGGAAAATCGCCCGGGAAGGGCAGCAACCGGGGACAGCACCGTGCACGCAGATCGCGCCATACATGAGACCTTTATCATGACTCGACTTCACGATCCCACTCGAGCGGCCGCGCTGTCAGCGGAAAACACGTGCCTAGTGTGCGCCACCGTGCGCCACCGTGCATATACCGTGCGAGCAACGGCGCGTCGACGGTCCTACATCTCGGTTAATTCGCCTCGTGTGTGCTGCAGGGTCACCGGAGTGTGACAGTCAGAGGATTGCAAGATACTCCATACAGAGGGTGGAACTCGTTTTTGGCAGAACACGACAGAGTTTCGTCATCTCTTGCACAGGGAGGGCATGGCTGCGAGGCGAGAGTCCTTCCCGGCCCCCTCCTGAAATTTGTGGTTTCTCAGGCGAAAAAAAAACGTCAAAGCTGTATTTTCAGCCGCGCCACATCCGAAAAGATGGCGTTCACATCGACAGGGGTAACGAACAGGAGGGCACGAAAAATACGGAAACCGGAAGTAGGATACTTGATAAGCATGCGAGCGAATAGTGCGGCTTTTGTTGATCGCCATCACAGCTCCTTGGCTTGGCCACAGGCGCCCGACAGGGATGCAGCATGGTCTCACAACAGCCATCCTTACAACTGCGAAATGGCAAACCTGGATGGGCAAGCCCGCCAGAAGAGCATACGACGCACATAGTACGTCGTAGAAGGGGCTGTCGGTGTGGGTGGGGCAGCTCCAATTTGGCCATTCTGGAAAAAGAAAGAGGATGAAAATAAAAGTGGTTTCGGCGACGCCAAGCGAGCCAGAGGCAAGGGGAGGAAAGCCGCAGCTGCAGAGCGCAGGTGTTGGATGTCGGTCGCACCCCGTCGTCCTCGCATTCCCGCCGGGATCGCCATTCGGACGTCTCATTGGACGTCGATGTGCAAATAGTGTAATGCTGGGTAGCATCGCGGCAGGCGCCGGGGCTTTTACACAGTGAGCTAGCGAGAATAACAGGCCAATCTCAATCTTCCAGATCTCGGAAACAAGATGAATCAAAGATGGGGGAATGGGGGGAAACGCAGCTGCACAGTCCGAAGATACATAGCATGGCATATCCAGGGAGGGCAGAAGGAACGCACGGGATTTCCGTTTTTGTTTCGGGTCCCAGCTGCGTGCGAACGAACAGGGAAATTGAAATCTGACAAGGAAACTTGGGGGACACAGACCAGAAACGGCTCCACAGCACCGCACGAATCACGCAAGCCATCCAAAATACTCCTACCTGCTCGTACTACTCGCATGTGACGGGCTCGTGCGTGGTCCGTACGATGTACGAGAGCAATGTGCAGTCCGCTGCGGTGGCGGAAGATAAGGGGGGAAGGTGACCAGAGCTGCAGGCAAAATGGGATAGGAGAACACAAAACGACAGGAGGCATAGCCAGAAAATGATCAGTCTCTTTTGCTCTGGCATGGCAATCCCACTTTCTCGGTGACCAACTCGCTGGGTGGGTGGGGTGCTGTTATACTGGCCAGCATTCGACAGCTTCCATGTATCTTATCTTAGTTTATGCCTCCCACCAGAACCACGACGAACACTCTTCTCAGCTGCCCAGAACGGGTAACCGCACTAGGACACAGCCGCACCCCCCTTCCCCGGGCACTGTCTGAGGAACAATGCTGTTCTCCTGGTCGGCCATGCAAGGGCTGGAGGAGGGGGTGTCAGCCGATCCTCAAGATTCACTCCTCAGCCTTGGAGTCTGTGGTATGCTTGACTATTACGACTGTAGTCTTGCTCTTCCCCCACGTCTCCCTTCACCTACTCTTACCACAAGCATGCCAATGTCATACCGTGGCCCGGCAGTGTTTCTGGGCCCCAGACACTGGCCTTTGTCATTTCTTTTCTTTTTCTCATGTTATCTGTTGCTCTTATAAGTTGTGAGCATCCCGGTCCACTGACGTTCCTCGACTTCTGTGTATCTCCTCCCCTCTCTATCGTCTTCTTTCTCCCTTACTTTCAAACGACCCATCTTCTCAATTGCCCACTCAGACTCGTCGTCCTTTGCGCCTCCGAATCTTACCTGACTGCCTCTGCTTACCCTCCTATTACCCCCCTGTTCCTAGACAGCACCACAACATGTCTTCGCCGTCTACCCCTCTTTCGACCAGCGATCTGGAAAGCTGGGAGCCAAATGATGTCCAGAAGCTGCTCCACACGCTCATCCACAGACACTGTGTCTTCTCCGGCATGCACAACTGTGCCGCCGAGATGGAGAGAACGGTACAGATGCTCACCTCCGAGCAGCTTGCCGAAATGGGTATCCCTGAAGAGCCGTCGGGCCAATTCCTTGTCCAGTGGTTCACCATCTATCGTGAGCTATCTCGACTCAAGGGTACAGACACCACGCTGCAGGAGAAGCTGGTACAGGTACAAGTTCTTTTATTTCCTTTCTGTCTGCTCCCGTCCGCCTGCCGTCATCTATTTCTGACATGTCCCAAAGACTGCCGACCGCATCCGTACTGAGGGTGAGGGAATGCCAGCACCGCCTCCGCCAAGGTATGTTTGTATTTTCTGGTCCCTCGTCGTATCGTCCCTTACCAGACAGCCGTGGCTAATTCGGGCAAAGCGCCATGCCACCACGGCCTCAACAAGGACAGAAGCGCAAGGCACCGGTAGACGAAGAGCAGCCGCCAAACTTACAGCAACAGCTGCAAGAACAGGCCACAAAGGCTCAACCGCTGCGGCAACAGCCACCTCCGCAGATGCAGATACAGACGCAGCCGCAGACGCAAACACAGCCAGAAGTGATATTTGTGCAGGAGAAAAAGGTGTCGCCGCCAGAGCAGTCGTTGCCATCAGACCAAATCATCACCAGGCCGCCGCGATCAACTTTGGGACCACAACCGGCATCACTGCACCCAAATCGACACGGCAAGAAGTCGTGGGAAGAAATTCTGCCCAAAACGGAAGACGGCAACTGGGACACGCGCAAGATCGACAACGACGTCATCCGCAGCATCGACGACTACCAGCTGCGCCTTATGATCCTCGAGCAGCGAAACAGACAACTGCTGCGAGATGCCCGAGAAAAGGACAACAGCGCCCCGTCAAATGGCCGCCATACTTGAGCGAGCTGGCAGTACTCGTTCTTTTCACACGGCTTTGCTTTTTTGTTGCCCCGGTTTATTTTTCATTTATGATATCTTTCCTTGTTCTCTTATTTCCCCCCCTTTCCCCTTTTTCACTTCTATTCCCGCCTGGCCTCGCTTCTTTCTATAGGTGTAGGACAGTGACCGGGTATTGCGGTAGCACCGTTTGAAAGAACAATCCGAGCACGCGTATTGTTGGATAAAATTTGTTGGGTCTCGCTTGGAATTCGCTTCGGAAGGTTTGCACGGTAGCTTACTGGCTCAGAATGGCATGCTCTAAATGGGTCTCAGAACTGTCGAATCACATTCGACTGCTGTGCATCAACAAATCTGACGTGCATGATAGCCAGTCGGGCTGTAGTGTCTGCATGTGGGTGTATTGTGTGTGTGCTCGTAAGGAGTATTTCTTTGCCAATGGCCATGCGTCTCTGTTCCGCGATCTGCACACTTAGTGGCTTGTCGGATTTTCCTTGTTCCTTATCCGAACACCCGCCACGCCTTGCCGTTTCCCCGCCATGGCTATTGTCGCCACGGAACTGCTGTGGGTCCTTTGCGCCATCCCAACTGTTGCCTTCTGTTGCATTCTAAGCTGTACCATATTACAATATTTCCACGGACAGTTTTCTTCCTCTCCCTACCACGGCATACCCAGCACATACGGCCTTGCGGTCTGCACTTTTGAAGCTTCTACACCAGTTGCACGAGCAGACACCTGCGAACACCTGCGTCCAATATGGCCGACATGGATGTGGACAACACAGTCCCAGGTAACACTTCTATTATACCAGGACTCCGTCCCTGTCTTTCGGGTTTAGCTTGTTTGCTGACCGATGCCAGTCGTCATCAAGCACCAGGGCAAATCATACAACATCGACGTCGACACCTCCGAGCCGGGCTCTGTCTTTAAATACCAGGTCTACAGCCTGACCAGCGTGCAGCCAGAGAACCAGAAGATCCTCTGCAAAGCCAGCCAGATCAAGGATGACACGGACATGTCGAAGCTGCGCCTGAAGGCAGGCCAGGTCATCATGGTGCTGGGACAACCGGGTGAAGCACCAGCGCGGTTCGAGGCGCCCAAGGAGAAGACCCGCTTCGTCGAGGACATGAGCGCCCGAGAGCTAGCACAGAAGGGCGGACTCGCCGTCCCTGTCGGCCTCGAGAACCTTGGAAACACGTGCTACTTGAACTCGTCTTTGCAGGTCATGCGGTCCATCCCAGAACTGCAGGACAACCTGGTCAACCACTTCAAGCCCAGTGAGGACCGGTCCGTCTCAAACCTGACCAGCACGCTCCGCGACGTCTTCTTGGACATGTCCACGACAGGCGATACCGTCCGACCTGAGGGCCTCCTCAGCATGCTGCGCAAGTGCAACGAGCGATTTGCTGAGCGAACCCGCACGGGTGCATATGCACAGCAGGATGCCGAGGAGGCCTGGACCTATCTCATCAACAACCTCAAGACGACGCTGCCCCTCGAGGATGAGACGCCCGCGGCTGCAGAGGGTAGTGCTGGAAGCAGCACCAATGAGAACGGTTCCAGTGCCAGCAAAAGCAAAGGAAAATCAAGCGTCATCGACCGTTACATGACTGGCCAGCTGGAGAGCGTGACCGTCTGCGACGAGGCCGAAGGAAACACAGAGGACAACGTCAAGCCGGAGAGCAAGGCTTTTCGTGTCCTGGACTGCCACATCAACGAGTCGGTCAATCATCTGCGCGATGGTCTGCTGGCCGGCCTAGTGCACAAGATGGAGAAGTCGTCTGACGTGCTGGGCCGGACCGCCGGCTTCACATCGACCGACCGCATCTCACAACTGCCCAAGTACCTCGGTGTGCACGTGCTGCGCTTCTCGTGGAAGCGGACTGCCCAGCTCAGCACCAAAATTTTGCGCAAGGTCACTTTCCCGCTGGACCTCGACATCACCGAGTTCTGCACTGACGAGTTGCGCCTCCGGCTGGCCCCCATTCGCGACAAGGTCCGCGAGGTGGCCAAGGACGTCGAGGAGATCGAGCGCAGCAAGAAGAAGCGCAAGCGCCGCATTTCGGAGAGCAAGCAGTCGGGTGAGCCCGCATCATCGAGCAGCAGCAGTGCCGCCGGCAACAGCAGTGGCAACACCAGCAGCAAAACAAGCGGCAAGAAAGAAGAGCCCGTCGAGAATTTCAAGACCGACGCCGAGATCGAGGCAGAGAAGCAGGCCGTGGTTGAGAAGGCCAAGGAGGAGCTCTACCAGCTGGTCAAGCCGCACCTAGAGCAAGACCGGTATGCCAACCACAGCGGCCTCTACCAGTTGCGGGCCGTCCTCACCCACCAGGGCGCCCGCTCTGACAGCGGCCACTACACGGCCTTCGTCAAGAAGGGCACCATCCTGAACCCTGTCTCTGGCCGCATGTCCGAGGAGGACGGCAACTGGCTCTGGTTCAACGACGAGACCGTCACAGAGGTGGCTGCTGACCGCATCGAGAGCCTAGCTGGCGGCGGGCCGTCCCATTCTGCTTTTATGCTGCTCTATGCATCCGTGCCGCTGCTGCTGCCGGAGAACCGCGTGACAGAAAAATTCTCGCAATCATAGACAGATGGGAACCCTAATGAGGAGGGCAAGCGCTGTTGGACTTTCGATTTGGACAACGGTCATGCTTTGACGAACGCACAATGCCGATGATCATGACCAAATGCAAACAGCAAAATATGCATAGATATGGATTTAGAGTGTTGAACCATGCAAGGACCAGCCACTGCTACCTACTCTCTCGCCAGTGATGCCATCATTCAAAAACAATGTGAGCCGCTTGTCTTCCGCTTTCGCCAACACTGCACAGGTTTACGAAAGTCAAACTTCATATCCGCCGTGCACGTTCTGCAAATGAGTATAACAGTCGCCCGATACCACGAATGTTCTCAGACACACCCAGCAAATATGGAATCCACAGCCTTTGCAAGTCATGTGATTGCAACCCTGGGTTCTTTCGATGCTCGTAGTGCATTTCGGGCAATCCTTGACACCCAGCTCTTTTTTTACTTTCACTAGTGCTGCCAAGCCACCAGATGCATCACCCTTGTGCTCGGCACACGTTACTCCGGGGTGGGCAGAATGGCAGCCTGTGCAGGTGGATACGAAACATTTTGTACAGGTGAACATCGCTGGACTCTCAGCCGACTCGGGTGTGATGCGGTAAAATTGAGTGCAGTCTGGTGTCGGGCAAGGCCGGAATTGATCAGGATGTCGGCGGACGTAGGAATCATGGGAAGCTACAAGGATATCCTCAAATGTTTCCGAGAGCACGGAATCCTGAATCTCAAGCAGAGTCACGACCTTTCGGCAATTGCCGGAGTCGCCTATGCAGGCGATGCAAAAGGCTGTTGTTCCAGAGGACTGTGCCTGGCACATATTCGTGAAGCAGAGGCCGCAGTAGAAGTGGTTGCACGAAATGCGGACCGGGTTCTCGGCTTCGCAAAAGCAGACCGAACAATCCGGCATGGAGTTTGGTGCTCGTCTCATAGGCCCTTCTTGGCAGCTTGCGATAATGGTTTTAGCTAGGTCGACGTCCTCGGCGGATCCAGGAACGGAGAGAATCCCCGATTCCACGTCAAAAGTGACTTTGGCGTTTCCCAACTCGGATTTGAGCGCCTCGACGCCTCCGCAGATAGCCCACCGGCGCTCATAGTCGTGTGTGAGCTCGATTCGGAGCACAGTTGACGTCGTCTCTGCGATGATCGAAAGGAGCGCATCTGTCGCCTCTGCAAACCTCGCTTCTGGCCCAAAAATTCGAAACTGGGTAGAACGAACGTCTCTGATGATAACAATAGCTAGATCGTGTTCGATCATCTTCAGCCTCTTGTATGTGTTTTTGTCAAAGGTGAAGTCCGCAAACCAGACTTTCTTTCCGTCCTTCTCCATCACCTGTCCATGCACAATACGTTCCAGGTCTCTTTGAGCTTCAGCGATCAGCCCGCGGTCCTCGCCTTCGAGCTTCAGAATCCGGTGAAAACTGTGAGGCGCAGTTACAGAAAATCGAATGAAGCTATGCTTCCAAGTCTTTTCGCGCTCGTCGATCTGTCCCTTTACAACATCGTAAACTGGGGTTGACACTTTAAATTTGGCCGAGGTGACAAGCTGCACGGAGAGTTTTCCGGAATCGTGGAACGGCAGCGTCTTACCATCCAGTACCTCAACCGCTTTCCGGGCATGTGCCTCGTCGACAAAAGTTGCTCGACCTTTGAACCTTTTGTCTTTTCCATCGTTTTGTTTCTGGAGCGTCCATCGTTTCAGAGGACCGTGTTCGTACAGCATAGACAAGATCATGACAGAATCCATGTCTGTATCGGCAACATAGCTTGGCTGGCTGAAGTCGACATGCGACGGCTGGTCAGTAGCAGAGAATCCCTGGGTAATGTCCTGTTCCGTGACGGTGGCCAGCAAGCCTGTCAACTTGACAGTCCACATCTCGCTGCCCTGCTCGGTCGCCTTGACCATCGGTGCCTCGGCTCCAACTAAAGAACCCAGAATCGTGTACCTGCCGTCTCGAAATTCAGTGTGCATCCTCGCTGCAATGTCCGCCTGTTCGAAGTCGAGGAAGGCATCGCGAGTTGGACGATGCCAAGAACAGTACACCTGCCTGCAGTCAATCTGATGGAATGTCGATCCTGTAGGCACCGGAACCGGAATGGAAACGACGTCCAGGGAAAGCTTGATGTATGTCTTGAGTTTGCAGCACGCTGACTCGGAAAACTTTGCATCTCTGACCTTGATGATGGCTGTGCATTCTTCCTGGCCCAAGTGCGTGATGATCCGCACCGCGTTGGTCGGCACGTTCAGGCCGACCTCTGCCAGTATAGCCACAACCGACCGCTTGGAACTGCCGTTTGGGAGGTTGGTTATACGAACGGCTGAGAAATCCGAGGGGAGGGAAATATCCTTGACGGTCGCGCCGTCGCCAAATTGGACCCATGCACCTCCGAGTTCTCGGGTCCAGGTCTCAATAGAGTCATGCTCCTGTCTCGGACGACGGTAAGCATCTTGGGTAATGTATAAAAGCATTCGGAACGTATAGGCGCACCTTTCGATCCTCGCCGTCTTCAGCCTGGTTGTGCGAGAAACGGCACGTGGCTCCGTTCCTGCACCTCCCTCGGGCAAAGAAGTGGCAGGGGTTTTGGGCACGTATAGCCGGTAGCTGCTGGGGAGTTCCCTCATGGGAAAATCTACAGGTCATGCCGCGCAGGCAGTTGCCGCGGTTATAGTATGTGCATTGAGGTCTGACTGGGGTTGGCCGTATATGTTGATGGACGCGTTCTCTGTTAAAAATCTCGTATTCTCCAAGGGCCAGTTCATAGTCATCCTCAAACTCTCCGAGGATGTGTCCATGTCTGTCCTCGAACGGCCGATCGTGCTCTTCCCAGGTCGGGGGAGAAACCGTATTGCCCATATTGATGGATTTTGCGGCGTTCAAGGCCGAAGACAGCTTGGCAAATCGTCCAAGCTTCGCGTTGTTCTTATTTATGGACACGGCTGGTTGCGGGGTTGGTCGATCTCCAGGCAGAATTTAAGTAAGCATCTAATATTAGATAAGTCATGGAAGAAAAGCATGGGATTTTCTGAAAGGAAGCTAAAGCTAGTGTTGCACGTGACCCTGTGGGTCAGTGTGCAGAGTTTTCACTCCCGCAGTACAGCCTGCACTAGCTTCTAGTGCAGGGAAATACATGCACCTTTCCACAGGTCATGAGCCCTCTTGATCCGCAAGTTCATCAAAAAAGTGCATCAAATCTATCAAAATACCTTCATTTTCGATCATATATCATCAAATCCGTCCTTTGGGGCGTTGATTCAGTCGTTTTCGACCAAGCGCTCGTTTCGCGTGCGCTAAATACATTTACAACCCTATACCCAACGGGTGCAAGCAGCGGGTTTACCCCTGCTTCTTTCTTTTAATCTAGCTAATAGACGGCTTCTATTCTGACAATACCCTTGCTAATTCGTCTCGTTTGAATTACCGCGATGGAGTACACCAACAAATTTGGATCTGTGATCCACGTGCTTAACTTAGAAGAAAATGGCTTCGTCGAATGGGACGTTGCTCTACGTGCGGTTGAACACGCTGAATAAAAACAAAGCATTTTCTAACAGGCCTAGTAGAGGCCCTAGCTTGAATTGTTAATAATAATGGAGAAGAGACTTAAGGGAGTCGTTGGAAGCCTACGAGCTCTAGGAAGCAAATCGTAATGCTACTTAGAATTATATTGTAAGGGTATTCTACACACGCGTCTCTACGCACCGGTTCGGCAACTAGTCGCTTACTAAGCGACAGACTTAACGAACTATCTTAACACGTTGCACGGGACTAGCACAGCCACTTAGCTGCGCCACGCCCCACTGGGTTTGCGCTACACCGCATCTTCCAGCCACGTATATATTAGCTGGCAGGCCTTTGCCTACTAATCTCCTATAGTTCGTTAAGTTGAAGTCTTAATACAACAGTACAAACCAGTTAAGCCTTCGTGACTACGCATTGCACACCAGCCCCTTACATATATTACTATAACAACTTAAAATGTTAAAGATTGTTTGGCAGGATATAGGTATAAGCCTAGCAGGCTGCCGCACGTTAATTACCTAGCAGCCTGCGCTTGTTTTTAAGGCGTTAGCCTAGTGGTTTTAGGAGATGTTGCTTTTAAGTTTATTAGCATAAAACTGTCTTTCTTTAATTGGCCGTCTGCTTTTCTTAATTGTTTTTAATATGTAGCTTAACAACTAGCTCTTGCTTTCTTTGCGCTTTTAGACCTATTTAAAGGCATAATTTTATGCTATAAACTTAAATTACTTCTTTTAGTATAAGTAGTATAATAAAGGATAAATATTTAGAATTAAGCTTTTAACTATAGCGCTATACTTTAAGAAGTCTTTAAGCTTTATAGTTACCTTTAATAAACTAAGAGCTAGACTATAATAACGTCTAGTATTCCTTAGAAGCATAATAAAAAAAGGCTATTAAAGTTAACTATTAAATAACATTAGCAAAGATTTAAAGAACGTTACCTAGATTAGCTAATATGCAATATATATAAGTGCTAGCACTTAGTAATATAAAGCTACTATAAAACCTGCTTTATCTACTACCTAAATAGTAAAGTAAGCTGCTTTTAGCTTTATTTTAAATTAGCATTAAAGAAGACTTTTTATTATAAAGGCTAAGGCTAGCATTATTAATAATAGTCCTCTTTAAATGCTTTAGTTAAAGCTAACCTAAATATTACTAACAATAATACTAGCATTAGCACAAATCTTTTAAATACTAGCTTTAGCATGCTATTTAATTCGTTTAACTACTATACTATAAATTTAGCTGCGTTGTTTATAGTAACTAATACTACTAACAATATTATGCTTAATAATAAAGCTATGTATTATATGTTTAACTACTTTAAGTAGTTTACGCACCTTTATAAGCTTTTATAACCTATTAAGAACTTGTTATTATATAGCTTAATAACGTACACCTCTTTTACTAGGCTAGTGTAACGCCGCCCTAGGAAGGGGACCGACGCAGGCTACGCGCAAGCCGTACGCAGTATGCGCACAGCGTATTAGATGCACATCGTAAACTAGAAGCGGTGCTGGTGGCGCAGGCTGCGTGGCGCAGTCTGCGCACAGGCCACAGCACGTGCTAGCGCACAGGCCAAGTAGAAACGAGGTCGCGCCTGTCCTGCGCACTTGGTGCGCCAGAGGTGCGCCTACGATAAAGAGTGCCTCCCGCACTCCCTTAGAGTGTAGAAGGCAAGAATTAGCTATTGAATATACGGCTGCTTCCTCCTGTTAAGAAGATACCTCTTTGCTTGCCTGACTTACCTAGCCTACCCAAGTACACCTTTAACATATAGCTAAGAAGTAAAGATTGCGTAGCCTTTATAATACTAAGGAAGATATTTATAAACGCACCTTTACTACGCTATTTTAACTTAAAATAAGCAATAGGCGTAAAAACTAATGCCTTAAAGGTAGCTATTAGTAGGATTATCTTTTAATAAGATAAAAAGAAAGCTTAACACTTAATTACCTTTTAGTTAAGAAAACTATAAAGATATAAGGGTTAGTGTGCAATGCATAGTTACAAAGGCTTAACTAGTTTATACTATTATATTAAGACTTTAACTTAATAAACTATAGAAGACTAGTAGGCAAAGGCTTACTAGCTAATTTATACATAGCTAGAAGATGTAGTATAGCGTAACCCTAGTAGGGCGTAGCACAGCTAAGTAGCTATACTAGTCCTGTATAACGTGTTAAGATAGTTCGTTAAGTCTGTCGCTTAGTAAGCAACTAGTTACTAAACCAGTGCATAGGGACGCGTATATAGAATACCCTTACACTATCCCCCCCCTCCTTAAGTAACGCCCTTATTAGCCTAGAAGTATATACGCGGCAGCTACTTGTTAAAAAACCTTCTCTTATAAAGTTAGGAAAAAAAGTTAAGCGCTTTAGGTTATTAGCTATTGCCGAGTAGTTGTAGACCGCTTGCTTATACGACTACATTTAGGTAACGTAGAAGCGTACACGTACTGCTTAGTCTATAGTAGTAGTAAACGATAGATCCTGCCTAATGCACAGGTCGTCTTATTTGTTAAAGCTCTTTAGAAGGCGTGCAGCTTAGATCCTAGTTAGGGAACGCTTAGGTTGCCGCTAATAGGTGTTGTAAGAGGGCTAGCCTTAGACACTAGGTGTATAAAGGTGTAGTGTATGCAAACTAAAAACGGCGGCGCAAGGCTTGCGACTTTTAACTACTAGTAGGGTAAGATAAAGGTAATAGCGGCTGTTTGTTGCTTGCTAATTATAAAACTATTGCTTACTAGATAGTAAAGGCAGTCTACTGCTAAGACGTTTCTTTATTTAATTTTAAACGTTTCTTACCTTACTATTAAAGTAAGGTTAGGCGACTTCTTAAGATGCATTTAAACGTTTAATAACGTAGCTTCTTTGTTGCCTTAAGGTATAAAAGAGTAAGTATATTTTAGAATTTAAGACGAATTTGTTTATACTTATAAAACTACTCTTGCCTTTTTAGCCTTTTTTTTTTAATCTTACTTATATAGTAGGTTAATATAATAGTTTATAACTTTGTATAATAGCTAGCTAATAATTGCTTATAAATAATATTTAACTAAAGCTACTCTTAAGTCTTAATAACCTTTTTTATAAATATAAACTTTGTAAAACGCCTTTCTTAAGTATATATACTGTCTTTTAAAAGCGTAAGTCTTTATTAGTATAACGTTTACTAAGTAATAGCTAACCTTATAATAAGCTTTATATTTAAACTATATCTTTAAGGCCTATTTAAACGTTTACTATAAATTCTTATATATAGCTACACTAAAAAACCTAGCATGCTATATTAGTTATATAGCTAACAATATATTATGCTTACCTATAAGTATGTTAACTTATATACGCTAGTAGTTAATTACTAACTAATAGCTTCTTAAAGAGATTAAAGGCTTAGCCTAATATATTTAAGAATTTTTAACTAGTATAAATAAGTTGCTACTATAGCGGATAATAGTTAATAATATTATTATAACGCTAGGCGATTACGCAGCAATCGCCTAAAGGTTAATAGCCTTAATAGTAGTAACTAAGGAACTTAGCCGCGCTTTATAAGAAGACAAGTTAAAGCCCTTAGCAACTAACTAGCGCTCTTAGCGCAAACGTTTTAAGACGGTATAATAGGCTATATTACGCCTTAGTATTCTTTACTAGTATTAGCAAGAGTTAAAGCTTACCTTAACGCTTGCGTAGTAGTTAGTAAAAGTAGCTTAGCTTTTACTGCTAACGTTCTTAGATATAGGCATACTATTATAGGTGTAGACTTAAGTTGCTACTACTTTTAAAGTAATAGCAAGTCCTTTAATCCTTATTGTTAAGTTATTACTAACTTATTATCTAAGCTAATCTTTGTTTTATTATACTTAGCCTAGCCTAGCGCGCTATAGTTATTTAAGCTAGGCATAGTAGTATGCTTTACTATACTATAAGAGCAATAAGGCTACTTAAGTAGATCTTGCAAACTATAGTAGCTTTAGTTAAGCTAGCTTAGATTAACTAAGTAGTAGTCTTTCCCTAGCCGCTGCCTTTAGCGGCGCCTAGTACGCAATAGTTTTACGCTAAGTTACTAACCTTAGCTAAGCGCTAGTATAGCACTAAGACTATTCCTAGTGTTATAGCTAGCGGCAATAAGGCGGTTGCGGCAGCTAGTAGTAGTAGTATAGCAGTATTTAATAAGAGTATGCTAGTAGGCGGCTAGTTAGCAGCTAGTAATAGCTATATACTAGCTAGCAAAGGCTTGCTTAGTAGTAAGAAGAAGAATAAAAAGGATAGTATTATAAAAAGAGATAAAAGGGTAAAGAGAATATTTATAGAGAAGGATAGTAATAA